CCAAATCGGCGGTTAATCTCATTAGCATCCCTGCAGCAGCCCGTAGGGGTGCTACCTTCGTCTTTGACTCAACTGGAGTCTATGCAGGTTTTGCATCTATTGATCTTGCTGCGAATAAATTATCGCACCATGGTAGTTTACGGGCAAATTTGTATACTATTGAAATTGATACTATGAAAAATGAGGGGGTTGGAAATGCATTTATTGGTAATGTTGCTAGAACTCCTCAGGAAATTTTACACAAGAGACTTGGTCACCCAGGTCGTGGTATTCAGGATAATTTTAGAAAACTCGGAATTCAGTGTCACCTGAAGAATTGCCGTAGTTGTATGAAGTCAAAGATGACTTTCAAATTTCCAAAGTATTCCACTCGGAGAGCTACAACACTTGGAGGAATCCTTCATATGGATGTCTGTGGTCCATTTCCACCAGCCTATAATGGTTGCAAATACTTTCTCACTATTGTTGATGATAAATCAAGATTCATTACAACTTTTCCAATGACTTCTACTGCTGAAGTTGGTCAACTTATTATCAACTTCATTAGATCCTGTGATCGTCAGAATTCTGCAAAGGTTCAAATAGTTAGAACAGATAATGGTTCTGAATTCAATAATGTCAAACTTACTAATTTCTTTCATGAAACCGGAATTCGTCACGAATTGACAGTACCATATCACAGTTATCAGAATGGAGTTGTTGAACGTTCCCACAGAACAATTCAAGAATTTGCTAGATCTTTACTTCGTGATGGATCACTTCCAGATCACTTTTGGCCAGAGGCTGTACTCACTGCTACGTACTTGCTTAACTTAATGCCTCGTCATGCTCCCAAGCATCAGTTGGTCGTTCCATATGAGAAATGGACTGGGAATCCTCCCAATTATGACCAATTACGAGTTTTTGGGTGTTTGTGTTATGCTTTGGTTCCCCCAAAATTAAGAGTGTCCAAATTTGACTCTACATCAAGGGAGGCTATTATGTTGGGATTTGACCCAAACAGAAAAGCCTATCGATTATATGATTTGGTCACTCGGAAAATCTTTTCTGCCAGTCAAGTTAGATTCATAGAAGATGAATTTCCTTTTGAAAAGTTAGCCTACCAAGGTGAAATTAATGTTCATTCTAATACCACATTGGGGATTAGTGGTGGAATTTCCTCTCTTAGATATTATAATTCTTCCGACCGCTCGCCACCTCCTGTTAGAGTTACCAATGATGATCACTACCGATCTGATGCAAGTATGAATGAACTCGATGCAACTAAGTCAGAAAATGTTAGGGATACCGACCCTATTGATTATGAAGTTAATATCACCCACGCAGATGATTATAATGGAAATGATTATAATGGAGATGATTATAATGGAGATGATTATAATGGAGATGTTTATGATGGAGATGTTTATGATGGTGATGATGATAGTATGACTTCCCACGAAGAAGATGTCGCTGAACCTACTTCCATTATCGAAGTACCCGATACCATTAAACCTGCTGTTTCGCCGGATGCTGAAGAAAATCTCGTATCTCCATCACCTTTAGAATTTTTAACTGTTCTGCGTTCACAACAGAAACGGAAGAGACGTGAAGCTGATCCGTCCAGTAACATTATATTACATTCCACTGCTTTAATTCCATATCAGCCTGAAATGACAGCTACTTCAGACTATGGTTATACTGACTCCGACTCTTATGCTCCAGACTCCAAGAAACTCCGTCGTACGACAGAACAACCCCAAATCATGTATTATGATTCCGATCATCCACCACCCAGTAGTTCTTCAATTGCCGATGATACTAGTGATGATCCAGAATATGCTGTTTATGTTGATGCCTTTCCTGTGGATTATATTTACCATGTCCAACTGCCCATTAAGGTTCCAAATACGTTTCAACAAGCAATGAAATCCCAGGATCATGATAAGTGGAAATCCGCCATGGATGATGAATATCTGTCTTTAATTGCCAATCATACGTGGACGTTGTCTGGGCTTCCTGAAGGTCGTCAAGCCATTAGCTGTAGGTGGGTTTATTCCATAAAAGGTGATGGAAGTTATAAAGCCCGCCTAGTCGCTAGAGGCTTTTCACAAATACCTTCTGTGGACTACCACGACACATTCGCGCCTGTTATTAGGTACGAATCCGTCCGACTTTTATTGGCTATTCTGGCTCAACTACACCTTATTATTCACCAAATGGATGTTAAGACTGCCTTTCTTAATGCAGATCTCCATGAAGAATTATATTTACGTCAACCACCAGGATATGAAGTCGATGACCACAAGGTTCTCAGATTGCATAAAGCCCTTTACGGGTTAAAACAATCTGCGGCCCAGTGGAATCTTAAATTTGATGCTACATTAAAGGAACTTCAGTTTAAGCGTTTGGAATCTGAATATGGTCTATATATTAGACATCGTTCATCAGGAATCATAATTATTGCTTTATATGTTGACGACTTGCTTATAAGTGGTTCCAATTTAGCTGAAATACTCGAACTCAAGACAACTTTACTGGCATACTACAAGATGAAAGATCTCGGCCAATGCCACAAGTTCCTAGGCCTTAACATTCAGCAATTCCATGATGGAACTAAAGGAATCACTGCTGAAGATTATTGTAAGTCCATTTTTACATCTTATGGAATTGAACTGAATTCCTTAAATCCAGTTCGGACCCCCTTATTAGCCAATCAGCACTTAGAGGATGTGCCTGCTGACGCCAGTCCTGCTGATGCTACGGAATTTCGCAGTCTCGTTGGAAAATTGTTATTCTTAGCAAACACTGTCAGGCTCGATATCAGCTTTGCTGTTTCAAGCTTATCACAATTCCTTCAATCTCCTACCACCTACCATTTAAAAGCTGCTAAGCGCATGCTTCGTTATATTAGTGGTTCTATGGAGTTTGGTATTAGATATCAGAAAACAGATACATCTTCAATTATTGGTTTCTGTGACGCCGACTGGTGTGGAGATACCACCAATAGCAGATCAACCTCCGGATACATTGTTAAATATGCTGATGGCCCAGTTATCTGGAAAAGTAAGAAGCAAAAAGTCGTTGCTATGTCTAGTGCTGAATCTGAATACTATAGTTTAGCTCTGGTCAGTAAGGAGCTCTTATGGTTAAAAGAAATCTTTGAGGAATTGGAGTTAGACTTACCAGCCATCAAACTTAATTGTGATAGTCAGAGTGCAATGAAAATCGCTACCAACCCCGTTTTCCACAGTCGAACCAAACATATCAAGAGATGCTACCATTTTATTCGCCACCACATTAATAAGGACTTTACTGTTCATTACCTTAATACTAAGCATATGCCCGCTGATGTCTTAACTAAATCATTGCCAGCCGATCCTCATGCACATCTTTGCACACTTGCTGGAATAGGTAATCTTCCTAAATTACAGCTTTTATCAGATTAAGGGAGGCATACCGTCTCACAACCATTCCACCTTAAGGGAGGCTGTTGCAACATGTTTGTAAGCTACAATGGTTGTGAAGACAGGTAGAGTGTTGTAACTTGCTACAAATGGTTGTAACAATAAAAGGGGGGTTGTAACAATAGAAAGGGGGTACTCTAATAATGTGTTATTAGAGTTGTTGTTACAACACATGTGTGTGAACTCAGAGGTATAAATAGACCTCTAATATCCCTATAGATAATTATATAGGTTTTATATAGTAACTATGATAATATAAGTATTTTGTTTAAGAAACATTAACTATGGAATCTTTAACTCTAAATGTACAAGACATTGATGATCTCATTGTAAGATTGAGGACCGAACGACAGTTACAATTCAAATTGTTCGAATACTGTTGTATTTCCTGTTTCTGCAAATCTATTCTATTATTTGGTGGTTTGGCACTTTTCCCTTTAGGAGTATACCATGGTACGATATGATTCGTTAAGTTGTTTTATTGTTCAAATACATACAAATATATATGAAAACATTTGCCATTATTAATAGTAATTGAGATGTACTTAGGGCGATATGCTACGGGAGCTTGTTATTTATTTTTCACTCATTGGTGAGGGAAATAGTCAGTAGCTGTATGGATATATAGAGTTGATTTGAATATGTATATGGTCTACATTCGTACAACAATTTTTGCAGAACATTATCTGCTTTCTTTTATCCTTTATTTTCTTGTCAACTGTAATCAAACAAATTTTTGGATGATTATAAAAAGAATTAAAGCGCTTATTCCATTTTTGAAAATTTAGTACATTCAGCAATTCAAGGCTGAATTACAAATAAGGTAGTGTCTATAATTTACTAAGCATCGTAACACCATCAGTAAGATTCCAAAATGGCAGGAGGAAACTGATATTTCGAACAAACGGATAAAAGAAATCTCTGATTTAAAGATCGGCAAATTAGATGACGAAAATGTTAGGCAAGAAAATTGATGGCATAAGCGCTATAGCTCATCAGAGGAAAATCCTAGTGTTGTTGCTAGTTGTCATGACAAACTCTAATCAAATTATCAATATTTGTTTTGATTTGTTTTGTCAAGCAAATATAGTCAACAAGTCTTCTGTTTAGGTGGAACTGTTACACGATCGTTTTAAATAGTAAATAGTAAATAGTAAATAGTAAATAGTAAATAGTAAATTGTGTGGCACCTTATGTAATGCAAATCAGAATAAATGGAAATTGTAATGGTTAGATTATTTTGAGATCTATGCGAAAATTAAACAAATTTATTAGACACATAAATGGTAGTTTTAATCTATATGAGAGGGTATATTAGAGTAACTTCCTGATTACCGTTGCTTAGAAAAGAACATTGACTTGCCTTAACTGAACAAATGATGCTCCACTTGCATTTTTTTTTTGCAACCGTCCGCGTATTAGTGCTTTGTGTAAAATTGCTTATTATGCCTTCCTTGACAGCTAGAACATTTGACAAACTGCACTCATTATAAATTGACGGCAAAATGTGGGAATGGTAAGTCAACCATACCTCTCCTTTACTAATTATTAAAAATGACATTTTGGAAACGGTTAACAAAATCTAACGATAACCCCCCACCATATGAAGAAAAATTGGGAAAGGCAGGTGCTACTGAAAAAGATAGTGAGCTGCCAACATCCGCTTCTGCAGAAAAGGATAATAAACTGCAAAAGAAAGTTGCTCAGAAAAAGGTGAAAGGTGTGTCAAAGATTCCTACTGAAAGCGAGGAAGATAAATTTGACATCCTTGTATGATGATCGCGCCTTAAAATTTAGTGCTTCTGCACGTAAAGATGGCAAAGACTTGGAACGAAAATGTGCATTATATTTTGCTGATCTTGATAACTTATCGACTGATGTATCAACCCTCAATTCGTGGCAGAGAGTCTTGAATCGAGTTTATTCTGAAGCAGAAGGACTTGAAAGATTACTGTATAACTATGGTGTTGAACCAGCGATAGTGTACAGAGGTAAGGATTATGGTAACATACTGTTCTCTTTTTTTAACCAATTCAGTTATAGATTGGTAGCAAGATTAGCTCCTAAACTTGGTGTAGTTATAGGAACAATTTACAGAAATTCTTCTTGTTTTAATTTATTTGTAATTCAAAATTTCATTGCAAATAATTCTGCTCTTTTAGAGCCTGACCTTAAAGCTCGTGTACAGGGAAAGGGATTATAGATTGTATGTATTTGTAAATTGAAAGATGTGTTTAACTGAATGTATAATGTATTGGTAAAATTATTCACGATTTGATAGGCTTATAGGAAACCCATTCTCTAATATTATGTTTTGCCTAGTACTTCCCACTAGAAAAATTTAGAGACAACCAGCACAAATAGCTTTTTAAATCTAGCAATATTTTTCTGTAAGAATTAAGTTTCCCTTTGTTAGGTTACACCAACAGTATTCCAATAGAATTAAAAAAGTTTCAATAATGCTTGGGGTATAAGAGTGGATCCAGAGTCTGAGAATTTTGTTTAGTTATAGATTCAAGTGGACCATAAACAGGCCCATTACATCTTATTTAGCCTTATAAAATCATTGATTAACAAATCATCTAGTTCGTTAAATTCTTTCAAAGGTTGAAAAAAGTCAACGTAGCTTTGGTATTCTGGGATCAACTGTAGATTAAATTCTTCAATAATATCTTTAACTAACATCAATTGTTTGACATTATGTTTTACAATATAATGGTTAATATTAAAGTCATCCTGGTTGAGAAGATTTATTAATTCACTCTGATTCTGTAAATGTCTCTTTATGGTAAGGTTGTAAAACAAACTATCTATGAGATCGTCAATTTTATCATTGGATTCTAATCCTAAATGAGCTAATACAAGTTTTGTCTTTTTAGGAATACTTAAGGAATGATCTATATCTTCCCAACCAGGAAGAGTGAATAGTGATTTCTTTTCCATCCAATTGAAGAAAATACTTAGCCTCAGCTTTTTGGAGGTTGAGAACTTCTTTAATGACTGTTTGGTGACAAATCTATTAAACCAGAAATTAATCATTGAAGTTGACGCCATAGGTATAATTGGTACTGTAGGAAGCTTGTTATAAAGATTAGAATATAAGATATTTTCAAAAGTATAATTTAGTAAAACATTAGGTAGAGTAATTGAATTATTATTGGATCTTGTTCTCTGTGTTTCCATAACAATAATATCAGGTATATTAGATTTCTGGACTAAGTCATTGGCTAACTTTTGAGTGAAATAATTGATATATCTCTTTGAATCTAGTGGAGACAGTAATGAAATGATAGGCTCATAATGTGATCCATATTCCTCATTTAAATCAATTTTAGCCCATTTACTTACAACCGATGGGGAATCAATATTTAATCTTAGTCCATTGACCTGACAGTATGAAAAGTTCTTTATACCTACATCAATTGATAGAATGTTTATATTTTGTTGTGGTACACGTGATTGAAGATTTAGACCATTGACCAATGATTCTATTCTTCCTTGTTTGGTTGAATTGACTATTGGTAATCCACTAATAAGTCCAATCTGATGTAGTGTAGACACTTTGTATGAAGATAGTATATCTGCATATTTCTTAATCATATTTCTTAAGCTTTTGTTTGCTATTGTACCGTATTCTTGAACCTATATTCTATGCTAGCAATTCATATATATTAATATGTTTATATATATATATATATATGTATATATATATATTATGGTATATGTTCAATTATTAACGCCTAAGTTCAAAGTACATTTATACCCGCTGATATCAAGTTGCTGATGAAATATGTACAAACCATCTGGCGGACCAAAATTGATGGGTATAGTGAAAAGGAAACAAATACACAAAACTGAAATATATACTTTTTTTCATTGTTTGAAAAACGTAGATGAGAAATGTCAAATATGGAGATAGGAGTACGAAGCAGACATCAGCAATGAGTAAGATAACAAGAGTTCGGACAGGATGTTGGACGTGTAAAAGGAGGTATGTATGATATATGGAGTATTTTGTTAATGTTTTATTTTTAAAAATTTGGCAATACTAACTATTATGTTTGTAGACATCGAAAATGTGATGAAGCCAAACCATTCTGTAATAACTGTTTGAAGAGTAATAGAGAATGTGAAGGGTATGGGATACGACTTTCATTCGATGTAGATGATAGTAGAAATAAGGCGAGGAAAGATAAAACTGGATTTTCTACCACTGGGTTTGTTGGAAAGCCTCGTGCAAAAGCTCATGTAAAAACAACAGGAAGACAGAATTCAACGGTCGGTCATGAATCTATAATGAATAATAATGTTACAAAACAAGATGTTACAGCCATTGGACTGGCTCCGTTGGCTTCCGTGATGTCCGTGAATACTCCTACTACTGAGTTTTTTAATAATAGCAGTAATGACAATAGTACTCATATAAGTAACCAAAGTCATAGCCACACTGCTCTAAATGATAATAATAACAATAGTAATAATAACAGTAATCATTCTGGTACTCCCATATTCAATTCTCCCAGGTTTATAGGTATGAGAGCATCCAGTGCTAACTTGGAACAATTCAGTTCAGAACTTTTTGAAGATTTGGAAATGTTATTGAAATCTCCGGGGCTGAGCTTGGACGAATCATCGCCTGCTTCACGAATGACAAATGGAAGCCTTAATAGTAGTACAAATAGTCAGAACACTGGCACTAGTACTCGTAATACTCCCAATGGTAATCAGCGTAATAATAATAATAATAATAGCCAAAGTCAGATGTCTATTAATCTTCGAAGAGCGACCAATATGAAGGAAAATCTTTCTTATAATCTCGGGGAAGAAATTATAGGTTTTATAGATAAAGCCAATGTATTATCAGAAGAGCAAAATACCGAAAAATTCCTAATAAAGAGTGAAGGTGGTCAAACAAATGGGAATAATAATCAAAAAGATGATATTTCATTATATTCTATGTCACATCAAGAAGAAAATATGATGTTGAAGCATTTCTTTAAGAAGCTTTTACCCTTACTAGATGCACATCCCAATTCTCCATGGCCTGATTTGGCATTAAAATATTGTGATTTTGATATTGCCAGAAGTTGTTTTATATCTTTAGCATGTATTCATATGTATGAATGTCGGAAAGGAGGAAATGAATATTATCAACGAGGGGTAGCACATATTAATAATACGATGGATCATTTAATACGATTTATAAGTACAGACAATATTCAAAGTACAGTTGCTGATGATAAAAAGAAACAAATCCATTCATTAGTTATTCTTGTATTAATTAATGTTCATATATTATTTGCTGTATTGGAGAAGGGGAAAAGTTCATTATCGAGATTTTTCTTTAAGGTTTTTGCATCAATTTGTCAAGATCCTAATTTTTATAATTTATTAATAACTAATGAGAAACAACGTTCATTAGTGGTAGTTTTATCATGGTATGATACAGTTAGTGCCATTGTATCACCAGATTGTCGTTTACCATACTGTTTACCAAGTTGGTATGGATCATTTAGTGATAATATATCAACTTCTAAAATGATGGGATGTCCAGGAGAAATATTTAAAGCTATGTCAAAAGTTTGTTATCTAAGACATGAAGTATATAATGGGGCAGATAATCATAGTGCATTAATGGTTAGTGAATATCAAACCATTAAACAACAATTAATAAATTATAGAGATTATGTCCTATTCGAAGATGGTGATGAAGATTATGCTATAAGATTAAAATGTGCTCAATGTTGGTCATTAGCTGTATTGGTTACATTAGATCGAGTTGTTAAACCTGTTAATTATGAACAAAACATTTGTAAATTAGTTAATGAATTCATTAGTGTTTATGGATCAATGGAACCAGTATCACCAATGACAACTCAAATGGTATGGCCTGTATATGCCATGGGATGTGAATGTAAAACAGCTGAAGAGAGAGCTAGTTTAATGACATTTATGGAAACTTTATATCGTAACGCTCAAATGGGGACTTTATTCTCGTTAAAGGAAATTGTTCAACAAGTTTGGGCTTTACAAATTTCTCAAGAGGAATTCTTAAAACAATGGTTAGATACTGGGGTAGATTATTTACCATTATAGATTATACATACATAGAGTTATAGTATAATGGTTTAATTAAATTGTATTATTATTACAGAATTTATTTTGTATCATTAACGATACTTTTTACTAAATTAATTATTACGGTGTATAACATTTACTTACATAAAAAGCGTGCAACTAAATAAAATTAAAAAAGAATTACTATACAATAGAAATTTTAGAAATATAATTAAATTAGAAAGCACGATTAAACTTTTTGCATAGCAGCAATATCAGTAGATTGGACATGGTCTTCATCTTCTTCAATTCTAGCTTGCAAGTCATCTAAACTGACTTTGTCATCTTCAACAACCAAGTTGATTTGTAATTTCTTAATACCGAAACCAACTGGGATGAATTGGTGACCACCCCAAGTTAAACCATCAATTTCAATGGCTTTAACATTGGCTAATAATTCATCTAAGTTAGTTTCATCATCCCATGGTTTAACATCTAAAGTAACAGCAGATTTAGCAGCTGGCTTTGGACCTTTATTAGCCTTCTTGGCAGCGTATTCAGCTAATCTTTGTTGCTTTAATTTTTCAGCTTCTTCATCAACTTCATCATCATCGGAACCGAATAAGTCAACTTCATCGTCATCTTCTTCAGCGGCAACTTCCTTGGCAGCAGCTGGAGCAGTACCGGCTGGTAAGTCTTCGAATTCTTCAGTGAAAGAAGCAATGTGGTTGAACCATCTGGTGAATTGTGGATATTCCTTTTGGAAAGCCTTGTAGACAGCAACATCAGCTTGGGTAGCAGAAGTACTATAAAATGAATAATGTTAGTATTATTGTCTTTAACTTAAATTAGCAAATCAATCGCCAATTGCAACAATTCGATGAATCAACATAAACAAATTGGAATTGGAATTGGAACTGAATAGAATTGTACAATATCATCACACAAGAGAACACATTATTTCATTTCATTAAAACAGGTCAGGTCGATTTATTTAAATCTTCTTTGTCACTCATACGGTGGGTCTTGAATCCACCTCATAAACACGGACCAAAGATTATGATCATCATATTGAATTTAATATAGTAATAATGTGTTCTCTGATTCATTTTTCGATTAAGGATCAATTGGATAATTAGTTCCATTCGCTTCGATTGAACTCCATTGAATGCGACTCGATCAATTCAATTCTATTCTATTCTACTCAATTCTAATTCAATTCATTTGATAATTCATTTGATAACTTATTGATACAATTGGCTATGATAATGCTTTAGTTACAGTTTGTTGTGTGTTTCAGACATTTCAACGTGAGTGATGATTGGTCCAAATCGACCATACCATCCATCACGTCATCGTGTCCTCTACACCAAAGTGCACATACCCATCAACGTAAGACTTGTCAGCCAAGAATTCGTTCAAGGATTTGACAGTTTCAACCTTTGAGAAGTCGGAGAAAGACATGTTTATATGTGAATGTATAGATTTATAAGAATCTAATAAAGGGAAGGAAGAAGAAAAATGGAAATGGGATTCGTTGAAAAATTATTCTTTGATGGATGGAAAAGAAAAATTTTCGATGGTGGGTGCCATACAAAATTGGAAATTTGTTAGGGCTCACATTGCGACAGCGAGAACGTGAGGGAGGGAGGGAAAAAAGTGCTGATATTTACTTATGAGATAAGTGTTGATGATTGGTATAGCGGGTAAATTTGAGACTGTTCCGGGTAAGTATGATTGGGTAAGTATGATTCAACTAGCTGCAAATTATGGTTACAAATATGTATAACTTGTATATATGCATAAAATAATATAGTGTAATATAACATATAACATATAACAAGTACTTACAAATACTACCAATATAAATAGACATATATTACAGTTCCTACTAATTTTGCTCAAACTTCCAATAAGGAGATTCGAAGCTGGCATAACACCTAAATTCATTACTTAAACCATTCTTATGCTCGGGATAAAAGGTGGTCAATTTAGTCTCAGGATAATTCTTTTTAACCACATCTCTCATTCTTTCTCCTGTTGATGATATAAGACGAAACTGAGGATTTTCTTTACAATCTTTAATTAAAAGATTTCTTGCAGCTTGAGCAGATTTGGTTTGACATTCTTCTTCTAGGAATGGTGGATCAATTAATAATCTATGACATTTATTCTTAAGATGGATAGGAATATTATTAGGCTCATTATAATCATAAAAACTGAAATTATCCCCGCCTAAAACGGCAAATCTTTTATCATATTCAAGAACATAAATATGTTTGGTAGGTATTTCTTCTGGTGGGAAACGTTTGATGGCAGCATAAACTGATGGTGCACTAGCAATAACTACTACAGTATTGGCATCGGCTCCTTCAAGAAGTGCTTTCCCTAAGATTTCTGCGGTTTCATCAGAATACCAAAATTGTGAAAGTTGCCAATCTTCTTGAAAGTCGTCAATACTTATAGCTATAGCTTGTTGGTGAGCCTTCTGCCCTTGCTGTTCATCGAACCTATCTTCGGATGCCTTCTTTAAGGATTCAAATCTATCTATTCTTTGTTTTTCTTCCTGTTTAAACTCACTCAACGCAGCCAACGCATGCGCTGATAATGTTATAGGTTCGTCATCTGACTCCATTACCAACAGCTATAGTGTAAACACTAATAATGATAAATAATCAGTGATAGGGCATCTCATAAATTTTTAAAATTTCAATTTTCAGTTGATGATCCATCTTGCGACACCTGGAGAAATGTCGCGCTGAGCACCCATAAACAAGACAGACATTTATTGTACTATGTATTTGTTTATCTTTAATTATACATACTTATCTGAACCAGTAAGTAAGTCCGAGTTAATTGTCAATTGTCGGAATTGCCTAAATAATGCTGTTCAATTGTCCTCCTTCGGACTTAGTCTCGTATGTACTAGAAACTTTATCTTTTTCAGGAACCAATGGATGCTCATTACTGGACATGTGGACTAGTATAGCTAGTCGACTTAATCTGGATATTATAGATGAATTTCAAAAACAAATCATTTGGCAATGGTTATTCTTTAGTGAGAATGATAATTCCAATAATGTCAAATTGTATGTGACTAAAAATAAAGTATCATTAATTATATTACCTAATTATTCTCAATTTATAATAAAGGAAGGTGATGAAAAATCCATTAATGTAATGCCTACAGATGATACACAATGGAGATATCTCACAGGTCTTGAATATACAAGAAAGGCTCGAGTTCAATTAGGTGATAAACCCTTTGAATTATTATGTGAAATAGCCAAAAGTGGACCTTCAGGTATATTATCAGCAGATCTATGTAGAGCTACTGGTCAAGATCCTAAATCTTTAACATTAAGATTCAAGAAATTGCAAGATGCTGGTTTAATAGTAAGGAATTTTGTTTATGACACTAAATCTCGTCAACATACAAGTTTACTCATACATTCTAGTTTTGCTAAAGTTACTAAATCTTCAGTAGATACTACTGAAGAAGAATCATTTCGAAATGTAGTTAAAGCCAGACAATATATTGTACAATCAGTTAAGACTGCTCCCAACAATATTCGAAGCTTTAGAGATCTAAAGCGAGAATTAAACCTTCATAAGAATCGATCATCATCCAAATTCTTTGGTTCAATCATTGAATCATTACATCGAAATAAGTATGTAGAAAGAATAATGGTTAAATCCCCTGATGACGAAAGATTAATCTACTCAATTAAATATTTACGTGATTTACCCAAAGATCCTTATGATTTAGATGTGTTTGTAGATGTGTTTAATCAAGACACATCATCTGATGATGTAGAACAAACGTTTGATTTACTGGCTGATATTCAAAGTTTTGGGAAACCACTATATAATAGTTTCTTCCCTATCACCAATCAAATCCATCAGTTAGCTGCTAATGAAAAATCAGCTGGTTTGATTTCTTCAGAATTACTAAGAAACTTAACAGGTGTATCAACTTATCGTCCATTTTCAAGATTATTAGAAAATATAACTAGTTTCAATACTGATGGAACAAATCTTAAACCATTAAAGAAATATCCTGATGAATACGTTGAGCATTCAGTGGTAAGAATGTATGATAATGATGGGAAATTCAAATACTATAAGTATTATACCAAACCGCACGTAAATCATACTATGAAAGCTCATAGTGGTAAACCACCCAAACAACCAACACCTCTGAATAAATCATTACAACAATTAAATGAAAAGGAATTCACACCTTTGGAGAAGATTGCTCGTGGTGACTTTGCAACCACAATGAAGAGAAAGAGTGAGGAAGTAGATGCTACACCCAAGAAGAAGAAGAAAGCTTCTACTCCTAAATCATTAAAGAATTTACAAATAGATATGAATGTTGATGATGTCCCAATAGGTAGGAAGCGTGGAAGGCCCAAGAAAGTTATAGATTATACGGATCTGGATGATATTGGAGCTGATGAAGTATCAGGAGAACCTGACTATAATCCAATAGTACTTCCAAGCGATAATGATGATGAAGAAGATGATCTTGAAGAAGGTAACGTAGATGATGAAGACGAAGATGTAGTGCCAAAGAAGGGAAAGAGAGGTTCTAAGGCAAAGTCAAAGACCAAACTGGTGGCTGATACAGAAGGTGAAACTTCAATTGAACAAATTACTACTCCATCCATAGAAGAAGTAGTCGTTGAGTCTGTAACTCCAGAGCTTAAACCTATCACAGTCAATATTGAAAAGATATCCCATAAAAGGAGTAACCGACCCGAGAAGCTAGTTGTTTCTTCATTAAAATCAGCCAGAAGAAGATCAGCATTAATTGATATAATTAGACAATTAGGAGGTGTTACTTATACTACAGCTAAACTTCGTCGACTGTTAGATGATGTTCTAGGTAGTAAAACAACCACTGATCTTAAAACTTTAGCTCGGGATATATCTAGTCTTATTGCCACTGGAGAATTAATTGCTGAAGAGATTGAATTCTCAAGAGGTGGACAAGATGTTACACGAAAGATATTGATCTTGACTGATGAAAGATATAAGCCTACTAAAGAATTAATTGATAAGGCTAAGAGTGATTGTATAACTGATAATGGAGGTACACCTAAACCACTTCGTCATCGTGTGGTTGAATCAGAAGTTACCTTTTATAATATGGAAAGACCAAGTCCAATAGTTCCACAATCTAGATTACTGTCATTATCAGAAAAGACTACTACCACCAGAAGAACTAGAAAGAAGAGAGTCAAGAAAGAAGCCATAATTGAAGAAGAACCAAGTGAAACAAATGCAACTCCCGAAACTCTTGAAACTCCAGGTGCTGAATCAATGTCAAACTTGGTAACCAAGAAATATAGAGGTAAATCAAGACCTAAGAAGAAAACATCATCTGGTAGTGGTCTGGGTAAAGAAGCTAGCGTTAGAGCTAGAAGAAGACTTAAATTTACTCTGAAATTTGATAAGTCTGATGCCACAACTCTTTTCCGATCGATTGTTATTTCAAAGACTCTTAAACGAGGTCCTATAGATTTTGAAGAAATTGCTGATTTATTTGATGGGATAGATGCAAAGACTATTAAACAAAAATGGACAGTAGTTCGGAAACTGGTAGGAGGTTTAGCTGCAGTATCTAAAGGAATGGAAGATTTTGAAAGAATCATTATAAAAGGTATAGATGATGAATTAGTATCGGCCGAAGATTTACAGAATTTGAAATTCACATTCTTTTTAGATTTATGGAAAGATGCTGATGGTACTACCATTGATGTTATAGATAAGACTCCATTATATTTCTCAGTAGATGATAATCTTGATACTTATAATAGAGTTGAAACTGGAGATAATCAATTAGATTTGTATGAATTATTGGAAGATAATTCTATGAGACAAAAGGAATTATTACTTGCTGGATTAACCTTCTTTGATATTCCAGCTCAAGAACTTAAACCTAAAGAGAATGATCATCTTAGAACTGTTCTTAAGGCTATCTTTTCTACTTCAGAAGAAAGTTTCTCTATGACTCGAGTTAGTCAACTCTTATCTGAATATGGAGATGATGTAACCCTTCAAACTTCAACAGCTTTAATGAGAGATCGTGAAATGGTATATGCCAAAGTTGATGATTCAACCACTCGATTTGTATTGACTGATAAGGTTAGTAATGCCTTAGCAGTTAAGCTTGGACCTAAATTTCTTAAACAAGCGGCTAGTTTTAAGAATGATGCTGAAGAGATATTTGAAGCTTCTAAGGGATTAATCTTATCTCAAGGTATTCTGAATGGACAAATGGCTTCTTTACTTTCTTTATTATCTTCCCGAGCAGCATCAATGACTCATATCGATAAGACTTATGTATTTGAAGGTTATGAATCAAGATTAATTGATAAAGAAAAGTTGGCGTGTGACATTGTTATCTATAAAGGTATTAAGTATACTTCACATCAAGAGCTTAAAAAAGTATCAGTACCAACTGGAAAGGCATGCTCTCATATATGGATAGATTTAGATGGTAACATCAATAATCAATTATGGATTAAAATCATTGTTTCTATACTTTACTATATCCACTTCCGTCCTGGTATACCAAGGTATACTATACAAGCTAAGCTACAAGCAGTTCTTGGACATGGAGATTTTCAGGCAGTTATGGATTGGTTATTGGCTAGTCAATGTATACATGAAGGACTATTTGGATCTTACTGGGTTGATGATTCATGGTATACTATTTTGGGTGTATAAGTTATGTATTATGTATTATGTATTATGTATTATGTATGTGTGTATGGATGTTTTGATCTGTACTGCACACAAGACCCGTCTCCCCATCGGAAAGTACAATATTTTAATAATTTTATTTTTATTTTTATTTTTCAAACTAACACTACAACTAACTAATCAGCCCTTTATAAACTAGTAATAGTAGACTGTATATAGAACCAAGTTGAGATGGGATTAGCAGGTACTAAGATCAAGCAACGGTTTGGGAATGATCCTCGAAATACCAAATGGTCCAATGATACCTCCCGATTTGGCCATCTGTATCTTGAAAAGTTAGGATGGAAGCCTGGTAAGGGTTTAGGATTAGTTGAACATGCAACTACTACTCATATTAAAGTATCATTAAAAGATGATAATGTAGGGCTTGGAGCTAAATTAGCCAAGAAACAGAAAAAAGATGATCTTGAAGAAGGAGATAGTGTGGGGCTCGATGTTTTCCAAAGAATATTAGGGAGATTAAATGGGAAGGAAGATAAGATTAATACTGAATTAGAAAGACAAAGAAAGGAAAAGATAATAGGTAAATTAGGTATACATTTTATAAAGGGTGAAGTTTTACAAAGTACATGGGATGTAGAGGCCAAGACAACCGTTTCACAATCTAGTGAAAAGGAAAAGACCAGTAAGAAATCTAAGAAGAGAAAGCTAGAAGATGACAATAGTGAGGAAGAAACAAAGAGTTCTAAGAAATCTAAGAAGGACAAGAAGGAGAAGAAAGTAAAGAAAGAAAAGAAAGAGAAAAAGGACAAGAAAGAAAGTAAAGAAAAGAAAGACAAAAAGAATAAGAAAGAGAAGAAAGAAAAGAAAGACAAGAAAGATAAGAAAGATAAGAAAGACAAGACAGACAAGATAGAATTGTCTGAATCTACCAGCATTAGTAGAGATTCAAGCATAGAGCCAGTTTCTGGCGGCCATAAGCCAATATCCACTAGACTATCGGTCAGAGCAAAGTGGATCAGACAGAAGAGAGCATCGGTCATGGATGAAAAGGCACTTAACGAAATTTTTATGGTCACTAATTAATAGAGTTGCATTAGAAAGATTCAGTAATAAATATAATTTTTGAATGTATTCATTTTATTTGCTCTAATTAGCGATCTATATATAAAAGACTTGGGATATCATATTATTTATTCAAAGATAACAATGGAAATACCACACATAAATGCTGTGACAATAGTAGTAATGGCCAAGAGCTCAGTCTTAGAAATAGTCTTGACAGTATAGGAACCTGAAGATTTCTTGGTTGAACTTGAACTATTGGTACTACTTGAGCTTGAGCTTGAGTTAGAATCGGAGCTAGTCCCATTATTACTGTTCAGATTACTGTTACCAGTTGGAGTATAATTTGAAGAACAACTACTTGAACTTGCGCTACTGTTGATAGAAGCAGAACCTGAAAAGTTACAAGCAGAAGAATTTTCATTTTCCTTTTCATAATAAGCATTTAAGACGTAAGACAACTTATCCTTATCGGAACAGTAAGAGTACTTTCCGTAGTATCCAGAAGTACCATTGGCAGAAATATCAGAACAGTCCACATAAGCACAAACAGTTCCATACAAATCACCATACTTTGAGGAATCAACATCATCGGCGACAACACACTTAAGAGATTGAGCCACACAGTTACAATAATCTTCATCTGGAGTGGGAGGCAAGTTTTCAGAAGCCATCCAAGTTGGTGCCTCAACAGGACAAACCAAAGTTTGAGTTGCTTCTGCAGATGCACTAGCGGATTGAGCATATGTTGGACTAATATTATTAATTTCGGAAGAATAATATTGATAATCTGCCATTGTGGAGACAGAAGTTCCATCTACTGATACTAAACCATAATTATTTGCTTCTTGGAAATACATATAAACAATACCACCAGACCAAACATCTGTCATTTCTGAACTAAATATAGTACCAATCTCAGTAAATCTTCGAGGCAAGTCAGCGTTACAACCATATTCTGAAAAGAAAATGGGGATAGTTAAATTTTTGTATTCTTCTGTTCTTTCTTCATAACCAGAAGCTTGGAAAGAAGAATTACCACACCATTCATACATATTGATACCAAAAAAGTCAGCCTTTTCTGATAAATCCCCACAAGAAAAATAGTCAGCAATGGCAACTCTAGTTTCTTCATCATCGTTAGAAGAATAACCCACTGGAATCTTTCTATAATTTTGATCACTGATATACTTCTTCATGTCCCTGACTGCTGCTTTGACAAAAGCGGAAGCATCAGTATTTGAAACATTGTTGGTTACTTCATTTCCTGCAAAAAAGCCTAAAACATTCGTATAGTTTGAAAACATATCAACGACGGATGTATATCTCTGATATAAATCTAAATTCCATTCTGGAGAATCTCTGTTAATAGAAATATCAGGTTCAGATAAATCAGCAATAATGTAAATACCGGCATCAGCAAATATTTTCATACAGGCATCATGGTTAAGACTTGAATTTACAGCATATACTCTTAATACATTGGTGTTCAAGGCTTGGAAATATTTAACATCTCTTTGACATGATGCTTGATCAGCCAAAGGGTCTTGAAAACTTGATGTTGAGTCATTGGCAGTATTTTGCTGGTAGGCAATTCCTCTAATTAAGAATTGTGAACCATTATTGGAGAAATAAAATTTATTTCCAACTACTTCAACCTCTGGAGTAGAAGTAGAGGTACTGGCTTGACTACTTGCTGCTATGGAAAGCTGAAACAAGCATGAAAAGATTGAGAATAAAACAACGAGAGGACTGTTCTTGACAATGTTCAACATTTTGGAAGAATGTGATTAATTAACGATAGAAATCCAAGAACTGAGTTAAAGTTGAAGAGAGATTTTCAAAAAAAGGAGATCTAATCTAGAGCAGAAATATGTCATTAATATACGGAATATTATTTATATATATATAAACAGCTAATAATATATTTTCAGTTCAAAATTTCACCGTCAAAACACGGTAGATTAAATTAAAATAGTAATTGGAATATGTTGGTAAACAGACACACACATACAAAGGAGATTCAACGCAACATAACGTAACCTTTGAAACGTAAACAATGATATAGCGAGAAGAAAAATTTTGTAAGTGGGCTATGGGCCATCAGTTTACTTGGTAAAGAGCGTGTATCATTGTGTACTAAAATTGTATATCTTTCTCATATTAGTCCTAAGTTACCCCGAAGTTATATATCAGAATTCTAATGTTGCTATTTGAATTGTTTTTTGGGGCAATTTATGCACTTTGCTCCAAACCGCCGCAACAATTCTCGATATTTTTATTTTTTCTCTTACTTTCGCTTTTAGCTGGGCTCATGTTGCATATTGCGTCTCCGATTTAAGTAAGGGGACTCTTAAGGATCCCGGAAGTGCTATCTTCGTTGAAAGCTTCGAAAGAACATTGAATACATGTTATGGTTCAGGGATTCATGAATTTTGTAATGAATCAAGATGGATAATGCTATACAATGCTGGGATTATTGGAATAAGTTCCTATTATAAAAAAAACACATAATGCTATAAAACATGAAACAACCTTTGTCGTGTGTATACAAAGAATCTCACCTTCTTAAAAGGGCAAAATTCACATATATATACAGTATGTCGCCATTCATTAGCTCTTCTATAAATAGCTTTCGCATATGGAAGCGCCTTTGTACTTTGTCTAGGCTTTTTGAAATGATGTTTGGATGTTATACTATACAGATCAATTTTTGACAATTTTGGCTGTAAAACTGATCAATTAAATTTTGCGACCATGATAAACTGCGACAGTGTATAAATTATTTACTTCTATTTGATTCTATACATTCATTTAGAGAACTAAATCCAAAGCATAAGTTAATATATACTATTAATTTCTTTTAAATTAACCAACTACTTATTAATTAAGGATGATGGCCAAGACTTTAATATTGGCAGCTTTCATCAATTTAGCCGCTTATATTCAAAAGGCTAATGCTCTTAACATTAGAAATGATCCTAACAGGGAATATGGTTCATATGTCAATCCAAATCCTAGACCTTATGAAAAGTGTCCTACTGATGATCTTATAAAATTATCAGGATGTTGTAACGATGTATTAACTAAATTAGATGATTGCAAGGCTGATGATTTAGCCTGTGAATGTTGTGCATTACAAAGTATTAAACAAGAATGTTATCATCTTTGTCCAGGGAATCCCTCTGCAAATTTTTTAAGTGTACTTTTAGATGATTGTGGTGCTTTGAATGATGTTAATGCTTGTTCAATTCCATTTAAGAAAGATGACGAAATTGGGACTCAAAAGAATGGGGCAAAATCTATAGTTAGAGCCAAGGCTAGCAGATTCAATTCAGACTCTGATTCCAACCACAATGAATTACATAATTCCGTTACAGTCAAATCTAAAATTGTTGACAAATTGAACTACAATGTTGATAACTCTGGAAGTCATGAATCGAATTCAAAGATTAAAATCCTTCTAGATAATCATGAGAATGAAGAAGAGAATAACAGTCATGATACAAATATTGAAGCAGCCATTAAACAAGATGTTAGTGTGGTTGAGTCAAGTGTGCTCGAGTCAAGTGTGATTGATACAAATTCATCAAAAGTTAATTTAACTACTTCGTTGAATTATACAACCAATAATACTGCTAATGCAACGAGTAAGTTTTACTAGTGATAATTGGTTCAATATTTTATCTCAGAGTTTACTAACTGATCTAATTTAGGTTGCGAAACGAATGAAAATACGTCTGATGCCTCAGATTCCAATCATTATCTCACCAAAACTTTGATTAATACTGTTTTCTTAACAGTGATAATTTCGATTGCAATTGCTATTTCTTAGAAAAATTCATGTATTCTATATATATTTTATTGTCTATGCAAAGTTATACTTAATTAGTTTCGTTCATCCAGTCCAAAGTATATTTTATACCGGTTTCAAGATCAACATTTGGTGTATAGCCAAGAATAGATTTAGCCTTAGATATGTTGTGATAACGATGAGCGCATACAACTTTTACTCTAAATGGAGTAATTCCAGGTTCTTTTCCAGCAAGATTTGAAAATGCTTCTGACAAGTAACCCAAGACTATACCTAATGGTCTGCTTAACTTAATATAATATTTATCAATATAACCGTCAGCTTTCCAGACGGTTCTAGCTAAAGTCCAGAAATAAGTTGGAGCATCATTTGTTATGAAGAAAGTTTCACCACCAATTTTATCAGCATAATTTGGATCTAAAATCTTTTGAGCAGCCAATACATGAGAATCAGCCACATTACCAACATAAGTCCAATCGAATAAATTGTTATTATCTCCTAATTGATACTTAGATTGACCTAACTTAGCACTTGCTCTTAAACCAGGCACCAATTGACGATCACCTGGGCCAAAAATACCAGCTGGTCTTAAACATACAGTAAGTAATTCTGGAGAATTTGCTTCCATAACAGCAGTCTCAGCAATAGCTTTGGTTTCATTATAACCATCCATATGGACTTCAGGATATGGCCAAGATTCATCAGCATTCTTAATGTTTTGACCATTAAAAATAACACCAGCAGATGAAGTATATACCAATGCCTTAACAATAGATGAATGTTGTTTAGCAATTTTAATTAAATTTTGAGTACCCTTAATGTTAACTTTTTCATATATTTCTTGAGGTAATCCATGCATTGGAGATGCAGAATGAACAATAACTTGACATTGAGATTCTATAATGGCATCACTAACATCTTTTTCAGATGTTAAATCACCTTGATGGAATTTTATACTGGAAGGATCAAATGTAAAATATGTTGATAACTTCTCTGGTAATGGTCTAACATCAAATACATGAATGGAAGTACCTGGACTTAACTTTGAAAATTGTTCAATTAAATGAAGTCCGAGAAACCCGGCTCCTCCTATCAAAAGCACTGATTTCAATTCGGTAGTCATAACTGTATCACTATATTCTGTACGTATATCTATCTTCTATTACTTTCCTGTAGCTTTAGTCACTCTATAATTTTTCAGTATTAGGTGGAGAAATCTTTTTTTGTCAGTCGTTTACGGGTACGAGCGAACACATCATATTACAATATATTCTAATATATTAAACGCGTAGATTCTTAACTATATATACTATACTATCAGTTAAACTCAAATAACGATTTGTACTTGTCGACTTTAGCTTGATCTAAATGCACATTGATCACCTCTACTTGAGGGAACTTGTAGTAACTACTGAACGGATCTGGTTTACCATTCTCTTTTTGAAATGTAGTGGTTGTATTAGTAGTAGGAGCAGTTGCAGCCGCAGGAGTCGCAGTAACAGACTGATTAGCACCAAAGACTGGCTTAGCTGGAAGTGCATTTGATGTAAAACCAAAACTGAAGCTGGGCTTTTGATCGCTGTTGGTAGTGGTGTTCATGGTGCCTGTATTTTTGAAGGAAAATGGCTCTACCTTCTTTTCTATGCTTATATCTTTATTGGTTTCGGTGGATTTTGTAGGATTGAATGAGAATTTTATACCATTATTAACTTCAGAGGTTCCATTAACTAATGGCTCATTCTTTTTAGGATTTTCACTCTCTAATTTCTTATCTTCTGGTACCAATGGCTGTGATTTATCAAATAATATTGTCTTAGCAATATCTTTGGCTGTGATAGCACTACCATTGCTTGTTGATGATGTTGAAGTAGGTTTGGATGGTTTCTCAATTTTGAGTTTGGATTCAGTATCATTTTTTGAAAGATTTGCCTTAGTTGCATTAGATTCCTCTTTTGTTGTATATTGGAGTTTACCATCTAATATAGATAATAAGGTGTTGGCAGCTTCACTCTTTGGCTTAATAGGTTTTCTGGTTTTTTCAAAGAATGTGCTGTTGGCTGTAGAAGTATCTTCCTTTCTTACATGTCCAGTTTTCTTTTGTCTTTTTGTATGATGAATTGAGGAAGCTGATGGAACTCTTATTCTTGTCCTATAAGGAGAAGGTATTCCTGAGAATTGATATACTCTTTTAATGGATGGCAAAGTTCTATTTGCATTGATGCTACTAAAACTATTATTGTAACTATTATTTACAATAGTATGATAAACTGGAGTATATTCTGCTGTATCTATAATGCTGGTATCATCTCCACTATGGGGACGCTTTAAGTACTTCTGTCTTGGGGAGTCATTGAATAAGAACAGATTATTTTGGGTATTGTTTGATGGATGTAATAATAGACTTCTGTCGTTTAGAATAGTATTATCCACTTCATTGTTGTTGGTTATATTATTATTATTATGTATATGACTGGTATCAGAATTTGGTTCAGACTCTTTACTCTTGGCAATCAATGATAACACACCTTCATATTCTATTTTTGAAAGTGGTTTATCACCTCTTTCCTTAAAGAAATCTGCCAATACCTTATTTGGTGATGATTGTAAATGATTAGAACTCTTGTCATTGTTAATAACAGTCTCATTAGCAAAAGAATAATCAAAAGATCCTGGAAACTTGAACTGATTAGATTGAACTGATGTGTCTACTTTATTACTAGTAGAATTATTAGAATTATTAGAATTATTAGAATTATTAGAATTGCTGGTGTTGCTGGATTGAGAAGATACCCTATCATATAAACCTCTGACCTTAGAAAGGAACCCATGAGTTCCAGGTTTGGAGGACGTGGACAGTGCTGATGAGGGTGTAGACTCTTTAATCCTATTCCTATATGAACTGAATACTCTTCTATTATCCATATTAGTTATTGTTCATACCTTTGAGTGATGATTCTATGATGGTTACCAATTTTCATTTCATCGATTTTTTTAGCTAGCAGAAAAAACATCCGTACCGCCATACATATTATTAATTTATCATCTTTATCTACACTGTTAATGATAATATATTATCTATAGAGGGATGGATAATAATATAAAACAGTACAAAGCATTTATAATGATACTGAAACTATGTATACTAATATCTATTGAGAAAAGGAATGTAAGCTGATTATTTCTCAGGATACATAGAGCGTTGATGTTTCTTATATATTTATATACTACTACGAACTGAATGAATTGTGCAGCAGCTCAATACGTCAATATGCTTCCTTAATCGGGGGCTATTGAATAATTAGTGATATTTTTTTTCAGTATATTGGTAAAGCAATAACTTTCAGCCTTTGATTATACGTAATGATTAATGTATGTCTATTAAATCATAAGTACACTGTAATAAATAGATTAGGCTACACTAAGCAAAGGAAGTCTGCTGCAATAAGAGATTAAATTCTGTTATATCGACAAACCCATCCTTGTCTATATCAGCCTCTTTTATCATTAAGTTTATTTCATCATCTGTTAAATTTTCTCCAATTGAATGTAAAACATGTTTCAATTCTTCAGCATTTATTTTGCCATCACCATTCTTATCAAAAACTCGGAACACCTCATGTATTTCCAATTCATCATCAGTATCTTTCAATTTCTTTGCCATCATTAATACAAATTCGAAGAAATCAATTGTGCCATCGTTGTTTATATCGACTTGATTAATCAATTCTTCCAATTCGGAATCAGTAGGATTCTGGTTTAAAGATTTCATAACTGTTCCTAATTCTCTACGATCTATCTTACCATCTTTATTCTTGTCAAATAATGAAAAGGCTTCTCTATACTGAGCTATCTGATTACTAGTTAAAATTTCTTTTGATAGTTGTTCATCAACGGTGCCTGACTACATATGCTTTCTGTTAGTATGTTTGTCCAATCCACTCTTTGAATCCACATTTAATGTCTTAAACACATACCATAGTGTAATTGAATACTAGTCTTCTAATGAGTTCAACAAGTACTCTAAAAACAAGAAGATATACTTCCTTGGCTTATGACACAAATTATACAGAATTATATTTTTCTTATGCAGAGGAAGCTTTTATTTCTTGGAATTCCAAACGGCTGAGTTGAGGAACAAAGTTGCACAGCCGTTTTCTGCCATCATTCTCATGACCTGTTTCAAGACTTAATGCTTTACGAATAAAGTATGATGTATATTATAATGACGTGTCAGGTGACTCAGTAGGTAATTCTGAAAAGTTAATGATTCTATTAATACGATATGAATAATCTATATACATAAACACACCCATAATGTTCTTTGAATGTGAGTTAAGAATGAAATAAACATGACTACAAATGCAATTATTAAGGGCAGACACCGGTGTCTGATAAACTTATCTATACATACTAGGAGTATTACTTGACGATGATGATAATAACTGAATGAATTCCTGTAAATCAATCTCTCCGTCTCCATTGGTATCAGCCTCAGTAATCATTTGATTTATATCATCATCGCTCAATTGTTCACCAATAGTCGTTAAAACCTGTTTTAATTCTAATGCACTGATCTTACCATCGCCATTCTTATCAAATACTTTAAATGCTTCCATAAGTTCATTCTCACTATCAGTATCTCTCGCCTTTCTAATCATCATAGTTAAGAATTCAGGAAATGTAATAGATCCTGAATTATCAATACAAATTTCATTAATCATATCACTCAATTCCATTTCACTAGGATTTTGACCCAAAGATCTCATCACAGTTCCCAACTCTTGAGCCGTTATTTTACCATCTCCATCTCTATCAAATAATGCAAAAGATCGTTTGAATTCTTCAATTTGACGATCGGTACTCTCTTTATCCTATCCCCTGAGTTAGTATTACAAATTCATATAAAAAAAATATTATATTTCTTAATATCTCTAAATTTTACATACGTTATATGACATGTGAACTTCAGTAAATATTTAAACAACAATGCGGAGTATAATCAAACTAGGTCGTAACAAGAAAATTCCGATTGTTCTTTGTAGCCGATCTAAACCTTAAAATAAGAACCATCATCACCGAAAAAAACATTCAGTAAAACACGACTCCAAAGAGATTAACCAATCCTTTAACCAGGCCCAATATTTTCAATACCAAGTAACTAATTAATAAATACTAAATACTATATAGTTTGTAATATTAAAGTTATTTATGCCTTACACTACATAATGCTAAACTATTGAATCAATGAGTGATAGTCATCAATTGCAACTACATGATAATACCGAAGATGATAATATAGATGCGCGTCCCTATCTGTCATTTCTACAATCTTTGGATGATAGTCAATTAGTACTATATATCAATAGTTTAAGTCAAGGTAGCCGTAATGATCAGGGTGTCTCTCACGTGAATTTTACTTCAACACCTTCAAAAGAAGCCAAAGGCAGCATATTAACTCAAGACGTGTCAGTGATTAGTTCAGACCCATTTAATGATGGATTAGATGATGTCCTATTAAATTTGAATTATACTGAAAATAGAAGCAAAGAGACTAGAAGTCAGATTCCTCAATTAAGTAATGCTGAACATGAAGATGATAAGCAAGAGAATGATGACGAAGATGGTGATGAAGAAGAAGATGATGAAGAAGAAGAAGGAGATACTACAGTTGGTCTCTTACATGATTTTGGTGATTATGGGACTTATTTCCATAACAAACATTTAAAGCAACAAAAATTAGACCAAGAATATATAAATTGGGATGCTGAACGTAGGAAGGATTCATCTGATCCATCCCTAGCTCCATCAGATATTTTCAAAGACTGTAGAATATTTGTAAATGGACATACGAGTCCTTCGATTAACGAAATCCATAGAATGGTTATTTTAAATGGTGGAAAATTCATTAGCTACTTAACAAATAAATCTGCCGCTACTCATATCATCTGTTCAAGATTAACCCCTCGAAAGAAAATAGAGTTTAAATATTGCAAAGTCGTTAAGCCAGAATGGATAGTTGATTGTGTTAAAGAGAGGAAATTGTTAGATTGGAATGCATATAGAATCATTGATGATGTGGAATATGGTCAGAAACGATTACCTTTTGCAAGCGATGCCAATGATCAAGAGGAATTATCATTTGGAAGGATAGATGAAGATGAAGAGGAGGAAGAGGAAGAGTCCGTCCAACCTGGTCAACGAATTCCAAGTGAAATACAAGAGGAAGAGGAAGAGGAAGAGGAAGAGGAAGAGGAAGAGGAAGAGGAAGAGGAAGAGGAAGAGGATATTGTAGAACCTGGTCAACGAATACCAAGTGAAATTCATTCTCATGACGAAGTGACTCAAGGTGCCGATACGGATGAAGAGTTAAACGAAGAGATTGAAGAATTAGATGAATTCTTCCCTTTAACACAACCAGATGAAGAAAAAGAAGCATCATCACAATTGAATAATATTAGTAATAAAGAGCAAGATGATATTCGAGATACATTTAAGTCTTTGGAAAAAGATGGTAGAATCCTAGATGCCAAGCATCCAGACTTTTTAAAGCATTTCTTTGCTAATTCAAGATTGCATCATTTAAGTGTTTGGAAGGCTGATTTAAGATTGAAATTCTTAAGGAAGATAATCAAAGAACGAAATCAAACTGGCCATAATCTTGTAATAGATAATGCCAAAAAATCCAAATCAATTATTATGCATATTGACTTTGATTGCTTTTTTGCAACTGCATCTTGCTTGAATTACCCAAAGTTGGATATAAACAGAGATGCAATTGCTGTTACCCATGGATCCAGAACATCAGATGTTGCAAGTTGTAATTATGTGGCTAGAAAATTTGGTGTAAGGAATGGTATGTGGGTTAATAGAGCGAAACAATTATGTCCTACTATAATTACCATAGATTATGATTTTGCAAGTTATGAAAAGTATTCCAATGAATTTTACAACTACTTGTTAAGTTATAAAGATCAATTTGATCATATATTCCCTGTTTCTATTGATGAAGCCTTGGTAGATTTGACTTCAATGTGTGAAAAAAATTCGCCAGAGAAGTTAGAAGAATTCCTCGATTCATTCTGTAAAACTATTAGAAGAGATATATTCCAATTAACTAAATGTTCGGTGAGTATTGGAATATCTAATAATGTTCTTTTATCTAAATTGGCTATTAAGAAAGCCAAGCCAGATGGTCATTATTTCTTTTTAGGAAATGCTTCTAACATTCAAGAATCAATCAAGAAATTTTCAGTAAAAGATTTACCAGGAATAGGTGGTAGTGTTATGGAAAAATTATCTGAAATAATTAATACTGGTCGAAGCAAACCAATTTTAATAGAAGATATAATACCATTATCTAAATCAAGATTGATTGCAGAATTTGGTGAAAAAACAGGAACTAAATTGTATCAATATTCTAGAGGTATTGATGATACATCCATCGCTATTGATTTCAATAATCCAGAGGCAGTCTTGGGACGAAAGTCTGTATCTGTTGATGTAAATTATGGTATTAGATTTGAGACATTTGATGAAATTGATGCTTTTTTAATGAGATTAGCTCAAGAGTTATATTCTCGATTGATTGCATTAGGGATATGTGGTTCAAATTTAGTTTTACGATTAGCTAGAAGAGCTCCTAACGCACCTATTGATCCACCTAAATATCTTGGTATGGGAAGTTGTACCTTTGCCAACAAGTCATCGAAATTAGGTGTTCCAACTAATGACTGGGGAGTTATTGGATCTGAAATGAAGGCATTGTTAAGAATGATCAATGTACCAATACATGAAATAAGAGGCATTTCAGTTACTTTAACTAAATTGAAAGATGTGGAAGGAATGAAAAATTCCCATCGCCAGATGAAATTGCCTTTCAATCAGATTAAGTTATCGGACGTAAGCCATGATCCCTTTAAAGAGCTCACGAATAAATCAGAGCCGCTAATAAATAATACTACTTCACCAACTAAGAGAAAAAGAGAAGATTCAGCATCGATTCTAAATTTCAATAGTCCGTCTAGGAAAAAGAAGCAAGCATCTATTCCATTTCTCCAGGATGTAAACTCGATTGATTGGGAAGTCTTTGATGCCCTTCCAACAAGCATCAAACAAGAAATAAAACTTGAATTACAAAGACGAGGGATAATTTCCTATTCACCATCGAAATTATCTAGAAGCCTGAGCCCTATGAAAAGTGGAGTGGGCACTTCAAAAGCATATTTACAGCAATTATTGCCTAGTCAACTAGGAGCTCCCCCAAAATACGTCAGAGTTATTGATAAAGGATTATCGCCAACAAAAAGAAAAGTGAAAACAAAATCTCCTCTGCCAAAGAAAGAGCCAGCATCAAGGCAACAGTTTGAAGAAGACGAAGTCAGCTATGATTCTTCCCTTTTGAAAGAATTACCAAGTTCAATCCGTGAAGATGTCATGAAAGATATTGAATATAAGAAAAAGGTTAAGAAACTTGATATGATTCTGTTACGAGAGAAAGTCAATAAAAAGATTGAATTATCTACAGTTAAGATCAAAGAGATTGATTTGGAATTCATTTCTAAATCAGATAAGTTAAAACCCTCGCTTTCTTTCCTCCCCGATGTAGCAATATCGTCATTTGAAGATTTAAAAATGAAGATCCAAAATTGGATAGAAATGTCGTTGGCTCAGAAGGGTCCTCATATCGATGACATCACTACTCTAAAGGATTTCTTTAATAAATTATTACTTCAAAGAGATCTAAATCGTTGTCTACTACTATTAGAATTTATCGAGAATACTATAGAAGCTAAAGAAGTAATAAATAATATGCAACCAGTTGATAATGATAAGACGTTCATTTCAGAAGGAATTATAGACTGGCACAGAGCATTGAATGAATTTATCAAACCTGCAATCCGGAGTTATTGTAATGAAAATCATCTTCGGACGCGTATATAGCACACATTAATTTTTTTTCAATGTAATATATAGAAGTTTATAACGTTAATCGTAGTTACACATATATATGACTAGTAATAGGGAAAGAAAGGTTTGGTTAGTACAGTCACGTGAATTGTCTATAATTACAGACTTATTACCTTCTAATATTGGAAGACAATCATTGGTAAGTTCTCTAATTGAAGCATATGAATTAGATTCTCTTTGTGAAGGTATTGTCAGAGTTTACGCAGCCACCAAGAGTGAACTTATTTCATACCATGACAAAGAGTTTATTAACTTCTTGCTTAAGGTACGATCTGATGTTGACGCTGGTATAGAGAATCTTGAAGAGATTAAGCAGTGTTTGAATCTTTCCTTTTATCAGGCCAATCGTTCTGAAAGAAATAATGCTGAAGATTCAGATATAGAAGATCAGCATGATGTAGAAATAGATGTAGATATCGAAGAAGAAATGACTAAAACAGATGATTCGCTTGTAGAACTTGAGAAATTTGGTTTATTACACGATTGTTATCCATTCCCATTTATGGGAGATTATGTTAAATTAATAGCTGGAACAACCATTTCTTCGGTTAAGACGCTAATACAAGCTAAGAATTATGATACACATAATATAGTGATCAATTGGTATGGAGGAAGACATCATTGTCATAAAGCTAAAGTAGCGGGATTTTGCTATGTTAATGATATAGTACTAGGCATTCAAATATTAAGGAAATCATTTTCAAGAGTATTTTATCTTGACCTAGATTTACACCATGGAAATGGAGTGGAGAATGCCTATAGGGCTTCTAAGAATGTATTAACTTGTTCAATTCATAGGTATGATATTGGGTTTTATCCTGGAAGTGGATCACTAAAGGATTCTAGCATATCACTGGTTAATATACCGACTAAAAGAGGATTAAGTGATACAAGTATGATGTACATTATAAAGGATATAGTATTACCATTAATTGAGAGGTTTGATCCCCAAGCCCTTGTAATTCAAACAGGATGCGATGGTTTATCAACTGATGAACATAATGAATGGAACCTAAGTATTAAATGCATGGGCTCTGTCATAAACCACTTGTTAAAGGAAACTAAAAATGTGCCTACATTAATTCTTGGTGGGGGAGGTTATAATCATACCGAAACTGCAAAATGTTGGACATTTATTACGAATCAGATTTTGCAAAACGAAGAGATTTCTAATAAACCAATTCCCGAACATGAACATCTTGATGCTTATGAAAAAGACGGATTCCAATTCTGGACTAACGATAACACGATACCTAAGAGAATGAAAGATGAAAACACTACAGAGTACTTACAGCAAATGAGGGATTATATTTTGAACTAAAACTTTATATACATATTCTATTTAGTTAATTTAGTCAATTTTATAATCAAAAATATTACCTAATACCTTTGTCCAATTTTCATCCCATCTTAATTTGCTTTCTTCAAGGGCTCCTTTCCGTAAAGTTTGCAATAACTTTTTATCTGTAAAGGCTTCCCTAAGTAATCTGTAAAGCTCCAAGGCCTGATCACGCCTTTCACTAGATACCTTGTCACTAGTTACTAACCCATTATATCCATCCTGAACTAGTTCACCTATTGCTTCGAAATTTAAGGCAATCACTGGTACACCAGATCCAAAGAAATCAAGAATTTTCATTGGTAAGTCAATTCCACTTGATGAAGTATGTAACGATACACTTAGGTCTGCAACTGATATTACTCTTGGATAATCAGAAATCGATAACCATGCTGATTTAACTATTATTCGTTCTGGATTAAATGCAAGTCTTTTGACTGTACCAAAGAACTCATCTCTCAATGGTCCCTTCCCTGTTACAACCAAAATGATTGGAGGTGAATCATTATCCATCTCATACCTTTTCAATGCATCTAAAAGGACATCGAAATCTTCATCCGGAGTGAATGAGGTAGAACTTATTAAAATTTTGTATTTTGAAATATTTTCCAAACCAGCAAATAGATCAATAGATTGTAATATATCATTCTTTTCTTCCTCAGATTCTAATGGACTGAAAATATCACTTGGTCTGTCGTATAAAGTTATTATTTTCTTAGGATCGAAATTGAACTCCTGCACTAAAAATGACTTCATCTTTTTGGTGACAGTTAAATTAATATCGACAAAGTTCTTACCTAAGAATTGTTCATAAAACTTAACTAGGCGAACAAGAGGATGCCTCTCATTCTTAAACTTTAAATTCAAAATCGAGTAATTCAAATTGTGCCAATCAACTATTAAAGTTGTTGATCTACTAAATACCTTTATGAATATAATTACAAGTATTAATATTGGAATTGATGGAGGATTTTGTAATAATATATAGTCACTTCCTCTAATTCCTAAAAGTAATTTAAATAATTGGAATACTTGAAGAAAAACCTTTTGCCCTATGAACAATATATATGGTAAATTAAAAGAATTCTTGATAGGTTTAATTTCACTAATATCGATATTGATATCATCCACAACATCATATGGCGGTTCTGTTTCAATATAACCACACAAGTTGACATAATATTCATATTTAGAAAATGATTTGGCATGGTAACAAATGCGTGGTGAATGACCCAAATCACCAAGAACAATTATAGTAATAGACTTCCTCTTCCCAGAGTAAAAACCCTTAGAGGAGAATACAGGTAATATAACATAAGCTAAAACTGGCAAACATAAGTAAATACCAATAAGCCAATAGACCCAGCCTACGTTGAATTGAAATAGCTCTTCATCAAATACCTCAAACTTTAAAGATTCGAACATCTGAATAACTCAATTGCTGGAATTAATTGGCGCCTAATTCGTAGTACTTTGAAGGAGAAAGACTGACCGTTGATATTTAGTATGGTTTGATTTTCGCACTACCCATTAACTATGGAGACAGAGATAGTTAACTTCTATCATTTTGCAGTCTGTGATCATATAGAATTATTGAATTTAATTCCAAAGCATAATGGTTAGAGAAAGACTATTTACTGTTATAGACTTATCTATAAGGATCTTGGCCAAAGGTTCATGGAATAACACATTACAAGTAGTAGAACAGTACACTGTAGCTTCTACTACTGAAAGGATATCGGTTACTTCATTTGTGTGTAACTCAATAAATCTCATTTGATTATATATATATATATATTATTTGTCTTAGATTCCTTGTTAATATATATTTCCTAATAGCTCTATCCTTATAGATCATTCTTATTTATGGAGTAATTGCCCATGGTGTATTTTGCGCCCATAATTACAATTTTGCAATTCGCATTCAATTTCCGATCGGACCATGGAAAATTAAAGTAAACGAGAAAATGAACTTTACGGACTTGTTTACATTATTGCATTTTAACTAGTAACGATGTCAGAACTATTGCAGTTGATTCAACAACTAGATAACTTATTAGTTGAATGGTTACAATCTATTCAATTCACTTCGAATTTAGTTATTACCCCAGTTAGTAAGATTATTACTGAGATATTATTCATATCTTTCATTTTATTAGTTAGTTATGAAACTATTTATTGGAGTGGGATATATTTGCATCTTTGGGATTATCATGCTAAGGATATCTTTAAAGAAGTTCCAATTCATTGTGCACACGTTTATGTTCGATTAAATTTAGTAGATAAACAAGACGTTGAAAGGGCTAAAGAATATTATAAATTAAAGAATAATTTTAAGAATTATAACATATTATTAAATTGGAATAAATTGAACCAAGCCAGTCATGAGATATTTAAATTACAGAAATTTATTAAATATCATTTTGAATTTAGTCCTGAAGATTTTGAAATGAATGATGAACCAGAGTATGGATCTAACATTAAACATCTTAGAGGTAAGATAATACAATTATTTAATGAATCAGATATTTATAATAATTATAAAAAACAAGGTTATACTGAAAAGGATGTCTTGGTATTTAATAATGCTAATGAAGAAGTTACAACTTCAGATGACTTACAATATTTAAGTAAAGTTAAAATCGAGACAGGAAATATAATAGATAGTATTATAGTGCTATAATTCATCGTTAAGTAAATAACGCTTTTGTTTTATAATATTTAGATCAAGGAGTCTTTGCTCTGTAATTGTCCATAGCTTAATTATTCGTTCTAATTTAGATTCCAAGCTTAAACTTTGTAATTTACTTAATTCATCATCAATATTACCTTTGTTATTCCCAGTAGAATTTGTCCCATCAGCAGACCAGAAATCTTGTGGTGAAGTATTGGACGAAATAAATTGACTTAAAGTTTTATCGTACTCTATTTCATAATCAATATCTTCAATATCTTCATCATCACCTTCTTCTTCAACTTCATCACTAAGCGTATCTGCATTATAGAACAGGAATCCATTCAAATCATATTCTACAAATTTAGGACCTTTATATATTGAGATATTTGCTTGATCAAGTTTATTGATTGAATACTCATTTTGATCCTCTAAACCTTCTTGATTAAGGAAATTATAATCATTTTCATCATTATTTACATTATTAGCATTATCAGAATTATTTCCATAAAGACTCAATATAGATTTGTTGACCAATCTATAGCATTGATTTCTTAAGGAAAGATCAAACAACATCCTTAATTCTTCAGGTAAATCCTTTTGATCTTCTATATTTTGGACAGTAGGGTCGAAATTAAAACATAATAAACTCATAGTAATCTCTAATTCTTTCAATAATTTAAATGAATTAGAAACTTTATTAATCAAATTCTCTCTTACAAAAGTCAATATACTATTAAGAAATATACTTTCATCACTTTCATCTTTGATATTAGCATTTAATTTATGATCACGAATCATTTCGATCAAATTCAATCTCAAAAGCTTGAAATGTAGTAAATTATTGGTATCTAATATAGTAGGGAAATATTCACTAATCTTTTTAATTGCTTCAGTTATTGAACCCTTTAATATTAGTAATTTGATTTCTTTTCTTTGACTTATAGTGGAGTAGCCTGATACTAAGCTAGTCTTATTATTTTGAATACTATAGTTATTACTAGAAGAGGATCCCACTCCTTCATTTGAAACATCTCCAAAATAATGTTCTACCATATTAGTAAATTCATTATTATTCAATGAATTCATTCTTTTAATTAATTGCATCGATTTATCATTGGCATTAGAACTATTGGTACGGTCAAACTTAGACTCTTCGAGGGTCTTGAATACATCCATATTCAATTCCTTTGAAAAGCTTACAGCAGCCTCTTGGTACCCTTCCTGAATGAAGTAATTCAAGATTAAATTGTTTATCTTCTCTTTAGGTATATTAGTCATGGTATAGGATGCTATAGAGAAGTAGTATAAAGTATGGGGATGTCAGTCTTTATCTTAATGCATATGATTGCTGAGTAAGTGCTTATATAAGCAACAAGAGTTTCATTACAAATAATTTTTATTCATAGCTCAGTCCGCAACTTTTCGTGCTGGTTGCAAATCTTGCATACCAATTAAAATATCATATCAAGTAGATCACAGTCCCCACCTAAATGCTACGTCTGAATGGAGTAAGGACTCTTAGATCAGATTGGCCGAAATTAGTGAGCTAAGAAAAACCTTTTATGTGAAAGAAGAGAAAGAAGGCTATGAAGTTCTACACAGTGATTGATATATACGTTTGTAGTATTTAGAATAGAATTATCTCAAATGTCAATTTAGTTAATTTTCATGGTTAATTTTTAGGTAAATATAAGCATTCACCATGGAAAATTATATAGTTAGCTAAATCATTAATTAACTTTGGCTTTTATTGAAGTTAAGAAATCTCTGTATGAAGGATCATTTCCATTCTTGTCCTCTACTAAACAAGAATAAACCCACATTCTAAGAGCCATCAATTCTCTCTTTTGAGATATCTCAAGTGGCTCATTTGATGTTTCTCCAAGCACGACATACAAATTCTTCCATCATGTTTGGATGATTTCATGACTCAAACTAACTCAGTTTCTGATAGCTGGGTGTCCGGTCCTAAGCTGGGTCTCAAGAATGGTCGTAAGCCTGCCAGAATCATGAAAACAAACACTGGGATAACCACATTTACAACTATAGCAAAAATTACTCCAGTTGTATATTGAAAGCCTTTATAGAATTCTATAGTTTGTAATTCAATAATGAACATCTAAACAATAAGTAGTATATTTATTTACACGCTTAAAGTGATAATTAACTTATCAAAAATTTTAGTTATTCGAAGTTTTACGTATTGTCTAAGTAATAAAATAACTATCAGAAGAGGAAAATGAGCTTACATAACTTGTGTATACCTCCATTATCTAGACTCTGTGGTACAAGCATTCACTCTTCATCTAGAATAGGAGCGCATATACAGTTTCTTATTTAATAATATGAGTGTCTTAAGTAATTAATTTAATTAAAGAGGAACGTAATAACTAATTCGTATAGGTGACATAGAGAAATATACAACCTTGAATTGTTCAGATCTCTAACGTCTTCACAATTGAAAGCATTAAAATGAAAATTAGACTTTCAATTGTGGGGAAGCTGACTAAGCTATTACATAAGCACGTTTACCAAGGATATATATTACAGATACGGTTAGGATAGATATCATATAGAGTAGGAGGTTTAAGTAAGACATACCTGAAGCCTTTGTATATTGCATTAGAAGGTGCTAAGAGCTTTTGGCTAGTCTTGCCCCTGCATTCATATAAGAGATTGAAGTTATGTGTGTCTTTAGACATAATGCAGATCATAAGTCATAGATCGTGTGAAGTCATAGATCCTCACAGGTTATAGATCGGTATGGGTCATAGATTGTCATAGGTTACTGATCATCATAGGTCTACTATGGTGTCACAAGAAAGTATTTCAATGGATATTTTCAGCCTAGTTGGCTTAAACATAGTATCCATGTGCAGCAGCGAGCAGTATCTAACGTTTGCGAGACTACACCAAATAAGGTTAGATTAATGACGTAGGTCCGTAGATACACTCTCCGTAACTCTTGAACTGTCTCTATACTCTAACTCCACTCTCACTCTATACACACTACTACATATCTATACCATTCCCATACCATTAACCCCCTCCATGCCATCCCTATAACCGTACTATACACAATTGTGGACCCGGCAAACACCACCAGGAAACCGATCTCATACGCGCAGTTCTCGTAAACTCATGCCAGCAGATCAGAAAAATAAATTTTTGTAGTATAAGTAAGGCCGATGCTCCGAATTCCAAATTCCAAATTCCATTGCCCACCCATTGCGATTAGTAGAGACAGAGACGGTTTGTTAAGTTTAGTTAGTTGTTAATTGTTGTATGAGACGATAGTAAAGAATCGAGATTTTCAGCCACTATGATAGTTCCAACCATCAGTCCAGCCATTAGAAAAGTCTTTGTATTACTATCATGTACTTTCTTTGGTTTAAGTTGTGGTACATTATATTTATATTCTTCATATAGTCCTCAATTGGCTAAACAACTTAATTATACTGCTTCAGGTTCTTCAACTATTGCACTTATTGGCAACTTTGGAGCCGCAATTAGTGGTCCACTAGCCGGTCTAGTAGTCGATAGAAAAGGTTATACAATGTCAATTATTATAGGAGGATTATTTATTATGTCAGGATATTTAGGATTAAAAAGACAATTTGATACTATTTATGGAAATGTAATATTATCATCATGTTTATTACTTTTAGTTGGATCAGGTTCAACCTTTATAAATTATGCTTGCTTAAAATGTTGTGCTATAAGTTTCCCAAGTATAAGAGGAGTAGCAACATCTTTACCATTAGCATTATATGGATTAAGTGCATTATTTTATTCAGTAATTGCTTCAATGTTCTTTCCAGGTGATACATCATCATTCTTAGGATTTCTTGCTTATTCATCAATTGTAATCTTCTGTATATGTGCTCCAAGTATTATGCTTTGTGATAAGGATCATAATCCAAAACAACAACAACAACAGCAAACACTTCCTCGAAGAAATTCTGTATCAGAAAAGAAATTGGTTACTAATCCTAATTCTGCCTATCAGAAATTAGAATTAGAAGATTCTAAAGATATTACAGGATTTGCCTTAGTTAAATGTTATAGATTTTGGCTTCTCTTTATAGCCACCGGTTCATTAGCGTCATTGGGTCAAATGTATATATATTCGGTTGGATATATGGTTAAGGCACTTATAAGTTATCGAATTCAATCTGAACAAATTATAGATGGAGATATAATAATTCAAAAGGATCAACAATTTCAAGTGGGATTAATATCAACTGCTAATTGTATAGGTAGAATTATAAGTGGAATAATGGGAGATATAATAACTCAATCATTTAATAAACCTCGATCTTTATTATTATATTTACCATCTATTGGATTAATGCTTACTCAATTAATGGGATTATTTATTAGGGAAGATTCTACTTTACCAATAGATTCATTTCTTACAGGATTATTTTATGGATTTATCTTTTGTATAATGCCAATAATTGTTGGTGATACATTTGGTATGACTAATTTTTCATCTAATTGGGGCATTGTATCTTTAGCTCCAATAATTCCTAGTATATTCTTTACCAGATTATTTGGGAATATATATGATTCTAATTCAATTATAGATGAAATTAAAGGAGGGGTTATATGTACTTTGGGTAATGAATGTTATAATTCAATATTTAAATTAACTTTTGCTATAAGTATTATATCATTTATTACTGTTTCATTAATTAATGCTAAAGTAGATGTTGCTAATTTCTTTAAGCATGAAGACAGTCTACCGATACTGAAAGTGAAAACGAAGTCAATTAAATAATGTATATAAATACGAACTAATAAATAAAAACTAACTACTAACTACTAACTACTAACTATCTACCGTCTCGAATTCAATCTCCCTAATCGGGATATAGACGGACTATTAATTAACCTTGAAGGAGTAGATATTCTCTTATGTTGCAGATAGCGAGGATGAGAATGTCTTTCAGTATTCTCATATAAATCATCATTCATTTGCTTTATGGATTCAAATGGCTCTTGAATATGCACTTTACTATTATCATTATCAAACGATAATTCATCCACATTTCTACTAATCATATATCTTAAAGCATTAAACCAAATATTATGTCTTTGACGAGTTGGACATGTGATTTTAATGGTTCTATCGGTGGAATAGACTATAATACTTTTATGATATAACCCTGTTGGTAAGGGATTATTATCATTAATACTTTCAACTTTAATTATAGCTGCAGCTCTAGTTCTATAATGAGAAGGATTAGCCAACACTGGATTGGAATCTGACCAATAAAGGGTTAAAGAATAAGGATGAACCCAAAAGTATCTTTCATGTCTTGTTTCTGAAATCGAATTTATAGCCAATTTTCTATAATATTTAAATAGATATTCTCCAATAACTACTTGAGTAATGGCAGGAATCATAGCTTTATCAGTTAATGATACATTGGTTGCCATTGAAAAGATGGCACCAGAAGTTAACGATTCGTTAACACTCGGAGCTTGAGATAAATGAGATAAATGGCTACGAACAGATGCAGATTGCACCATTGGAGATTGTGACTGTGACTGTGACTGTGGTTGAGACTGTGACTGTGATTGAGAGTGAGCTTTATCAATCTGCGGTGATGGAGATGATCTGCTTGGTGGCACATTAGGCGATGGTAAATCTCGTAATGATTCAAATTCATCCACCAATGGAGTAGTGGGTCGATCATTATGCCAATACCCTCTCTTTTCTGCATACTTCTTAAATACATCATCCAGAACCTTTTCAATCGATAAAGCCTTTAATCTCACCAATTGATTAAAATAACTCGAAGGTACAACTTTCACATTAGTATTAGTAGCCGTTGGAGTATTAGTAGTACCTATAAATTCAGATTTAGGTATAACCAATAACCCACGAGAATCTCCCATTTCAACAAATTTCTCCTTAGAATCTATTGATTTACTAAAGGCCTTTAATTCATTAAGAGTATCTTCAAGTATAAGTTGATAACCCATTTCATCTGCTTTACCTCGTAATTGATCTTCAGTAATATCCGATAAGGGATCTTGACCCTTTAAGGATGAAACCTTTAATTGTTTATATTCTTCTTTATCTAATACCACCATATTCATATCCGACAGTAATGCTGCTAATGATTCTTTGGTTACAGTCTTGTTATCTTGAAGCTTATAAATCTCTTGTTCCTTTTCTGCCAATTGTTGTTGAACTCTCAAGTTATCCGCTTCAACTTCTGCCTTATCCAATAACACCATATTAAGTTTATCAGCTCTTATACGTAATTCATCCACACTTATAACAAATGAATCTTCAGCATCTGCAAAGGTAAATTCTTCCAGATTTTGTATAGTTTCTATATCCTTAAGATGTTGGAATTCGGATTCTTCTACAACCACTTTGCCCTGTTGTCGAGCTCTTTCTTCAAGTGATACTTGAAGTTCATTATATTCTTCAAGTGGTACTACCACATGGTCAGCACTTTTAGCTCGTTGTTTGATTTCTTCAAGACTGGGCTTATTGGCCTTAATAAGTAATTCATCATATTGTTTATCACTCAATAATTTAACTCCGGCTTGTTCGGCTCTTACTTCAAGAGATTCTTCGGCTTTACTGTTTAATTCTTTCAAAGTATCCTTGGGTATAATCACATGATTCAATTGACCAGCATGTGCCTCTAACGTTTCAATCGTAGGTTGTCTTAAGAGTTGTACTTCTTCAACATCCATCAAGATCTTATTATCTTTAGCTGCTCTTTCTTCAAGTGGTACTTTACAAGACTCTAACAATTCACTATAACTCGATTGATCAACGACTACTTTATGGTGTTCCGACGCCAATTCACTGATCCGTTCAATGCTTGGATTCACAAGGGCCTTATGATCATCATGAGTTATCAATATCTTATTCTCCTTAGTAGCTTTAACTTCCAAGGGTTGACTAAGCTCCGAGCGAAGCTCCTTCAATTCAGATGCTCCAATTAAGGCAAGACCTAAGGCTTGAGCCTTCAGTTGTAAATGTTCTTTAGATGGATTAGCAGCTCGCTCACTAATGGCTTGATACTCAGAACCATCAATGACAACCTTCCCTTCCTTTGAAGCTCTCTGTTCAAGCGGTTCCTTCAACAGTTCCAATTGGTTAGTATCAATAAGACTATGGTTATGGGATTCAGCTGACTTCTTAAGCACTTCTAATGAAGGCGATTGAGCCATTTGCTTTAATTCCTGCAACACTGCTTGAGGTACCACAGCCAATCCTCTTTCTGCTGCTCGATCTTCAAGCTGTTCTAAATGACTAATCCTTTCAGTTAATGCTTGTAACTCTTCCTGAGGTACAACTGAATGGTTCAAGTCTTGAGCCTTTGCTGTTAAGACATCAATACCAGGAGTTACCAAGTGGTTATATTCCTGTTCGTCCACTAACACTTTACCCTGAGAAGCAGCTAATTGGTCAGTGTATGATTTCTTTGATTGTTGAAGATCGTCATATTCCTGTTGAGCAACAACAACGCACTTCTGTCTTTGAGCCTTATCAGTCAAGGACTCTTTTGAACTGACTACCAATTGATCATACTTATCATTAGGTACAAGGGTATGATCTAATACTGCAGCTCGAGTATTAAGATGATCTAAAGTAGGCAGAGTCACCGTAGTATTAAGTTGAGAATACTCATCTTCTTCTACCACTACATGACCAAGATTACCGGCTTTCTCTCGAATATGATCTAATGTAGGAGATTCACATATATTCTGTAAATCTTCCCATTCAGTCTGAGGTACCGCTATCATATCATTTTCTTGAGCTAATTCTTGTACAGACTTATTCTTATACTCATTCAATTTCTTTAAATCATCCTTAGCAATCACCGCATACCCTAAGCCAGCAGCTCGAGTTTCAATCCGTTCTAAAGAAGGTGATTCAGCCGAATTCTTTAATGTCTTAAATTCTTCAGCTGTAAGTAACTTCAAGTTATAATCTTTAGCTCGCTTTTCTATAGGAGTACTGGCAGCTTCTCTGAATGATTGTAATTTATCTTTAGATACTACTTCCATATCCAATACACTAGCCTTTTCCTTAAGATAATCTAATGATGGCTTATCCAATTGTTGTTTAAGATTAGCAAATTCCAGAGGTATTACCAATTGTTTACCTGCTTCTTGTGCCAAATCTTCGAGTGATCGATTGGCTTTGTTATTTAATTCAGTAAACTCTTGTGTTGGTATAACCACATGTTCATTAGCCTGTCCAAGATGTTTGATATGGTCTAATGAAGGAGTGTGTAACTTGTTATAAGTTTCAATACCCAATACAGTTAATCCTAATCCAGCTGCTAACTTAGTCAAGTGAGATTCAGATGGGTTATATGCTAAATCCTCTAATTCCTTTAACTTTTCCTGAGGAACCGTAGCCAAACCTAAGGACTTAGCCTTTTGATGGATAAAGGACTCAGAAGGTGATTCAAGTTCACTCTTAAGTTGAGATAATTCCGAGTCTGGGACAAGACAAAGACCAGCCAAATTGGCATGGTCATGTAAATAGTCAATAGAGGGACTTTCGATATTGTTGATCATGGAATCATAATCTGATTTAGGAAGCACTTTAAAGCCCGAGTTCTCGGCAAGATGAATGATGGTATCAGTTGAAGGATCCTTTAATTGATCATATTCCTCGGTTTTAACTACGACATATTGATGTTGCTGAGCCCGTTGACGAATGAAATCCAAATCGGGTTCTTGTAATTGAGTTATCATCTTTTCATATTCTCCATCGGCCACTAAAGTATGACCTAATTTCTGACTATGATCCTTTAAGAAGACTAACGATGGTGTATCAATAGTATTCTTTAATTGTAAGAATTCCTTCTTATTAACGACTACTGAATCAATATGTAAGGCCATTTGTTGTAACTTATCTAAAGTAATAGTATCATAATCCTTTAAATCAGATATTAATTTACTATACTCTTTCTTCTCAATCAATTCAAATCCTAATCTATTGGCTGATTCATTAAGATACTCTAATGAAGGATGGTTGAGATTTTCTATCATGGAATTATATTCATCTCGTAACACTACGAGGGACCCTAATTCTCCTACTTTTTGAATTAAATAATCTTTAGTGGGTGATTGAATAGATTCAGTTAATGATCGATATTCTTCTACTGGTAATAGAACTTGACCTGATTCAAAGGCCTTTGATTTTAAATAATCTGTAGTAGGAGTTTCAATGGTTGATACTAACAGTTGATGTTTATGAATTGGTATAGCTACTAATCCCACTTTAGCTGCCTTTTCCATTATATGTTCTTTACTTGGTTCATGTGCCTGATTATGTAAGGCGATATATTCTTCATTGGTTACTGAAGATAATCCTAATTTCTTAGAATGATCTTGTATGAATTGCTTGGTGGGGAATTCAACATTTTGCTTTAATTGTTTATATTCTAATTCATCAATTACTACAATTCCTCCTAAATTACTAGCCAATTTTTCAACTTGAGTCCTGGTTGGATTACGTAATTGAGTTAAAGTATTGGTTTCAATCACTGACAATCCCATGGCTTGTGCCTTAGTGGTTATATGATCTTTACTTGGATCATTGGCTAAGGTCAAAAGTTCTTGATACTGGTTCTCTTGTACTAAACTATACTGTTTGTTAGATGCCAATCGAGTAAGATGTTCAACGGATGGATCATTGGCTAATTGTTCAAGTTGTTCATATTTCGATTTATCAACGACTACCAATCCTGCAGCCTTACCATATTGTTTAATTTGATAGACAGTTGGATTATGTAATTCATCATACTCTGCTTGAGTTAATACTTTTCTACCTAATGTATTAGCATGATCAGTTATATACTCAATTGAAGGAGACTTATAAGTTTGAGAAACTTCATTATATTCATCTTCTGCCACCAATACATAGCCAAGTTTACCAGTTACTTGTTGGATATGATCCATAGGAGGATTCTCTGCTTTTTCTTCAAGATATATAAAGTCAGCTACTGGTAGAATCTCATAACCTAAAGCTGATGCTTTGGATTTAAGATGTTCAATGGTTGGAGTGTTTGCATCTAATCTTAATTGAGAGTATTCCGAATTAGGTATTACAACCATATCTTTCTTATCGGCTGCCTTGGTAAGGAAGGCATGGGTCGGAGAATCTTCAATGGCTTGTAATCTTTCTAAGATTTTCGATTCTATAATCGTATGATTATGATTGTTGGCCTTTTCTCTTATGAACTCAATGGATGGATTATTATGCAGAGTATCTAATTGGTCATATACTGCCTTGGTTACTGCCACTAATCCAGCTCCAATAGCCATATTCTTAATATGATCTTGCAGTGGATTATGAGCTAATTGCCGTAAGTGACTCAATTCCTCATTCTTAATTATACTGGAATCTTGACTACTCACTACTCTATCAATTACTTCAGTACTTGGACTTTGAGCTTGTTCTACTAATGAACTATGAACTTGTTTATCCACTACAAGTGCTCCTATAGAGCCAGCCCTTTCAATAAGGAATTCCTTACTTGGCTTATCAATGGTCTCATGTAACTTATTCAATTGTTCCGATTGGTCCTCAACTGTCTTCTTCAATGTCTGTAATTCTTGTTTATCTACAATGTCATACCCTCTCTCCGAAGCCACTTCCTTCAAATGGTCTTCATGCGGAGTGTAGGCTAAGTTCTTTAAGGATTCAATTTCTGAAGAGGGGATAACTGTACACTGATGGAGGTGAGCTTTCTCGGATAATTGTTCAATACTAGGTTCATTCAATTGGTTCAAGTCTTGTTTCTTGATAAGTTCATAGTCCAATTTATGAGCATGACCCATGAGATCATCCACCGTGGGGGATATCAATTTGGTATATTCGTTATTGGCTACTACCGTATGATTATGATCATTAGCTGTATTCTTAATATGATCTAATGAAGGACTATGCGCCAAAGCAAGTAATTGTTTATGATCAGAATTAGTAATAAGTATATGACCAGTTTCATTAGCCTTGGCTTGTAAATGATCTATGGATGGTGAATAAGCAAGTGAATGAACTTTTTGCATTTGATCCTTAGCCATGACTTCATGATCTAATTTAGTAGCCATGGCTGTGATATGCAGTAATGGAGGATTAGATGCTAATTGTTCAAGTTGTTCAAGTTCATTAGATGCAATTAAGGTATGATTGAAATCCTTAGCTTTATCAGCAAGTATATCTACCGTTGGATTCTTTAATTCCTTATATTCCGAATCAGGTATAACCTTTAAACCTAAGGATTCAGCCTTAGTTGAGATATGAGATTCAGATGGATTATTGGCTAACTCATTAAGTGATAATAAATCAGGTTGTTTAATAAGGTCATACCCTTTACCTTGAGCCTTTGATTTAAGATGATCTATAGATGGTTCATTAGCACTTTTAAATAGGGTAGTATATTCTGATTTAGATAATGGAACTAAATCCAATTTCTCGGCTTGAAGTTTAACTTCATTAATAGTTGGATTATCTACTTTTCTTATTAATTGTTCATAATCTTCATTATTTATTATAGTATGACCCAAAGCTTCTGATTTAGTCTTTAAATATGGTATGGAAGGATTATTAGTGGTATTCTTTAATTCATCATAATATGCTCCAGATGCAAGTATGAACCCTAATTCATTAGCTTTATCTGTTAAATATTGTTTAGAAGGTTTATCATGATCAACTATTAAAGTTTGATAATTATTATACTCATCTTTTGTAATAGGTACTAAATTAAATTGAGGTAATTTATTCTTTAAATAAGATTCCGATGGATGAGTATAATTATCTAAAGCTCTATTCAATTCTGATAATTCAGAATCCTTAATAATTTGATGAGAATGTGCCTTGACCTTTGATGATAAATAATCTAAACTTGGATTAATATATGAATTGGCATTTGCCTTAAGTTCTTGAACTTCATCAATTGGTAAAGTAATAAGACCCTTTGATTCTAATTTTCTTTTCATAACATTTTCATCAATTAATTCATCATATTCATATTTATCAAGTACTATAAATCCTCTACTTCTTGCAATATCTTTGATTTGAGGATCTTCAATAGAATTAATATTATTAGTATTCAATACTTCATATTCAACGGAAGTTAATAAAACCAAATCATTGGTTTGAGCATACTCTTCAAGTTGATCTCGAGTAGGTTTAGTATCATTTAATAATTCTCGAGCTAATACTGAAGGTTTCTTATGAGGAGATCTAATTTGTTGTTCAGATTCAGATTCACTTTCTGATGAATCAATTAAATCTGGAAGTACTCTATTAGATGCTAAAGCTCTTGATGGAGATTTAGATGATCCATGAATATTTATTCCATCACCAATGAAATCTTCCCAATCATCATTTTCTTCAGTTGAAAAAGTATCATCATGAGATATTAAAATAGTTGAACTTGTTTTAAATGGAGATATCATTGATGTATTAGATATATTAGCTAATTTACCCTTTTTACTCTTTAAATTTAATGGTAGAAGTTTAACAGGACTCTTTTTATCATCAGTTTCAGCTTCAGCTTCAGCTTCCTTTCTTAACTTTAAAATAGCTGATCTTAATTTAGCAATGGTTCTATTAGAATGATTTAATGTAGCTCTTAAAGTTTCTGATTCAAGTTGAGAATTATTTGGATCTAATGGAGGAATTGCATTAGATTGAGTTGAACGAAGTAATTCATCAATATCTAAAGTATCATCATTATTATCATCATTATCATTATTATTATTATTATCATCATCATTTATTGGAGAACTAATATCACCTGATGCAATTGATGGAATGTTTAATTGAGTATTTGATGATAATAATTTTAAATGTAAACTATCATTCTCATCATTAAGATCTTCAATTCGTTTACTAAGTTCTTCAACTTCCTTTGAAGCCGTTGACTTTAAAATTTCAAAATCTTTAGATAACTTTTCATTCTTTACCAGTAATAATTCACTCTCTCTTTGAACTTCAATATATTTTGATTGTAATTCATTATTAAGTAGAATTAATTTTTCTTTACTACTGGTTAATGAATTTACATGATCATTAAGATTTGAAAGATTAGCTTCTAATTGCCAATTCTTATCCTTTAAATCACTTTCATTATTTAATTGACTAGAACGTGAATTCTTTAATTGAGCAAGTTCGCGCTTAAGGATTTCATTATCTTCTGTTGATACTTTTAACTTTGATTTGTACTTTTGATTTTCGGCAGTTAATCTTCTACACTCACCCAATAAATTTTCACTTAATCCAACCACAAAATTCATATCATTACCCTTTGATTCAGGTCCTAAACCAGAATTAATATGTCTATTAGGTATAACTAATGGTGCCGGTTGTAAATGTAATCCCAGTTTATTATTATTAATTTTATTACTTCCTCCCAATTTTTTATTGGGTAATGGTAATGTTAATGAAACATTTTCTTGATCTTGTTCAATATCATCTAATTTATCATTACTATGATCTGATTTTAAAGACGTTTGAGATTTCTTATGAAATAATCGACGTTGAAAATCAGATAATTGATTTCGAATATCTTCCTTTGGCGGAGTATCGGATGACATCGAATTACAATTATATTATTCACTATAAATATCAAATATATATTTAGTACTAAAATAACTAATTTATATTTACTAGTGCACAATACTCTCGCTGGTTAAAGCATTTGTGGTTTATCAGGTCGAAAAAAAAAGTAGCGTCATAAAATGTAAACACCAAACTGCAAACAAAACGGAAATGGCGTTGTTTACCTTTTGGGACACTACTGTGCGGCTAATCTATTTTACTTAGGGCATATATTGCAAGTTATGCACTCAGTATACTTAGTTGTAATTTAATAACCATAGCCATAGCCATAACCATAGCCATAGCCATAGCTATAGCAATAGCCATAGCCATACCAAAGCTCAATCTCAATCTTACTTAAACATATTCACACTTAGCATATTCAGTATCAGGTGACTGTTGGAAATTCGGGATTCCGCATTTTTGCATCATTCCAGACACCGATACAGACTATGAATACATGCACACTTGAGCAACTTACGTAAAGGTATTATTACAAGTCACAGAAATACATAAATGAATCTGAAAACGAACCAACCAACAATGGTTCATTGTTCTGAAACATTAAAATATATAATTGATAAATGTAAATAACTTCAACTAACCGTCAACTTCACCTACTTAACAATTGCAAAAACGCCCGGCCCAATGTGAAAGTAATACCAATTGTATTTTTATTAGCAATATGTTAGCAAAATTCTTATAAAATACTCATCCTATAATTTTGGTTTTTTATTTCTGCCAAAATCATCAAATTCTGAATGCATTAGTTTGGATTTCAATTCATTCACTTTTGGATAATTGAATCCTACACCAAAAGTACGTCTTAAAGCTTTATGAGTTTCCATTTTATATTTTTTATCTTTATCAATATCACCTTCTTCATAATCTTCACCTTTATCTCCTTCATAATCTTTATCTTCTTCTTCTTCATAATCTTCATCTTCTTCTTCTTCATAATCTTCATCTTCATCTTCATCTTCATCTTCTGCAATTGTTGACATTTTACTACCGCTCTCCTTCCACCTTTTTCTTTCTTCAGCCAATTTTGTCTTTCCGAAATCTACAAATACAGGAACCAATTCTTTTGAACCTTTCTTTTTGGATTGCATTATAATTATATTCTCTTCATGAAGATCGAGATGAAACACTCCATACTTATTGATTTCATTAAGAATATTTTTGGCTTTTGGATAAATCTTCTCTCTTTCTGGTTGTGAAATTTTATTTAGTGTGACACCAATGATATACTCTGTGACTAAGTAAAATCCCGCTAAATTAATATTAGGATTTAAAGTTTTCCTATCTTTACGTGTTAAAAATTCTGTGAAATTAACACTTCCCGAGTTATTAAAAAAACCGAAATAATGCAACTGAGGAATGCCCTTTTTAAGATTCTTCAATCTTAAATATGAGCTCACCTCATTTACAAAGATATCGAAGGTTCTCTTATAAGAACCCTCTAAAACACTTGATTTGGTAGTAAATATTGAGGACCGAACCGGATCCAATATTTTAAGGAAGAATTTCCTTTTATCCTTATTTCTTTCAACAATAAATGTAATACTAACACGGCTATTTATTCTGTCACCTGAAACTATTTCTAGCAATTTGTATTCTTTTTGAAAATCATGTAAAGTGAAGTCCTTCCATTTGGTCGTCTTTCTTTTACCATTGTATTTCCGTTTTTTATATAAATTGTTTAAACATCTTATATAATACTGCAGAAATACCTGATCATCTGCTTGAAGATCAGGATTTTGTATTATTGATGAGTCAGACAGAAAGGATGAGTCAGTATGGGCAGGATCATCTTCACCTTTATTCATCTTCTTCCTCAAGAAGTCGTTGCATTCGTTGATTGATGCATAAAACAGGGCCATGAGAGAAGAACGAATATTCGGTTGAATTAACAACTTTTTTTCAAACTTCTTCATTATAGGTTTCCATCTATTTCTTTTAGCCCATGCATGCATCATGAACATTATAACTTTCGTATTTAAAGTATAACCACCATTCCCATCATCATCATCATTCAATGATATGATTCTGCAATTAACTTCACGTAGAATTTTACAATAGTTAAGACCAACATACTTTCCAACGTTGCATTGTTCTAAATCAATTAAAAGTGTACAATGATAATCAGATAACAACACAAATGGACACCCAGCTAGGATTGATTCTCGTATTAATTGAGAGAACATCTCAATTAGGTTAGAATTTTTTGGTTGCATAATATCCCGAGCATTAAATTCTTCAAGGTTCAGAAGTACTTTCTTTTTTTTTATCTCAATAGGTATATTAAATTGTTGGAAAGTTACGGCGAAGTCTGGTAGTACATGAACTGGTACGGAGTTGATTTGTTTCTCAAATCTTATTTTTGGATTTACAGAGACTCTTTCGCCATATATAGCTGATAGCAAGTTGGAGACTGGAGTTAAAACATTCAGGTGGAATAATAATTCAATTCGAGCTTCAGAATCAGCAATCAGACTAAATTGAGGGGTGAATAAACTTCCGGTACTTGATATTTGTTTCTTAGTGAATCTAAAAGTCGATTCTGACATCTTAAACTTTTCAGGTTTATTGGTTGATGGATACAAACAACCCATGATATTCTTAAGTGAATGATTACGACTTTCATTTGTTCTTGTAGTTGATTTTGAAGAAAGAGCATGTGCTTTAGAACTATTGTTTAGGACTTCTGGTTCTGGTTTAACTACTCGTACGTTCAAAATTGTAGTGAATCGAAAATAATGAAGTAAGAATTTTTTTAGGTCTGAATCCTTTACCGAAATTCTAGAAATAAAATTATCGTTAAATTCATCAATTACTTTATACAAGTTTTCATCAACTTCGATTTCGAATGGCAGCATCAAGTGAAAGTTATAGAGACGTAAGAGAAGAATCAAGACATTTGACTGGTCAAGTTGACGATCCTGAACAATATCAATAAGATCCCACAGCTTGAACATCTGATTAATCTCTTCTTGATTTGGATTCTCCAAGTAAGTATTCAATTTCTGACGAAGTTCTTGATACAGAGGCATACCTTGTCGACTGATCTGGAAGGGTTTTATCATTGCTCCATCCTTTAGATTTAATAAGACAGTCTTTGCATCTTTGAAGTTGATTATACTAGATAGCCTCATATTTGATGTTTTAATGAATCAATAGGGATAATTTGAACTGATGGATGTAAAACTAGGGGTATAAGTATAAGTAGGGAGATAAAACCCACATTTATATAACCTTATAATCCGGATTGTACATGGTTGTCAGAGGTGTGTAGCATAATGCGTGCACAGCTTAAGAGAGGTATATAACTGCAAGAAAATCCAGGAAGTTGCAAAGAAAAAATAAAATTTGCAGTCTTTGACGCTCAAACAAATTAAATAATGTATATTCCTTTATATCAAAGTAATAGACATTCTGCTTATATAAAATTAGATACTTTGTCTTATATTCTGCCTGTCCCTCTCAATAAAATCTATTAGTATGTAAAATACACAAATCGCACTTGATTACTTCTTTACTTGATTACTTCTTTACTTTATGGTAAAGGTAATTTAATTTTATTTACTAACTACTGGTCCCAATTCGAACCATTAGCACCATAGAAATAGAAATAGAAATATAAATATAAATCTTACATACTATTCTGCTTCTCCCGTATCAGTTCTTTGATGTTGTAATAACCCCACTGTGATCGAATTCGATCTATAGAAGGTGGGTCTATTTTCATTCTGTTTCTGAGTGGTAGCCTTAACCAATTGCTCCTTATCATTATCGAGATGAATAGCAGTTGGGAATGGAGAATAAACGGGATCTTTCTTGTAATGATTATTGAATTGATTATTGAATATATTTTCTCTTAAACCATGAGCCTTCTTTCTAGTAATAACAGTAGAAGTTGCTACTTCTGGAGATATTGTTGTAGTAGTAGAAGTCGTTGTTCCTGCTAATGGAGATGATACTTTCACTTGCTTGTTGATTCTATCAACAACATTAGGTGGAATTAAGAATTTTGGATTTATAGAAGGTGAAGGTGAAAGTGAAAGTGAAGGTGAAGATGATTCTTGAGGTTGAGGTGGAGATACTGAACCTGCCAAATTTTCAGGACTTAAAACTCTTTGATTACCAGTTAAAGTAGTTGAAGATCCATTACTTGTACTTAAAGATTCAGAAGGAGTCATTAAGGAATAAGCTGGAGTTTCAGTACCAGTACTAGTACCAGTACCAGTACCAGGACTTTCCGATACTCCTGAAATTAATCCATCAGGTACATCTTCAAATTCAGGCATACCTCCTTGATTTTGAAATATAAATGGTACATCATAAGTAGGTGGTTGATGAATTAATCCATGTAAATTTGATTCATGAGATCTAGCTCGATTATCTAAAGTAAATAATTTAGGACGAGATAATGGTTGAACTTTAGAACTAAAGGCTAAAGTTAAATTTCCTTCTTCATCACTATCATCTTCTTCAACTTGTTCAAGTTCATGTTCACCTGATGAAGGTCCTGATTCAGAAGTATATGATGAATATGAAGATGTTGTATCATATCTTCTTAATGGAGCTGCCGATTTAGGATCATTATCTTCATCCCCTAATTCAGTAACTCCAGCAGATTTCATCAGAGTACCTAAATCAAATGTTTTAAACTTTTGATTAATCTCTTCGGCTGAATGCATAAACAATTGAGTATCAGAAACACTAGCAATACTTTCACGTCTGGAAGTCTTTCTAGAGATTCCATGATGATGGTGTTGATATTGTTGTTGTTGTTGTTGTTGTTGTTGTTGTTGTTGTTGTTGTTGTTGCTGTTCTTGTTGTTGACGACTTCTAGTATATTCTTCATATTTCAAAGTAAGATAATCATCATTTACACTATCTAATGAAGCAAAACTTTCATTTAATGGTAATGACATAACTGATGATGGTCTTCTTTCTTCATTCATAACACTTAATGGACCAACATGTAATTGATTTGTTGAATATCTTGGAGCTCCATTAGGAATAAATTCATTATTAGAATTAATTGAAGATTTAGTCGAAGCAGGTACAGGAATTGGAGCAGCAATACTTGAACTATGATTACTATGACTTGTTGAACTTCTTGAAGTCATAGATACGGCTCGAGAATCAATAGAATTCTTTGCAGAATTAGAATTCGAATGCATGGAAGATTTTCTTCTAATTTTATCATCTTGTTGTTGAATATCTTTAAATGCATCAACGGCAGATTGATTCTTCATATATAGATCACCTCCAACATTCCGTTTAGTTTCAATTCTTGGAGCTTCTACAATAGCAACAGCACTACCTCGTCTACTAGAAGGATTACTATTACTATGAGATTCAATCATCTCATGTAAGATCGAACGACCATCTCTAATGCCTGCAATAGATAAGGAGTTCGATCTAGATGGTTGAGTCAGAGGCAGCGACTGAGTCTGAGTCTGAGTCTGAGTCTGAGATTGAGATTGAGATTGACTCTGTGCTGTCTGTGCTGTCTGTGCTGCCTGAGTTGTCAGAATTGTTTGAGTCAGAGTCTGAGAGAGACCCGAGGGGATATGAGGAGCAGAACTCAATAAGGTATGAGTTGAATTCTCTGATTTGAAAAGACTTGTACTTGCCGATGAGATTGGAGGTGTTGGAACCATAGCGTAACCTTCCGATAAGATAAATGAATGATTTGTATTTGTACTTGAATTACCCAATAATCGAGTTGAAGAATTATGATTAGAATTATGATTAGAACTACTACTATAAGAATCATCACTTGATGTACTTCTTGAATGTTCTATTTGTAAAGCAGCAAATTTATGTCTTATTTCACTATCTCTTAAACCTCCTGCTCTAATGGCTTGTGCTAAACTTTTTGTAATTCTTGATCCAACTCCTACAACAGCATTATTAATTTCATTACTGGTTAATAAATCTTGATCATCAAGTATATCAAAATTAAGTTTAATTTCTTCATTTGAATTGGAATTTAAATGAAGTAATTCATTTAATCCTTCAAAATCATCTTCTAAATCCATTAAAGTAAATGGATGAGCCTTTATATCTCGAATATCAATTCTATTTTGACTATTTTTATCTAACATTTGTAATAATAAATCTTTAGCATATTCAAATTCAAGATCTGTAACTGGTGATGGAGATTTAAATGAATCTTTATTTGGAGGAAATTGTAAATCTTGATTAACAATGACTTGAAATAATTCAAATTCTGAATCGGCATTAAATGGTACTTTACCAAATAATAAACAATAAAGAGTTACTCCTAAAGCCCAAATATCAATTTTATAATCAACTTTTGGTAAAGCCGAAGAATCAGATGAAGAAGAAGAAAAATTAGTTTGACATAATTCTGGTGCAAAGAATGCTGGAGTTCCTGCTGTTTTAGCTAATTCTAATTCATTTACAAGATATCCATCATCAGATTCATTTAATGATGAAGCAAATGATACACCAAAATCACTTATTTTAACTATATTATCCAGACTAACTAATAAATTAGCTGGTTTAATATCTCGATGAACTATTCCTTGAAAATGTAAATATTCTAATCCTAATAATACATTTCTAAAGATTTTTCTTGATTGTTTAAATGTTAAATTTGGACTATATTCATCGGATAATAAATTTTCATCTTCATGACTTATAGATTTATGATGACGTATAATTAATGGTTGATGAGGTCCACAACAAGGAATTTCATCTGATTTATTATTATCTATAGTAGTTGATTGAATATCTGATTCAAGACGTTTCCATTTAATTTCTCCTTTTTCTAAATATTCCAATACTAAATAAATTTTATAAGAACTTAAATCATCTAAAACTTCTCGTAATTTAACAATATATTTATGATCACATTTCTTCATAATAGCTATTTCTCGTCTTATTTTTAATTCATAATCATTAAGAGGTTTTAATGATGATCTTAAATTAGATGCTTTATCACGTTTAGATTTTCTATTTACAATTTTAATTGCCACTAATTCATTATTAATTAAATCTTTAGCTAATTTAACTTTACCATGTTCTCCTCTCCCAATTTCTCGTAAAATTTCAAAAGTATTAAGAACTTTTCTTCTTGTTATTGGATCATATTCAAGAAATACTCGATTTGTTTCTTTAACGGGTGATGAAGGTGAAGGTGAAGATAATTTATATGGTAAAGATTTTAATGTTGTATTTGAATCTTCATTACTTGATGATGGATTTGTTGTATCAAGAGTATCTTTAGTTGATAAATTTGATCCAATGGAATTTTCTCGTGATCGAGACATTGTTTTATGTAATAAAGTATTCATAGCTCTACCAATAAAATTGGATTTTGTATGAAACTCTTTTGGTGAAGATAATGGAGTTGGAGTTGGAGTTGATGAAGGATTAGTAGTCGTGGTGGTGGTGGTTGTGGTGGTTGTAGTGGTAGTAGTAGAACAAGGAGGAGGAGATGCCGAGAGGGATGTTGCGGTGGCCATTAGGTAGATATGATAATATGATGATATTATTTAAAGGTTGTTATTGAATTGAGGTGGGGATAGTTGGCGATGATGGAATTTGCATTGAATTGTAAGTGGTACTGGATTAATTAGTAACAACTTAATGATTAGATTATTGAGGGGAATTAGTTAGTTAAATATATATATCACACGGTCAGGTGATCTGTTGTCTAGCTAATTACTTAGTTAATTATTATATATATTAATTAGTTAGTTAGTTATTTAACAACCTTATGATCCGGCAGCAATCGTACCTCTGCTGATAGTGCCATAGTTAATTAGATTAATTTTTTGGAGAGAGGGTCGTGTACGGCGCTCAATAAAATAAAAAAAATTATAGACAGAGAGACAAAGAGAGACAAAAGTCGTGTGAACGATCCGAGACGAGGGGAATCACCAGAGGTATACGAGAATGAGAGTGAGAATGAGAATGAGCCAAGCTCACTGTTGCTAGTAGCTACTGATAAGTGGAATTGGAATTGGATGTGGCGGAGTAGTACAATAACTTATTATAGTTGTACTGTACTGTAATGTACTGTACTTTATTGTGGTGGTTAGTGCTGGTTGTACTGTACTACTTAGTAAAGTTAAGCTTGAATCTTGATCCATACTTAAGAAATAATTAAGGTTAAGATACTTTGAGATTGGTTACTGAGAATTAACACACCCCATTTTTCACATGACCCAACACACTTTTTTTGGTCGTCTATATATATAAATATCAGTATAAATACCCCATGTAAATACCCCGTTTCAATAATGAACCTCTACCCCGGAAAAAAAATCTTACTATATGGTTTGTTTTACAATAGTAACCATATTCAAATGGCTTACATACATAACATTATGCAATGCTTCTAGGCGTGGACGATTTAGACAATTGGGATTAGTAGATCTTCATTATGATGATGAAAGTTTGTATAATCTAACTAAAATTAATGATTGCTTACAATCTAGACAGTTACATGCTCAATTGCTAATAAAAGGCACATATGTTGCCATGGTATCTACCGATGACAATATAGACGTTCATGACTATCATCAAATCGACCGGTGTTTGCATGAAACACCAATTCATGAAGTTATCAAATTTGAAATTAATTTTGGCCCTCATCTTCCTAGTCCAGGAGGCTCAATCGCCTTAAGAGGTGGATCGAGAATACTCTAAAAGTAATCATTCAGAATCCTAACTGAATATTACAGCTTTTTTGAATGGTTTATAACTTACTAATCGTTCTGTCATTTGTAGACCTTTGTAGACCTTTGTAGACCTCTGTAGACAACTGATCTATTGATAATACACCAATACCGCAGTACACAAAACTAGTGACACACCCATGCTGCAATAACTACTATAACCACTGAACATCAACTTCAATATCTAACTCTATAGATGTGAATTAACCATGCTCTTATAATGCAACTTTATGATCGTATATCCACCACAGATAACGAATTAGGAACTATTAAGTTCATTGGGCAATTACCTTCGGCTCATGCATGGGCTGGAACTTTGGTATATGGAATTGAATGGGATAATCTGAGTCGAGGTAAGAATGATGGTACATTAGATGATGTTAAATATTTTGAAGTTGATGTGATAGGTGCTGGTTCCTTTATGAAAGCCAATAATAAGAAGATATGTAAACGTAGAGCAAGTTTTATTCAACTGTTGTATGAGGAGTATCATACAAAATATGAAGATCAAGAAATCAGATTTGGAACTAAAATAGTTGATGAATTAGGGTTTGATAAGTTGAATAGAATCCAGTCGAACTTTATGAATTTGAAATCAGTATCTTTGAGTAGAAAGTCAATTGTTAATGTTTATGGTGATGGTGACGAATCTTCAATTTTAAATACTCTAGTAAATGTAATCAATCTAGATATAAGCTTTAATTTATTCAATGGTCTTAGTGTTGTTCAAGATATTATTGGTAATTTAAGGAACTTATCTTCATTAAATCTTAATGGGAATAGATTCTTTACTTCAAATAATTCCCCATTGATTCATACCAATTTGTCAATACTAAAATTATCTACAACATTAATAACTATCCCAACAGTTAATGAATGTATCTTGCCTAATTTACCAAATCTATCTGAGCTTTATTTAGCTAGTAACAATTATAATGATACTGATATATCACACTTACAACTACAATCATATCCTAATATTCAGATCATTGACTTGTCGTTCAATATGCTCACTATCTTTCCATCATTACCTATCAATACATTGCTATTATCTGATAATTATATCTCATCCATACCGAACCAAATTCAATCCAGTATAAAGACATTGGATATACGACATAATAAGCTCAATTCATTTAAGGTAATTGACGAGTTAGCCATTCATGTACCCAATCTTACCAATCTTCGTATCAATAAAAATCCTGTTTTTGAAGTAGATGATGAAGAATCAATGTTTGTACAATTATTGGCTAGATTCAACTGTCATGATCATAAAGAATCTAGCACTGGATTAACGTATGTCAATGGTAGTCCATTGAACAACAATGAAATCCAAAATGCTGAATTATACTTCATTTCAAAAGTCAAGATAGGAGAGTATGAGATCCATAATCCGGTAAGATGGGATGCATTATTACAAAAATATAATATGGAGCCTATTAATGAAACTATAACGACCAATGTTTATGATGATAATAAGATTAAACTACAAATCATTCATAATAAAGATCATAGTATATTTTCAAGAGTATTTTTGAACAATATTACGATATTGAAATTGAAAGGTACACTTTCACGTATATTACTTAATAATTTATCAATATTAAAATTTAGCGTATATTATTATATGCACGGAGAAGAAGAAGATCCAGAGGCAAAGGAATATCTTGATATGAATCTCTTTTCACAAATTAATGAATTTAATTTAAATTATAATCAACGCATATATATAGAAGTATTTACTCAGTAAGATTCCATAATCCATCACCTAAATAATGTAATAATTCAATACCAATACCTTTATTCTTAGTTTTAATATCATCAATACTCATGACCAATTTCCCAATTGCTAAAGCAGTTTCTTTACCTTCAGCATATACAGCAACAATAGAATCAACTTCCATATTTTCTTCTGGTAATTTAGCTCCTGCTGATGTTAAACCAGGACACATTATATTTGCACCTGAAAGAACAAATTTTATAGCACCTCTATCAACTTGAACTCTTGGAAATGCTTCAGGAAATTTATGAACTACTTTTAAATGAGGAATTAAATCATCAAAATGTTGAAAAAGAACAACTTCATCATTTATACTATATAATTGAATCTTTTCTTCACATTTAATAAGAATTACTTGTGATTTCTTCGGTATAATTAAATCTATAGCTGATTCAGTATCAGGGAACTGATCAATAAATTTAGATTTCAAACCTCTTTGAGCTGATGATTTAATGTTAGAACGAGAATGAATATCTTCTTTAGTAAATCTTTTGAACATGGTGTATACTTTAGTTGGTGTTTGGTGTGAGTATATCAAACCAAGCGATGCTACTAGTAGATAAAATTTTTTACCATATTAGGCTGAATTTTTCGGTTGCTATTAATTTTGTATAGCACATATTCAATGCTTAATAGTAATTAGTGTATAGTAATTAGTCTATAGCGTATTATATTAACATTATTTTTAAGTATCGGTTATAGGGCTACTGGTCAATGTTTACAATCACTACTACAATTACAAAGATTGATATATAGACAACTAAATAAATAACAAATGAACAATCGCCCAGTATAAACATGTAAAGATTTATAATTACAATGCCACCATCCAGTCTATGACCTTGGTGTCATCGCACTCAAAGGAAATCTTTATATCACTATAGCCTATTACAACTGATGAAAGAAATTGAATTGTAGTACAATTTCTTTCTAGAATATCGTATCCAGCTCAAGACCTATTGACATACACAATAGATCGAGCGAGGCACAAGGCGTAAAATATAAAACATAAAACATTACGTTATATATTTATAAATATTGAATTTCATTTCAACTTAAATGGACCCCTTTCACATCAACCCAATGACCTCATTGTCTTGACGTGAAAAATTAGTTATAATGAAAACCTTCAAAAGAAGTGTTTTTTGTATAGAGATGGTTCCAAAAATTCCCTTAACATCAAATTACACAAGGTAATTAATATCAAGGAGTTGTCAGGTTATAGTTTTCAACCAGCAAAAACATGATCTCGGAATAAATCCTCACTGATACACGTAATGCCCCTGCATAAAGATGAAGAAGAAAAAGAGTAACTGGTAAAAGTAATAAATCCAGTTGGTTAAAATTTTTTGAGGAGAGGTTGGATGGAAAAGTAAATTGTTGAGCAAGAGACACGACCTGAGACTGCAAATTTACAGTACCTTGGAGACATAATACAATACAATACCATGTAATATAATACAATATATAATATATAATATAATATTTATAAAGAATAGCAATGACTAATTGACTACGAATTTGTTAAGATAATCAATCGTGTCTTTGTCATCGATATATGACTTGTCTTTGTGATCTTTGTACTGTTGAATCGTATGAGATTTTGCAGCCTTTAATACGGTAAATAACTGTTGAGTAACTTTACTATTCTTTATAATTCCTGTTTCACCAGGAAAATTATAATTTGGAGAATTTATTCCTTTTGTGGGGTCTATGGCATCAAGTGGTTGACCTAAATTGAGATAATAGTAAGTGTACAATTCGTCTTTTTGCTCTTCATTAAGGAATCCCTCATTGTTGTTGAACGTTAATGGATATTCTTCATCCCTCATGATACGCTGTTCAACAGACTCTTCAGATGGCTGACGTGTCTGAATTGGAATATGCAAGAGCTCTTCGTCAAGGCTGTCGTTGAAATCATCGTCACTACTTCCATCATCCACAACAATACTGTTATCCTTAGATCCAAGATTACTAGTATTTCCACTTTCTTTTTCAATATCGTCTTCTATTATATCTTCATCAATGACGATGGTTTCTTCGACAGAGGGCTTACTGATTATCTTATTACTTTGCTTTTGTAATTGACCCAAGATATCAGTTTTGGGTCTTTTGATTCCAAGCGTTCGTTTTTTCATGGGAATCAATGGTGGTATGAATGAAGCAGCCCGTTTAGCGGAGGAAACTATATTTGAATTATTTGATGGTGCTTTCACTGGTTTTCCTATTGGTGGTATTACTGGCTTTTCTATGAGCTCTTCTACTGGCTCTTCTACTAGTTCTTCTACTAGTTCATCTACTGGTTCATCTACTGGTTCCCGAACTGACACCTCTGACAACTCAACTGATGGTTCCTTAATCGGGTCACTCACAGATTCCTCGACACTGTTAGCCTTAGGCGTTACCCTTTCTTCATCGTCACTGCTATGATCCGAAACCTCATACAATGTAGACAAATCAATCAGATTAGAAGTATCAGGGGTAACTGCTGGTTTTGAAGTCTTCTTTATCTTCCCTGAAATTTCATCATCAGTATCAGAATCCATGATTTTATCAAGGAAATCCTTTTCTCGAGGCTTATCTATATTATCCTCATCAATATCTACTCTTTTTACCAAACTAGTAGCACTTCTAAATCCAGTAACTACATTTTCAGGCATAAAGAATTGTTTCTGTTTCTTTTCTGATTTGCCCTTAGCATTTGATTTTCGTTTCTTAGATCCTCCACCAAGCATATATTGTATAGCAATTCTAATGATTTCATCAGCATCATCTTCAACTTTCAATTCTTTATTTTCATCAGGTATTTCAATGAATTTCTTTTCAACTTGTGGATCATATTCTCGAGGGATAATTCTATTCTGAGGTCCTAAACTAATTAATTCACCTTTCATAATATGTTGTTGAATATATTCATAGCCAGCCATAGCTTTATCAAATTTTGATTCTTCATTACTGGAGAATAAAAGTACAACTTTCCCATCTCGTTTACGACCAGTTCTACCCATTCTCTGAATATTTTTAATAGGAGAACTTGTAGAATCATAACATATAATTAAATCAACTTCTCCAATATCCAATCCTTCTTCACCAATCGATGTTGCTACAAGAATATTATAAGTTCCTGCTTTAAATTTTTTAATAATCTCTTTCTGTAATTTTTGATTCATACCATTAATTTGTGCATCTTCAGAACTAGTACGATTGGTTGGTCTATTGGTAGTTTCCTTTGATTTCTTTCCCTTTTCAGATTTTCCAGATTCATTACCTTTCTCTTTGGCTTGTCCAATAAATATATGGGGTTTAAGAAAATTACCTAATTTTTCAATAGATTGAACAATTTCTAATGCAGATTCTCTATATTCTGTGAATATAATAACTCTTGAATCATCTTTATTAGTACTTTCATCAAGAAATAGTTGTAATTCATCCACTAGAGCTTCTATTTTAGGATGACTATAACTATTTTCATCATCAAGAATTTCCTTAGCTCTTTTCATTAATTCTTTGATTGATTCATGAAAGTAAAAGTCAGCACTAAGTTTATTAGTAGATTTATTCTTATTATGTTTCTGTTGGAATTCTTCATACTTTTCAGTAAAATATCCATAGAATGATCGAACTCCATAAATATTTAACCGTTTATAACATTGACCAACTATTCCAAGAATCAGTAAAACATTTTGATTTGCCCATTTTAATCCTTGAGGTAAAGATCTATTCATCATAACTGCTTTTGTAGCTTCTAAACATGTAAAGAAATTAATATATCGAGGATTTGTAACATCATAAATACCTCTTTCATTAGCTATTTTTAGAATTGGAGAAATAGCTCGAGATAAAAGATCAATACATTGATTAATCTCATCAGATTGAATAATAGTTCTACGAACTAATTGCTTTCTTTTCATATGTTTAATTATATCAATACTTTGTTCAGTTCTTACTTCAACTTTAGATATCTTTAAATTATCAATAATTTCTTGAACTCCTTCAACTGTAGTAGCAGGAGTTGCGGTTAAAGCTAAGATTCTAAATGATCTATTAAATCTTTCTAAGTATTTAACGGCATTATTATAAGCATAATTTCCCTTAGCTCTATGAGCTTCATCAATAACAAGTAATACAATAGATTTTGGATCTACAGTATTTGATGCTAAATCATTCTCAACCACTTGAGGAGTAGTAAAGAATACTTGCTTTGAATCCCATATTTCTTGTCTATTCTTTCTTGTCTTATCTAATAATATTGCAACTTTATGAGCTGGTATACCCGTTATAGAACAACAAGCTTTAATTTGTTGAGCTACTAAAGGTTTTGTAGGAGCCATAAAAATAATTTTAGAATTAGGAAACCATCTTAAGAAATTTAACATGACCGTTGATGCAATAAATGTTTTACCTAATCCAGTAGGTAAAGCCACTAATAAATTATCATAAAATGCTCGTTTAACTATATTGAATTGATAATCTCTTACTTCAAAATTAGTAGGATATATATAAGTTGATAAGTTTTCTTTATCAATTTCATGATGATTAATAGCTCCTGGTATAGCTTGAGGTATCTCTACATACACGGGACTTGAAGATTTATTCTTCTTCCTACTTTTATTTTTATTTTCATTGTCATTCTCATTGTCATTTTTATTATATACAAGGGCCTCTATCTCTGAGTCATCCTCGTCAGAGTCCCAGTCATCAGGCATTGTCATAAGAACGTCAAGTTCAGTGTATATGTGTAGCTGCAACTGGTGCTGCCTGATAGTTGAGCTTGCAAAATTTTGACGTGTTTGTGGAGAAAATCAAAATATCAAAATCAAAGTCCATGAAAATTTCAATCATCAACAAGAAGTAGTAGACGGGTATAATTACATACATACTGTAAACAGTAGATACTATCCATGCCTGCATCTACCCAAGACAATGATCCATATAGAGTGCTCACTCAGTCTGTGACTAAGTTGACCGGGCCCTTGAATCTGTTGCTTCATAATCATGATGAGTTTCTTCTCCAGAATTTGAGCATCATGAATAATGTTGCCACGATTCCCAAGGTATTGGAAGAGATTCAACAAGGTTTGCAGAGAGACAAAGATAATAGTAATGAAGTTAATAAGTGAACGGTTAGTTTGAAATAGAATAATGACTACGACTAAGATAGTACCGTACCCATACTTAATCATGTGGTTAGAGATTAGATAGTACGCGCTTGTACTTACATGCATAGAATGAGTATGCGATCACACGATCTTGGAATATCTACTTACCATGACATGATGAACAAACGTGTCCACATTATAATCTTGGTTTAGTTGTAGAAACTTGTGGCTTAACTGTTTCAATTAAATTGAAATTGAAATTGATCAAACAAATGAGTTACCAAGATATTACTCCTATTTATAGTTCGTATAATACCACTTCTCCTCTTTGAATATAAGACAACAAAACCATCACGTATATATACGGAGATTGCTAATTATCAGATTCGATTAGTAAATACTACGGAACTATCTCCGAAATCTTTATCATTCGATTAAATCCTTGATTGAGGTTAGCGGTCATTAGCCCAATCGGGAAGGTCCCGGTCTTAAGCTCTGCTGCGTCCCAAACAGGAAAGGACTGCGGATATAACTTTTCAATATCCACAGTTTGAAAAATCTCTATAAATATTGGGGGATAGAAGCTTAATCACCATTATTCAATTGGTTTTATTACACATTCTCAATTACTCAAATAAGTAACTAGGAAACTAATACTATACTAATAAAAATGTCTACTAAATCAATCTTTGTTATTGGTGCTACTGGATTCATTGGACTCCAAATTGCTTTAGCCTTACGCCATGCTGGCTTTATTGTCTATGGACTTGCTAGATCGGATGAAAAAATTGGAATTTTATTAAAAAATGAAATTATTCCTATTTTACATACTTCTAATGATGTGAATTATCTTGAAAAAGTTGCTAAATTAGGTGTAACTCATGTTATTGATTTAAGTGGTACACCTGTTAGTACTCCAGCAATTGCTGCAAAATTAGTTGAAATTAATAAATCCAATAAAGTTAAAATTGGATTGGTTTATACTAGTGGACTTTGGGTTCATGGTAATGATCCAATTAATGAAGTTGATGAAACTCATACTGGTGCAGATGAAAATGTAGCTGAGTTAATTAGATGGAGACCAACTTTAGAAAAGAAGCTTTTAGCTTATAAGGATGAATTACCTGTTATTGTTGTTAGACCTGGACTTTTATTTGGATACAATTCTCCAATCTGGGCTGTTTTCTTTAAAGACCTTGTTGAAGAAATTGTTAAGAATGGTAAAGGAGAAGTGTATATCCCAGTTAAAAAAGATTTAAAAACTGGTTTCATTCATGTAACTGATGTTGCTGACTTTTTCCTTAAAGTTATTGAAAAATTCGAATTGTTTAATTCATCAGTTCATAAATTAGCAATTTTTGATATCATTAGTGAAACCATTGAAGTTGCTCCATTCCTTGAGAAAGCTGCTAAAGATTTGGGATTTAAAGGTTCTATCAACTTTGCTGGTCCACCACCAGGTAATAAATTCATTGAAGCTTTTAATACTTCTTTTGTTGCAAGTTCTAAACGTGCAAGAAGTCATTTTAATTGGGAACCAAAATCATTGATTAGTAGAGATATTGGACTTTATGCTAGATCATGGGCTGCTGCTAATAATAAAGATTATGTTAATTTTTATGCTAAACTCTAATTCTACAATGTTATATAGGTTAAAAAATATTGAATTCTCGTTAATTGAATAATATACATATGTTTAAGCTTCAAGACCAAAATTGTCACCTAATAAACCATCAAGATCGAATTCTTTGGCCCAGGTATTGACAATAGTAGTTTGTTCAACTTTTGGAGGTTCTTTATCACCTCTTAAAGAACTCTTTGGTGCATCAGCATTATAATCTTCTAAGGCCTTATCAGCAGTAGCTTTAGAAGCCTTTGGTAAAGTCCAACCAATAATTCTACCATCTCTCCAATCAGCCAAAACTGATAATGCAGCAGCTTCTAAATTAGGAATACCACCTTTACCTAATCTACCTCTACTTCTAGCTATATGAATTAAAAATTGTTTAGCAAATTCATTTAAATCTGCTGATGGTAAAGCTGGTAATTGATAATAAGATTTTAATCCATCAGCCATTTCAGTATCTTTTGAAAGTTTCTTTAATAATAAATGTATAGCAGGAATTGGATCAATTATTTGTTTAGGTGGAAGAGCTGATAATAAAGCTAATTTAGCTTGTTGCTGAACTTTTGATAATTTTTTAGTATTAATGATTTCATCGGGGAATACTATACCTGGAGAATCTAATACTTTCAATTTATTATCAACTTTAACTTCTCTCATTGAAGTAGTTACACCAGCTTGATTACCAACTGGACATGCTTTAGAATTATTACCGTGTCTATTAGTTAAGGCATTTATTATAGAAGATTTTCCAACATTTGGATATCCAATAACACCAACTATAATTGATCTTTTTAAGTTTGATTTAGCAGCATAACTCTTTAATGCTTGTAATAAAGAGGTAGCAGTCATTGATGAAGTTAAATTTTTATTAAAGGAGTTAGCACTTGGAGCTCCTGGTGATGCTTTGATTGGAACAGTAGGGAATGATGATTTTAAGAAATTGAGCCATTGGTTTAATACATTGGTAGGAATTAAATCAACTTTATTTAATACTAAAATCAATCTTTTACCTGGATTTTGTAATACGGCTTGTTCAACTTTTCTGGATCTAGTAGATTCTGGATCTCTAGCATCCAATACATATAAAATGACATCTGCTGCTTCAACTACAGTTTTAAAAATTTTATCATATGCTTTACGGGATTTATCGATTTCAGAATTATCTTCATCATCTTCGATTTCAATATCGTATTCGACATCTTCATCATCCTCATCTTCCATTCCATCTTCATCTTCATCATCATCTCCATCATATTGTTTAGCGGCTTGTTGAGCAGACTCTAATAATGCAGCTAAACCACCTTGACCATCTTCTTCTTCATCATCTTCCATATCATCATCGATGGCTTCACCTCTAGCCAAGGCTTCTTCCCTTTCAAGTTGTTTTTGTAATTTCAATTCTTCTCTCTTTTCACGTTCTACTCGTCTTTGATCTTCTAATTCTTCAATAATTCTATGTTTATATGGGAAACTGGCTGGGATACCTGGATCCTTCTTAACACGGGATTTCCAAGTCACATCCTTCTTGGCGTTTTTTCTATTCTTTCTTTGTTGAGCATTGGCCTTTTTTTTTATACCTTCCCTCATCCGGGTGGTTGTTCTCTTCGATGTAGGCTTCTTAACTCTCATATTTACTCTATTACTAGCTATTAAAGGCTCTAACTTAGACTTGCTTAATGTATTGCAGTTCATCTGAAAAAAAAAATATTCAAAAAAAAAATATTCTAGCTGAGATGGATGTCGTGTGGTAACCTATTTCTGTGTAAACTCACTAAAGGATGTAATTGAGCTTTAGCTCAAATAACTATTTAAGCCTAACTACGGTGTCTAGTGTCATGTCTTAGTAAAGGGCCATATTTTGGCCCATTACCTGGATGATGCTGCTGGTAAAATGACTGGTAAAACTTATTTTATTTTTTGTACTTGTACTTCCGAGGTCTCGTACCATAAAAACTATTTAAACCACTGAAGACAATTTATTCATACCACATTAATTTGTAAATTGTCTGCCACAAGGCAAGTTTATTTCATATTTATGGTATATGTAAACATGTAGAAGAGGCTGTGCCCGACTAGTGGAGTAAAGAACATATAATAGAGTGTATTTGGAAGTTGGATACTGTATAGGCTATATAGATTATATTTTATTATATTTAAGATTTCTAAAAGTAAACTGAAATAAACTAAGTCAAATGCTTAGAAGTTAATGCTTATGAATTATCTAATCATCTGGATCTTCAAATGGATCTTGTTCAAGCTTAACTCCTTTAATGCCCATATCTTTGTGAATGGTTTTAGTGGAGTACGGCTTCTTATACCCGACATGTTCATTTTCTTCTGGTTCAGATTCATCGTCAGTAGTATCAGTTTCAAACGTATCACCTCCTTTAATTATTGAAGTAACTAAACCTGGCTCTTGAGGGATTTTAATCTCAATGTTCTGGATTGGTGGGTCGCTATGAAGTTCAGATATACTTGAATCTTTTGTATGACTACCATCCACAATAACATTTCCTTTAGTTAATGAAAGTTTACCAGTAATGGGATCAACAACAGCAGTTAATTCTTGATAATCTTTAGAAATAATTCTATTCAAAAGCTTCTGCTTAACCATTGTCTTGAAATTGTTTTTAATTTCTGGAATTTTCACAACAGCATATTCGGCGGCATCTTTCAAATCTTGAGGGGTAACTACTATTTCTACTTGACTTGGAACAGGAACTGAAACCACTAATAATAGTAGACTTAAAGTTTGTAATACCACCCCTAATAACATTGTAAGTATTCGTAGTATGATTTGATAGAATTGAAGTGGTAGTGAACTAGTAGTTAAGTAGTATATAATAAAATTCTACATAGCGATAATAAAAAGATCTAAAAATTGCTGCGAAAAATATCTCTATATGATCAAACGCGCTTAATCAAATTTGCAAAATTTTATCATTAAATGTCTTAATCTGTCTTCATATTCTTCTGGATTAAGCTATTTATCTTATCTCAAACAGAAAGGAATTCAAGAAAACATAATATTGATTAAAGAGGTTACAAAGACTATGTATACTATAGATTCTAGCTTCAGATTCCACCTTGAAAATGTTTAAGTTCATCAGTATCGTAGTCGTACACTTGTTTACCTTCAAAAAAAGTTTTAAGCACTATAGTGTCAGAAATAGTTGGAGCATTGATAAGATCACGATCTAAGAAAATGAAGTTAGCCAACTTACCCTTTTCAATGCTACCATCAATTTTTTCCTTACCAATCGCATAAGCCCCATTAATAGTAATCATGTCAATGACATCTTTTCTAGTTAAATTCCAGCCATGTTTATTCTCAGTAATAGCTTGAAGACCAGGAAAAATGTTTGGAGTGTCAGGTGCAAATACCCAATCTGAACCAATGGTAAGAAGCGCACCGTGATCCTTCAAAGTATTGAATGGATACACCGACTTTGGATTAACCTCTGGTTGAAATTCTGGATCTTGCCAAATTGCAGGACTCATTTCTGCAGTAATATTCAAATCTTTGTAACGTTTGCAGTCTTCTACCGTAACATCCATATTATGGGCCAATTCATGTCTTGGACCATTGGGACGCTTTTTACGTAATTCTTCGAAACAGTCCAAAGCAAACCTGGCAGACCCTTGACCACAAACATGAACTTTACAAGTTCTACCTTCAGCATCAAATTTTTCAATACCTTTTTTGAAAGTTTCTGGGGGAATTAATAACTTACTGAAATCGATTTCATCTTCTTTCAATGAGCAATGGGTTTCATGTGGAAGCCAAGGGACACCATCTAACCAACACTTTGTAAATAAAGGATCAAAATGTTTTGTTTTAAATTTTTCAACGTTAGGCTTATAGACAGTATGATGAAGATTACCAATTGATTCAGCCGAAAAAGCTCCAGCACCATACCAAACAACATGAGCCGATACATTAAGAGTTAAACCTTTTGTTTTTTCCAATTCTCTTGCAGCATCTAAATAGACTGTATTACAGGAAGCTTCTTGGACAGATGTAACACCAAAACGATTTAACATATTGACCCCATACTCAAGTGCCTCGGTGTTATACTTCAAGTTATATTTTGGCATACTGTAAAAAATCTTAGACGCAGCCATTTCTACCAATTCTCCAGTAATAGAGCCATCCTCACGTCTAACAAAGTATCCACCTGGTGGGTCTTCTGGATTTTCGTCATAACCGACAGCTCTTAAAGCAGCAGTGTTCACAAAAATATTGTGAGTTGTATATTCTCTTATAACAACTGGTTGATCACCAAATGCATCATCTAAGAATTTTCTGTCAGGTTTACCATCCTTGAAATTTGCATAATGATAGAAGTTACCAACAAGCCAATTGCTAACAGCATCTAAATGTTTACAGCCATCCCTATGCTCCTTTAATCTTTCAACAATTTCTTCAGGTCCAGTAGTGGTACCCAATTTAGCTTCGAAAAGCTTTTCTTGTGAAGCCATCAATAAATGACAATGAGCGTCATGGATACCTGGCATAACAAATTGCCCCTTTAAATCAATAACTTCTAATCCTTCAGCCAACCCCAAAATCTCTCTAGTAGTACCCACCTCTCCAAAAAATCCATCCTCAGTAACAATAAATGCTTCAGCGGTTGACCTCTTGTCATCAACCGTATAGACGTTTGCATTAATATAAGCTCTAGACATTTTTATTTTTATTCTTATTCTTCAGTTTTTGTAATTTCTTGATGTATTAGAGTCAATCTTGCAAATTAGAAACAGATGGGATTATATATTCTTTTGATTATTTCTACATGTGGGGGTATACGATTAGATAAGAGCTTGAAATAACATCAACTTCGCTAATTTTTCCTAATAAAGGATATGAATCCTTCTTAATCCATTAGGGGGTATTATATCAATTCAAAGCTAATAGCAAGACGTAGAATTGGCTACTGTTGACCTCCACTCAAAGGTCTTATCTGAATTTTCTTGGGTACTTCTTTTCTTATCAGAAATTCATACTGCATTTGACAAAAACATCCTAAAACTCTTAACAATAAAGATATATGATAGTTTCAATTAACTTCATTAGGATAAAGAGAGAGAGGGAGAGAGGGAGAGAGGGAGGGAGGGAGAGACATAAATCACATGTATTTGAAATCTATTCTTTATCGAATTGATCAACGATAAACTGTTATCTCTTATGCGACAAAAGGTATGCCTAAGGGCTTAGCCGAAGACAAAGGATAAGCAACCGAATTCTCCTTAAATACTGCATCACCAATTTCATCAAAACCGTTTACTTAGTAATTTATTATTTTTTTTCGCCTGTCAGGTCTAAAGTGTAAATCCCAATTGGTTGCGACTGGCTACTATAAGCGATAGCTTCTCAGATAGTAATCAGATAAGTTTACAATTTGATTCAATTTCAAGCTGCCCTTAGTTGAGCTTTACACATGTCATTTTGATATTATGTATAAAGTAGTCGGGAATTAGATTAGGAAAAACAAATAACCTCTTTGTTAATAATTGATGTTAGATAAGAACCCACTTGATTGCAACTAGCCCCATCTTTCTAGTGTGTTTCTTTGGATTTTTATTATAATCCTTGTCTTTGCTGGAATCTTTTCTTAGTTGGGTTAAAATTAAACCTTTCTTCCATGTTGAGACAATTATTAAGCCATAATTAAATTTCTTATTCAAGTAAAACTAAACGATATCATATCCCGAGAATTCTTTAAATATCAGATAACCATATTTCTAAATGTCCCCACTTGTAGTAAAGGTTTCCCATTTCCCATTTCCCATTTGTAAATCAAAGATTAAGGATTTCTTTTCTTAATCAAAATGAAATATGAACAACAACTTTGATAGATATTCCACTTTTTCTTTTTGTATTGGGGACAATGACCTTATATAAGTCAAGTTGATATTCCTTGATCATTGTAAACCAATCAGTCATAAAAATACATATAATACATATTAATAAATTAACAACCTGAAATGATAAAAGAAGAATCTAAATTTGAAGACATTAAAATACCTGGAACTATCCATTTGGTGGATATCGAAGGTACATTGGATGTTAAGCATGAAGAAGATGATAATATTGTTTTAATTCCTCAACCAACTGATGATCCAGAAGATCCATTGAATTGGAGTAAATGGAGAAAAAGAAAAGTTGCTTTATGTCTTTTATTGGCTGTTTTCGTTGGTGATATTCTCACTACATCCCTTTCAGCTGTTTTATTAGTTATTGAAGAAGATACTGGTATTTCATTAGCTGATTTAAATACTGGTGTCGGAATTCAATATTTATTCTTTGGTTGGTCCAATCTCTTATGGCAACCTCTTGGTTTAACTTTTGGTAGACGTCCTGTTATTTTATTTTGTGGTTTAGGATGTATGCTCTGTACAGTTTGGACATCTTATGTGACAAGTACTGGTGAATGGTATGCTAATAGACTTATATGTGGAACTTTCTATGGACCAATTGAGACTTTAATCGAAATCTCCATAGCCGATATATATCAAGTTCATCTTCGTGGAGGTTGGATTGCCTGGTATTGTTGGACCTTATTTAATGTTCCATTCTTAAGTGGTATAGTTGCAGGATTTATTTCAGATGATAAAGGCTGGAGATGGATTCAATTCATTGCAGCAATCATTTCTTCCGCTTGTCTTATCATAATGTTTTTCTTCATGGAAGAAACTATGTTTTACCGTGATCATGCTTTAGAATTAGGTCTGGTTGAGGAAATAAAATCTGACGGATCATCACTGGAACCACTGGAACTTGAACCAAAAAGTTCAAACTATAAAGTTGAAATTGATAAACTTGATAGTTCTGAAGTATTACCAAAGTCCTATCAAACTAAAACATTTGCTCAAAGGCTTAAGTTTTGGGGAGCAAGAGATCCAAGACAAAAGAATGTATTTTGGCAGTCAATGTATATGCCATTCGTTCTAGTTCAGTTTATTCCAATTTTGTATGCTGGTCTTACAGTTGGTGTTGTACTTAGTGTTTTCAATGTTGTTAATGCAACCATCTCAACTGTTCTTTCATCTCCTCCTTATAATTTTTCAGCTAACATGATTGGAGTCTTTTTCATTTCTCCAGCTATTGGAATAACCATTGGTTCTTATTTTTCAGGTGCAATTGTTGATAAATTTACAATTATACAAGCAAGAAAAGGTAAAGGTTTTAGAGAACCAGAATCTCGTCTTTGGCTTGCGGTTGTACCAATGATTATCCATCCATTTGGATGTTTACTTTATGGAATTGGAGCCTCACATGGAATTCATTGGATTGGTTTGGCATTTGGGTTAGGTATGATTTGTTCAACATTTCCAATTGGATCAGCCATTGCTATCAATTATATCATTGATTGTTATAAAGAAGTATCTGGTGATGGACTAGTTACTATGATTTTAATTCGTAATAGTATGGGGTTTGGCTTTAGTTATGCAGTGACTCCATGGTTACAAGCCGTTGGAACTCAAAATCTTTATATTGCCATAGCTTTTATCGGAGTTTTCTTTTGGTCACTTTCATTTATAATGATTGCGTTTGGTAAAAAGTTCAGAAAGTCAAATGCAGCTGCTTACTGGAATTTAGTTGAAAAGCATGAACTAAAGGCTCATTGAATTGATGTCTTGTTGGTTACCCTTTTCATTTCTGTTTTTTGTTTTTTGTTTTTAGTTCTTTTTGCTCTTTTTGTTCTTTTACACTTAGCTTTATATTTCTTCAGTTCTTCGTGTGTTCTTGTTTTTCCCTTTAGCTAGTCTGATGTTATATATATATATGTTTTATAATTTGCTGTACTTCGCCTATATCTAAAAGAGAGTAGAGCGCCTTATCGTGCGAGTATCAGAAAATAGGGGCAATTTAATACCAGTAACGTTAGAGTATAAGCCCGTATTTTCCCACCGATAGGCGGTAAGCGGGACGTACCGTCGACTTTCAAAGTTTTGGGCGGCTTAGTTTTGTGTAAAATGCAATACATACCGATGTTGCAAAATTCAAAATTATACTAAAGAAAACAGTAGTCCAGAGCTATAACCACATTAGAAATCAATTAATAGACATTTGAAATACTCGGTAGAAACCTACGAGGTACGTTAAATGTAAAATTCTTTGCTAATTAAGGGAATATTATCGTTTCATTTTTGACCTTTTTAATATATTTTGCAAATAATTTAGGCATAATCGTTAAATTACATTTCATATTGAAGATTATTCTCTAGGATTTCCTGAATGTTATAGTAATATTAAAACTATCACTTTCTTTTCCACATTAGTGAATAACTATGTCATTACATCCTATAATTTGTTCAACTAAAACCATAAAAAGAGATCAAACCAGGTAATTAGTCCTGCTATTATCCAAAGGTAGTATTTTTTATTCTATAGAAGACTTGGAACAGGAACTTAACCCACTAATTATAAAAGACTCAACTTTTGTAATACCACCGCTAATAACATTGGAAGTATTCGTAGTATGATTTGATAGAATTGAAGTAGTAGTGAAATAGTATATAATAAAATTCTACAAAGTGGAAATAATAAAAAGATCTAAAAATTGCTGCGAAAAGTGTCTCTATACGCACATATATTATAGTATTTAATTAGGAGTCTTACCTCTACTAATTGAACCAGAACTAGACGTTCTATGAATCGAATCTTTACTATTGTTCTCCGTTAAATGATTATAAGCTCCTCGTTTAGGAACCACAAACGGTTTATTCATAAAATTATTTAAATGCTTAGCTTGAGGTTGACCTTGAGGATCAAAAGGGCTAGACGATCTTTCACGCTGATCTTCATCAGCGAGATTAATATTCAGTCTTGTTCTTAATACTGAAGCATATGGTTTAGTAGTATGATCTTGAATAGATGATGGAGCAGGAGATCCAGGATTAGATGATAATACAGGATTAGCTGCCATAGGTAATATGTTATCATCAAGACTAATATCATTTCTAAGGAATTGATAATTATCCACATAATTGTTTAATCCTGGAATTCTAGAAGTTACACTTAATACAGCTTTTCTAATTGGATAAGGAACTTGAAGTCTCTTGAACTTATTAGACCAATGTCCTAAATGTGATTTGCCAAAGTGATAAATAAAGTATAATAATAATAATACCAATATTATTGAGAATACAGATTTAGGACTTATATCTTCACCTTCATCGTCATCGGAATTATATCCACTACTACTCTTACTATCAACTATTCCACTACCTGGAACAAATGACTTTCCTGAAATAGGACTAGGATAAACTCCAATATCTAATTTACTATTATCTGAAGCTTTTATTTGAGATGAAGCAAATAATAAAATCTTACCTAAAGTCCAAGAAAGTTCTTCACCATTAATTGAATCTGCTGATTTGAAAGGTACATTAACACGAGATAAATCTTCTCTAAAGGATTCATCTTGTTTATCATCCTCTATATCAACACCTAATCTAGGTAATTCAAAACCTTCATGTAAAATATTCATGACCCAACTAGCTTTAAAACATGCATCCTTTAAAAACTTATCGGGATCAAGTTTAGAGTATTGGCCATTTTTGGAATTTTGTAAGATTGTAGACCAATCACTTTCACAATAATCTCTAACTTTTTCATTAAAACTATGGTAATTATATTCACCACCACTTTGAAATATATCATTAGCAGTATACCAATATTCTGAAATTCCAATGAATTTATCCTTATCAAAATTTAATTTTGGACCATGAATACCATTGAATAAACATGGTTCATCCACACAAGGTAAATTTTTTAATAATAAAGGGTATATGCTTTTTATACATTGCTCATATTTCCCAATTCCATGAACTTTATAAGTAGTTGAATCATATTTATAATCTATGGTAGCACCTTTAGGTAAACAAGGGTCACTTATTTCATGTTTAGATGATGGATTTACTTGTGATAAAGTAATTAATTGTTCCAAGAATCTCTTTCTTGCCTGGTTAGCTCCAAAGCCCAACCAGGTTTCAACAAATACATTCCATTGTTGAGTAGTTCCATCGATGCTTCTTAATGTTACTACCGATAAATCCTCCTTATGTTTAGTAATTTGTTCTGGTAGTGAGGGAACAAATGCGATTTGAGTTGATGCACCACCCATATCCATAAATCCAATTGATTCATGCTCGGATGATTGAGTATCATAATTATCAAATTGTCCCATTAAATAATTTAATCCTAACCATCCATAAATTCCTTCAGTAGATCCATCAATAATTTGAACAAACTCTTTACAATTAGGTAAATTAAATGATGTATGTTTCTGGATTGAACTACAGGTTTCTTGTAATATCTGCTTTTGATGTTTTGGCTTTAAAAGTCTCATACCAGCAGTTGATAATACAAATACTGGTGTTGAACTATGTTGATCCAGAGGTATTTTATCTTGAGCGAATTTCATCAATTTTGAATAATGATCAGGCCATATCTTTTTCACCTTATCATTATAACTAGATATACCTGGAGTTATCTTCATAGACCAATCTTTCTTTTGAATTATCTTAGGTGGAGATCGTAATACAGTTGAATCATCACTAGATTTAGTGTGCGAGGGATTCTCCCAACTATAGATCTGAATTCTTGATCCTGAAGAACCAGAATCTATCACGATCCCATAGTTGACTTGGGAGTCACGTTTCTGAACTGTGTCTATATGGTTCATTCAGAATTAGTGGAGTTCTACTGGTGACTGGTGATGGAGGATTGGTAACTAGTGAGGTGAGGTGGTGGGCAAGTGAAATTTGAATTTCCACCGACTTCACTAATTTGTGGGGAGTAGCGAGCACAGTAATATTTACCGACTCAATGTTTAGTGACCGAGAATGAATAATTACTGAAGTAATTAATTATACTCCAGATTCATCTTACCGAGTCATTGAACTTTCGCTAACATGTTGGTATTCCCTGATACTCCTCCATTACCAGTTCCTCTAAAATCTTCGAGCTTACCAGTTGAATTGCTCTCGCTAAGATCCTCCTTAAGCTCGCTCCAGATATCATCGTATCCTGACTCCGTTAGGTATGCTATGGCCACTGAACAATATTTAGATGGAATACTAAGATATATAGCCAATGCTTGTGGTAGTACTGAACTTATACTGATATCAAAATATGCTTCATCTATAACATTAACTCATGAAGTACCATGGATTCATTTACTGATTGGACCTCATAAGAAATTTGAAGAACTTAAGGAATTAGGTAAGAAATTATCATTGAAAAAGTCTACCAAATCAACTGATGAAATAGAATGGACATTATTTAATGAACTTGAAACAGTAGTAATTTCATTATCATTTATTTATATTAAAGTTGGATCAGAATTAACTAATGAACTCATTGATGAATCAATGACTAATATTAATGAAGCTACAGAAAAATGGAAACAAGTAATTAATATGTTTAAGAAATCTATTTCATTTAGTTTATTTGGTTTAAGTTTAAATTCATCTAATTCTGCTATTTATGTATTTATAAATAAAGTTGCTGAAGTATGTATACAAATGTCTATATTATCTAAATCATCATGGATAAATCGAAATCAATTTAATGAAACTGAAACATTTCAAACATCTAATAATGGAGCACTTGCTCGAGTAGCAGTCTTCATAGTAAATGAATTCACTAGTCTAAAGAATTTAATAATTGAACTTCAACTGAGTTCAGGACTTCAACTTGATTCAAGTCAATGGCTTGAATATTTGAATGTAGTTCATAAATATTCTCAAGCTTATGCTGGATTATTTCTTTCAATCGAGAAATATCAACAAGATAAATTAGGTCATGCCATTGGTTTAGTACATTATAGTTTATTAAGTCTACAAAGTAAAAAGATTGAATCTACTAATAAGTTAAAGAATAAATTTATTAATCGTAAAAATGATGGATTATTATTAAAATTAAATTCATTATCGACCCTAAATATTAATCAACTGATATTTAATTCAAGTCAAATCACTTTAAATGATATGACTTACTTATTTGATCAACTTATAAAGTTGAATTTAAAATTTGAAAAGGAAAATAATAATCTCAAGTTTGATACTGTAGTTGATTGGTCAGATATCAATCATGATTCTAAATGGCCAGTAGGGAATAAAATTCCAGTTTCAACTATAGAATCATATAAACCATTTAATTCTGAATTATCAACAATATCAACAATATCTCAAGCATATTCAGGTAGAGGTGCCTATTATTAGTGAATAGACTTAAATATACTATGAATTTCTTGTCTACCAATTCCAAAATCAATATCTCTATCAAAATCTGATCGTAAGATCTTATTTAATCGGGTAAAGTAATCAATAAATACTTGTTCTAAATCCAGCCATAACCGATCTAATAAATCCTTTTCAAACATATCTGTTCCACTAATGAAATGTTTTTCTAATTTTTTAAATATTTCTCCAACTTTTAATTGAAGTTCTTTAGTAGTATAATTACTAAGTAAAGTTTTAACAAATTTCTTATTATATTTCTTACTACTTGATCCACTACTCATATTTTCAAGGGCTTCATAATTACTAACAAATTCAACTAATTTCCCAATATTCTTATGTAATAATCGTTGGAAATAATTTTGTTCAATACTATTAAATATAGTATCTAATCTTGATCTCATTGGATTTGTTGAATTTGATCGAGAAATTGATGATAATTCATCAAGAATATAAAATACATTTTGTAAGATGGTAACATTTCTTCTTTCTCGTTCTTTATCATCTAATTCATTCTTCTTTAACAAAGGATCATCACGAGAGAATAAACTAACTAATGCTTCAGTAACATCCAGATAAGTTTTATCTACCAAAGTTTTAACTGAACTATTTCTTAATTCATATTGATGAGATTCTAATGAAGATTCTGTCATTAATAAGATTTGATTAATATTCTTAACTGGTTGTAAAATACCACTCTTAGCTACAATTATAGAATTATTAATCAGATCAAGTTGAGTTACTATGAATTTATTCCAACTAGTTAATAATTTAGTTTGAAATCGATCAATAAAATTATTCTTAACATATGCTTGATGAGTATTTTGTAATTGATTGGCAATTCCTTCTAAATAAACAAGTATTACCGGAATATTAAGTTCAAATGGATTAAGTTTTTTAAGATGAATATTAATGAACAGATTAAAAATAGATGATAATGTAGTAATAAGTTCTGTGGTTGAATGATTCTTACCATCTTGTAATGATTCAATTGATTGTTCAGGTAATTCTTCTGAAAGTCGAAGTCTTTCTTCATAAGGATATATTGATAAATATTCATTAAAATCAATAGTATCTTGATCAATATGAAAGAATAATACCATAAAGTATTGAACCAAAGTAATTATACTTGTCAGTTCTTCAATGGTTTGAATAACAAATTTAGGATCTTCAACTTCTGAATGTTTAAAAGTAGTTGATCTTCTCATAGTTACATTATTAATATTAATATTACTACTATTATTATCATCATCAAGAAGAAGATCTTGTCCAATCCCACTAAATTTACTAACTTTCTTAGATAATCTTAAAGTCCTTGACAGTCTTAATGGAGCTGTTGTTTCTTCTAATGAATGAGATAATCCAATACTCATAGTAGAAGTAGAAGTAGTTCCATGAGCTTTAATTCTAGCGGAAATTAATTGATCAAAGAATTTCGCCAATAATGAATTAACAAGATGATTAAATTCCACAAATTCAATAGATCCCACACCTTTAACAAAGAAAGTTAAACCAGAATAAATTGTAAGTTTACTCAATTGACGTAAAAGAGCATGAGGATGGAAACGATCTAAATTGGCTTGGAATTGATCAAATATACTTCTAAATTGTATAGATAAATACCCAAGGAAATGTTTAACAAACTTCTTAGCCACCACTTCATAATTGGATTGATATTGTTTAAGAGCCTTCATAGAACTTAAACTATCATTATTAGTATTATTGGTATTATTAATATGAGTAGATGCATTAAATAATTCAAGTAATTTACCTTCTAATGATAATAATTTAGATACATTATCAAATTCATCATAAGAAGCAATCATCTTTAAATCTTGAGGATCAATTTTAACTCTTTCTAACATACTTTTAAGATCATTATATAAAATTTTCTTATTAATTGATTTAACTTGTAAACCTTGAGAATTATTTTCAATAGTTTCAATATCTGGAGTTATCCGATTAAAATCAATTTCAAGTTTTTTAAAGATATGAGATAAATTTTCAACTTCACTCATTGCTGTGGTAACTTCTTTAGAAATTGTACTATTACCAAAATTTATATCCATAAGTACTGATACATTATGTAATTTAACTTTATTTAATTCTTGAGTTAATTTCTTAATTATAGAATTACTAGTATCAGTAGTTGTCCAACTAACATCTTCAAAGAAATCATCGGCATCAGTATCTTTATCAACTTTAATTAATGTTTCATTAAAATCTTTCTTAACAATATTTAAAGAATTCTCTTGTTCAATGGGTTGAAGTTCAACCGTTTGATCAAACGAATAACTTCGTTTACCTGGATCAGGATTATTTAAATCTTCTTCTTCATCAGATACAATTATTGCTGGAGCTTGAAGAGCAGGTTTGGTAGACTTATTAAAATTGATTTGAGTATCAAGCATACTTTCAATCTCTTGAATCGATGTATCAATAGGGTTTGATCCTGTAGTAGATGGTTTTCTTAACTTTGGAGGATTTAATTGTGGTGGTGGTACACTCAGTTTCGGTGGAGAACCCAGTTTTAATTGAGAAATTTGTTTAGGTGGTGAACTCTTATTTGAAAGAACTCGTTGTAATATCGATGTCAGTTTTGGAATAACTTTGTCTTCTGTATCACTTTCATCAGTAATCTCTTCTATACCAAAATCAGGAGATTTCCCAGAAATATCTGATTTCTGTGATGGTTGAAGTTTCATTGATTGAGCAGGAGATTGAGGGATTTGATGAGCAAAGTCTTTTACAAATTGAGTCTCATCCTGAATATTACTGCTACTACTGTCTAATTGATTCTGTAATTTTAATCCTAAGGCTGCAGCAGATGCAAGATCACTACCATTGGATGGATGTCTTTCTACTTCCTTTTCAATCAACGGTTTATACTTTCTTAATGGTGAAGAACCTGCTTGCTTAGCATATTCATGAATCTTCCGTTCAGGAGATTCTTCTCGAATAGATGTTGGTATAGAAGTTACTGATTGATGAGGTTGAGATTGAGATTGAGATTGAGACTGAGACTGATCTCCAAATACAAAACTATGACCATCCCCACTAGCTTGACTATGATTAGATTGATTATATAATGATCCAGATCCACCACCTGGTAAAGAAGTTTCACTAACATTAGGTCGATCTACCAGTAAAACTTTCATGGGTTTCATAGGTAATTGCCCATTAGAAGTGAAATCATAGTCTTTATAAAATTCACTTTTACTAGAAGCTACACTGGCATTTCTTCCATTTCCATTTCCATTCCCATTTCCATTTCGATTGGGAGTTGGAGGTAATTTCAATTCTTCAAGAGTTATTCCTGTCAATTGAGGATATTTCCCAGTAAATCGTCCATAACTTTCAACTACTGATCTAATGAATTGCCATAAGATATCATAACCTTCAATGGCTTCCCAAAAGTAGACCTTATTTAACGAGAAAATGAATCCTCCTTTATCAAGTTTACTAATCAGTTTCAATTCATCTAAATCCCAAGTTCTTCCAATTTGATAGAGATTTCTTTCTTCATTAAGTTTACCCTTTTGTAAAAGGATTCTTCCACTATATTTAATACATAGTACTAATACTCTAGTTTTAACTGATCCACTAATAGTTCCTGTTGGTGGAGGTCGATCAGGATATGATGAAAACTCTTTAACTAACACATGGGTTTGATATGATGTTTCATTAACATTTCTATTAACTCGTTGATCGAAATGGAGCTTCGAATAACAATCTGCAATCAACTTATCGCTGACCATTTGTCGTTGAAGCTTTGGATCCATTCGTGATTGGTATTGTGGTTGAGGTTGTAATTGAGGGTTAGATTGAACCCGACCACCAGGATTCAACATTGAACGAGGTGGTTGACTCATTTGTGGTGGTGGTCTACCTCCGTATGGGCCTGGAGCTTGACCAGGACCTGGAATGATTGAGCCAGGTCCTGGTTTAGCTACAGAGCCATAACCAGGTCTTCCTTGCGATTGAGGTTTTGGTTGCCCAGGATATTGCGGGTAGGGCGGAGTGGTACGTTTCATGGTGCCTAAATCAGTAGTACTGATAGTGGTACTGTTACTAGTAGATTTACTAGTAGTGGTAGTTTGGTCGATAGTTGATACTTGAGTATTTTTTCGCTACGCGGAGAAGTTAGTGGTGGTCTCGGTATGTTTTGTTACGCTACACTAACAATTATATGGTACACATAAAAGTGTATCTATATATAAATTATGATATCTATAGTATACAGTGACTACATACATGGATAGATAAACCACATACTTACTTACTTACTTACTTTCTAATTTATTTACTTGGAAGCTTTAACCTTTTCCTTTTTCTTCTTAGCCGATTTAGTATCGTCAATGACTTCTGTGGGTGGCTCAACCTTGTCACCAAAGTAATCCCATAATTCACTTAAACTTTCAGATCTATCATCCATACTATATACTCTTCTTCTTAAAGCTTCATTAAAACATATTTCTTGAGTTAATGGTATAAATGTAGTTGACCAACCTTTCTTATAAGTTTCACATTCCATTACAATTTCTTTAAATTCCAATTCTTGTAATTTTAATTCGATTTCAAATTGCTTATAAATATCATCTCCAATTAATCCATCTTGATATAATTTAACATAAATTGGTTGATGTTCCTTTAATTTCATAGTTCTTCTAACAGCTTCTACACATCTTCTTAATAATGCTGCCTTTAAGACTTTTTCATGAGGTTTATTCTCAGGATCTTTAAGAAACTCATATAACTTTTTAGGATGATTTTCTCCAAATATAGATTCGATTTTACTCAATTTATTGATTCGATTTCGACGATATACTACGGAGAATGTGATAAATAATGAAAGTAAAATGGCCGTATAAATCAACGGAGTCCATACTGAAATTCGGATAGGAGGTATGCTGTCTTCGAACGCGGATTCGGTGGAGTTAGTCGAATTAGACATGGTTAATTTACTAATACTAACCGTTCTATAGCTAGTACTTGTGATTTGGTGGCTATTTTTCACCACGTCCACATTTTTCTTTTTGGGGTTTTCTAGAGTCGTGGTGTATGCAGGAAAATACAACTACGTATAAGTCAGAGGTTAACTACTTATTAAATTAACTACTTATTAAATACTATTGAATTAGGTATATGTAAGCATAGTAAATTATAGTTAATAAGTTGATATAATCTTTGGTAAATTTTTAGTAAATTTTAGTAAATTTTAGTAAATTTTGTTGATCATACCTATTTACTCTTTCTATAGGTTATTCCGAAATTACGAGCCAAATCATCAAATACATCAATGTAATCTTCATCGGTAAAGTTGACCAAGATCTCATCGATATGATTCTTTAAAGCTCCCGTAGATGGTTTGGTTTCAGGATTAGTAATAAGATCCACATCTTTAATTTGTGGTGGAGTAATGATTTCATAGAATAATCCCAATTGAATTAAATCGACATTGTTCAATTTCTTAAACTCTCCTAATGTATGGGGGAATGTATCTAAATCAGGTGTATCCCCATCTTTGTTAGTGATAACTTCGATTATATCAGAATCTTCCTTTACCGTACTATTATTAAATAATCTAACTGTAGACCTTTCTTCAATCTTATCTAACAGAGATTGTAATTCAGTAACTAATTGAACTATATCCTCATTGGTGATATAATCATCCAAATTGAGCTTGGTAGAAGATTGAGGTGTATTTGCAGAATTCAATTTGGTTTTAATATCTTTAACTTCTAAATCAAGAACTTTCTGACCCGTGGTTGCAATTAATTTCAGTTGTTTTTCAACATATGAAACCAATTCGGCGACTTTGGCTTCCAATTGAGCAATTGTTGTGGCACTGTTGGTATTGGATGATTCACTCATGATATTATATATACTATAGGAAGTATTATACTATGTTAATTATACGAAATAGTTGAAAGTAAATTAAATAACGTGGTGTGGAATGATGGGTTGTGGAGAGGGGGCTATCCGCAGGTGACTCGGATCATCAATATGCTTGCGACATATAAAATGACAAAAGTACAGTTGCGACATTGAACTTAAATTCGCGACAAGACGTTATGTATTAATATCTTCAGTCAGTTTATGATTAGATATAGTAGAGTCAGTACCGAGTGTAATATATAAGCCATTGCTGTTGGATAGTATTATTCAAATAAATTGATCTTTATAAATTTAGTAGAAAAATGTATGATATGTACGTGTACAATTGTGGTTGTGGTGTTTGACCGAATTTTTGCAGCAATATTGTGTGGTCGTGATGATTACGTTGAAGACCAACATATGATTTTGTGGGTAGATAGTCCACTACATTTAACAATCAAAATTATTTACTTCCACTAGATAATTTCAGATCACGAGAGGACAAAATACAAAGAAATAGAAGCTCATGTCAATATAATATACATGTACTTGCATATTTGTGAGATTGTCTGATAATGAGAGATGGCGAAAGTCATTATAGTTTCTTAGCATATACATAATAAATTTTGGCACAAATTTGCTCATTTAATACTGTCCTTATCTTCTCCTTTCTCCTGGTTTGTATACTATATCTTCACAGAATCTGATATGAAGCCCATCCGTGAATACATAGATCATGCTACCATCAAAGAGTCCACCAAGTTTGTTATCCAAAAGTTGATCAATGAGACTAATTACAACTATTTCAATGATCCGATTGAGAAGGAAAATATCAACAAAGAATGGCAGAGACTAATAGAAAAATTACCTGAGCCAGTAGATGAAGAATCCAAACTAGAAATAAATCGCCGTCAGTTGGCATTCAAGATTTGTAACTTTCACATTATTGTTCCCGAAAACACAATTTTGGATGAAGAATATATTGTCAGTCACCAATATATGGAAGATCTTTTAATAGTAAATGATTTGGTCCGTGATGAAGTGATGCATTACGTCCGGAATAATAATCTATATAAGCCAACATCTATTGACAGAGATTTGATCGAATTATCTGTGGACAATCTATTTTCAATATCTCGTTCCGTATCAGTACCAATACCCAGATTCAAAATCAACTCAAATAATGAAATAGACCCTAACATATATGAATCTATTCTCAGTCCAACTAGCATCATTCCAATTGACTACCCTCCAACTAGCTACAGAGAGAGTTCCAGACATTCGAGATTATCATCATCGAATTATACATTAAAATCACATACTTTTCTCACACTCCTTCAGATTAAGGCCATATCAAACGAGAATAACTTTGCTGACAACTCTTTGAAAATGAATTTTGACAAATTGATAATAGACAAAGCTGCATTGCAAACCATGAAACCTTTTGTCTTTCGTATACCAAGAAGAGACGAGCTCTACTTTTCATATGAAGGTATTGTATCGACATATATTCATCATTTCATTTTACATGCTGTAATGCACTTCTTTCATGATGATGAATCCCCAAAGAGGTACCAATCACCATGTCTCAATTCAAATTGCAGTATTTCATATAACCCTGATAACCATGAATTTAACGTTCCCTTCGACATAAAAGACCAAGGAGTATTTGAAGCTTATCAAAATAGGAATAACCAATTGAAAGATACAGGTTTTCATGAGTTGATTAATGAAGCCATCTACAATTGTTTGTATTGCAAATCCCACATAGGCTTTGTTATCGATATGGATTGTGTACTAGTAGTTGAAATTGATGTAGGTGCCAGTACCAGAATGGGAAGAGTAGATTCTATAGATGGTGGGGAGTATCAGTTACCATGCAATATTAGATGTCTCAGATTTTCCGATTCAAAATATAACCTCACTATTATTTTAATGATGTTAATCAAAGATTACTTTGACAATGTGAACACACACAAAGAAGATCAGGTGGAACGTTTGTTCGATACATTACGACTAACTCGCCAAGATATAGTGGATATGAAGAAGTGGCAGCATGACTTTGTGTACTTAGAATGGGCTTCCAAGTTTAGCCATTACCATCAAATTGAAAATGGTGATTATGCCCATAATATATATCTGTATATTATAATCCCAAAGGAATGTTACGAGGAAGTACATCATATCAAATACGATGTGGAAGACCTCAATGAAGCTGACTTTAACACTAATTGCCCAGAATTTTGTTTTGAGACCTATACCTATTTTCAAGTAGATAGGCTTGATGGAACGATGGTCTTAAAAGTATATAATCCTTACGTTGTGTCCGAGAGATTGCTATGTAATCGTCAGTTTCTCGAATCATATCTGATTGCATTGAGACTGTTTCTTTACGAAGTCCGTGCCTATAGAATAATTGCTGAAGCTCCCAAAATATCTGGAAAGAACGGTATTGTTGAAAATTACAATTCTCATCTTTATCGACTGGGAATAATTAATTGGCCGGCAATTGATGAGAGGTATTTCGGATTCTATCTCTTGATTGGATATGCCAAGCATGATCCATACAAACTAAAGTCACATAACTTATTTATGGAAGCTCAAACTACATTGAAAGATATTCACCACAATAAGGACCGTCATGCTGAATTCTCATGTAAAGAAGCAAATAGTGTAGCTTCTAATTGGCCTATGGGTGAGTGAGAATTTCAGCACACTTTGAGGATGAATTTCGCAAAGGATAATGCAATTAGTTGATTTATTCACTCTAACCCCGCTAGAATCATGAACAACACTGTGTGTAGTATAAAGCTATTTAAAGATTGATATTACTTCAAAATGTTTTTACCTCTTATTTTCCTTTTTGGTAAGGGCGGGATTTTTTAATCAACATCAATTGGTTAATTACATTTTCTTAAATTGCGTTTTAAACTCACTGAAAACATATCCATACTTTTAACTTGAAATACAACGAGGTATTTGCGATTTTGTGTATATTCGAAGAATCCTCTAGATGGAAGCGACAATTTATAAAGTAATTCATATGCAATGGATTGTCCTGATCCCAGCCTCTATGTATTTTCAGAGAACTATGTTAAACCTACAATTTCTATTCAATGACCTTGTAGTTTAAAGTTTTCATGTTTGATAGAATATTGTTCTGTGAGTTATCGGATTAACTTATTTGCTCATTCTTTGAAAATTTGTTGCAAATTATCAAAAAAAACAGAAAATATTTTTTTGTAAAATACAATACAATTAAGTAATTGTAGAAATTAAATTTGTATCTAGTGCACAAAAGTATCTGACATAACTGTTGTCATATTGGATACAGAAAATGCTCAGTTATTCTACGTCTAGTGACATCAACTAAAAGTAATTCATTTACATTCATGTGTCAAACTACTGTCATCGAAGGGTTATTGTTGATATCATGATAGAAGCATCAGTTTCTTTTTTATATTTGTTCTGAAAGAAGTGATACTTCCAACGAAACTACCTTACAAACCTTTTCTCTTATGAAGAAGTTATTTTAATTGAAAATAGAAGTCGTACCAGTGATGATATTATCAAGTTCGGCCTATGTCGGACGTGTTTTAATAAATAAACACAGTGTTTTAAATCGGATAAATGCCACAGAAAGAAAGTCCACATAAACATCTTAAAATCAATCGGTTATTGCGCTTACGAAATTTATTCTGCATGAACCTTAAATTTAAAAGTTAATCAACGTACATATGGCCAAAATATATCCAATGGCGATCAGCTCAGGCCACGAAATAAACTTCAGCGGAACATTCATGATATTATTTAGATTATTATATATTCTATGCTGCATTGGAGAGGATACGTGCAGATGATGAAGGTTGAACCCAGATAAATGAAGTCAGCCAAAACAAAAGAATCTTCAAAAAAATATTATTATTAATTGATAGAGTTCGACAGAAGGTAGACCTGATGCTCATCCATGGCTTAATAATTATGATTGTGCTAATAATAATGGTCTAATAATGCTATTCATTACTTTCTTTCCGATGTTCGCTTTTAGATGGTCAATATTCTATTTTGCGGACCAAAAGAAAAAGAAATTTTCGTAATTTCTTTTCTTCTCTTTGTCCTTTTTTTATGTTTCTGCTACATATGCACAATTACTCACATGAGTGCCACTCACCCGGTCCCATTTATTAAGCATATTGACTGACGTTATAGTAGACTTCACGCCAATATTAAAAATATACGAACTGTGGATAATTCAATATGGAGAGAGCAAATAAATGAGCTAACACCATCTGTGTGTATAAGCAAACAACAGAGATCTAAAAGTATAATTCTGACATGAAATTTCAGATATCGGTTTTGTCTATAGAGATTTGGCATATACAAGAAAAAATAACACCCAACTCTTAGAATTACTGCCAGATTTCTTATTTTATACACTTCCGCTAGATAATTTCAGATCAGGAGAGGACAAAATACAAAGAAATAGAAGTATATCCTGATTTAGAAAAATTACTTACATGATGGGTTAATTGCAATAGTTGTTAGATGCTGTCAATTTAGTATAAGCAGAAAGATGAGAAAGAGTAAACACAAAATGAATACTTTCACATAAAATACTATAGAATAGAATAGAATAAAATAAAATAAAATAAAATACAATAAAACGGACCACGTAAACAATCCAACAAAACAAAACATAATGTATTTCAATTAATCTTATCAGTAAGTTCACAACAATAATTATGGATAAAATTTAGAAAATAAAATAAAATGAAATGAAATCGAAACGTTAACAGCAAAATTATTGCTGAGGTACAGTAAATGATAGCAACAGACAGACGATATAGGAAATCAATCCAGAAACAGACTAAAATAAACGAATCAGTAAGTTTTGTGTACTAAGTGAAATACGCCGATGATTAACGGCATTTAAGTTTACGCAATTCCGAGATGTCAAGGATCGACGAAAGGCTGATTCCTGGTCTGGCAGCGAGTAAACCTGGATTTTCTGTACCGAGGATAATGAAGCTCTCCTAAACAAATAGAAGACCATTAAGAAAGGAAAAATGTCAGAATAATAGCTATGGAGTTAAGCTCATGTCTCTTGTGAATAATCGGCGACAGCAGACTTAGCAAGGTCGGTTCAAGCAAGGAAGACCATCTAACAATAGTTATCTGGGTTACAGGACAGGATGGTACATTAAAATAAACGAAGTAAAACGAATAATAAAAAAAAATATTCTAGAAAAAAAATAATGGAAAATTGGTCCTGTCTAGCATTCAGCTCAAAAATAACATATGAGTGTGAGGGAGTTAAGAGCTAGAATTGGAGTGATAGACGTATGTATACTGTACATAAGGTGCCTTTATACTGTGATCTTCTGTAGTATAGGAATATTGGTTCCTTGCTGCTGGTTGTGTTCTATGTAGCTCCTTATTGTTTACCTTCAATTATGTATTCCAACGCCTGATAACTTGGCTTCTATTATGTATGGTGATGCTTCTAAATACTTCTCTTCTTCGATTGCACCATAACGTATAAGGACATAAAATTTAGGGCATTCTCAAGCATAAGGAGATTTTAATAAGTAGATTAAGAAATAACTGGCTCTTAGTATTTTAATTTCCAATGCTTGTATTATAAAATAAATTATTATTGCTATCGAAATCGCTATTATGTTAATTAGTACCATAATAATATAATAAGGAGACCATGTAAGTAGAAGATATCGAAGAAAGTTACAATGAGTAAATAGGAAACGAAAGAAAATGATTAATTATAAAAAAGGGGCATTGTGGGGTGGGGGACAAAGAAATTGTTAATTTGAATTGACGTTAGTTCAACTATAGACGCATTGATGGTATGTGAGGTGAGTTGATGTGTTGCGCTGTACTTCACGGGGCTCCGTTCCATGTAGTTGGACCCGAACTTTAATTCTTCCGTTTGTCTTACCATGCGTTTCTTTGTTTAATAGCTTCTTAATAGTTTATCAAACAAAGCTATGTACGACTTCACCCCATTAGAGATGATTTCCGCATTAGCTTTCTGTTTTTAGAAATTATTATTTACCATCTAATATATGAGAAATTTATTGAAACGTAAATCTATTTTTTCATTCGGACGTTCAATTATTTCACTAAATGCTTTTGCTTAATTCCGAACCTAATAAAATTGTGACAATTTGTACTTTAAAAAAGAGATCGGTAGATTACGATGTCTCAGCAGTCAATTACTCTTTAGGGGCAATGATAGATCTTAATGATCTCAATATTAAACTGCTACTGAATTACTCATTTCGCGCTTCTCATCATTTGTAGATAAATGGAATGCGCAGCGATTGATATACGGTATTGGGAATAATATTTTGAAATATATGAAAATATAGTTGGTCTGCTAGGGATGCGTGATGAACGGAAGACAGAACAAGACTACAAATCCGGAACGCGGAAAAATGCCATTTCTTCACCCAACACCTTTGTCAAAGAGATATTTTTCTTTTTTTATTACAATTTTATAGTGCATATATTATTTTTTTTGCATGCCTTGTCCAAGGGGAAATTTTTTGAATGGAAGTACGTAAGTTTGGGATGGGTAGTGGATAATGCGTTGCCACAGCATTTCGTCCTTGAAATATATCCAGATTGATCCGAAATAATATATGTCGATGGTTAATTAAATAATTTATTATAGCGCATTTAAAAAACTTTCTATGGTCAGTGAAATATCCGTAATTTGTAGCTTTCTCTCGGCAAGAATTTGGGTTATATCACTAATGGCAAAAACAAGAAAACAGAGGATCTTCACTTCAGATTCGAATGTAAACTAGAAAAGAGAAATAATAATTGAAATCAACACTAAGCCAGAATTAAATTAAAGCCAATAAAGCAATAAGAGATGTATGAATTATCAGGTTAAAAAAAAGTTTAATTGAGAACTACGAAAGGATTTCCGTATATGAGTGCGGAGCATAACCAGAAGCAAAAGCCAGAATATTCATCTAAGAGTAAATACAAAAGAACAAGAGGACTTGGCTAAACCGTACCACAACTACGGCTGGGTTTATCTTAAATATCGAGGGTTGAGTCGTCGCTTGTCTTCATTTACTTCTTCTCTAACGGTAACTATTTCTTACTATTCTATTTATTATTGTTGATATTATTTTTTTAAATCTCTTAATTGTTTGCATGTTAGTCTCTTTTCAGTTAAAGTTCAGTTTTGAATCATGGACTGGTACATTTCCGGTGATCATTTTGTTCTTTTTTTATTTTAGTCTCTTGTTTTATTTTATTTTATTTTTCTGAACTAAAAAATGAAAGGTCGAAAAAAAAGAGGGCTAATAAAAAATCTCTAATTACAAAATAATTGCAGAAAAATAAATTAGTGAGTAATTGAAGCGACATATAGAATCAATACACTGGCTTTTAAATAAAAATGACAATATTTCAATGACATATAGCAAGGGACACATTAGAAATTATTTTATTTTAAGTTAAGACTTAACCTTGGGTAATGGCTGTCACTAAACATTATCATTATTTGTATCATTTCATGTAAGAACGATGACTTGAACACATGATGATTTATTGGGCTCGGTGGGCTTATTTATTTGATTTCTCGATATTATTTGATTGCTTTTTGAAATATGATAGGGTAAATTTCATTTTGTTCAAATATAACAAAACATACGTATTATCTAATTTGAGTTCTACTTAGACCTTATTCTTAGATATGTTTATGTCGATCCTAATGATGCAGTTGCTGGAGATAATTTCCCCATAAATATTAGGTATAAATATCTGGAGATGTTGCATTTTCACATTTAATTTAATCATAATTTCTTAATCGAACGGATTTCCACCATGGTTCATTAGTTTTAGACCAAGATAAAACATATTATTCATCCAAAAAGCGCAATTCAGACGAAAAGGCAGGCACATGATGATGTACAGTGCATGTAGAAATTTGAAATAATTTTTTTAATCGGCGAGTCCAGGAAAGCAATGTACTATTAAAAATTTGACTTAAACCCTTTTATGACCTGAGAATAAAAACGAGCGTTCGAAAAAAACAATAAAAAGTAATTAATTATTTTTTCTTAAAAAAAAAAAGAATTATTTTTTATAAAATATTTTTTGTCCTTTTAAGTTTTTATTTTGTTACTAAATTATTTTATAGCTTTTTAGAGTCTAAACCAAAAAAGAAACTAGCTGTTAATTTTAACAGTTAATAACAGATTACAGTAATAATATTAATTTTATGATATATATACTAATGCATATTTGGTCTAATTTTTTTCACACCTCTGTTAATTAAAATTTCGGCGTATCCTATTTATTCTTATACCACAACCTTCAACTACTAATAACAATATATTCAATCCTACTTAAAGATCTGAATCATAAAATAAATTCCATTCACTTCGCAACTGCATAACATATCCCACAACTCATGTATCATTCTTTGATCTAAACTCCTTTTTCGATCCAGATATCTAGTTGATAATTATTGTTACCAATAACCCTTTTTTTGTATCTTTTATCCTTCCTTTATATTTCTTATATTCTACCTAAGTCCCTTTCATATCTGAGAGTTACGGCTGAAATTTCTCCAGATAATGTTTGGAATACACAGTATATTAAATCAGGAAAATGATGACAATGAAAATAGTAATAATGAGGCCAGCAAAGTTCCCTCCAGTGGTATGAATACTCAAAATAATAATAATAATAATAATAATAATAATAGCCATCATAATAATGTCAGTAATAATCCTAATAATAATCCAGAAGATTCTAGCACAGATACTTCAAGTTATCCTTCATCCGACAATTCTCGGTCCGCCTCAAGTGCATCTTCCTCCAGTACTGCTACATCCATACCGACGTCTTTATCTTCATTAGGTATATCCTTAAATAAAAAGATTGTTAGTTCTGTAGGGAAAATAAATACTTCCACTCCAGTTAGTCCAACTTATCCACCTGAAAATATAAGGCAAATTAATAATATGAATAATTTACCTCGAAGTAAAATCAGTAAACGTTATTTAAAAGATAAGAGGTTTGTTAAATTAGCCATAAGAAGAAAATCTATTACAAAAAAATTAGGCGGTAATCATGGGGGTGGTAATGAAAATGTTGCATTATCACCCAACGATCTTTACTTCAATATTCCACCAATAGGAGCTACAGCCTTTGGTATTAGTGCTAAGAAACAATCCCAAACTCATTCATCTAATGCAAGTCCAATATCAACCCATTCCAAACTTCATATTAAATCTTTAGAGGCAGGCCTCAGAGTAAAGTTGACCATGGCTGATAATGTCATTTCCTTATATCATTCATTGATTCCGTTCACCAGTAAAAAAGATATTCAATTGATATTCAATCCTGATACTCCTATATCTTTTATAGGTGGTGACTCATCCTCCATTGGTTTATCTCTGGCTTCTAAATTATCCAAGAAAGCATTGGTGTCAAAGTCCGTACAGTTGATTGATAATAATTTAGTCAATTTGTCAGAATATTCCAATAAGATATTGCAGCAATTCAACCTATACTCCACTACCAAAACTGGTAATGCCAATAACTCCAAGGAAAAGGATTCCACTTCAATTAATGTACCCAATACTGGAGCTTCATCTTCATCTTCAGTAAGTACAAATTCCAACAACAGTATTCCTACATTTAACAATTTGAATACAGCCGTAAGCTCACTTTTTAATGTCAAGGAATATTCTCTCATCAGAGTCTCAAGATCAACTACTGATGATAGTGATGGTTCGATCATTTTGAAACTAGAGACTTGTAGACCAGGAGACTTGAAATTGATTGATGATGCTGAATATTTGGATGAAATGCTTTACAGTCTTGGTAAACCAGGTGAACCACCAACTAACTTATTCATCAAGAAAATTATTGCTAGACCAAGATATAAATCAGATATGAAGATTTATCTTATTCCTAACACTTCTAGTCTGGATTTCACATTATACACTGACGAAAGAATGTTTGAACGTGATCTATATAATGGAGTTATTGATGTTGAATTTGAAGAACAAAATGGCGATATTAGACTTGTCAAGACAGGCACTAGAGATGTATTTGTAACCTTTCCTTTCGAAGGAATTGTTCGAGAATACAAGAGATTAATTGATTTGTCAAAACATGAAGCCGATGAAGATTCAATAGAAGAAGAACCAGAGTTTGAAGATGATAAGCAACCAACTTTAAATCCATCTCCAACCAATCTTCTGGCACTTGCAACTCCTATTCCATCACACATCACTCCTCCGCCACCAGTGCCTCCATACAATATGTTACAACATCAAAATTATAGGGGTCTACCCCCCGTGAATATGGGTGCAAATCCACTTGCATTACCGCCACTTGCCCAGCATTTGATGAATTCTTCAGGTCCTCAGCCTAATTCTTTCCCCTCTCCTCAAGGTCCACCTAACTTTTCAGGTCCAACACCGCATGGATTCAACCAATCCTTACCTCCAGTACAAGTATTTCCTCAAGGGGGGTATGGGCATCCATTAAATGCCCAACAGGGTTTCCCTCAATTACCGCCACCACCACCACAACAGCAGCATTATGTGCCTGGACCACCTGCACAACCACCTGCACAACCACAACCACAACCACAACCACCATATCCTTATGTATACTACCAATCACAACCCAATACTCCACCACAAGCACCCAATCATCATCCAAATTAACCATAGCATTACTAGTCATTTAAATCATATATCATTTCATAGCTTGTTAAATATTTCCTGTATTATAAACTGTTCTTTACATTAACCTATTTATTCTTTGGGAGGTTCTTTACTATTGTTAGTCTTTTTTGTTGTTGCTCCTTAACTGGCAGTCCAATTATTTATTTGTTAGGGGAGGTTGTATATCACCTCGGTTTGCATTTTTATGTATTATTGTTAACATTTATAATTTCTATATACATATTTATTTATTAAAGGTACCTATTTTGGGCAAAATACTAAATGTACGAAACGAGATTTATTTCATTTAAACTATAGAACAGTAATATAACGAAATGGAAGTAATAAATAATTAAAGATTAAACACTCAATTGAACAGTTTCATCACTAATAAAATGTTTAAAAGGTTCTAAAGCCTTAGCAACATCATTCTTAACAAATTTTTCTGTTTGTTGTGGAGCTCTACCAACAAAAGTATGTGGATCTAATAATTTATCTAAATCATTCCATATTGGTTTGAAGTATTCAGTCTTCTTAATTCTTTCAATAAGGTCATTATCACCACCTTCTTGTTTAACAACAGCTGAAGCTTGATGACTTAAAACTCTAATTTCTTCATGACAATCTTGTCTAGATCCACCTTTTTCAACAATGGCCATAATGATATTTTCAGTAGCCATGAATGGTAATTCAGAATTAATTCTTCTTTCAATAACCTTTGGATAAACAACCAATCCACTAGAAATATTTTGCATAGTTGATAATAAGATATCAGCAGTTAAGAATGCTGATGGTAAAGAAATTCTTCTAATAGCTGAATCATCTAAAGTTCTTTCAAACCATTGAACAGAAGCTGTTTGAACTGCATCATTAAATAATCCACCTAAATGTCTAGCTAATGAACAAACTCTTTCACATCTCATTGGATTTCTCTTATAAGCCATAGCAGAAGATCCAATTTGAGATTTTTCAAATGGTTCTTCAACTTCTTTTAAATTAGCTAATAATCTAATATCAGTAGCAAATTTATGAGCGGTAGCACCAAATGAAGCCAATGGAGATAAGACATCAATATCAATTTTTCTAGAATAAGTTTGACCTGTTACTGGATAAACATGTTCAAAACCTAATAATTCTACAACTCTTTGATCCAATTCTTCAACTTTATCATGATCACCATGGAATAATGATAAGAAAGAAGCTTGAGTACCAGTAGTACCCTTAACACCTCTTAAACCAATATCATTTCTGGCTCTTTGCATATTTCTTAAATCCCATAATAATTCTTGAATCCATAAAGTAGCTCTCTTACCAACAGTTGTTAATTGAGCAGGTTGAAAATGAGTCCAACCTAATACTGGTAAATCTTTATATTCTAAAGCAAATTGACTCAATCTGTTAATAACATTAACTAATTTTGGAATAATAACATCATAAGCATCACGTAAAAAGATTAAATCAGCATTATCAGTAACATAACATGAAGTAGCACCTAAATGAATAATACCAGCAGCGCTAGGACATGTTTTACCAAAAACATGAACATGAGCCATAACATCATGTCTAACAATGGCTTCTTCTTTAGAAGCAGCTTCAATTTCTTCATCAGTAATCTCTAAATGTGCCTTCATTTGTTCAATAGCTTCATCACTAATAACTGATAATCCAACTTCCTTTTCAGCAATGGCTAAATTATACCATAACTTTCTCCACGTTGAGAATCGATTTCTCAAGGAAAAGATTTGTGACATCTCTTTAGAGGCATATCTGGATGATAAGGGAGTAGAATAGGAATCGTAACTCATCTTGTTGGTTAATTACTTAATAGGTTAATAATTTGTTAACTTATGGTGTTATAGAAATATTGTATTTATATGAATATTTCAGCTATATATAATTACCGTTTTGGGCTAGCGCATTAGATGAGATTGACTCTGAAAAATTCACCTCATTAAACAATTGACTTCGGGGCCGACTACTAATGGGCCGAGTTGTTAGTTACGCTTTTTCGCGCACTGCGTAATGGCGTTATCTAAAGCTTATGAGTGTAAACCTTATGGGGTTAAGAATTACGAGGTTATTAAATTAGCTTATATGGCTGATATTAAACACTTGCTTCAACCTCTATACTAGCAGGTAACCTGTCTATATAATGCTTAAAAAAGATTCAGTATAAATTTGTTCATACCTCGGACCGGAAGTCCAAGAGCCCCCGGAAATGATAATTCATTTTGAATAATTCTTTTCATTTCACACAGTGTTGTTCATGATTCTAGCGAGGTTAGAGTGAATAAATCAACTAATTGCATTATCCTTTGCGAAATTCATCCTCAAAGTGTGTTGAAATTCTCACTCACCCATAGGCCAATTGGAAGCTACACTATTTGCTTCTTTACATGAGAATTCAGCATGACAGTCGTTATTGTGGTGAACATCTTTCAATGTAGTTTGAGCTTCCATAGATAAGTTATGTGCCTTTAGGTTGTATGGATTATGCTTGGCATATCCAGTCAAGAGATAGAATCCGAAATACCTCTCATCAATTGCCGGCCAATTAATTATTCCCAGTCGATAAAGATGAGAATTGTAATTTTCAACAATACCGTTCTTTCCAGATATTTTGGGAGCTTCAGCAATTATTCTATAGGCACGGACTTCGTATAGAAACAGTCTCAATGCAATCAGATATGATTCGAGAAACTGACGATCACATAGCAATCTCTCGGACACAACGTAAGGATTATATACTTTTAAGACCATCGTTCCATCAAGCCTATCTACTTGAAAATAGGTATAGGTCTCAAAACAAAATTCTGGGCAATTAGTGTTAAAGTCAGCTTCATTGAGGTCTTCCACATCGTATTTGATATGATGTACTTCCTCGTAACATTCCTTTGGGATTATAATATACAGATATATATTATGGGCATAATCACCATTTTCAATTTTATGGTAATGGCTAAACTTGGAAGCCCATTCTAAGTACACAAAGTCATGCTGCCACTTCTTCATATCCACTATATCTTGGGAAGTTAGTCGTAATGTATCGAACAAACGTTCCACCTGATCTTCTTTATGTGTGTTCACATTGTCAAAGTAATCTTTGATTAACATCATTAAAATAATAGTGAGGTTATATTTTGAATCGGAAAATCTGAGACATCTAATATTGCATGGTAACTGATACTCCCCACCATCTATAGAATCTACTCTCCCCATTCTGGTACTGTCACCTACATCAATTTCAACTACTAGTACACAATCCATATCGATAACAAAGCCTATGTGGGATTTGCAATACAAACAATTGTAGATGGCTTCATTAATCAACTCATGAAAAGCTGTATCTTTCAATTGGTTATTCCTATTTTGATAAGCAGCAAATATTCCTTTGGTTTTTATCTCGAAGGGAACTTGAAAGTCGTGGTTATCTTTTTTAATTCTAATACCGAAATCTGCAATAACTTTTGGGTTTATCCATAGCTGTGACTTAAACTTTTTATCCAAAATGCAAGCTATAGTATCTAAAATGTATGAAGAAATATATACTGATATATCTAATTCATTTAGGGGGATGTCATCGTCTATTCTTGGTATACGAAACACAATAGGTTTCATGCTTTCCAATGCAGCTTTGTCTATTATCAATTTGTCAAACATCGTTTTCAAAGCGTCATCAGCAAACTTCGTCTCATCTGAAATGGCCCTAATATTAAGATGTGAATGAAAGATTGATCTTGATGTATAATTAGAAGATGCTAATTTCGGATTTCTGGAACTCTGTCTGTAGCTAGTTGGACTTGGAACAGATGTATCTATCTCAAGGTCTCTTTTATTAGTTGAGTTTATTAATTTAGGAATTGGTAGTGATAAAGAATGAGATAATGACAATAACCTCTTTATACATAACTTTATTGATTCTTTGACACTTTTGTTCTCGTTTTCAACTTCCTCTGGGAAGGAATGCATCGCTTCATCATGAACAAATTCTATTGCCATTGAGAGGTCATCCACATAATGCTTACTGACAATGTAATCTTCATCCAAAATTGTATTTTCGGGAACAATAACGTAAAAGTGACAAATTTTGAATGCCAACTTACGACGATTTATTTCTAATTTAGATTCTTCATCTACTGGCTTAGGTAGCTTTTCCATTAGTCTTTTCAATTCATCGTTGAACTTTTTCTTCTCAGTGGGACTATTGAAATAGTTGTGGTCAGGCTCATTCCTCAACTTTTCGGTAACCAATTTGGTGGACGATTTGATGCTAGACAGATACAAATATGAATAGATAGGCTTAAGCACCATTATTAATAGATGTGAGACGTTCAGAATTTTTAAAGGGTTAAAGGAAAAGGAGAAATTTAAGTCATATCTATATATTATCTTGGTTCATGTGTTAGCATATCTGTTATAGGTATGATACATGACACAATACAGAGCGCATGTTTCATATCTGTTTCAGAATCCTAGTAAGAAAGGCATAAAAACTCTCTAATTTCTCCCTTAAAACTTACTCTTTACTTTCTAGAATATACAATATTTTATCGTACAACGCAGCATTTAATAGAGTATAACAATATCATACTAAGCTGCAAACTTGCTGCAATCCCGGTATTGTTTTCCGAACTTACTCAGAAAAAAATAATTCTCACTAAAATACCCCTTAAATAGAAGAAAATATTTTATATTATTTGATCAGCCGAATTAATGGTCGAGAATATTTTATTCTTATTTAATCTTATTTATTCTTGAAGCTGTAAAGGCAAAGGAGGAAAATGCACGAATAAGAATCAACTTATTATATGGTAAAATATACTTAAGAGAACAATTGTATAGAGATTATTACTTAAAAAATGTAAAGAAGTCTGGGAAATAATGATTATGTCTACCCACGTTATAAACTACCATAATCTACACTTTGGGTGACAAGGAACACATTATGATACATAATTCTGAAGTGAAATTGTTGCATTTCAAAGACTGAAATTGTAGTACACCAACATGCAACCAAATGTGGTATTGCAATAAGCACTATCAGTTAAGTACTATTAGTAACACATTCGGATATTTGACACCAAACTAAAGGACATAGCATGCGTCCAACCGTAGGAATTATAACAGTCATATCATATTAGAACCAAATACTTCTAGAGAACTACATAGATACCAATCATCTAATACTCTTCTGCATCCAATTAAGGCTCTGATCTACATATTGAACCGTGAGCTAAAAATATGTCCCACGAATGAACACACGATATTAAAGGGGGTTGAGACTTGGTGTGCAGCAGATCGTTTTCATAATTAAACGAGACCCACATCTGGCTGCAGCAACTAACAGATTTGCAATAATTCACTTCCCCCATTTCAATGCAATCAATAGCCATACAAATAACAGAGAGAGCTACAATACACTTAAATTCAGACATTTAACGTACTGGAGAGGATTGTCAGTTCATGACATGCCATTACACTTCCGTTTTGGGAAGCGAGATTACCACATTAGTCTTGAAGCAACACAACAAAAACAGTCAGGTCCTGGCTGATTCAGGTCTCAACAATGAATAAATTACTAACTTTTGGCTCACGTCATCACTCTCCGTATATCCCCATTCAAGTCATCGGCATTCCCCTACCGTTCTTCGCTCCTTATTCTTGACCTTACTTTGTATACATCTCACAGCCCAGGCCTGCGCCTGCACACAACTAACCCTAAAAACCTTTGTTAAATATTTTTTCCTAGTAAATTTTAACTACTGTCAGGCCCACCTCTCTCTATATAAGTTTGTCAGGAACTCTTCTATTTCTGGTACTAACCAGTCATTTCATAAATTCCTAAATTTCCCCCAAAAATCATACTCATTACTATAACCAAATTCAGGAATTTTAATCTACTACCCATATCCTATTAATAACTTATTCACATCCACAAATTATCCAAATCAAACGCAATTGCTAAGTACAGCACCCACCACTTAGCATATATTTTTTTAGGGCTATAAAATTTTTTAACAGTCTATTTTTTTTAGCAAACCTTAGTATACAATTGCAATACTAGGTAAAATAGGCTTAATATTAATTGAGAAAGTTAGTATTACTCCTTTGGGACTCACATACTGGTTATTAATCTCGGCGTCTACATTATTGGCAGGTTGCAACATCAAAAATTGCAAGCATCATCGCTTAGAAGTTTTGTGATCTGATCTCCGAGAAGTTTGTTTGAATTAAACACTTTTTGATCTTACGACCCACATTACACCAACCACTACTATCGGACTAATACCTATATAAAGGCCCAGTGAGTATTTACCCACATTTGTCATTTATTACTTAAAATATCCGTATACCCCCTTTTTTGTCAGACTAAATCAGACACAAGCACCAACTATTTTAAAAAAAAGGTTTAACTTACCCTCCACGATATGTCCAGCTAGATGCCATACATGAACAAGAAAAAGAAACATCATATTTGCTTTGTACATTTCATAAAATAATTACCTTCATTACTTGCAAAGCTATTTATATCCATCATATTTTATAAGCATATACATCTGGCTTAACTAGTAGATTCAGCCCACTTAGTATTTAATTTTATCCCAAACTATCATACCCCCAAAAGACTGTTTTTTTTATAAATATCATTATTGCTATCATTAACAATTTTTATAGACGTTTTTTTATTAATTACTGTTATTTATTTTCAGTGGGATCACTTTCATAGAGCTTTTTATTATTTCCATACCTTTACTACTATTACTACTACATATCTGGTTTAACTTAAGGATAACTTTACTAATTTACTATTTATTGGGCCATTTTTATACCACTAATTCGGTTATTGCAAAATCATTGGGAAATTGGAACTACTATTACTACTACTACTACATTTAATAATTTAATAAAATTGCTATACTCAAAATAATAAATCTTAATGGATCCAAATCAAGAACACCAACAGGATCAAAATCCATCCGATAGTGCTGACCAACAACAACGGTACCAGCATCAATATGGCTTAAATACGCCTCAACAACCCAGTGTGAGTCAATTTAATATTTCGCACCCATCTCATCAGCAGCGCATACCACTTCAACTGCAACAATTACAGGCATCTCCATATATAAAATCGGAATTACAAACATCACCATATGTCAAACAAGAACTGACTGGTGTACTGTCTGGTTATTATGGATCTCAACAACAATCTCAACCATTTTTATTTGGTCAACAACAATCTCCACATTTGCAATCACAGTCATCTCCTCAACAGGCCATACTACCGCATCAACAAGGTCAACAACAACAACAACAACAACCTTCACAATTGCATCATCAATCGTCAGCATCGTACTATCAATATGATTTTACGCCTCAAAATCCTCAACTGCATGAGCGCTACGGCTCTCAACCTCAAAATATTCCTCAATATCAATTATTTCAGGAAGGATCTTCATCTCAAAGTCATCCTACTAGTTCCTCACAACAACATCAAAGTACTTCAGAAGGTTATCCTCCTCGTCAACAACTGCAATTTTCTCAATTTGGTCAAACATTTCTGCAACATGCTGAATCTGATGAACCATCAGAACCTCCTCACAAGAAAAAGAGAGCTAGAAAAGCAGATCATGGCTTACCTGGTGATAAAGGAGATAATGAATTGAAACAATTGGCATATGATACTTTAGATACTTCATTACTTGAATTATCAATCCGCATTAAACGATTAGAAGCAGAAGAAGCAACAACTCCTCCACCAAATAATCCTCAAAGTAAAACTGAAATTCAACGAGTTAAAGAAATGAAGGAACGTCAACGACAATTATTAGGTATGGTATGGTTACTTAAATCATGTGAAGCTTCACCCACCGCTGTTGTACCTAGAAATAGAATTTATGCTAGATATAGTGGAATGTGTGCTGATAATGAAATTACTCCATTATCTCCAGCAAGTTTTGGTAAATTAGTTCGGATCTTATATCCTGATTTAAAAACTAGAAGATTAGGTATGAGAGGTCAATCCAAGTATCATTATTGTGGAATCAAATTGAAATCAGATCAAAATTATGAAATGCCAACTCAGACTCCTCAACCTCATCATTCATATTCAAGAAGTCGGACATTACTTGGAGATTTATCAAGTGGAGGTAGACATGATGCTTCACCAATTTCATCATCTAATTCTTCAATATCATTTGAAGATACTCCAGTACCAGTATCACATTTACGTACTCCATCATATACTCCAATAAATTCTCCATCTATTGCCTTTTCTGGAACAATTGGTCATCAATTACCTCTGGTATCTCATCTTATGCATGTTCCAAACATTGTGGATTTACTTAATCTGAATGATTCAGGAATTTCTAATCCAAATGTTAAATTAGAATTACCTTCAATTTATCCATACTTACCTGCTGAAGCAGATATCGATCTTGCTGATACCCTTTATTCACTATATAAAGTTCACATCAACACATTGTTTGAATCCCTTCGATTTATGAAATTAAAATTATTCTTTGGTAGTTTTGCTAGTTTTAATAGTATTTTAACTACTCCAGTATTAAAATTATATACTAGTGATTCACTATTAGAATGGGTTAAACTTTGTGATGTAATTATGTATAAAAGAATGATTCGAATGTTGGCAAAATTACAACTTCAATTTGGTATACCACAAGAAGTTATTGGACAATTGCGTCAAATCTCTTCGGGATTTGTTAATACAATGACTAATAATTTAATTAATTTGAAGGCATCCAAAACGTTTGTAATTATGAAATTAAAATTAGCTAAACATTTTGTAAATATTTTAAATCGGTTAGTTAAAATCATTGTCACGGGACAAGCAGCATCAAGAATTTTAACTGAACCAATTCAAAAGGAAGCTATGATTAAGGATTGGTTAAAATTAGATATTAATGAGATTGTATTACATGAATTACCATGTAATGATACCAATACCTCGAAATTATTATCGATACTTTCAGAAGATTTCTTACGATTATTACGTTATGAAGGTGAACCGGTACCTACACAACAAGTGTTCACCTCTGAAGAGCATGAAAGACTTAAAAGGATGAGTCTTGATCAAATTATGCATAAATTCAGCTCATATATTGCTGAATTGCCTGGCAAATTCCCTGGCACAAATCCAAGATTAATCATATTATTAACTTGTAATCTCTTGACTACTTGTTTGAGAGAAATTAGTTTACACTCCAATAGAACTGATGAAGATTCAGGTAAGGGATTTGGAGCGTGGTGGATCTTTAGATGTTGGGTAGATGAATACCTTATATGGTGTTTGGAACTCGGAGGTTTCTTTCAGGATGAGTTTAAGCCTGGTGCCATATCTTCTTCATCATCAGGTAGTGATCAAGAAGGTGGACAAGGACATGGACAAGGACAAGATGCAAGTGAAGGACATGGTCAGGGACAAGATCCAAGTCAAGGACATAGTCATAGTCAAGGAGGACAAGGACAAGGACAAGGACATGGCCACTTTGGAGGTAACTTGGCAGGAGTTTCCGGTGGAAATGAGCCACTGACCCATGAACCCAAACAGCATCATAGTCATAGCAATATGGATGCAACAGGATCCTCTCACTATGACTTGAGTAACTTGGAAGCCAACATGTCTACCGGTGTTGTAGACTTACTCGATGGCAACTATGGCAGTGATGAAATGGCGCCCGAGTTCTCTTCCGAGATAGTCTTGAAATACGAACCTACCGTCAATGATATATTGTCGTGAAGGTGTAGTTTGTCTTGTATAAATAAAATAAAATATATACCCATTGCATATTATTATTGTTATTAATATTATTATTATTCTGTATTGCGAATTATTATGTATTGTATATTATTATTATGTATTACTATTATTATTATGTATTGTATATTATTATTATGTATTGCATATTATTATTGCATATTACTATTATGTATTATCTCTTATTATGTATCACTATTATGTATCACTATTATGTATCAGAGTGGGGAGGGAGGGGGGATGTGCGCTACCAGGCTCTCTGTGTATACCTATAAATACACCCACTAATCCCTCTAAACTTTTCCTAACTTATCCCCCACCTAACCATCCAAATCCACTATGGAATTAGTGCCTGTATTGAAGAAGACTCCCAGTCATCAATCATCGTCTCTAAGTGTTCTAGAACGCTTTCTATATGACTTGAAGCGCTTTGTAGCCAATCAACCGGATAGTACTAGACTATATAGTAGTATTCAATCCAGTGGAATAATCGAAGCCTTCAATACTACTAAGGGTCCAAGTCAAAGAGGAGTAAGAGTCACGCGAGATATCGAAACTTATAAAACCATATTTACATTCTGTCCTATATCTAAAGTGTATGATAGTGAAAGAAGAAGAAATGGCTGTCAATTTAAATTTACTGACAGAATGCTTAATGTTAGTGGAATGTTTGAATATCAACAATTAATCTTAGATACAATCATTCAGAATGATCCTCTGGCATCGTCACATGCGCTTAACAATGAAATATTCATAATAATCCTTAGAATCTTTATAAATTGTTTGATTAATCCTGATTATTATAAACAAATTATGAGTCTTACTAGTCATAAACATGAAATTAATACGACTAAAACTTATGAACAAATGTCGGGGATTTGTACGTATTTATCTGAAACTATTAGATTAATAATTCCGATCTATTTTGAAAGTGTAGCGGATGAATTAATTGATAGAATCTTTAATTTAGGATGTATTTGTTGTGTTAATTTCAATTTACTTATTAATCGATTACATGAACCAATTGGAATATGTTTAGATCCTACTTTTTCTTTAATTAATCATAGCTGTTTACCTAATACGGTGGCAGTATCAGATGATAGAGATCAAATGCTTAGTTTAGTTTGTATTAGTGATTTGAAATCGGGTCAAGAAATTACAACTAATTACTGTTTTACATCAATTCCTAAACAATTACGACAATTAGATTTAAAGAATCGATTCTTTTTTGATTGTAAATGTCCTTTATGTAAGAAGAGAAAGTATGATTGGTTCTTTTCGTATTGTTGTCCGTATTGTGAAGTATATATTCAATGTTTAAATTTTTCAAATTGTTTTGATCAAAGTGAAAATGAAAGTGATCAACTTTATGGATGCAAATCATGTGGAGCAATCATCCCCACACCAATTTATAATGAAAGTAAATTATTACATCAATTATTATTAGCCATGTTATTAACTACTGATGATCCGGAAATAGAAATAACTTCAATTGATCAATTTAAAGAAATTATGTTACCCTTTCTACAAGAAATTAGACGTTTGGCAGTGTCTGAACATCAATTATCGGAATTATTTTTAGAAAAAGTTCATGGATTTGAAATTAATCCTCAACGAGTTCCTATAATTTATTCTATTATTGAAATATTAATTAAACAAGGAATTGTCCCAAGTTTTTGTTTCCCAATAAGTATATTTATAACTAATCTTTCAGCTAATCAATTTCCTTATCCAATTGGTATAAAATCGATTAATGGAAAGGAAATTTATACAAGATCTTTTCATTTAAAACTTGAATTACAAAGAATTTTCTTAGTTTCAATACCTGGTGATATAACAAAACTGATGAATATTGGTAATTCATTATTTATGAAACTTGGTCATGCTACTATGAATGTATTAGTTGCTATATTTATTAATAAAGATAGAGAGAAAGAGAAAGAAATTCCCAAGATTTTAAAAGATTGGATTCCTAATACTAATCTTCTCTATAGTACTCTTATTAGATGTTCACTATTCTTTTATTTACAAGCTATTGAAACGTATGCTATATATTCTGAAAGAACAGTTGATGAAATGATTGGAGCTATAAAACAATTGAAAGTACTTAATAAACTTGCTTGTAATCCATTACCATGGATTCCAAGGCTCTATGAAGAAGAAATGTTCTTTAATTCTTTATTAAAATTATTCAATTTTGCCAATATTCATCACAAGTTTTATTTTGAAAAGTTTTCTATTAAACTTTGTCTTGCCGATGGGCAAAGAGCCGTATTATTTTCTCCTATTAATCAATTATACAGTAAGTATATTGAGGAGATTCAGTAGATGTGAGTTGAGTGTATAGTTGTATTGATAGTATGTAATTGTAGCTATTTATACTAGTAGAAAATGTGCCGATATCATAGTGTTACTGCTCTTATCTAAACATCATTTAATGCTACACATACAGCTCCCTTATGATGACCATTATATTGTCTTACAGTTTCACTATTTGATAAATCCCATAATCGAACATAATGATCAGAACAGGCAGTAACCAAATAGGCACTATCAGCACTAAATGCACAATCCCAAACCCATCTTTGATGACCTTGAAGAGTGGTTTCAAGATTAAAATTATTTTCAGTCGACCAAATTCGAGCCGTATGATCAGCCGAACAAGTTGCTAAATGTTTTATATCCGTCAGTAATAAAACTCTAGTAATATATTTCAGATGAGATCTAAATTTAGTTACGGGAGTTAAAGAAGTTATATCACGTTGACTTTGCATTTTCCATACATAACAATTACCCTTATTATTTCCGGCTACTAACATTGAACCATCACTGGCAACTGATAATGAATTTAATGGTACATCATCTTCTGGAATTAAATGATGAGTACATTGATTTTCTCCTAAATCCCAAATTCGAATGTTTCCATCTTGATCACAACTTATTAATTCTCCTTGATTTGGATGAATAACTACTTCATTAACTGGTGAATGATGTTTATATGATCTTTGAACTGATGGAGATCGAACATCCCATACTTTAACAGTCCCATCTTCCAGAGATGTTACCATCCATTTATTTTCTATTTGAAATGCAAGTGATGTCACATTATTTGTATGACCTTCAAATGTCATAGCTGGATTATTATTATTACTATTATGATTTCCATGACTATCATTAGTACCTCCACCATTATTAGTAGCTGAAGCTTGTGCAGTGGCATTACCAGAACTACCTGTTTGTCGTATATCATAAAGTCTTACATATAAGTTCCCTGCGGCTGCTAAGAATCGTTTATCGGAAGTAATTTCTAATCGATTAACTTGTGAATCAGTATGTTGAATGGTTCGGGAACAAACTCCCGTCAATGCATCCCAAAACCGGATAGTATGGTCGTATCCCGCCGACGCTAAGATGACCGACATTTATTATTATATATTATTATATATTATTATATGTTATTATTATGATTTATTAGAATAGCACTTAGTTAGTTATAACTCCATAGTTAAGAGGGCAACTCAACGAGTGGTGATATTGAGCTCAGGACACTACCATTACCAGTAATAACTTTACTCGCGCTAAGATACTCAAAATAGAAGATTTATATTTGTGGGATTCAAACGAATCACTAATGTACAGGGCTATATAATATATATATAAATGTATCGATTATAAAAAGACGGAAATGAACGGAACGGAAACCAATTTAAAATATATCTAGAAGAGCAAAAGCAAAAATGTCGTTAAAACTGGCAATGCCATCGTGATAGTTATGAGTTGAGTTGTAATTATGCGTAGTTAACAATACTTAAAAGTATTGCTGAATGATTTGCTTTTGATCAGCAGTTAATGAGATAGGATAATCGACTTTAAATACAATTTCCAAGTCACCTCTTTGTCCTGGCAGTTTACTAATTGGCATACCTAAACCAGGGTATGTAGTTGAAGTATTTGGTTGAACAGGTTGTGATCTATTCAAGGGGATTCTTCTACCATCAATAGTAGTAACTTCTCTACTGAATCCACATAATGATTCTTTAAAACTTAAATGCAAGTCCATCTTTAAATTATTACCGTCTCTTTTAAATGTAGCATGAGGTTTTTCTTCCAAGACAAATTGAATGGTTTGTCTAGCTCCAGCTTCTTCTTGATAATCACCTTCATTAGCAAAATTAATTTTAGTACCAGCTTTCCAACCTGGTCTAAGTTGTATTTCTAATACTTTACTTTCTTTTGATCCAGTGACTCCCTTTCTATTCAATTTCATTTTCTTAAGACTTCCATTAAATAAATCTTCTAATGATACAGGCAATTGCATTGTTACAGTATCTGGTTCACGACGACGAGGTGCTTGACCTCCTCCACCAAATCCTCCTGGCATACCTCCACCAAATCCTCCAAATGGACTACCACCAGTTGAATGGAATTGACTTCCTCCTCCAAATCCTCCATGAGATCCAAATCCGAATCCATCATCTCCTCCCATACCAAAACCTCCCATTTGAGAAAAGATATTAAATGCATCGGCATTAGTAAATCCTCCTGATCTAAATCCTCCATGTCCACCTCCTGCTCCACCAAATGGATGACCTCCAGCATTTTCAAATGGATTACCTGCTGGTGCATTTCCACGTGCTGCATCTAATCCATAATCATCATATACTTGTCGTTTATTTGAATCAGATAAAATATCAAATGCTTCAGAAATCTCCTTGAATTTTTCAGTATCTCCTGTTGGCTTATCAGGATGATACTTTAAGGCTGCCTTTCTATATCCCTTCTTAATTTCATTTTCGTCAGCTGATGGTGATACGCCCAATAAGTCATAGAGCTTTTTGTCTTTGACCATATTGCTGATTATTTCTACTAGTTATTATTTAATAACTTTTACTGGTTACTGGTTAATTGTTACTGATTTATATATATAGTGTGCTTGGAACTGTCTTTATATTTGTGGGTGAAAAATTTCGAGACGCTTCTAGAATTTTCTATGCACGTGACCTACTCTCTCCCCATAGTTAACATTAACAGCAACAGTTGCTATTAGTTATTATAATAACTCCTATAAGAATAGTACTATACAATAAGAATAATAATAATAATAAGAACAATACTAATACTATTCATTCATTGTTTATTCCTTCTTTTCAGAGGCTAAACGAGCAGCTCTCTTAAGAGCTCTAACTCTAATGCTCTTGTGCATATCAAAATTGAGCTTATTAGCAATCTTGGAGTATACTCCAACAGTTTGATCAATAGCAAAATGCATTATAGCATGTGCCCAATATGGAGTGTTTGTAGCATATCTTTCTTGAGCTCCATTACGACGTCCAATACCTCTTAATGTAGATTTTACAAATTGTTTAGGATTTGGAATAGCTAATGATGTCTTTCTAATTTTAGACATGGCTGAAGTTACCAAGTATGATACAATTAATTCAACATCAATTCCTTGTGGTTTTAATTCTCCTGCTAATGCAGCTGACCATGCTTGTAAGAAAGCCTTAGATCCTGAATAAGTTGCTAAATATGGGGTGGGTAATAAACCTCCGAAGGATCCCATAGTTAAGATTAATCCTCTAGTTTTCTTATTTGATTTACTAACAGTAGCTGCAATAATAGGTGCAACTACTTGAGTAATCTTCAAAGTAGCAGTATTATTGATAGTAATGATATCTCTTAATTCTTTATCTTCAGTTTCTAAGAAAGGGACAGGGATTGAATGAGATTGACCAACATTATTAACTAATACGGTAACTGGTAAATCAGCAATAACTTGAGAAATAGCTTCATAATTAGACACATCATCAGTAGATGCATCAAATGCAATTATTTTAACTTCAACCTTATACTTTGAAGTAATATCCGCAGCAATCAATTCTAATTTACTTTGAGTTCTGGATATCAATACAATATTTAAACCTTTAGCAGCTAATTGTAAAGCATATTCTTTCCCAATTCCGTCGGAAGCTCCTGTAACCACTGCCCAATTACCTTTTTTGGCTCCATACTTTTTAAAATCAACAGGTGGTAAAATGAATAAGTCAAAGATGAGGGCTAAGGTGTTCAAAGCAAGAAAAGTGAGTTTGAAAACTCCAACTAATAATGCACCATAAATGGCGTATTTAGTGATCGAGCATTCTGACACGTGTGCTACCAATTGATCTACAGACATGGTTGGTTTTATCAATAAGCAATTAGGTATAGTAGAAAATAGTAATAGTGAAAATTTTTGGTTTTGTTATTTAAATGTGGAGCATTGTGGTCGCGCGGGTCCCATATTTAGTATACAAGATCCTTACTATAAAGTACACTGTATAGTTGCAAAATTTTTGTTCTTCAATACATTTATTTATTATATGACATCTATTATAATCTACACTACAAACATTTAAAAAGTAAGAATAGCCTTGGTGGTGGTACCTGTTTTCATATCAGCTAATGCCTTATTAAAATCTTCAATTTTGTAGAATGTCTCTAATTTTTCAATGGGGAATAAACCTTGTGAATGCCATTCAATTAATTGAGGTATAAATTCTTGAGGACGTGAATTACCTTCAACACATCCAATTAAAGTTTTACCAGTACTCATAAAATCAAATGACTTTACTTGAATAATATCTTCAAACCCTCCAAAACCAACAAATACAATTCTACCAAAATTTGCCGCATTATCTATAGCAGCTTGAACAAATTTAGGACCTCCAATACTTTCAAGTGAAACATCAGCACCACCATCAGTAATTTCAAAAATCTTATCATGAACTTCTTTATCATTACCTGCTTTAACGATATGGGTTGCTCCTAATTCTTTAGAAAGTTCTAACTTTTTATCATTAATATCAACCCCAATGATTGGATAACATCCAGCAATCTTTGCAGCCATAATACCTGCCAACCCAACACCTCCAAGACCATATACTACACAACTTTCACCTTTTTTTGCAGCTCCAGCTTTATAAACTGCACCGGAACCTGTGAGAAACCCACAACCCAAAGGACCAAATTTTTGTAAAGTTTCAGCATCAAGATTTAAGTCTTTGACATTAACAATGCTTGATTCGTTTACAACTGATTTTTTAGAAAAAGACGATTGACCGAAGAATTTACCGTCTATCTTTTGATCATTTAATGTAAAAACATCATTCGAAAGTCCAAAATTGATTTCGTTGAATGTTGTACAAAAACCTGGAACATGTTTACAAGGTTTACAATTATTACAAGAGGAGAAAGAAAGAAGAACAGGATCTCCAACTTTAGCATTTGTAACTTTTGAACCAATTTTAATAACATTACCAGTACCTTCATGACCTAAGATTTTTGGAGAATCTCCAATCTTTCCAAATGTAATATCAGTATGACAGAGCCCAACCGAAGTCATATCAACTAAAACTTCATGCTCTCCTAATTCTTCTCGAACACTAACATTAGATTCATACTTCCAATTGAGATTGCCATCATTAGAACTATAAGAGACAATAGCACCACTTGTTACCATTTTGTATATATATATGTAAAATAAATATTTGTTTATGGTTATGTAATATTATCATATTTAAATACTTCTCATATAAAATTAGGTTGAATCTTACGATATTTATATATTTAGGTCAAAATCGGAGATTTAAAAACTTAAATTAATTTACGCATTTAAATCTCCTTTTTTGAAAGATATTTCGTTAAATTCATATTATTATTCTAAATCCGTCCATTGACGTTAAGCGATTAGGCCTTGTTGTATATCACTTAGAAGATAACGATAAATTTGCATAGTAATATTATGACGGAAAATATTTATTCCTTTTGCATCAATTTTCTGAGGAGAAATTGTGGGGAAAATAAATAAGGTGGGAATGGGCTAAATATTTATACGCCATATTTCCACATAGGAGTTAAGCTACATTTATAAATAAAGTTACTTTTCTTTATATAGGCATGCATCCGAAGATTCCCTTAATTCACTGAACTGATTTGATATATCTGTGAATCTGCTAGTATAACTAAACGTAGTCCTTCTAATTCGGTAGAACGCTAACATACACGAACTAATACATACATTATTAAGTTCAATATAAAGTACACTATATACACTATGTACACTATGTACACTATAAAGTACAGCCCTATTATACATATTCATACAGATACCCTATAAGTAGGCAAACTCCTCAAGCTTCTCATTGGTGAGCTGAACATTCAATGCCTCTCTTTCAAGTTGATTGTCTAAGAAATTTACACTGTTTTCCAACTCCAATCGTATCTTTTGTAACTGGTCTATGTCTTTGTTGACTTTCTTCAAGTCGTTATAATTTTTCTCTAATGAGTCCTGAGTCGTTTCTGAGTCTATTTGGAGAATCCCTATCCATGGATTATTGAATGTTTTGGCCGTAGATACAGAAGTGTCTCTTGCATGGATAGGAGTACCACTTGATGAGTTGGAACTTTCCTTACTATAAGTATCATGTGAATATCCTTCCCTAATGCCTCCTGTACTGGCTCTATAATGGTATGTAGATCCACCTCTACCTCTACCACTAATATCTCTTCCTCCACGATACGAACCCCTATAGTTATTGCCTCGATAACCGTCATAACCTTCTTCTTCACCATAATGACTGTCTTCTTTTATACCTTCTGATTCATCTCGGGTATGACCTTCTCGAGCATGAGTATCTCGGGTATGAGTATCTCGAGCTCCTGGTGCTATATAAGTGGAAGTGTTTCTACCACTATATGACGAGTGTCTGTACCCTCCTCTATACGACGAGTATCCATTATTATAATCGTATCCTCGTCCTCTTCCTCGATATGATGATCCACCTCTTCGATCACCTCTTCCTCTATAACCTCCTCTATAGTTATTGTTATTATAGTACGACTCATCTCCGGCATACTGTCCATATCCGTAGTAACCGTCACTTTCTCCTGAGCCTGCAGAATCAGACATTATCTATTTACTATGCTATTAGTTATGATCCTTGGGATAGTTAGCTTGGTTTCCAGTTTCCAGTTTCCAGTAGTACTTGCTACTAGAGGAGTAGTGCAATTTTCAATTTTCACAAACTCTTTTCGTGACTTTACGTTATAACTTATAACCTGTAAACAAAATATATTCAAATCTATTAAATTTTTTACAGGTTTTAATTACTTTTCCCAATTTGGCCCTACTATATGTCGTGGATCCACCATTTTAATAACAAAATTGGTGATCAGATTTTAACACCCAAAACCTATAAGATATACTCTTTATTTTAAGCTATAGCCATAAGCATTAATTTATATATATCTTCGGTATAGTATCAGGGTAGTGTGCACGTGGAACCGTGATATACCCAAATTTCAAACCGTTTGATAGACCCAACAGTTCACTTATGGCAATTGCACCCATAATACCCAACAATCATGAAGTATGTGGTGGCATGTATGAGCATAGTGAAAGAGAGAAATTTACTCAAAAATTTAATCATAGTGACGCTATGAGTATGAATATGTTGTATAGACAGGACCACTATGTTAGTGGTAAGGGAAATATGGAGTCTATGGGCTCTATGGAGATGGTAGATGTAGTGGACGATGAAGAAGAAGAAGAAGAAGAAGAGATGGACGCAGATGACTACGATGACACAGCATCATTAATGGAGTCTATGCATAGTTTACCATCTCTTGTGGATACGGACAGTGAGATGTTGATGACAGTTAAAACAGAGGATATGGCTGAATTTAAGAAATCATCTATACGGATACATGGAGGTGAGAAAGAAGAAGAAGAAGACACTGACGATACCGACACAGAAGAAAATCACAATAGCATTAAGAAAGCATTGGTGAATATAGTACTGATTCATACGGATGTGTCAGATAAATTTAACAATATGGATGATAGTGTTGCTGTTCTCCGAAGTAAGAATGAACAGACTTTGGCTCTTTTGGGACTGTTGACAAACAGCAACGAAGCATTGTTAAGACGAATAAAACTCATGAATAATTACATTGAGGAATGTCAGAGTGCAAGTACTGTACCCACCAAGAAAACAGCAACCAATACATATGATAAGGTGCCACTCAATGTAGTCCAGTCGGTACTAAATGAAAATGACTTGAGGATCATCAATAGACTCTCGATCTCTCCACCACAAGATAGGAACTCACTGACTTCGTTTGAGATAAGTTCGAACAGCCTGGGGTTGACGAACAAACTCAGAGGAGTGAGATCAAGATCATCCACTCCTGTAAGATCTAGGTCAGTGACTCCTTTAAGGTCAGAAATACCTATGAGATCAGTAACGCCTGTGCTTCCACATAGTGCTAGCTACCGGGGCAGAACAAAGATTAAATACGAGTCAACTGCATTGAGTACTACAGCATTGATTGCTACAGCACTTGCCGCAGCACTGTCCACGACACATCCTACAACACAGTCTTCTACAACACAGTCTTCTACAACACAGTCTACTCCAACACAGTCTACTCCAACACTCACTACAACACAGTCTGCTACGACACTCACTACAACACAGTCTGCTACGACACTCACTACAACACAGTCTGCTACAATGACAACTACTGAAACACACATGCAGTCTCATACCACACAACTTCATTTCGGCTATACTATCAGCACATTCATTCTATTATGCATTTTAATTTATTTTGGGTTTTAAGTGATAATTCACAAGTACAGGAAGTACAATTATTTAATACGATTATATAGGGTTATTAATATAAGTAAGTTACGATAAATTTCCAAACACGATGTATATGAAGTCTTTAAATAGGACTGAAAAATGGGATAAGAGAATTGAAATTTAAAATGAATGAGAGTCAAAGTAGCATTAATTATAATTATTATAATTAACCCATATTAATGGATCTAGAATAATTATCATAATTATCTCCATCATTCTTAGAACTGGAGTTACTAGCAGTATTAGCTGATGTCGTACTATTATTATTGTTATTATTAGTAGTATTAGTAGTATTAACGTTATTAACATTAGTATCATCTTCTTGGAAATAAGGATGAACTAAAGCACGTTTAGCACTAATTCTTCCACTAGGATCATAAACCAATAATTGCTCTAATAAATCAACACCATCCAGATCTAATGTAGGAACATAATCAGCCAAATTCTTTTTAGACCATTTAGGAAATGTAGGTTTAAAATCAGGTAAATAAGATACATCAGGCCAAATATCTTCAGTTGGAGTTCCTAAAATTCTAAAAATTCTAAAGATTTCATCAATTTCAGAATCTCCTGGGAATAAAGGTTTTCTATTACACATTTCTGCAAAAATACATCCTACTGACCACATATCAACACCAGTAGAATATTGTTTACCCCCTAATAAAATTTCAGGAGCTCTATACCATAAAGTTACTACTTCATGAGTATAAGCTCTTAATGGAACTCCAAAGGCTCTTGCTAAACCAAAATCAGCTAATTTTAAATTCCCTTCTTTATCAATTAATAAATTTTGAGGTTTTAAATCTCGATGAAGAACTCGATGACTATGACAATGTTTAATTCCTTTAATTAATTGATTCATAAATCTTTTAACCATATTAGCTCCTAATCCAACTCCTTGAGGAATAGATTCCATATATTTTTTTAAATCTAAATCAAGAAATTCAAATACAAGATATAATTTATGAGAATCAGAATGAATTATATCATAAAGTCTAACGATATTATCATCTCTCATTTCTTTTAATAAAGAGATTTCTCGAATAGCAGTGGATGGAACTCCTTCATCTTCTGATTCCAATCTAATCTTTTTAAGTGCCACTACTCGATTATTGTGACGGGTATCAAGAGCTTTATAGACGACTCCATATGTACCTTCACCGACTTTTTCTTGACGTTGAAAGTCTGTGAGTTCGACCATAATGACAGTGTATTAGTGAGTGTAACGAGTGAGTGTTGTTGTTGTTGTTTTTGTTATTGAGTAGGATTTACTATGTGAATGTAGTGGTACTGAGGAGGGAGTAATGAATAAGGAGTATCACTTAGCGGTGGTAGTGGTGTTACTGTTTAGTGCGATCTCGACGTGTAGGGGACGTGTAGGGCGCGACAGGTTAGTGAGATAGGAGTTAGGGGGAGATGTTAATGTTACTATAGTAATTTTGTGAAGGTTGTGGTAGTGGACTCAAAGTTACTGGAGTGGTCTAAGGGTTACTGAAGTGGTAGTGAGTTGTTACTGGGGTTTTACTTGCTATTGTTAGTAGTAATAGTTAACCCTCGTCAAGTAGAAATTTTCGTAGTGTTGTTGTTTTGCGACATGTCCCAAAGGGGAAATAAGAAGGAAGGGAGAAGTAGTGAAGATTAGTGAAGAGAGAAAGATTAGTGAGCGTTAGTGTGTAGAGTTAGGGAGGAATATTGAAGAGTTCTGAAGAGTACTGAAGAGTACTGAAGATTACTGAAGAGTATTGTAGGTGACTGAGTACTAGTAGTCAGTAGAACAGATCTTTACTATGAGGTAACTGTGGAATTACATGTATTATTGATGCGCGTAAGTTAGTAATTTTAGCAGTCAGTCAGGCAGACTATTTTGTTTCTGGTACTGTATAATTACTGTAGTACAATTACTGTAGTACAATTACTGAGCAGTATAATTACTGAGAAATACAATTACTGTGGTACAATTACTGTAGCATAATTACTGTAGTAGAATTACTGAGTAGTATTTACTGAGCAGTATTTTACTGAGTAGTATTGAGTAGTAGATTACTGTAGTACAATTACTGACCAGTATAACACTGAGCCTCTTTACTATGCTCTCTTGCGCTTATAGAGTTACTTTACAGACACTACAGAAGCATCAAACATTCATAACATTCATTCACTAATGACCATCTCCGGCTTCACACACCTTAATCTCTCGTCCCCATTCACTATTTAAGATCTGTTTACCTGTAATTCTTCGATCTGGTTTAGGATCAAGAATCGAATAAATAACATTCCGACATCGAGCTCTCTTTAAATTTTCAATAGGCTCATATCCAGATGCATCTTTTCTCTTTTGGAGATATTCTTCAAAAAACTCATCCTTACGAGGATCAGCTAATTTCCATAATTGTCTTCCCGTTCTCATAGCCATATAAATAACTCCACATGACCAAATATCTACACATCGAGGATCAAACATTTGTTGAGTGAATTCTTCTGGTGCAATATATGGTGATGAACCACAAATTCCTTCACTTAACTGTATATCATCTTCCCATGCCATTTTAAAACATTCACTATTCCCAAAATCAGTAATTTTTAATACTCCATTTTGAGTTAATAATAAATTCTCGGGCTTAAGATCTCGATGGGCAACTCCCATATCATGAATATAATTAACTCCTCGAATTAATTGTTTAAAGAAACAATCTGCTTCGGCATATTCAAGTTTACCCAGTGCTATAATTAAAGTATACAAATCACCTCCAGAACAGAATTCCATAACTTCACAATAATCACCCTTAGCATCCTTTAATAAATCAAGAGTATCAATAATATTAATATGCTTAAGACATGAACTTATACAGAATTCGGCCGTAAGTCGACGATTGTATTTCTTGTCTGATTCATTTGGTTTACGTTTAAATTCCTTTACAGCATAAAGAATCTCATGATCTCCATCTTCATTGGTAATATAGTTATTATTACTAGATCGAATAGATGTACTGGGGATCTTTTTATGTGAGATTCTTACCACTCCAAAGGCTCCCTTCCCAATAACTTCTTGACATCTTCCATATTTTTCTACAAATGATCGAGCATCTTGTGGTGGTTGGTGAGGATCTTGTCCACGAGCAGCTAACATGGCTGCTGATGATCCATCTGGAGGTGCTACAATAGAAAGAGTCAGATTTATATTGATCTCACTTCCATCATTTGGCATTCCATAAGGCAGGGTATTATTCTTTATATGAGTTACAAGTGAATTAAGTAATGTTGGAGGTCTATTTGGATTAGAAGGAGTAGTTATAGGTACAGATGTATTGGAAGTAGAAGCAACCACTCCCTGTTGTTGTTGATGAAGTTGTACTAAAGTCTGAAGATTATTAGGAACGGCTGATTTGGCTTCATCCCGCAATTTCTTAGCTCCAAGAAGATCTTTCAACATATTGGAAAGCTTTTCTTGACGTTTTGCAGATTTCAAATTATGCTCATGACTTCCATTCTCTAGCATTCTGAAACGAGGTAAATTAGGTGTACCTAACAGTAACGAACTTGGAGGTGGAGATGCAATAGGAGTTGATGAGCCAATATTTGACATGGAGATAGTCGAAGGATGAGCACTTAAATTAGAAGGATTTTGAGCCGAATGATATTTTACCGATGATGCACGAGAGACAGAATTGGATCTCATAGAAGCCAAATTAGTATTCGAAGCATGTGAAACATGGCCATTGGAATTAGCACTAATGGTATTAGCATGTTTACGAGGATGATGAGCATTTGTCATTGAAGCCGATCTGCTGACTGATGATTTAGCATTATTAGTACCGTTAGTACTAGTACTAGTATTAACATTAGCATTAGCATTAGCATTATTATTAGCTAAACTCATATTATTTACTGACGAATTCAATTTGTTCAAGTTCGAATGCGATAAACTGTGTGGCTGTGGTTGATGGATCGTCTTACCAGCAATAGGTGTCGGTACATCATCCAGTTCATGGATTGGTGTTGGATTCAAATCTTTTGAAGATACAAGCAGAAATGGTGAAGTAGTAGTAGAAGATACAGTTTGTTGATTTACTGGAGTATGAGATCTTGAACTTGTAAGTTTAGGTGAAGAAGTAGAAGAAGAATTATTTAAACTTGTATCTTTGGTGAGATTAGTAAAATTACTTGTGGAATTAGGTAATGGAGATACTAAATCATTTTCTTGTTGAGATAGTATAACATCTTCATCATTTGATAATGGAGATTTGGTTATTGGTGTATGAATGGTGGCTATTGGAGGACTTTGAGACAGTTTTTTAGGAGTTATATCCTCCAGTATGGATGATGACAGTACTCCAAACAATTTCCCCCATTTAGATATGGATTTCTTTGATTTAGATTCGGATTGTGCCATGATTATTAATCGGATTTATAATATTTGTAGTGGGAATGTTAATGGTGATTGGACTACTTAAAGGATTTCTTGCTGGAAAGTAATTTCTGCGATTCGACTGTCTTTAAATACTATTAATAAAGGTTTTGAGATAGCTATTTATAGATTTAGCTGATTTATATTGGTAATAGATACTGGTAGGCAAATTTGAATTAATGATGGTGTGGGTGTAAGAATGTCTCACTAGACGGGGCTTCTTCGAAGCTATTTGCGCACAAGTTGCGGGGATCTGCTCAGGAATGGCTCGCTAGCACTGGTGAACTTTTTGTTAAGTGATTAGACCTGAACTGAATCTGTTGGAGGTATATAGAGTTGTTTGCAATCACTATTTTTAGGTATATTAATAAAAATTTTCAGAAATGTCGCACGAACGAACGACAATGTCTGTATGTGGAATTCTGGCGCAATGTCGTCAAAAGGATTTATTCCCTCAGGTCTGGTTTGAGTTATTAACGACGTAGTGGCTTTAGCGAATAGGGGTAAGTAGTGGGGGCAGTAAGTGGGTTAGTCGGTAAATAAAGGTTGTTAGAATGATAGAGATGTATTTTAGCTTAGTTATAGTAAAGTTTTAGTTTAGTGTGTTGTAGTGGGAAGTTCAGTAACTCTAAATGGAGGCAATAAGTATAAGTCACGACATTCTCCTAACCCGAGGCGTAGTGATAAATGACCAGTAGTGTAACATTAAATCACTGACACGTAAATGAAAGGGATTCGCTTAAAAGAGGAAAAATGTCGTAAACAAGAGGCTGTACCAGCCAAGAAATTTGCAATCTATCTGAGTCACTATAGAAACGTATATTGTGATATATTTAGCTTTGTTACTCTAAGGTGTTACACCTAACAGGCTGGATATTTTCTATATATAAACCTTAAAATGCTTCGTCTTTTATTCAGGCAAATGAACCCAAAACTAATACTGTTGGGGTAATTGGGGTATATTACATTCTCACTATAATTCAATTCACTACAATTCACTACAATTTCATTGCCAGATAGTTGTACACGTAAAATGTGTAGTGTGTTGTAGTTTATAAATAAGAATACAACATTAGCGTAGGCATTGAAAGATTCACTCCAATTTGGTGATGAATGGTTCTCAAAAATGTTGAAATAGTTTCTCTCTTGATTACATAATTATTTGTTCATTTTCGTGGATTTAAACCTACCTCCAGTGGTCGTTAGGCAGTAATTAGACTATCGCATTAGACTATCGCGTCCAATAAAAGATGGCGATAGCATAGAATACGGATATATGTATGGTAGCGCTACGTAAATAGTGGTATTAATGCATTAGATAGAAGTGAACATATAAACTATACACTAATGGTTGTTAACTGAACTAAAATAAACCGACAAAAGACCAGCTTTTGTATAGTACTACAAATCCAACTCAAGATCATTGATGTGACACTTGATGGATTGTAGGCGCAACAATAACTTCAACTTGTATTCGAACTGTAATGTAGAGGACGACTTGCTTCGAAGAATAATCTTGGACTTCAAATAGTCTACCAATTGTTCGTTGGTTATGAACAAGTTGGGTGGAAGTTGTTTGGCTGCATACTTCGACACGTAATTAAGATTCAAGTGGATAGTGAACGGTTGTGATTTGTACTTGACCTCAAATCTCAAGTCACAGTAGTATACTTTAGACGTCTTAGTAATGGAAGTATCGTTATCCGCATCAATATTTCCTAGACTCACTAATGTTGAGTTGGTGAGACCGAGCTCGTTCAAAAACTTTATCAAGTTCCGGCCTAATTCCGTCAATTTATCACCTGGCTGAAACTTGTCCTGGCTGAGGGACTGGTTGAGAACGGGCCAAGTAATGGTAGTGATGGAGGATGAGTTGATATTGTTGTTGATGTTGTCATGACTGACAAATTCAAACTGTTTAGAGTATCCATTGTTGTTTTCAGTGTCAAACTCTTCATCATCAATAACTTGCGACACCACTCGAACTGTTTTGGTGGAAAGAGGGGGCTTGTAGACTCGGAATTTATATGGCGTCGACAGAGTCTTAGCCAAAGACAAAGTTGTTGTAGATAACAACCGATTATATTTATATGTAGAATAAGCAGTAGGTTGATGAAGCATAGTGTCACAATGCAGCCATCTGTAAGACGCAAAAAGGATGTGGTTGAGGATCTACGAGCTTTTTATAAGGCAAGGCTCTGTGGTAGTCCATGAAATTTTCCACCCACAATGGTAAATTAGAGTTATAAAATATTGTTTAGATTACATATTATAAGTAACACGGAGGCGGTCACATGGGCTACATATGCTACATATGGGGTTGGTGATGATGATACATCACCATTAGTGTTGTTATTATTACTGGCCATGTGCTGTGTTCGGCTAGTGGGTTTTGACCCTTATCGACAAAATTGATCCGATAAAAAAATATAAAGGGCGGACGACATTCCTAATTGGGAAGGTTTACCATAGAATATGTATATATTACTTATTAGTTCCTATATTATTATTATTATTATTACATCTTCGTTACTATATTATTACTATATTATTGCTTATTACCATATACTTAAGTTGATGTGCTACGGTAGGGAGATCTTTGTGGGACGGACTCTGGCTGGTCTTCGTCGGCTTCATCGATCTTTTCCATGGTTGTGTCGAGGGTGTAGTTGAGGGATAAACGTGTATCTGGATCTGTGACTTCTGTAACTTCTGTACCTTCTGTAACTTCTGTGTCTGAAGCCGTTTCAACAGTAGTATTACTAGTAGTTTTAGCAATATCTTCAATAGTGTCTTCAACAGTATTTATTGTAGTCTCTTCATTAACATCTCTAGCCGCACCAGTAAAAATATCAGTAGTAGTCTTACCTATAATATCCCCAACACCACCTTCTTTACCGTCTTCTTCTCGTACTCGAGATACCCTATTATAGCTAGTATAATTATATCCATCATCATCTTCATATATATGTGCACTTGGTGCCCGACGTCTCTGTCTAATCTTCCGTAATGTTGACTCTAGCCCATCATTTGGCACTCTTGAACTAGGCTTGGGTGGAACCAATACAGTATTCACTATATCTACAATTGCCGATACATTATCACTTTCCCCACTTATTGAAACTTTATCTCCACTACCAAAAGTCTTTCCAGTACCAGTTCTACCACTACCACTACCACTAACACCTCCTTTACTACTATTATTAATGCCACTATCTGTAATACCACCAGCAGTTAAACCACTACTAACAGCCCATACAAACTCCAAATTCTCCTCGTTAAACACAACAGAAATCACCCGTAAGCCCACCGATACTGCTGCTCCCACAAATACCCCGATCACAATGCTAGCTAATCCAAAATGAATTACTTCAAGTACAAATAACTGCACTTGACTCATGAGCCACTTCAACTCTTCTGATTCGGCCACATCGCCGTACGACCGGAACTCATCATCAAGTTCAAGCAAATAGCGTAATGGTAACACTACGGGGATCTTTACAAATACCGTATATCCTACTATATATAGGGCAAGATATAAGGGTGTTATGAGGAGATGGCGGATGATATTGAGTTGGAACATAACTAGACCCATAGCAAATTGTACGACTGTCAGCACGGACACAGCCGCCAGGTTAAATAAGCTCAGGACCGACATGGCGTTAGTATGAAATGAAAGAGTTGTTGTTGTTGTTGTTGTTGTTGTTGTTGTTGTTGTTGTTGTTGTTGTTGTTGTTGTTGTTGTTGTTGTTGTTGTTGTTGTTGTTGTTGTTGTTGTTGGTGGTGGTGGTGGTGGTGGTGTAGATGTTTATTAGTGTGGGGAGGCCAGGAAGCATGTGATGAATCACGTGAAAATTATATAAATTTATTTTGGAACTGTAAATAACAACCTCCAGTAAGTCAAAAAGATTTAACTTTATAATATACTTCGGCAGAATGCTCAACTCGGCATAGTTAGGTTTGACATTATAGTAAGATGAGCTAATTATATCAAACTAACTTGCAATCATATAGATTCGAATAGGTCGTTCATTGTTCAAATAACATATCTTGTAGATATTTGACTGTTTAAGTAAGTTTAGGTAGGAGTAAACAAAATACCAACTCTCGAATTAAGTTCGAGCCGTTCTAGATCATTAATCATTACAAAGTCCAAATGGATGTGCTATATCCAAATTATAACACAGCAAATATTCTGCTTATATTTTCGCAGCCAGTCAAATACAAATTTTTATGTCTAGTTTTCTCTCTTGTAGCAGTAATTGAAAAGAATACAAGATGAAACTTGATGAAATAATTAACTATGATACTGCAATTCTGACTCTTTCCAAGGTAGGTGATATTGTTCGACCTTTCAAAATCAGCAATGAAGGGGAAACACTTTACAAATTGAGGAAACTACAACTTGAAGTATATTTAGATCAACCAAATGAGGATGAAATTAATCAATTCTTAAATAAATTTAAGTTGCACACCGACTGTTATACTGTCTATGATAAACCAACACTATTGAAAATATTATTAAGGTTACACCACTTTGAATCGCTAACAAAAATACCTCATAGTGGTACAACACAACTGTTTAGAATAATTGCCGATTTCATTAGATGGTTTTGGAGAGATACATTTAATAAGTTTGTCAATCGTGATTTGGAAACATTTTTCGAAAAATACATGATGTTCTCTCTTTATTTAAGTTTTGATCATCCTAAATTGAATGCTACTACAAATACAAGGAGTGCCATCAAGGGCAACGCAAAAAGTAATGCAACTAAAGAGACCTTCCACTACACGTTGAAGAATAGGATTGGGTTGTTATACCCATCTTCAAATATCCAAACATTTGAGGTTAAAAATATTGAGTTAACAAGACACAGATTCTTAGAGATTCCTACATTAGCATTCTTAACATATACATTTGATCTCAAAAGTAGGATAGAAAAGGACATTGAAACAATTGTACAGACAAACTTGCTACAAATTCCTGTCAGCATTTGTAATATATTATTTAAAAAATTCAGTCTCCAGGGTGGTAGAGAAGTAACCAAAGAAATTAAAGGTGAAACGTTGACAGTAGAACCAAATCTTGATATTGAGTTGTCCCTGTCGACACTCCCAGTGGAAATTGAAGCCGAACACCTCAAGAAACATATCGATAATTTCTACAACCTGAGGCTCACTGCCATTGAAAGTGTTCCATTTTTAGAAATCATTTCTCAAGTTTATCGTGAAATGATAGCAACATCCAGTACTTATGCTTTTCTTAGTGATTATGTATCCACATTCATCATTCAGTTAAATGACACCAATGTAGGAGACTTTGAAGGAGTTAATTTTTGTAGATTAGTAAGGTCAGTTAATTTCCTGATCTATGAATTGGATCTCAACAGCAAATACTCAGTATCTACTCAAATTTTCAATTTCCTTGTTGAATCCCAAAAAGAATATCATAAAATGAAAGACGTTATGGATGTCAATGAATTACGCTGTTGGATTGAAAATCCCGTCAGGGATAACTTGGTAGAAATAATTTATTCTGAATTTTCTAAAGTTTATGATAAATTAATTCATCCTTATAATAGTGAGAATGAATGTATCTGATAATTTCAGTATAGAGTATTCATATGCATCTTATTTCCCCGATTTAAAATACATTCCTGGGTCAAATATCACTCTTAAATAATTTAGCTAGTATGAAATGTATATATATTTATAACTTCTTCTACTGATATATAAAATAATAATGTATAGATTCTTCTTGAGAAAGCTTTGAAGACGTATGCCTTCGGGCCTAAAGTATTACGCAAACCAGGATGTCTATTATTGGTAGTATGTATTCATTTTATATTCATAATTCCTTAATCAATCTACATAAATTTCGGTATGTACCATGTCGTGTGGCAACCTATTTCTTCGTAAAGTCGCTAACAGATGTAATTGAGCTTCAGTTCGAATCGTCGATTCAGCTCAACCTTGGTGCCTAGCCCAATTGGCGTAGTATAAGACTTATTGAAGTCAAACACCATGGCGATGCTACAGGTCGACTTTAGCCAAGTAATCGTACTTGTCTTTACGTTAAGTCTATTTCGTTCTCTATCTCCACAACTTGTATGGTAGATCCATACGCATGCTTTTTCGCAGCCAAGTATATTCTGCTTGTCTTTTTGTGTAACTTAGGGAGAAAAATTCTGCCACAAACTATAACATAGTGACTGCCATAAAGAACACTACTAATCTCTTATAATTAACATTAACTTAATTTGAGAATCATATAAGATGAACCTTGATGAAATAATTAACTATGATACTGCAATTCTGACTCTTTCGAGGGTAGGTGATACTGTCCGTCCCTTCAAAATCAGCGATAAAGGCGAGATATATTACAGACTTCAGGAAGTACAGCTTGAAATATATTTAAGTCAACCAAATGAGGATGAAATTAATCAATTCTTAAATAAATTTAAGTTGCAAGACGACTGTTATACTATATATGATAAACCAACACTATTGAAAATATTATTAAGGTTACACCACTTTGAATTGCTAACAAAGATACCTCATAGTGGTACAAAACAACTGTTTAGAATAATTACCGATTTCATTAATTGGTTTCGGATTATATTTAATAGTGATTTGGAAACTTTTTTCGGAAACTATATGATGTTCTCTCTTTATTTAAGTTTTGATAATCCTAAATTGAATGCTACCACAAATACAAGGAGTGTCACTAAGAGCAATGCAAAATCAAATGCAGCCAAAGAGATCCGCCACCACACATTGAAGAATAGGATTGGGTTGTTATACCCATCTTCAAGCCTTCAAAAATTCGAGGTTAAAAATATTGAGTTACCAAGATACCAGTTTCAAAACATGTCTGCATTAGGATTCTCAAATTATACATTTGATCTCAAAAGTAGGATAGAAAAGGACATTGAAACAATTGTTCAAAAGAATCTCTTAGAGATTCCAGTTGACACTTGTGAGTCCTTAGGCATCAGAGACTTCACTCTCGAAGGTGGTAAAGGGTTATCTAAACAAATAAATGGTAAAAACTTCACCGTCGAGCCAGATCTTGAAATTGTAACACCTCTGACGAGAATGCCTGTCGAAATTAAAATCAGAAACTTAAAGAAATACATCGATAATTTCTACAGCCTGAAACTAACTGCCATTGAAAGTGTTCCATTTTTGGAAATCATTTCTCAAGTTTATCGTGAAATGATAGCAACATCCAGTACTTATGCTTTGCTTAGTGATTATGTCTCCACGTTCATCATTCAGTTAAATGATACCAATGTAGGAGACTTTGAAGGAGTTAATTTTTGTAGATTATTAAGATCAGTTGATTGCCTGATCTATGAATTGGATCTCGACAGCGAATACTCAGTATCTACTCAAATTTTCAATTTTCTCGTTGAATCCCAAAAAGAATATGATCAAATGAAACCTTTTATTACTGAGTTTCAAAATAATTGCTGGTTGCCTAAATCTATTAGGGATTCCTTGACAAAAATGTTTCATTTAAGGATCCATAAGTGGCATGAACAACTACTCGAGCAATTTGTACCACCTCCAACTATGGCTTCAGATGAAGAAGTAAACTACCCAACAATTAACACAATTGCATCATCATCTTTCTCTGCCTATGAAGAATCAACTGATAACATAAATTTTAATGAACAACTTATTCTCAGTACTAACCGTATGCAAGAGAATGAAAAATTCTGTTACTACTCAATGGAAGATATCATGAATTCCTATGATTTTATAAAAATCCTTACGGGTGATGAAATTAATACTCGTATGAGTACAACCATCGTTATTGTTGATAAAAAGGATAATTCTAAATCTTTATTAAAAATATACGATCCTCTATTCTCGTCGATTTACGTTAGTAAAGAGGCGGTAATAGAAGGGTCTTATAAGAGAACCTTCAAAGTATTTGAACGGGAAGTGAATTGTTTAGAGATAGTTCAACCAGAAAAGATCTCTCCCTCAATAAAGCAATTTGGATTTTTAAGAAACGAAGGAATTGAAAAGTATACTGAGAAACTTGATATTTCCAAAGGAATTCCACTAGCTGGCTTTTTTATAACCATGTCTCTAATCGGAAAAAGCTTAGAAGAGTTAATCAATGAGTTAAGTGATGATCAACTTAAAACATTATATGGCAAGGCACAAGTTAAACTAACCACACTTCACAGGTGCGGGTTAGTGCATAACGATATCCATGCCGGTAATATTTTAATTACACCTGAAATGGATGTCTTCTTTATTGATTATGCTATTCTGGACCTAAATGATTTTAGATGGCCAGCAAATAATGAGTCTGATCGAACAAAACGAGATGAAGGTGATTTAAAGAAGTCCTTTCTGAGAAATACAGATTATACTAAGCAGAATCAAAAAAAATCTCCATTAAAGGGAATGGATTATACCTAGATTCAACTTTTTATTAAATCAATCCTATTGCCAATGTGTACTATCCTTAGTTGCTATCCTTAGTTGCTATCCTTATTTGATATCCTTATTTGATATCCTTATCTGCTATCATAATCATAATCTGCTATCATAATCGGCTAACCTATATAACAAGAATGTTAGTTGAACATATTATATTAATTAGCTTCTCTTTGAAATATATATGTTAATTAAATATGTCTATAATTTAAAGCCTACTAATGCTAAGTCACATACTACACCAGATACCGAATAAACTAATTGTATATTATGCAATACCAAGACACAGAGAAAGAAGTAAACAAGATGCGAATATATTAGGAGGTGGAGACAATGGAGGCACTAGCTGGACCAGAGTCTGTATCATGATTAGAAGAGTCAACAGGCAATGACTTCTCGAAAGAAGTCAGTTGGTCAGAACCACTGCGTTTTTCAACTTCTTCAAGAGTCAACTTATCAACCTGAGACTTGATGTGGTTGGAGTAGTATGAGCCAAAGACGTTCCAATGGAATTTGACGAGGGTAGAGATTCTCAAGGCGATGTTCTTTAACTCCGAAGAAGACTGAGATGCAGCAGCAGATACAGTAGTAGCAGATGCAGTAGCAGCAGATGTAGAAGCTGAAGTAGATGATGGAGTAGTGGTGGTGGAAGCGGCAGTTACTGGTTGGGGATCATCATCCTTATCCACAAGAGCCATGATTTCAGCCAACAATTCCTTAAAGATCTTAATTTCCATGAGTCCGTACACTTCCGATTTGGGTTGAATATGCTTCATGAGCCAGTTATAACTGAATTCAATCAGAGACGAAGACAACTGTTTAAAGTCACTATTACGTGGATTCTGTTGGAGGTTCTTCACGAGTTGAAGACTAATAGCGTTGATATTCTTTGTCCACTTAATATTGCCATTATCGTCGGTGACAATGGCTAAGATTTCATGTTGAACTTTAGCAATGTTGGCAGGGGCAAGAAGTGATACGGGTCTCTTCTCCATTACAACCAATTGACGATATAATACCATACAGAGTTGAACACACACAAGTTGACGAACATCAGCTCGAAGTAACACAAGTCTTGTATGATCAAAGGCAAGAGTCAGAGGGAATTCAGTGGCCATTTGACGACAACTAAGTAAATCAATAATGGCACTAACAATGATAGGTTTGAGAGCACTATCATCAATACATGTTGTGGAGGTGACTTGTTTATGGGCCTTCTTATAGAACCAATTCAATGAATCAGTAATATTTATTTTATGATGACTAATAAGTGATTGGAAATAATCTCGTTCAAAATCAACCGCCGTTTCAATGAGAACAGGACGAAGTATACGAATTTGATGATTGGCAACATCCAATTTCATGGCTTCCAATATTTGAAAGATCATACGAAGACCACTAACAAGATGATCAACCGAACCAAGACGATAAGCATCTTCAAATTTAGTAGACATTTCAATTACCCATTGATCTCTCATAGGAGCACAATGAGATTTGAATACATCGCCAAGCCAACGAGCCATTTCCACAAAATCAAACAGACCATGATGAAGTTGTTGAATTAATAAGTCAATATCCATGATTTCTGTCACTTGTGGTCTATCCTTAGATGGTAATAATGAAAGTAAGATATCTCTTAATGTAGCAAATAATATAGGTAAACGATTAATTCTAATGGTAGATGGTAAAGGTCCAAAGAATTGACGACATTCAAGACGGACTTCGGCCCAGTACTTTTCAATGATTGACTTTTTACGTTTCCCTCTTTCACCATCCAAGTTAGGACGGAACTGAAGTTGAGGGTCAAAGAGAATATCATGACGAAGTTGAGGATTCTTAAGAATTTCATGAAGATCAATCTCTTTAAGTGATTGAAGATTTATGGGAGGAAGTGGAGGTACTGTTGATGTTTGAATTTTAGTGGAACTGGCAGATGTGTTAGCAGATGTGCTGGTGAGATTAAGATTAACATTACTGGCTGCTGGATGATGATGGTGGTGGTGTCGTTGATGATATGAGATGATTGGTAACAGTCTGGAGCGGAAACGTTTAACAAATCGTTTGGAGGTGGTAGGGTTGGAGGAACTTGTGGGAATGGTTGAGGCATTTGTCGTGGGTGTAGTTGTAGTTATGGTTGTGGTTGAATTACTTGGAGCTGGAGGATTTAGACGGACTCGTTTGGAATCGGCCACAAAGGGCATCGATGAGGAAGACGATGATGAGTTGCGTTTTGTGCTTGTGGGTTGCTGAAGCAGTTGTTGTTGCTGGAGCTGTTGCTGTTGGAGTTGGATGTGTAAGTTAAGGTGGTGGAGATGTATCTGGTGGGGTGGAGGAGGAGGAGTATCATTATTTGTCGTGGAGTTAGTTGTTGTCGTAGTTGTTGTCGTGGATGTGGTAGTGGGGTCATTTGGAGAAGGAGTTTCTGGATTAAATACCACTTTACGGAACTGATGATGGTCCAGTCTGATTATGGGCTGGGAAGGTACCAGTTGTTGGTCCTTGTCGGTCTGATTATTGACCTGGGAGTTCATATGGGCATAAGTTTTTATGAATTCGTGAGGGATTGGTGAGTCGTGAGAATTAGGGAGACTTAGGGAGACTTAGCTAATAGATTAAGTATAGGAAGGACTTAGTAATAAATTAGGGATTTCAGTGAGTGGTAGTGAGATGTAGTAGGATGTAGTGAGTGGAGGAGATAGTTTTGAAGGTATTCTTATGAGATTTGGTATAAGTTTTAAGAAGAAAGTGATGATGGAGTTAATGACGGTGACGAAGGTCAGTAAAAAATTACAGTAGTGAGGCAAAAAAAAAGCTCAGTAATTCTGAGGCCATGATCGCTAAAAAGAAATTGGTGATTTGTTTCTTTTTTTTTTTCTTTCTTTCTTGTTTTTTCCATCGCATTAGAATTTCTTTTGAAATTTCTTTTGATATGTAAGCAATTAGTGAAACTGTAAGTGTAGTGAAATTGTAAATGCTTTTTTTATTAGTGCTATTAATACTTTGCTATATATAGTACTACTATTTTAGCATAACTAATGTATCAGTGCTACTGGTATGGTATTTTACATTAGTTAGTACTGTACCTACAGTCTTATGTACTACTACTAATTGTTCTACTAATTGTTCTACTAATAATAATTCTTCTATTAATCCTGTGTATTGAGTACTATGTTCTATACCACTACTTGCAATAATAAGACTACTTATTCGATGCAGTAAATAATACTAAATCACTATAATTACACTCTAATTAGTTTACTGCGAAATCGCCCAATTCCCTATTCTAGTCATGCTTGCAGGCATCTCACGTTACATCAACGGCTGCCTGACTCAAGGGCTAAAAAGTCATGTGATCATTTCATATTAAAATTAAAAATTAAAAATATAAAATTATTAATATGAAATTACTTGAGATAAACATTTAAAGTTTTTATGTTTAATCCTTGCAGATCTCCCGTAGCATGTCCGATATTAAACGAATATCGGTACTTGAGTTGTGGTAAAATTTCGTGTATTATTGCCTAATGCGGCGGAGTGGTCCCGCACCTTTAATTTGTCGAGGAAGGTGAAGAGCGGATTAACTAGCCGAAGGAGTCACAGGTGGATACATTACGTAGTCAGTAGTTAATATATCACATACACAGTTGATTAAATAAAATATTTAGTTACATACTTAAGTTTTACATAGTTAACAGTTACATACATTATTTACAGTTACAGTTTCAGTTAGAGGTACATGACAATAGAGAGTAGTATTAGTAGTGAGTAGTATTAGTAGTATAGTAGTTAATAATTAGAATTAGTAGTAGTTAATTATTAGTATTAGTAGTAGTAGTTAATTATTAGTATTAGTAGTAATAATTAGTAGTATCTACTGGTCTGTTTATTACTACTTCCTTTACCATTAGTCACATTTCCAAACTGCAACTCTGTCATTCACTTACAGGTTCTGCTTACAGTTTCTCCTGATAAAAAATAAATCTCACTAAAAAATAAATACCGACTTAATTTCATCGGACAGAAAAAGAAAACGAAAACGAAAAAGAAGAAACTGAAAACTGAAAACTGAAAAACTGAAAATTGAAAAACTGAAAATTGAAGAGTCTGTAAACTGAAAACTGAACAGTCTGTAAATTACCGACTGACTCCTTAACTACAACTACAGTCTCACTGCATCGGTCTCTGAATTACCGAGTCATTACTGAAAGAGGCTCATTAGTACTGAAAGTCTTCCGCTAACCAACGAACTGGTCTTACTGTACGTCCTTCACTAGACTTCGCTCGACTTCACTTCACTTCACTTCACTCACTATCCCATGCACCATGTCCGTAATACCTCCGCTAGCCTCGCCGTCACCCCTCTCTGCTAATCCGTCACAGGGTGCCTTACTAAACAGAGCTAAGGACTCGTCCAGTCCCTCCAACACCACCACAAACACAACCACAACCTCAAACACAGCCTCAAGCTCTGGTAAAACTCAGACTGTATTCATCCATAAGCTCTACGATATGCTCCACGACGAGTCCATCTCCCATCTCATCTGGTGGTCGCCCTCGGAAGACTCCTTCTACTTACTTCCAGGAGAAGAGTTCAGTAAAGTGTTGGCTCAATACTTCAAACATACCAATATAGCCTCCTTCATTAGACAACTTAATATGTATGGTTTTCATAAAGTTAATGACACCTTCCAAACCAATCTGGCAGAGGATGCTCCTGCCTCGGCTCCAGGAACTCCTCCGGCCGATCAGCCGGAAGGTACCACCAATTCCACAACAACAACCACAAATTCTACTAAATGGGAATTCAAACACTCCACCAATCAATTCCGCAAGGGGGACATCGACTCCCTAAAGCTCATCAAACGTAGATCGTCCAAGAACATTAACTCCCATAAGGAGATTGTCAATTTGAAGTCTTTACCTCCGACTTCAAACCCCATGCTTCTAAACCCCAACTATCCCTATCAGTATGCACCAGGCCCTCCTCCGCCGCCCGGTCTTCATCATCATCATGTACACATGACACCGTACAGTGATGATGAACTGTCGAACTTGAGTCGTCATGGCTCCTCCGATAGTCTTCATCAGCAGTACCACCAATCACTCCAACTCCATCAGCATTCCCTCCTTCTCAACCCATCTAATTCCGCCAACCCTATGCCAAACCAGGCCCCTTCCTCTGCATTATCCACTCCCTTACATCCACCCTCAGCTCCGCATACTCCAACCCCTCATCAACTTCAAGTACCGGTTCCACATTCGCCTCATCATCTTCTTGGCCCACTTCAACCACAATCACCTTCTGGCAAACCGGCTTTGGTGTCCAACCCCTCGTTTGAGAACTCCGTCAACTTCAAATTCATCGAATTGAATAATCAGGTTAACTACCTCAAAGCCGAACTCACCCTGGTCAACCACCGCTACGAACTGCTCCATCAGGAAGTCATCCGCAACCAGTCCGATATCGTCCAACTCTTGGATGTGGTGGAGAGTTACTTGACTCGCCTGGACGTTAAGCCAGAAGACGATCGTCTGGCCCATAATAAGACACCGCTCAAACAGGAGGAACCCGTCCGAACCCTTCAAAGTGATATAGCCTCCTTCCGTTCACTCCTTCTTCAAAGGATCCGCACAATGAGTAACTCCAGCGTATCCCATAACCATGGCTCCCAGTCGTCGGCCTCAGCCTATCACCTCAACGATACCAAAGCGGCCAATTCCAGAAACCCATCCAATTCCAATATCCATATCGTGCCTCAACATTATCCTTTGAATCCTCACTACACCATCTACAGTAATCCCAATGATGTACCGACCTTCCGGAAATTCCCGGCCGCCGCCGCTACTGGCTCCACGTCCAATCCTGATGAATCAGTCACTTCTACTTCTTCTACTGGTGGTGCTGCTTCAACATCAGTGGCATTATCATCATCATCGGCCGCGGGCGCTACCACGGCCGCTACCAACCAGGCCGCCCCTGTCGGACGCCATTTATCGATCCTTATGGATCCCCTTCAACCAATTCCATCTCGCAGCATTAAGCCTGTGTTTGATGAACATCATCAGCAACCGGCCGCCAACTTCAGGCTCCGGGCGGAGTCTAAGAGTTACAGTCCGTTGACAGTAGGAGGCTCCTCCGCCAACGCTACGGCCCTCCAGTCATCTCCGCAACAATCCTCCAACCGTTCATCGTACGGGAACCTTAATGACACCAAACGGTCCTCGAGCTTAGTGAGTAACAGCAACAGTATCAATACGCCCGATTCCAAGCTTCCTCCGGCCACTCCGAACCAGCTGTATCCGTTCCCCAATATGGTACCTGATCATTTACCTCCGCCGCTCTTACCTCCGTCCAGTACAAGAACTCATTCATTACCCACACCTCATGTGGAAGGTACCAGTGCCACGCCGCCCAGCTCGGTGCCTCCGTACTATAACCAACGCAACTCGTTCACTTCCATCTATGATCACTTACCTGCGTCGTCGGCCACGTCCGCTCCGGCTGCTCCCAACCAGCTCCCCTCGGTGAGCGAGTTGGATAAGTCCATCAAGACCACCACCAACAACACCAACAACACCAACAACAGTATCAATAAGCCTAGCCTCTCGGCTAGTCCCAGTTCTACATCACTTCCGTCGATGGCGACTCTTCTACAACCGGATCGTGAGCGCGAGGATGTCGACGATGAGACCCGCAAGAAGCGCAAGTTGCTCAATTAGCCACTGCCATATCTCTGTATTACTACATGTAACATTCCTGTTCTATACTTCAATTCTCCTAGTTAATATATATTGGTATTACTTACATTTACTGCTACTTGTACTGGTACTTCTATACTCTACCGAGCTCTCTCTTGAGCGGATCCACATACTCCTTCTCAAGCTCTTGCTTAACATAGACAATATAATACGGAGTTGCCGTATTGGTATCATCGAAATTAAACACCTCCAGTAATGACACCTCGGTGATAATCTCATCATTATACTTTCGGTAGATATCCTGACGATGCGGATCCTTAATATAAATCCAATAATGACCATAACTGGCTTCCCCCCGATGAATGAATATAGCAAATATCGTATACCCCACGCGTTTATAGTTGGAGAATTGATTGGCTATAAGATTCTGCAACTGCCCAAGTCGCTCGTTATACTGCTCTAGAGTATGACTGAGCTGTTGCGCTACAAGTTCAATCTGTTCTATGGACTTACTATCGATCGTGAGCTCAATACTCTCGTCGCTTTCAATCGTCTCCAAGTACTTCTTAGTGACTTTGAGTGACTCAATGATCGAGAGCTTTGTATCAGGATCAATGGCTGTGAGCTTAGCTCTTTCCTGACTGATCACACTCATCTCATTCTTCCATTGGAACACCTCTTGACGGAGCCGTAACATCTCCGCATCTTCGGTGTCCAAGTACCGATCCAAATAGATCTTATCCAGAAATGGAATGGGCTCAAGTGACTTATAGGCCATGAGCTTCTCCTTATCAAACATAACCCGTTGCACGTGGAATTGAAGGATATCCGGTAACTCATTAACGGTAATGGACTTCTTACATAATCCCTCCTCTAAACTGATTAGATCCTCATTGAAATAGTTATCTAATGTATCATAAATGTTCTTCGGATGATCACTCACATTGATGATTAGACTGAAGAATCGTTCTATCAGAATTCGAGCGGGTCCAGTCGTTATGGTGGGATTCTGCGGATCTACGGGGACGATGGTTTGTTTAATCTTACCGTAGAAAAGTCGCTTGATCAAATCGATCTGTTCTCCGTCTTCTTCCAACTTCTCGGGGGCTAAGGCAGTCTCGATTTGGAATATCACATTCTCTATGCACTCAGTCACATCCTGCTGGCGTCCAACTTCTATAGTGCTCTCCATTTGATCCGTACTGATCGACAATAACGGAGGTCCTGTGCGGCCGACTTCTACTGGTTCCACCTCTTCAACCTGTTCCACTTGTTCAACTTCAACATCGGCCGAGTCACTGTGCGAGCGAGAGAACTCGCCCGCAGAGATCACTTCGATATCGTCATCGGCCAGCATCACCACATCGTCGGGCGGCGATACCGAGTCTACCAAGATAGGCTCATCGTCATCGTCGTCGTCATCGACAACTTCCTGTTCTTCTTCAACAACATGAGCCTCAAGCTCTTCGTCCTCATCTCTAATCTCAATGATCTCCGCATCATCTCGGAAGTCGACCGACTGCGATAACGCAAGGAACGACAAGTATGCCAACTCCTTGGTGGGCTGCACACACCGTTTCCTCGTATGAATCATCTCGTCAAACAAGTACCGCAAGTGATAGATAAACTGATTGGACCGAGTGATCTCCTGATCCTCGACCCGTCTCCCGCCAATCTTGCGATGACCGAAGCGACTGAAATCGACTTGAGACTCATCGAATTGTAAGATCAATTCGCGTAGGGGTTTAATACAGAAGTAGTACTGTAATAGGGAATTCAAATAGCAGGTGTTACCGATGTTGTCTAAACCCGCAGGCCAGTTTTCGGCCGGAAGCAAGGACGGATCCACTTTCCCGTTCTTGAGGAAACTGAATAGGATATCGGACTTGCGACTCTCTGCAATAAGCTTTAAGCTATACCGTAAGTGGCGGATATCACTGGTGGTATCATTCAGTTTGTTCTGGAACGCCGTGATGAGTTCAAAGTCGGAACTGGTACGACTAACACCGAAAGTCTCATAAGCACTAGCAGTGGTAGTAGTGGTGGTGGTAGTAGCAGGGGGTATGCGACTTATCTCGGGCAATTTGGTTTCTATATAGTTCAACAACAAGTAACTCTTCCGATTGACTGCCACCGACAAGAGCGACTTATTGAGAAACGCTATTTCGTTAGCAGAACTCAGGAACCCCGTGGCCTGCGCTAGCTCATCGAGTCGGTATTCATACGCCGTGATAACCACATCATCTTCTGTGATTTCTTCTATAGTTAATTCGTCTAGCGCGATGTTTAATGGGACTATCTCGTTATGGATATACTCCCACAACTTGACGGATTGTCGGACTTTGGCAATCACTTGCAAATGGTTATTGTAGTACTGATAATTCTTGGGATCATCCTTAAAGCTGGTCTTATACATGGCCACAACAAAGTCATCGTCAATATCGTTGAGTTCAGTAGTACCACCAGCTCCACCTACACTTATCCCTATAGCATTCATGGATTCCACATAATCACGGAATCCAATCATCTCTCCCTGCGCAGACAAGTTCTTAATGTACGAATTCAACTTAGTCGAACTCGACTTATAACTAGCCACACTTCTTAATGAATCCACATAGTACAATCTATTGGAAGGGTCGGATTTAACGGAATTCTCAAAACACTTAATGATAAGTTCATCTTGAAAATACGGACTACAACTAAGATTGATAAAGAACCCAAGTTCGTTAGTGGTATACTTAACGAATTGAGTCTGATTTATATGTTTATCATATTCAGCAATGGCTCCAAACACCAAATTGAAATTATCCGAATACGAATAAGCCGTTTGGAAATCATTTGTAGCAACCAGCTTACCATAGATTCTCCCTAAATAAATCAACTCTTGAATCATTCTAATGAACAGTTCCTTTAATCGAGGTAATAATACAAGATTGGGAGGAATTAGTTCTGTTTCTTCGGCATTTAGGGTGAATCCCAAACGTTCAAGTAAGAACTGAACATCAATCGTAGCACTTAATGAAGGATTGGAAAGGCTAATGGTTTTAATTGAATCATTGGGATCAAGTAAAATTGGGCCTCTTAACACTTTAATAAGCGTCTTAAAACAATGGATTACATTAGGAATCGTATCGGGAGAAAGGGTGGGATTGGTTTTCATACCATCGGAGTATCGTTTAGCAATCGTTTGTTGATCAATGAATGGTAATAACTCTTGTTTAGTGAATTCTCGACGAAATATAGTCACTCGTAAGAGTTGATGATATGGACTATTGGCACTCTTATAGTATGCATCATCAAAGATACTTGACTGATCGGCATCATCACTTCTTAAACTAATCAAATCATCATTAGATAGTAATGATTGAGGAATAATATGATACTCATGTTTATCAAGAACATGGCTGACAAACGGGTTAGTACTTGATTCAACTATAATGATTCTAAAATGGTAATAATCATTTTCATTCCGAACAATCAACCCTCGAATAAGTGCTACTCGAATAGGCAGACCGTCAATCTTCTCAATTGATGGAGAAAATGGTAAGGAATTATTAAGGGTTAATACATCATAATGATATTGAGGATTGGAAGTCATGCGACTAAGTTCTGTCGAATACTCAAGCGGTCTGGACTGTAATAAACTAGTTGAGTGTTCGGCCATAAACGGAACCGCATACTTCAAATCGTCTAAGATTCGATTGATAGTTTTAAATGGATATTTGATTAATTCAGTATTTCCAATAATTGAACTTGTATATTGGGAGGAGGGTATGGGACTTGTGACGTCAGTCGAGGAATTACTGAATGGATTATGATTCTTAGGGGGATGATTGGCTTCTGATACGTTTCCATTTCCTGGCAGCAGCCCATGGCTGGACGATTCGTCTATCATGTCCACTACTGATGATGAATTAGTAGTTGTGGATGAATTATGCCTAAGCTCCACTAAATAGAAATGTCGCTCGCTAAAAAAAGTCAGGTCTGAAAATCATCGCTAAAGTCACTACGCTCAGTATTCACAACGCTCAGTAACCACTAAGCTCAGTAATCACTACGTAACTATGAACGGGCAGACTATAGATCTTGAAAAGATCAAAAACAGTTCCGATGGGACGGTTCGCGGGATGGTTTCCGCCGGGATCAATGAAGTAATGGTTAATAATCCATACTTTGCAGCTGGTGGAGGACTCATGCTTTTAGGTACAGCATTAGCATTAGGAAGACAAGGAGTTGTTAAAAGTTCTGGATTCATTTATCGACAATTGTTAGTTGATTTAGAAATCCCCTCTAAGGATAAATCATATCTTTGGTTCTTGGAATGGATGTCTCAGTATAAGCATCGATCTTCAAGACATTTATCAGTTGAAACAAATTATCTTCAACATGATAATGGTGCAGTAACTACTAAATTTAGTTTAGTACCTGGTCCTGGTAAACATTTCATAAAGTATCGTGGAGCCTATATGATGGTTAATCGTGAACGTTCAGGTAGATTGTTAGATATGACTAGTGGTGCACCCTTTGAAACAGTTACATTAACTACTTTATATAGAGATCGTCATTTATTTAGTGATATGTTAGCAGAAGCTAAAAAGTTGGCCCTTAAAGCTCGTGAAGGTAAAACTGTAATTTATACTTCATGGGGTCCTGAATGGAGACCCTTTGGTCAACCTCGTAAGAAACGAGTTATAGGATCGGTTATCTTGGATAAAGGTGTATCCCAAACAATAGTTAATGATGTTAAAGATTTCTTAAGTAGTGGTGAATGGTACCATACTCGAGGAATTCCGTATAGAAGAGGTTACCTTTTATATGGACCTCCAGGTAGTGGTAAAACATCATTTATACAAGCACTTGCGGGAGAATTGGATTACAATATATGTATATTGAATTTATCAGAAGCCAATCTCACGGATGATAGACTTAATCATTTAATGAATCATATTCCTGAACGATCAATTCTTTTATTAGAAGATATTGATGCTGCATTCAATAAAAGAGCTCAGAGTGATGAAAAGGGGTATACATCAGGAGTTACCTTCTCCGGGCTCTTGAATGCCTTGGATGGAGTAGCGAGTGCTGAAGAATGTATTACATTCATGACGACAAATCATCCTGAGAAATTGGATCCGGCCTTATTACGTCCAGGAAGAGTCGACTTTAAGGTATTGATTGATAACGCCACTGATCATCAAGTCAAAGAGATGTTCTTAAGATTCTACGGTGATGAGCCTGAACTTTGTAACGAGTTCATGGCCAAATTTAAAAAGTTACAGTTGACCCATGTCAGTACCGCACAACTACAGGGATTATTTGTATATAACAAGCGCGATCCTCATCAAGCTATCAGTATGATAGAGACATTGAGAAATCCAAATAGTGTATTTTAATAGATATGTACATAGTTAATTAATGCATTGATTATCCACGATATCGCTTCATTATATCGTCATGAGTCTTTGTGAGTTCGGTGGTGGTGGTGGTGGTGGTCGTGGACGCCACTAAATCATTCAAGTAGCTGATGTATATCAAGTAGATAAGGAGATCACTATTGTCGTTACTTAGTGAGGCTGCCTTTGGGCTTCCACTACGTTGGTGTTGGTGATGATTGTGATTTTCATCTAGCTTGGCCGCTAGTATGCGTCTGAAGCGCAGCTTATCATATGTCTTCTTATTGTGTTTGACTGGAGCCATTGTGGTGTCAGTGTCAGTGTCAGTGTCAGTAATTATTGTTTGTTTACAGTCTAGTCGCTATTTTTTTAGCGACAATTTGTGTGACCGTCAGTAATCAGTAAGGAGCTTAGTAATAATCCCTCCACCAGCTCCCAGAAGCAGCACGGAAAATGTCTCTAGATGTCAGTAGTGGCCACTAAACGACTAGTGGCTATGCTACTACACTCACTATGTCTCTAAACCTTACTAACACGCTAAGCTCTCTATGCCACTCCGCCACTGTAGCAGCAACTTAAGTTATTATGTTATCGAGCGAGCACGTGACGCTTCCCCAACTTTGTGATAAATTGCCGCCTATCTATGGCTGGCCGGCCCTCAAGCAGCACATAGCCATTTACAGCCATTGCTAAGGGGATACCATATAGACTACTAAACTTTTTAGCTTATCTAAGACGCCCATGAAGTACGTATCGCTCGCTGCCATAGCCCTCTGGTCGGCGTCGGTACTTGGGGCCGGGGCCGTCCAGGTCCGTAACGAGAAGGACTTGTATAATAATTTCGACCGTATTAAACGTGGAGCCGTATTAAATGATGTATTTGATATCAAACAGAGTTTAGCCGATCAATATAATGAATCAGAAACCGATGACAAATGTCCTCCGTGTTTCAATTGTAATTTGCCTAACTTTGAATGTGTTCAATTCTCCCAGTGTAATACATTTACAGGGAGATGTGAATGTCGTGATGGTTATGGTGGATTAGATTGTTCAGAACCGTTATGTGGATCATTATCCGATGGAAATAATAATCGACCATCCCGTCAAGAACCTACATGTGATTGTAAGCCGGGATGGTCAGGTATTAATTGTAATATGTGTACTGAAGATAATGTATGTGATGCCTTTATGCCCGAAGGTTTATCAGGTACTTGTTATAAAAGTGGGATTATTGTTAATAAATTCCACCAAATGTGTGATGTAACTAATCCCAAGATTATATCAATTCTTGGAGGTAAGAAACCTCAGGCCACTTTTAGTTGTAATAGAAGTGCAGAGAATTGTGATTTCCAATTTTGGATTGATCAAAGAGAATCATTTTATTGTAGTTTAAACAAGTGTAAACTTGACTATGATCTTAGTGCTAATACTACTCATTATAATTGTGAAGAAGTGGCCTGTAAATGTTTACCTGATCGAATGCTCTGTGGAGAAGCAGGATCTATTGATATTTCTGAATTCTTGACTGAAACCATCAAAGGACCCGGGGATTTTAGCTGTGATGTGGCCGATAGAACTTGTCGATTCTCAGAACCAAGTATGAATGATTTAATTCAAAGTGTATTTGGAGATCCTTATATTACTTTAAAATGTAAATCTGGTGAATGTGTTCATAAAAGTGAAATTCCAGGTTATGATATTCCTGATAAAACCAAATTAACTTTAAATAATATAATCTTAATCATTGGTGTGGCTCTTGTATGTGGATTAATTATTATATCTGGTGTACATAATATAAATCAATCACCATTATTTAAACAAAGTGGTGAAGATTTATATGAACCATTTGATGCTGATAATGCTGCTATGAATAAGAATTTTACTCCTACAACACTTTCATTTGAAAATGTTAGTTATACTGTAAAGGGACAAACAGTTCTTAAGAATGTATTTGGAATTGTTCAACCTCGCGAATGTTTAGCTATTTTAGGAGGTCTGGGTGCTGGTAAGACTACTTTATTAGATATTTTAGCTGGTAAAAATAAGGGAGGTATTGTTACGGGTGACATTTATGTTAATGGTAATATACTTGAAAATGAAGATTATAAACGGATAGTGGGATATGTTGATCAAGAAGATCATTTAATTCCTACATTGACTGTATATGAAACCGTACTTAATAGTGCATTATTAAGATTACCTCGAGATATGACTCTTAGACAAAAGGAAGCCAGAGTGGTTGAAGTATTAAATGAATTAAGGATCTTAAACATTAAGGATAGAGTTATTGGATCTGACTTTAAGAGAGGCATTTCAGGAGGTGAAAAGAGACGAGTATCAATTGCTTGTGAATTGGTTACTTCACCTTCAGTATTATTTTTAGATGAACCAACGTCTGGTTTAGATGCTTATAATGCCAGAAATGTTATTGAATCATTGGTTAAATTATCTCGAGATTTCAATAGAACCATTGTATTTACTATCCATCAACCTAGAAGTAATATTGTATCATTATTTGATAAACTTATCCTTTTAAGTGAAGGAGATCTTGTTTACTCGGGTGATATGATTAAGTGTAATGATTATTTTGCACGCAATGGATATCAATGTCCTTTGGGTTATAACATAGCCGACTTTTTAATTGATATTACTGTAAAACATAAACAAATTGGCAAACTGTCATCGGCTGAAACTCCCGATGTTCATGCTGAATTCACTCAAACTTCAGGTGAAACTGATACTACAAGAGAATGGCAGCATTATGCTATTCATCGGGATGATTTTAATCATGATCATGATACCGAAGAAGATACGGTAGTTCAGTACACTGGTAATTTATCCACTGTGTTTATAGAATCTCCTATAGCAGGAGATATTAAACAAGAAATCACAGCCATTAAGGAATCCCCAATTGCTATAGATGTTAGTAGAAAGAGAATCAAACGTGCCAGTTTCTTATCACAAGTATTGATTGTATCATCAAGAACTTTCAAGAACTTGTATAGAAACCCTCGACTCTTACTTTCTCATTATTTCCTTTCCTTTTTAGTAGGAGGATTCTGTGGTTATTTATATTATGATGTTCATAATGATATTAGTGGATTCCAGAATAGATTGGGATTATTCTTCTTTGTATTGGCATTCTTTGGTTTCTCATCACTCACTGGGTTACATTCGTTTTCGACAGAAAGAATTATCTTTATTCGAGAAAGAGCCAATAATTATTATCATCCTCTTAGTTACTATTTGAGTAAAATCTTTTGTGATGTGTTACCATTAAGAGTATTTCCTCCTATTTTATTAGTCAGTATAATATATCCATTGGTTGGTTTAACTATGGAGCATAATGCATTCTTAAAGACTATTTTAGTGGTAGTCTTATTTAATGTGGCAGTATCAGTTGAGATGCTCATTGTGGGGATCTTAATTAAAGAACCTGGAACTTCTACTATGTTAGGAGTATTGGTATTATTATTATCACTCTTATTTGCAGGATTATTTGTCAATAGTGAAGATTTGAAAGGTAGTATAAGATGGTTGGAATGGGTATCTGTATTCCATTATGCATATGAAGCATTATCCATTAATGAAGTTAAAGATTTGATCTTAAAGGAAAAGAAGTATGGACTCTCCATTGAAGTTCCAGGAGCTGTCATCTTAAGTACGTTCGGATTCGATGTAGGAGCCTTCTGGAAGGATATTTCCTATTTGGGTGGACTTGCCGTGACATTCTTAATTATTGGCTATGTGTTTTTACACTATTTTACTATTGAAAAGAGATAACTTATATAGACAGTTTTAATTATATTATTAAAAGAAAAGAAAAGAAAAGAAACTAAAAGAAATAAAAGAATATACACCTTGTTTAACTAGCCCGTTTTCTTAAATTGGTAATTGTATGAAACATCTCTCGCTTAAGCTCAAGCATACTGAGCTTCTCCTTATCTATATCAAAAGCAAATTCTTCAAACCCTATAGGTGTAGTTTCAGGCTCATCATTGGGATCATGATAACTGTGTAAGAAATCATGTTTCAATGCCTGGGCTGCACTGATTCTATAAGCAGGATTAAATACTAAGAGCCTTTCCAAAAGATCTATACCACTGGGACTGATATTAGTCCCTAAATGCTTCTTCCGTCTGGAAGGATGGTTGTTGAACAAGTCAGTAAAGTCTAGTCTTTGCTTGAATGGGAGGGTTTGAATATAATCTCTTGCTCTGTCTGATCTGATACAATTCAAGTCTTGACCCATAGGTGTACCTAATACTTCGAATATGAATAGTAATTGACTCTTATAGTCAGCACCAGGGAAGAGCGGCCTATATGTAAACATTTCTCCTAAGATACATCCAGCAGACCAAAGGTCTACTGCCACAGAATACTGACATGCATTCAACATGATTTCAGGAGCCCTGTACCATCTGGTAACCACATACTCAGTAAGAGCTGTTGTAGAAGGATTCTGAATATGATTAGCTTTGCTAGTATCTAATCTAGCCAATCCGAAATCACAAATCTTTAAGTCACATTTCTCATTCACTAAGATGTTGGAAGGTTTTAAATCCCGATGGATCACATTAGCACTGTGTATATATTTGATACCTCTCAATAACTGGTAGGTGAAATACTGAACATGAGCTTCACTGAGAGTGTGAGACCGAATGACTTTATCCAAGTCCGTAGGCATATAGCCCTGAATAAGGTAAACTTCATTAAAGTTCTTGAAATCAAGTGGTTTCTGAACATCAAATAGATTGATGATATTCTCATGTCCACTAAGTCTTGATAATAATTTGATTTCTCTTAATGTTCTTAAACAATTTAAATTATTTTCAAATGGTTCAATCTTCTTTATAGCAACTAGAGTCCCACTAGTGTGTTGAGCTAAACAAACTATTCCATAAGCTCCTTGACCCAACACTTCTTTCAATTTAAAATTCTGGGAAATGTTATAAACGATTTTTCGACTTCTTGTATGTCTTGGTTCTTCAACTGGAACTTTCAGTCTGGGAGATATTCTTGCACTGGCATGGTATCTGATAGGTTGATTTGAATGATGTCCAGGTACAGGACTGACTCTGGTGGTAAGCATATTTGTTTACTACATTAAAATTATATTACCCAGAATTTTTTTGGATATGCTTTTGTTTATATTCAAACTAAAATGCCAACCCGGCAAGGCAAAGAGCTTGTCATGTTTTATGTTAACCTCTTTATTTCTTTTTAGAGCAAATTAGTTGCAGCATGCATATTTACGAGATCGTCGCAAAAAAAATCTTTTGCAGTTTAATGCCCTCTTCATGCAGGCCATTGATGTTTCAGATTCATGGTGTCACCCACGGCTCACATATTTTGAAACAACCACTTTAATTAATGTGTCAGTATTGTTTCATATCAAAAGAAGTGATCATATGTTTTAAACTTTGAGAAGTAACTCATCTTAAGATTCTCCATTAACTTTTATTGATGTTATGAGCATTTTCTGGAATCATTGCGAAATTATAGTAAATTTTTATTTTTAGCGAAGTCTATACAAAGTTTCGGAATAATACAAATTTTTAATAGAAGAAACAAATTCTAAAATAATCTAAACTCAGAGAATAAAAAGAAATGCACTGAAAGCTCCAATAATTGTCATATACCTATTATAGGATATATTAATATTGGCACCACCTTCAAATGCCTGTACACTTTCAGGATAAGTAAATGTACTTGTTGTAGAAACTGACAGGGTTTCATATGGAGTTATTAATGTGGTATAAGAATATGCAGATGTTGAAATAGATTCTAATGTAGAACCTTGTAAAGTAAATGTAGTATCTGGACACTCATATACTGTGTTTGTTACTACGAAAGTTTCCTTAAAAGTTTCCTGATTTTCTCCTACAGAAGTAACCGTAGAAGTTCCAATAGTTGTAAATGTTCTAGTTGTTGAATCAGACAAATAAGTAAATTCTTCAGCAATAGAATTATATGATGTAGATGAGAATGTTGATGATGGACATTGATAAACGATCTCAGTTCTTGTGTTAATTACTGAATATGTAACTAATTGTCCAGAATCTGAATCCTGAGAAACAGTACTTGTTGTGTAAATGAATTCATTTGTTAATGTTTTGGTTTGTTCTGGAATTGATGTAGTAGTGGGAACTTCTATAGAAATATTATCTTCCGATTTGATTGAAACCACTGTTGAGTGATCTATAGGACTCTCTGTACTATGAACGGATTCAGGACAAGTTACAATAGTTCTTGTTATAATATCCTCTTCTGTAACTGTAGTTGGGGAAGACAATGAATCATAAGAGACAAAAGTATTTGTAGTTGATTCTGTAAGTGTAATTGTAATTGATGGACGTGATTCTTCAGTACTTGAAGTAGATAAATCTTGTGGACATGTAAGTATAGTGCTAGTGACTAGATCAACTTGAGTAACAGTAGTTGGTGAGGAAAGAGAATCATATGTAACAATAGTATTGGTAGATGATACAACAATAGTAGTGGAACCAATATCACTGCATGTAGATGTAGATTTTGCTTCTTCTGGACAAGTAACAATTGTCTTGGTTACAACATCAATTTCGGTAACTGTAGTTGGTCCAACCAGGGAGTCATACGAAACAAAAATATTGGTGGTGGATTCTGTCAAGGTCAATGTTATACTTGAAGAGTCTTCTGGAGGATAAGTAGATGATTCATATTCTGAGCATGAATCTTCATCGTCAATTTCAGAAGGAGTTGTTGATGTGTAACTTGAACTAGATGAAGAAAGGTAACTGGAGTTTGGACTGTCACTAGTTGAAGAAGAATCACTACTGTATACAATTGATGATGAAACACTAGTGGTAGTTGCTGAAGTGGTTATGGGTGTAGCATAGTAGCTAGAAGGAGCATCACTTGAAGAATAATCATCGTCATCAGGGCATGAATCTTCTTCGTCTTCTTCGTCATCCTCTTCTACAACAGAGTCACTAGTTTGAGGCACATCTGATATGGTTGACGAGCTGGTAGGAGTGGTAGCAACTGCATCAACAGTAGTTGAAGATTCCAAAATTGGAGCATCAGATGAAATGGAAGAAGTAGTAGAAGTAGTAATGGATGAATCAGAACTAGACAGTTCAATTAATGAAGAGACCTGAGAAGATGAATATGAAAAAGATATTTCACTTGAAGGATAAACCGAGCTTTCTTCAGAATAGTCACTTGAGGTACTGGTTGGAATAGTAGATGTGGATGGAGCATCAGAACTTGGAACATCAGTACTACTAGTATCAGAACTTGGTGAATCAGTTGATGGAGTTTCAGAGCTAGATTGTATTTCTGAACTGGATGGAGAGTCAGAACTGGATGGAGAGTCAGAACTGGATGGAGAGTCTGTAGTAGTAGGAACATCAGAACTAGAAGGAATATCCGAACTTGATGGGGTATCGGAACTTGATGGGGTATCGGAACTTGATGGTGTATCGGAACTAGAAGGAATATCAGAACTTGATGGAGTATCAGAACTTGATGGAGTGTCAGAACTTGATGGAGTGTCAGAACTTGATGGAGTGTCAGAACTTGATGGACTGTCTGAAGTAGAAGGAATGTCTGAGGTGGAGGGAATTTCTGAACTAGTAGGAATATCAGAACTTGATGGGATATCAGAACTTGATGGGATATCGGAACTTGATGAGATATCAGAACTGGAAGCAATGCCTGAAGTAGAAGGAATATCAGAACTTGATGGAGTGTCTGAGCTGCTAGGAATATCAGAACTTGATGGAGTGTCAGAACTTGATGGAGTGTCAGAACTTGATGGAGTGTCAGAACTTGATGGAGTGTCAGAACTTGATGGAGTGTCAGAACTTGATGGAGTGTCAGAACTTGATGGACTGTCTGAAGTAGAAGGAATGTCTGAGGTGGAGGGAATTTCTGAACTAGTAGGAATATCAGAACTTGATGGGATATCAGAACTTGATGGGATATCGGAACTTGATGAGATATCAGAACTGGAAGCAATGCCTGAAGTAGAAGGAATATCAGAACTTGATGGAGTGTCTGAGCTGCTAGGAATATCAGAACTTGATGGAGTGTCAGAACTTGATGGAGTGTCAGAACTTGATGGAGTATCAAAACTAGAAGGAATATCAGAACTTGATGGAGTATCGGAGCTTGATGGACTGTCTGAAGTAGAAGGAATGTCTGAGGTGGAGGGAATTTCTGAACTAGTAGGAATATCAGAACTTGATGGGATATCAGAACTTGATGGGATATCGGAACTTGATGAGATATCAGAACTGGAAGCAATGCCTGAAGTAGAAGGAATATCAGAACTTGATGGAGTGTCTGAAGTGGAAAAAGCATCAGAACTTGATGGAGTGTCAGAACTAGTAGGAATATCAGAACTTGATGGGATATCGGAACTTGATGGAGAATCGGAGCTTGATGGAGAATCGGAGCTTGATGGAGTATCGGAGCTTGATGGAGTATCGGAGCTTGATGGACTGTCTGAAGTGGAGGGAATTTCTGAACTAGTAGGAATATCAGAACTGGATGGTGTATATGGAGGGGTTATGATTTCAAAAGGAATATCTAAAGAAGAAGAAGTATCAGAACTAGATGGGATTTCTGAGCTAGATGGGATTTCTGAGCTAGATGGGATTTCTGAGCTCGTTGATTGTGAACTAGGTAAATCTGAACTGGAAGGAATATCAGAAGAAGCTTCGGAACTTGGTAATACAGAACTAGTTGGAATGTCACTGCTAGATGCTTCAGAAGTAGATGGAACGTCAGAAGTGGATGGAAGTTCAGAAGTAGATGGTGTTTCGGAAGTGGATGGTGTTTCGGAAGTGGATGGTGCTGTAGTTGGAGTACTGGAAGTGTCAGAGTCTGGACAATCATCCTCGTCATCGCTCCCTTCTTCCGTACAGTACTCATCGTCATCAGTTTCTTCTTCAGTACAGTATTCATCATCATCATCATCATCATCATCGGCTCTTTTCAACAAATATTCATTTGAAGGATAGTTATTTATTTCTTCAGACAATGACAAACTACTGGTCTTAACTATAGGAGTGAGACCATTAACGAATGGCTTAACATCAATACTCAGCAGCAGCACAATGGCTATCACATAAATCAATAGAACTTGAACATTAATTAATTTCATGGTCGGTATAATTTTTTAAAGATGCAAACCCCCCATTTTCTCAAACCTCTTGGGAGGTAATACTCCTCTATTTTATATAATAGACAATATTAACTAACTACCTAGAAAATAACTATTATGAACCATAATTGAAACATCCGACTATAACTATTATAACAACCTCCATCACTAGATTTTGTCATCATTGTACAAAAGCATCATTTACGACTATTTTTTTCATATCCGCAGCTGATTGTTGCAGCCTAATTAGGAAATTTTCTGCCGCTGAAAAGCAATTTGCAACAAGATGAGCAGGGCCAAAGAGACGATATTTTTTATACTCTATTAATGATCATTATCATTTACAGTTATGGAGATATGATTTAAAACATGGCAATGCAATGCATTAATATTATATTACATTATATACTATACTTAAAGAAAAGAAAATGTTTCACTTTACTTCATTTTCTTTTTATAATCGGCAAAGGATAATTTCTTAACCACTTTAGGTGGTGAAGGAGCTTGTCCAATTTTATCTTCTTGTGTATCAGGTTTAATATCTGTAACAGTTGAAACATTCCCAGTTGCAGTTACAGAATTCTTCATATCAACAGAATTAATTGGCGGTTGTTGTTCTAATAATGTTGAAGGTTTATCAATTGTAACACTACTTACTAATTCTTCTATATCGGCTGGTCCTATTAATGGATTATTTTCCAATTGACTGGCGATTTTGGCTTCGGCTTCTTCAACAATAGGTTTAAGTTTACTATCAACTGTCTTCTCTATTTTTATTACTAATTCAGGAACTATTTGAAATCCGCTTTCAAGATCAATATCATTGAGTTGTTGATTCTCAGATTCAAACAATTTTTCTTGACCTTTATTATTATTATTATTATTGCCAATTTCTCGATTTCTACTCTTTAGTTGAGTCTTAAATGGAGCAGTAAATAATCCCACGGGTTTCTTCTTTATAGTTTGTGATTCTGGATCATGAGATTGATACTGCTCAATTTGTTCAATTTGAATTTCATCATTATTTAATTTGGTAGCTAAAGTTAAATTCATTTGAATGATATTATCTCTATCTATTAATCTATCACCCCATGAAATATATTCTTTTTCTTTCCGAGGAAGAATTAATTCATCTTTAGATTTAGCTAAATTTACATTACTTATTGATGAAGCCTTTCTCGTTGATCTTAATAAATATGAAGTAGCCTTTTTAATCTTGAAAATTGCACATGATGAATAAGATGATGAAGTTGAACATCCACATTCTACAAAATGTAAAATGTTATCTATATAAGTAATTAAAGCAGATTTATGAGCATTAGTTAAAATATCAAATTTTTCAGAATTATTATTCTCATAAAGTTTTAATATTGGATGATCAGCTTCCCATTCCCAATTTAATCGAAGTTCTTCATCGGCTGTTTCGGATTTAAGGGTTATAGGTTTAGATGTAATAACCAAAAATCTAAAACTATTCTGTTCGGGAATATAAACTGGTTGAATTCGACAATTTGATGATGAAGGACATGATTTTCTAATGAATCGTGATTCATTACCTACAAATCTTGAATCAAGAATAATATTTAAATCTTTATCATCTGAAATTTGAAGATTAGTCTTTAAAACTTTTGGTTTTGTAGTACCCCACATAGAATATTGATTAATTCTATCATTAATATAATTTTCAAAAAAATCAATTTCTCCTAAATATTCAATTACTATAGTATTCTCTGGAATAATAAGATTATCAGGATCATTAGTACTAATAAATAATGATAATTTAGAAATTCCATTAAATTTTTGTTTTTGATTATCTAAATATTGTTTAACTTGAATTGAACTTTTATTAAAATTCTTCCTTTTTGTTAAAAGTTTATGTTCAGTTAAATATTTTTGATAATTTGGTAATATAATTTTACTCATTTTTAAACCTTTAAATTGACTCAGAGTCATAATTTCAATACCTCTTAATGTCTTTTTTTGTTGTTCTGATTTAGGGAGACTTAAAAATTCTTGATGAAAGTCTTGTCCAATTTGAAAGAAATAGTCTTTAATTGATTTACGTTTATAATCATTATTTCTTAATTTATAATAATTAGCTTGATAAGTTTCTGCTGTAACTCCATCTTCTAAAAGTTCATTATCTTTATTAGGAATCATTACTACTGGTTCAGGAGCTTCTATTGGTTCTACCAGAGTTTGTTCCTTCTTCTTATCAGTTGAAGTTTCTGTCTTTCTCCTTTTTTCAGCCTTTTCAGAAGCCAGTTGTTTTCTCTTAGATCCAACACTACCATTTCTATTCTTTTCCTTATTATTATTAGATCCATCAATATCATTCAGAATTGGATTGGTTTCAGATTCATAAATTCTTTGTTGAGAATTTAATTTAAAATCACTATCTAACCTTTCTAAAGTTTCTGTTCGACATTCTTCAGCATTAAATTTACCCCATTTAGTCTTATCACAATAGTAACAAGTATATTCATCTTCTGGAACTTCTTCACTAGTCTTATATCCCATACAAACACAATGTTGCCATCTATAACATACATCACATTGTATAGTAAATCCATCATCATCTTCAATACCACAAATACATCCAATTAAACCAGAATCGGCATCTACTTGATAAGAATTGAGGGGTGGAATACCAAAATCTTGAGGTTTCTTTTCCACTTCAACTTCGGCTTCAACTTCGGCTTCAACTTCAACTTCAGTTTCAGATTTAGTTTCATCTTGCTTCGTAGATTCAACAGGGACATTTTCAATTTCAACTTTAGATTCAGGTTTAGGTGTAGTATCAGTGGTTACAGTTACAGTTGTGGTAGTTGTTGTAGTAGTAGAAGTTACACTTTCCTCTTCAGTTATTCGAGATAATTCAGGAGCTTTAGCAGCCAACAGAATCTCATCTTCTGTACGATCATCATCAGTTCTGTAATCATTTTCTGGTTCAGTGAGTTGATCTTCATCTTTATCTTTATCTTCAACATTTGGAATTTCAGCAGGTGGAGCCGATTTAATTCTTTCTATATGTTTCAATGGTAGGGGAATATCTGCTGCAGCTGCTAAAGCTGCAGCTGCTATTACAGCATTATTAGTATTTCTTTCTCGACTCTCTATATTTATACCTCGAATGGCTGGACTAGGTGATAACTGATTTATATGAGCTTGATTTCTTTCAATCTCTGGTGATGATTTGGAACGTTTATGGTATTTATCATTTTTTGATTCAAACTCTTTGGCTGGCATAGGAGGTGATACTAAAGCACTTAATGGGATACTATGAGTAACAGGAGGAGGATGCGGATGCGAATAAGAATGAGAATGTGAATGTGAATGAGTATTTGATGGATGAGTAGCTGGAATGGAATGTATGATAGGGGCCGGTTCAAGTTGAGGTGGTTGAGATGGTTGAGATGGTTGAGATGGTTCAGGACTATTTATTAATACACTTATTGAATTTCGAGAGGGTACTGAAGGTTTACGAGATGTTTCTGTTGGAGATGATTTAGTGGAAAAGCCGGTTGATGTTGATATAGGAGGAGTGACTCTTTTAAACTGTTGAGGAGCAAATTCAAGATGTTTATGCGGTACAGGCACTGTATGAGGTCCATGAACAGTATTAAACTGAGAATTTGATGGAGGTAATGGAGGGAACAGTGGCGGAGCTTGCAGTTGAACTGGTTGAACTGGTTGAACTGGTTGAACTGGTTGAACTGGTTGAACTGGTTGAACTGGTTGAACTTGTACTGGAGCAGGAGCAGCAGCAGAAGGAAGTGGATGTTGTTGATGTTGTTGATGCTGCTGCTGTTTGGTAGCCAAGTTGGCAAACATCAACAAAGTAGAAGCATCCTGAAGGAGCTGTTCCTCTTCTTTGTTGGTCATAGTACTCTTGTCGTATAAGCAAAACAAATACAAATACAAATACAAATATAAGTAGATAAACAAGTAATACTTGAGTACTCACAACAAACACACGGATAAGTCTATTATTATTACTATTACTAGATAATTATAAGTAGTAGATGGGAAGGTTAGGTACGGCTGGTGTAGGTGTCATTTGAATTTTTCGTTTGGATTATACGATCGTTCCTTATACGAGAACAGACAAGATACAGTATACTGAATAGTACTGTCTAGTAATAAATAGTATATTTGTATAAATAGTATAAATAACAGTATATAATCGTATAGAATGGTGTTATACAGAGGTTATGATAATGTTTATAGTATAATACGATATAGTATTTCGTATAGTAGTATAATGGTATATTACTATACTATACTATAGTCTCTACACTCTACTTCTCTTCTGCTATTATGACACATGACCTTATAATTATGCTATTTACAATGACTGACTATTTACTCCTATATGATCATACATTTTCTTTCTCCAGCTTAACCTTCTCTAGATACTCCAACTCCTTCTTTAGATTATCCATGGCATAGTATATCTTACTCTGTAAATAGAATGAATTCCCCTTCTCTTTCAGATTCACTTCAAATAAGTACTTATACTTATCCTCTAATTTGGCCAAATTTAAATCCTTTCTATCAATACCTAATATCTTGAGTGATTCATCAACTGAAATCCCTCCGGCTGATGTAGTCTTGGCTGGTCCGGCAGCTGCTCCTCCTGCTGCTGATGCTTTGGCGGCTTGTTTATATGCTTCTGTAAACGCACGTCCAAACACAGACGCACCCGTGAATATCACATTCACCAATAATCTATGGGCCATATTATTGAATGTTGGTTATTGTATGTCGAGATGGGCATGGTAGCTGGTTGGTCATTAGTTAAAATTTTTTGAATCAGTGTGAATGGGTGGCGCTCGTGCGCACAGTCACGTGACTGCACATAGTTAAAGATATTTTACTTAGTAATTTGATGCAATTAGTACAATGTACAAATACTGAAGGGTTTACAGATCTCAAGACAATTAACGTTAAATCTACATTAAACTACAAATATGAGGTCAAAGAGAATATGTAGCACCATGCTTTCATCTGAGTAATCATAATACCATCAAAGATGATACATTTACTTATCAGAACTTCAATATAAACACATGTAAATGCCGTAAATAATCTAAAAGACCGAAACGAAGTACTGATTGTGGCCCTATTGTTAGTAAGGTCAATCAAAATACTTAGCTATTGGGTGTAATTATGGAATATGCTAACCTGCACACATCTATGCTATGCAAAGAAACATATCCTAAAGTCTTTAGAAAAATAATAGTTATATATATATAGATATAGTATAACCACTACTGATGATAATGGCAGAAGAAGGGAGATTAGGGGAATTGGTACTATTTATACTAACTAATGAGAATGAAAAAATTTTTGCCCCGTTACCCGCCATTCGAATTTTCAGTTAGGCCTTTTTGTCGCTTTCCTGCACACAGCCCATCTCCATCTATACCCATCTAATTAAATTTTGCAGACATACTACCTTAATTATATAAAACCAATAACCACAACTTAATTATGTCTTCAACTCATAATGTAACTGATTTAATCGGTTGGTTGAATGATAATGCATATTGGAGAGAAGATCTTATAGTTAAAGAATCTAAATATGGTGGATTAGGTGTATTTATGATACCTAATAAATCTCAAGATGAGATAAATGACGATGATGACGATGATGATCCTTTACTTTTAAGAATTCCCAAGACAAATACCTTGTCACCAAAAAATTCTACTATATATAATCTCCTTCTTGATTATGAACCTATTCAAGAAAATATCGATCTCACTTCTGGTATGTTTGGAGTTATTATATCTGTCATATATGAAGTGGATTTAGGTGACCATTCACCATGGTATGATTATTTGAACTCTATTGATTTCGATAATGCCTCATTACCAATATGTTTATGGGATGATAATGAAAAATTGTACCTTAAGAATACCGAACTTGACTTAAGAAATTTATTGAGTCCTAATGAATTAATTGACTTTTTCATCGAATGTACTCGATTTGCTAAAAGTGTTAAGTCATTGATTTCTATACCGAAAGTATTAAATGTCGATATAAATGAGAAAGATCATATATCAATACTTTCGAGTCATAAAACAGTCATTCATCAATTTGGAAAGATCGCCCAATCTGTTATATCTCGTGCATTCACAATTGATGATTTTTATGATCAAGGATTAGTGCCTGGAGCTGATTTGTTCAATCACATAGAACCAACTTTGATAAATGGTAAAGTTAAGGGGAATGAGCATATTCACTTCGTTTGTGATGCAGAGGTATGCATTGAATGTGGAGAGGTAGAGTGTGATCATATGGAAGTAATGGAGGATGACTCTGGAGATGAACACGAAGACGAAGATGAAGACGATGACAATGATGAAGAGAACCAGGATGGTCAAGAGGACGACAACGACGACGAAGAAGGAGAAGAAGAACCAATAACAGAAATCACGATGGAGTACATTCAAAAATTAGAACAAGAAGAAGAGGAGGATTCAGATGCCGATACCAATCAAGATCCCGAGGAGATATCTACATTTTCAGAAGAAGACCCAGAGAACGTGGATGATGAAGATGAAGGAGTTGAACTCGAAGATATAGATATTAGCCCAGCGAAAGCGGTGCTTGCTGAAGATTTAGCTGATAGTTCTAAATGCTGTGATGTACTTTTAGTTGCACCAGCTAGCGAGAAGCACGATAACGAATTGTTCAATTCCTATGGTAATGATCTCTCCAATTACCTTTTATTACAAAGATATGGTTTTATCACTGATTCCAATGTTAATGATGTCTGTTTGTTGGCCGTCCAATTATTTACCTACATACTGGGTATTAAAACAAAGTCATCTAAGAAGAATGTTGCGCAATTAGAAGAGAAACTTTCATGGTTAGACCATATAGGATTACATGTATTGAATCATGTCATTAGTGATACACTTCATAATGAAGAAGATGAGCATGAACATGAGCACGATGGACATGGTCACGAGCATGATGATCATGAAGAAGAAGAAGAAGCTTCAATTCCTGAATCATGGTCTTTGGCATGCGGTATAATGTTCAGCGGCAGTCCTACGCCGCAGACATATGCCATATTAAAATTGGTTGACTTACCCTACCGCGACTTCAAGGATAAATTACTTGGCATTAAGAAAGAGAACGTACTTATTAAACGAGTTCGGGAGACTTTGTTAGAGTTACCGGATTCAGAAATTAAAGCCTATAATCAAACCATAAGACAATGGTGTGCAGTAAAGCTTAGTAAATATTCTTCTATCCCTGAAATGTCTGGACCACACCGCGACCTTATTACTTCATTAATTAAGCAAGAAAAAGCGATCTTAAGTAAGTTCATAGAGAAGTCATAAGTGGTAACTATTAGCATTATGTAGCATATATTATTAGTCATTAGCATAGTCATTAGCATAGTCATTAGCATACATTAGCATTAGCTCATTAGTCATTAGTCATAGTTCTGTCGCAAATGCATATTTTTTTTGAGACACACCCAAATTCGCAGAATAAACTAGACACTGTATAGATATGCAACTGGAGCGATACATATAAGACAAGCAGAAGGAACTTGCCACTTTCTTTCTCCATGATATAGAAACAAGTTGAGTACACACATCCATGTCTGATATAGAGAGTGACTTTGAATACGAAGACGACTTCGAGGGGTCGGAGGATGGACTCTACGAATCAGAAGATGACTCTCAATCATTAGTACCAACCCAAGAAGACAATTACCTTAGAGGAGAATATAATAATTTAGAGTATTATCCATGGACAATTAAACCGTTTATACGATATAATTTTCAAGATAAAATTGCCAGTGTAAGGAATCATATTCCCTTAGCCACTGTAGATGAAGCTTTAATACTATTACAATATAAGAAGTGGCAGCCTGATGAAGTTATTAATGCTTATTTTGATAAACCTCAAGAATTGTTAAATGCTTGTGGATTGCCGGCAATAGGTACAAGTAATAATCAATTTGAAACAGTCAAAAAATTCGAATGTAGTATATGTTGTGAAAAATTCCGAACTACGAGAGTTTATTCTTTAACGTGTAAGCATAAATATTGTTTAGATTGTTATATGAGATATATTCAAAGCAGTATTCAATCAGGAAATTTGATTAAATGTATGTCTACTAAATGTTCATATGTGGTACCACATAGTGATATTGATAAAATAATTGGAAATAAAGAAGAAAATCAACTTTTATTGGCTCATGCTAGGGCATTTATTGATGCTAGTAGTAAGTTTAAGTGGTGTCCTTCAACTGATTGTCAAGGTTTTACTGAAATTATTAAAAGTAATGGATATGAATCAGATCTTGATTCATCTGATATATCCAAAGTACCTATTGTAAGTTGTGTTGATCGTCATGAGTTTTGTTTTAATTGTAATTATGAAAATCATTTACCTTGTCCATGCTGGATAGTAAAACTTTGGATTAAGAAATGTCAAGATGATTCTGAAACCGCCAATTGGATAGAGGCTAATACTCATAGTTGTCCTAAATGTGATTCCAGTATTGAAAAGAATGGAGGGTGTAATCATATGACGTGCAAAAAATGTAGTCATCAGTTTTGCTGGATTTGTTTGGGCTCCTGGAAAGAGCACAATAGAGATTACTTTAAATGTAATAAATTCAAAGAAAGTAAAAGTATAGAAGAACGAAAGAATAAGAGTAAATTGTCCTTACAACGGTATTTACATTTCTATAAGAGATTTGCCATTCATGAAAGTTCTATGAAGGGAGATTTAAGAACTTTAGCGATAATTCATGAGATTACGCGAATGTATATGGAAAAACGTAAGAATCAAGAACAGAATTTATCATGGAATGATATTCAATTCTTACCTGATGCTATACGAGGGTTAATAGTTGGTAGAAAAACTTTAAAATGGACTTATTGTTTTGCATATTATCTTTCCAAGAGTAATTTTGCCCAAATTTTTGAATCAAATCAAGATTTTCTTAATAAAACAGTGGAAGACTTATCAGAATTATTTGAAAAATTGATAAGTAAGGATAATAAAGATAATGTAGTAGATATTATTCTTAAGGAGAAGAATAAAATTATTAATTTGAGTGAATTAATAATGACTCGTAAGAGAACTCTTGTCAGTGGTACTATCTTGAATGTTCAACAGGATCTCTTAAGGTTTGAAGCATGATTAGATATATGCATATATATATTTGTAGTAATTAGCTGCAAACACGTACTACGTAGTATGTACAGGACCATAATAAACAAATAATAAAGAAATAAAAGAAAATAAGAGCGAAATTAAGAATGGTCTTGGCGCACGACCGGAGCCCTTATCAGCTTGCAAATTAAACAAATTAAATGCGGCCGTTCCCAAAAGGGAAAGTATTATCTAAGAGATAATCAACGATGAATTGATGGATTCATGAGCCAACTTTAATTTTTTACTGTAAATATATGAATTTATCGCTATTACTATAGTCATACTATTTCTACTGTAACTTCCCTAACTAAATGTCATCAGCCACCCAATAATAAATCTCCACTATGAATGAATTGCAACAGATCAAATATCTGCAAATTCGGAACAAAAATGCCGAAGGCATGGAACGTGAAAACCGATACTCACGAGATTTTACTGGTGACAGAGACAGAGACAGAAGATCTATACCGCGAGAACCATCGGATCCATTTGCCGGAGCTAGAGATGCAAATCTACGAGCAGCAAGCGAATCATCACGAGGGAAACGGTTTTCAAGAGTTAATTCCGATCTCCTCCAAACGGCACTCAACCATAATTTCCAATTAACCAAATCGCATTCAAGTCATAATTTATTTAACAATGCTAATACAACTAACAATATTAATAATACCAATAGTGAGAGAATCAGTAATTTGAGAGTAGATACCAGTCGGCCTCATCTCAAGCGATGGAGTTCGTATAATATTTCGCAATCAAAAGGTGATGATGCAGAGCAACAGAAGGATAGTGTATCTCCACTTACAGTTCTTAAAGATGAGTATAATACTAGAAGACCACCTATAACAAGTAATTCATCAGCATTATTTAATACTGACAATTCATTTCGAAGTCTAGTGGAAAATGAATCGACTACTGTTAATGATGGACCCTTAACATCATCGCCTAAATCTAATAAGTTATATCATAAGATTAACCAAATAATAAATATAGCCCATAATAGCATGCACTCATTAGTGCCAATGTTGACACTTAAAGAAAGTGAAAATACTCCTATAACTAGAACATCCAATTCTCTTAATTATCAAAGTGAACTGGATGACGCATCCGATAACGATGATGATGATGATGATGATGATGATAATGTTGATGATCCACTGTTCCATCCAGATGGAGCTCCCCTTGGAACCACAGTTCCTGATACTCAATATAGACTAGAGCTGTGGAAATCTCCATCCTTAGTAGACAATTTAACTCTACATGTTAATGACGTTAATGATATCATGCAAGAAATCAATGATTTCCAAAGTAACTTTGTGGATCGATACAATAATGTTGAATCTAATGAGAAATTGAATAGAACCCAACAGAAGATTCTTGATTATAAGGAATTATATTTGGACGATGAAGCCAATACTAAAAATGCTACGAGTTCTCCATCATTCTCAACATCATACTCATATAATTTGAAAATTCAGAATGAAACTATACTAACTCAGTATACTTCAATTCGATTACGATTTCCTACTAAAGTATCGACTACTACTGGTAGATCTCTAGCCACTACTGGAGTTCTAGGATTCTTAGATCGTTATAAGAATATTCCTAGTCAATTACCAAAGACAAAATCAGGTCATATTAACTTTGAAGATAAAGATGATATACTTAATAATATATGGGAAACAGAGATTAATAACTTCTTCCATGTCAAGTCCAATGAGAGTTCGAAAATTCTACAATAATGTACATATATGTAAAATCGTAATACATGCATTAATTAGTGTTTATATACTCTATGTGTTAGAACTACCTTGTAACTCTTGCGGTAAAGTCGATTGATTAGGGTAATGTGGTTGTGTTTCGTAGGCATTTGGTTTACTATCCTTCGCAGATTTACGACTTTTTTTACTATGGACATGTCCATGTTCACATATATGATCCTCATCTCCATCATGGACATTTTCATGGTCGTGGTCGTGATCATGATCACCATGATTATGGTTATGATTATGATTATGATTAAAGTTATCTCTACGGCCCTCATCCCCCGACTCATCACTACTGGAGTCACTTGACGAGTCACCAGAGTCCTCGCCAAACTCTCGTTGTGGGTGGAATATGCAGCATATCTTTGATTTCTTTTTATTCATATGTTCATTATCCACTACATCTTCATTCCATCTAACAGCCGGCTTAGTTTGACTAGATTGCTTCTTTTGATTCTGTTTATCGGCATTTCTCAACCGTAGTATAGGATGAGTTTCTGTTTGCGTCACGGTCTCACCTCCCGTATGTCTCGGTTCGGGTCCTCTTGCTGACATTATGTTATACTATATTATATTATATATGATAGTGAAAGTAAGCAGTAATAAATAGTAGTTTAACAATTATTGTATGACAATTATGATAGTGATCATTTATAAGAGAGAGAGATGCGTGTGCGTGACGGAAAATGACAAAGAGAGAGACAGAGAGCGAGAGAGACTGTACTTTGTACTGTACCAATTGAAAAAAGACGTGTCCCGTCACTAACTTTAACACTAAATTCCACTACTACCCATACTAATATACTACCTACATTTGCTTATCATCATTGACTATGAGTAAAAGAGTCAATTTACCTTACAGTACGCAGGATCTCTTTCCTCATGTAGCATCTACACCGAATTCTCTGCGATTTGTGGGCTCAACTACTGCGGGATCAATTATCTCCACTCATTCATCATTATATACTCCACGTACTAATAATTATAATTCTTCATCATCAATTAGTAGTAGTCATACAATTAGTAGTAGATTTCAAAATTTAAAGAAAATGATTAGACGATTGTTTAAACCTACTACACTTGATTTTGAAACGGCTATATGGGAAATCTTTCATTTAGTTATAAATCCTAAGAAAATGTATAGATCACATTATTTTTATAAGCAACAAACAACTAATAATGGTAAATCATCTTATACAAGAGATGATCCATCATTTCTTATATTATTAACGATATTTTTATCCATTAGTGCTATTGCATGGGGTTTAGCTTATTCTCCAAGATTTCTTGATATATTAAAATTAATTGTATATATGGTATTCATTGATTTTTATTTAACAGGATTTATTATTGCAACTATATCATGGTTTATTACTAATAAATTATTTAATAATACTTATGGTAATTTAGGAGGATTTAATAAATATAATGTTAATTATATTGAATGGGGATTTTGTTTTGATATTCATTGTAATTCATTTTTAGTCATTTGGGCACTTTTATATCTCCTACAATTCTTATTATTACCATTATTAAGACTTAAAAAATCCTTATTTTCACTTATATTAGGTAATTCACTTTATTTTGGTTCAATAGGGTATTATTTTGTTAGTACTTTTTATGGATTTAATTCATTACCTTTCATAAATGCATCTACAACAAGTAGATCTTCAACATCTTCATCTTCATTTACTAGTTATTCACCAGCTAAATTACTACAATTAATTATAATAGGAGGTATATTACCTATCTTGGCTATAGCTTGGATTATAAGTATTGGATTTGGATTTAATGTAGCCGATGCTATGGTTGATACTTACTTTAACTAGACGTACAAGTAGACGTATTGAGTAATAAATAATAAATAAATTTATTTATATATATATATATATGTATAGTTTATATATTAATGGATTTGCCTAGTTGATCTAATCGATCTCCTGCTGCTTTAATTCTCATTCCTGTACGATTACTAAGTTCATAATCTCCTTCTCCTACATGTTCAGCTCTCTTTAACCAACCTTTACTTTCAGCTACGGCTAAACGAAGTGATGCCCGATCAGAAACTTTACTATGCAACATCCAAGTAAACATGGCCTTTTCATACATAACTGTAGGATATAAATAAGGACTGTAAATCAGTTTATGAAATCTGAATTGTGGGAAATCTTGAACAATAATAGCTGGACAAAGTTTGGTATCTATAAGAGTTTGACCTTGTTCAACTTCCCCCAACAGTCTTAGTACCAAAGCTTGTAAAAAGAATCGAATATGAGCTTCATCTTCTATTTCATTAATTTTAGCATAATTATGATCTTTAGTATTAGCAGAATATTCAGAATCAATAGCTCCTGAGTATCCTAATAATTTAAGTGATATTTGTAAATCTTCAGTATCCATTCTATTATATCCATTCCAAAAGTAGACAAGTTCATGAATAAGTGAAGTACCCACTAAATCTACATAGGCAATATTAGGATATTGAGATTTTTGACCTTCTATATGTTTCATCTTACGTAATAAGAATTTATCAAATGGCATTTGCTTACTACTTCCTCCAATACCTCCCTTCTTTTGTGAAGCATTAATTCCATGGCCTGGTACATAAGTTGGAGCCAATTCAAAATATTTAAAAGCTAATTTCTCATACTTGGCTAATTCTTCTTCAAGACTGCTAGTATCATCTGGTTGAACTAATCCCATCTTTAATGCTCTATAATGTTCCAAATAACATGCAGCTGCCATATATAAATATACTCCTTTGGACCAAGAGTTTATATCAATCAAATAGATAAAGTCTCGAGCAGCCTTAACATAATCATGTTGAAAACTATAAAGCATAGCTCTATCGAAAATCATAAGGGCTTCAACTTGTTGCATATTAATAATACTAGATTCATCATCAGTGAATTCTTGCATCATGGCTGTAGCACGATGTAATTGACCTTGAGATGCAAGAATTCTACCTTCTTGCAGTAACCAAAGAGCATTATGAGGAAATAAGTGTCTAACTTTCTTAAGTAACTGAGGGGTATAAAGATTAGGGTTTTGTAAAACTTTAGATAAGTCTTGTTCTGAGATAGTGGTCTTGGATTCAATGTTAAGTACATGCTTGACATTTGAATCCTCATGACCTGGTAATTGGAATCCAACATCAACAAATTGGACTGGTCCATCATAAAATACCAAAAGACATAAAAGAGCCAAATCTCCATGAATATTACGACTGGTAATGGCAGTTCTCCAAAGCATTTTAAGACCAGTTTCTCTATCTCCTCTAAATCCAACAATAGAAAGAACTTTCCCAATGGTAGGAGGTATCAATGATAATACTACTTGAAGAATTCCAAAACAGAGTTGTACACCAGAATGAATGAATTCATCAACAGTAGATACATGCAAATGATTATCTGCACTGGGAGAATTGTTATTACCAGTACTTCCTACAGAAGAAGTGATTGACTCACCAGTTCCTGAAAGGAATGATGAACTTTTAGTCTCATCGAATGTTAAATCTTCAAATGCATCTGAGAATTCCTCATCGTCATCATCATCATCTTCATCATCTTCTTCTACATCATTCTCCTTTTCAAGTGGTGACTTACACTCTATTGGTTTCTCAGGTATAGGAGATGATGATCTTGAAGTTGAAGCACGAGTCAGATCCAAATCTAAACCTTCAAATAAGTTGGGTGGAGCTATAGTATTTTCAGGGATTTGATTAATGTTTGTTCCTTCAACTCTAGATTTCCTCATTTGGTATACTTTTTCTAAATTCTTCATGAGTCTAAGATCTTCTGGTAATGAAGCAGATGAACTAGTAGCAGAAGGAACTTCAAAACCTGGTAAATCTACTGAACTAACACTTCTTCCAATAGATTCTTTCTTAACTCGAGCAAGATTCTTATTAAATACTCCTTCCAGATCCTTTATTTTCTTATAGATAGAATCTAAAGTTTGATAAGCTCTTCTTAATTTAAATAATGCTTTAGCCCCTTCTACCATTCCATTATTTTCTTTAAGTAACATAAGTAAAGCATTTAATAAAGTCAGTTCTGCATAAGTAACTTGAAATTCTGTACCTGGAGGATAAATACATGAAGTAGCCATATTATATTTAACATTATATTTTGAATTAGCTAATGAAGCAGCTTCAGCTTCATTTAATGTCTTCATAGCTTTATCCATAACTTCCGGTTCAAATCCTAATGTAGCTTCAATGAATTCCATAACTCCTAAAGCTAAAGGAAATATCCCAGCTGGTTGATCTGATCCTGATTCTTGTCTTGCATTTGCTTCATCTTTTAAAAGTTTAGTACCTTCTTGAGTTCTATCATCTAAGAGATAATCCATAGCTTGTAAGGCTATTTCAAAGTCATGAACTTGATTTAATACTCTATCGAAATTAGTTTCTCCATTAGAATTAGTGCTTGACTGCAGATAGTTGGAAGTAAGCAGAAGTATCAGAGCTCGTTTCCGTAACCCTTTCAACATCTTTGGAATAAAGTGTAAAGTATATTAACTATTGATAGTTTATTATACTTATCTAACGACTACAGCTTTTTATCACTTACACTGACAGATCAACTGTACACTCAGATAAACAATTATCACTTGCTAGCCACTCTAACGTTCCTGGATCATACAGATTCAACAATTTATGCTGGCCCCAAAATAGGGGACCGATAAAACATGACACAAAGTGCCGGGAGTGCAAACGAAGAGCAGCCGATAGAGCAAGCTGGATAAAAAAAAGCACTCAAACGGGTGATGTGGATCAGGTGATCGGATATATATCGAGCCGGTATTATTTTACATACCATTACATGACTGTTTAACTAAGCCTGGTAGAGGAGTAGAATTTACTAACCAATGCAATTATAAATTAATACTCTAAAATATAAATCTCTAAAGAATGAGGTATGTTTCAAGCTACTTACATCCCGGGGCCTAACCCTATATAATATTCATGTATAACTTCGCTTAGTTTTCTTAATTCTTCGTCTTTATCCTTCTTCGTCGGACCTAATAGTTTTCTTGTATCTCCAACAAATGACTTGAATTTTGAAAGTCCAAAGTCATAAAATATTACCCGACCTCGATTTGGATCATATTTGAAATTCCTAATATGAATATCCCCATGCAAAAACCCTGTCCTGTGGATGGACATAAGGGCCTCCTTCGCCAACCTTTGGAATTCTTCCTCCGAAATGGTCATCCAACTCATGTTATTGGTTCTCTTGGTCATTTGGGTACTATTGGTATATTAAATCGGAAATTTATTCCTTAGTCTTAAGTCTTAAATTCAGACTTGGGCTCATGGCAGTACGACTACTCTACATGTGTAATTGGTGCAGTCTGTACTCTGTTATAGTTGGTTATAATACAGTAACTGTAGATAATACATACATGTATGCTACTTTAAAATGCACTATACTATAATTCTATAACCCTTCTGGTAGTTACTACTTGCTTTATTATTTAAATACTGTACCACATTCACATTGTAAACACCAATACATGGAAATCACTCAAATCAGATCAAGCGAGGTGCACATCCTCAGATCAAACCTACTCCAGCCTATCCCTTGTACTTGTGGGGTGGGATCATAATAATAACAATGAAACTCTTCAATGTACTACAGACGTAGAGAATTATCTTACAAGCGAAATATGTACAAATTCAAATCGGTCAACTAGCCAGTCGCATTGTACGACAAGAACAATGGCCATTGAAATAATTCAACAGCCAGTAAATTTAACAACTTCAACCACAAATACAACCTCACCCTTAATCGCTTTCATTGGGCTCATAATTTATTACTAACTGTCACTGTTGCATTGCCGCCTTTACCGTCCCATGTGTAACCATCCAATGGGAACTCCTTAACTATAGCAAACTTAACCACATCAATTTGAAGTGTCTCGCGTCTTTTCTCTAATTTTATACTATGTAACTTGTATAATTAACGCCAATCAAAACGTTAACCTGTAAAAATTTAATTAAAACCTGCAACACAATGCAAATATTTGCCTCGAACGCGCTCTGGGCTCAAAAGCTCTTAATTTGCTCCTGATCTGATTTTACAGTTTAATGTGTGTCAAAGCCTAATCGGGACACATACCTGCACACAAGAAATGGCTGGTTGCTTATGCTTGCAAAAAAGTAAAATAAATAATTTTCAAAGCAGAGCTGGTGCATAATTCGCATCAATCATGCAAATTTCAACCCCAATTAAGCTAACAAGTTGTATAATTAATCATTGGGATGGTGAATAAAGCATGTCAACGTTTCTGAAAGAAAATAATTTTCTTGTTAATGCATGATCTATACACTTTTATGGCAACCTCCTAAGCAAAAAATAAGATACTCTTCTCCTACTAAGTTTTATGCTGGTAATATTCACCAAATTGCATTATTTGCATCCAAGATTATGCACTTGATGCATAATTCTAATTTGTTCACCATTTCTGTCTTGACGTCCATGCTTAATTTCCTTCTCTCCCTTTTCAACAAATTATTCATAAACTCTCTAACCTATATATATCCAAAACAATCCCCATTCCCCAAAATCAAATCAAATAACTTCTTCAAATCCCTTTTCCTTGTTTCCTTTTGATCTATAGTTATCTCACTTTTCAATTAACTGTCTATCCCCATATTTTGATCTTAAATCTCGCCAACTATTGACACTCACTTGATCAAACATATACGCACTCCTTCACCACTACATAGACATATACATACATTTACAGACATAACTACAAGTCAAAATGAAGTTAAATAACAACAAAGCTTTAATGTTAGCTTCAATCTTAGCTATTTCAAATGCCGCTCCTCTCATTTATACTAATTGGGTAACAGCTCCTGCTTTAACTCAATGGATTACTTACACTAATAACATTGTTACAAAAACTCAAACAAATGTAGTAGTTCTTAACACTGCTCCACCTGCACCAAATACTCCAGCCACTACAACTAGTCCATTTACTACCGTTGTACCAACAACTACAAGCATCCCAACAACTACAAGCACCACTCCAACAACTACAAGTACCACTCCAACTACTACTAGTACTACTCCTACAACCACCAGTACTACTCCTACAACCACTAGTACTACTCCTACAACCACCAGTACTACTCCTACAACCACCAGTACTACTCCTACAACCACTAGTACTACTCCTACAACCACCAGTACTACTCCTACAACCACTAGTACTACTCCTACAACCACCAGTACTACTCCAACTACTACTATTACTAAACCTACAACCACTAGTACTACTCCTACTACTACTTCTACTCCAACACCAACGACTCCTACAACCACAACTCAGCAAACCACTACCTCTACCAGTTCTCAAGCCGGTGATCCATTCACTTCAGATGTTCAATTTGAATCTGATATTTTAGCTGCTCACAATGAAAAGAGAGCTTTGCATGGTGTTCCAAATTTAACTTGGGATAATGCTATTGCTGAATACGCAGCAAATTACGCAGCTAGCAACTTTAATTGTAACAATGTTCAATTAATTCATTCTGGTGGTCCATACGGTGAAAACTTGGCAGCTGGTTATCCAGGTGGTTACAGTCCTGTTGATGCTTGGTATAACGAAATTTCCTTATACAATTTTGCTGATCCAGGATTCAGTGAATCTACCGGACATTTTACTCAAGTTGTTTGGAAAGGAACTTCAAGATTAGGTTGTGCAAGAGTTATTTGTGACAACGCTTGGGGTCAATACACTATTTGTGAATATACTGATACTAGAGGTAATATTGTTGGTACTGATCCAACTACCGGATTAAACTTCTTTGCTGAAAATGTTCTTCCACCTTTAAGTAGTTAATCTATTATAACTTACGAAATGGGTAGGATTTGACATTAAAACATTTTTCTAAAAAGGATATTTCTCTTTCTTTCGCTTGGTTTCATTTTACTTTTACTCTTAAATTATTATTACTTCTTGTATATTAGATATTACTCATTAGGCCAATAAATAAAAAACAAGTTTATTCTTATGCATATATGAATTGTAAATGACACCGTCTAAAACATTGTACTTAGCACCTATTTTTCATATTAATGAGGATTTCCGATTATATCCATTATACTGATCTACAACAAAGATTTTTACACGTTGCATCCATTCGTAAAGTTGGAAAGAAGGGGGTAATTTTTGCGATGGATATGGTGACATACCATTTAGTCTGTGCATCGCTGCCTCACAATAATTTTTACGCATCACTAATGAAACACAATCTGGCCGCCTTAATGATTATTAGTCCAGTAGCGACGAGTTAGTAATTGGTTTAAGAGTAATTTTGAGCTATAATAATTAATTAGAATTTAAATGTCGTGTTGGGTCGCCTCAACCATGCTGCTAAGCAACGTAGTTGACATATTATAAAATTACTGGTTCACTGTAGTGTGCACTGTATATGTATTGCAAATTTACACAACTAAACCACACTAGTATCCAAACTGCAAGAGTACTACAATACTTATGTAGCAGTTACAACAGGCCACTATAATACCATTCTCAAACAGTGTCTAGACAAATTTCATTTGCGTGCAACCTGTCTCTACAAGTCTTGGCTACAATGCAGTTAATTTAGATCAATTACATATATTATATTTTTTAGTACAAAACTTTCATAACCTCGTTAGTACTAGCAGAATTTACAGATTAATATACATATGAAATAGTCTTGAATTTTTAATTGGCTAATAGATGGTCGTAATGACTTATACTATTAACTAATTTAGTTCTTTAAGACTTCAGAGAATTGACCCTTGGATGGCTTAGCAGCAGTCTTAGCAACCTTAGCAGAACCTAATTTTTCAGCAGAGTAAGCCTTGGCGTAAGGGTTTAATCTTAATAAGACTTGCTTGTTCTTTAATGGGTTCTTCTTTAAGACGTGAGTTCTCTTTTGAGATGGTTGACCGGCTGGTCTGACAACAGCTTGAACTTCAGCAGAGTTGATTAATCTGGTAACATCAGTGTTAGAAATGATGTTAGATGGTAAAGAGTAACCAGTCTTAACAGATTTGGTGGAGTCAGAACCGTAGACAGAGTCTAAAGATTCGAAAGCACCTTGAGTCCAGATAATAAATCTACCTAAGTGAGCACCTGGAGCTAATTGTAATAAACCTAAGTGTTTAACATCGGAAGTTTCAACACCTGGAACATTTCTTAAAGCCTTGACAAGACCGTTATCTTGAGAGTAGACAACTAATGGACCTCTTCTTTGAGTGAATCTTCTACCTCTTAATTTACCTTTACCGGCTCTTAATTTCTTGGATTTGATGACCTTGATAACATCCTTGTGAGCACCAACAGCCTTTAAGACAGCAACAGCTTCCTTGGTCTTCTTAACAGATTCGAATTCGTTAGAAACAACTAATGGTAATTCCTTAACTTGTTCAACTCTGTGACCTCTGGCTAAAACTAAAGAAGTAACAGCAGAAGCAGCAATGGCAGAGGCAGTAGCATAACGTTTTTCGTTATGGTTAACCTTGACGTGCCATTTTCTCCAAGTTTTAGTTGGAGCAAACATACGACCACCACGACACATGTTACCGAAAGCAGCTTGACCAGAACGGTGAGTACCACCACCACCAACTCTTGGAATTCTGGCAACAGCTCTACCAGTACCCCAAGATTCAGCAGAAGTTTGGTGACCAGCGTTTTCAGCGACAGCGTAAGCTTGTCTCTTGTTCTTGTTAACTCTAACGAAAACAGAGTGAACAATATCTGGTCTGACTGGAGCAGAGAAGACAGCTGGTAATGGTAATTGAGAGGTGGTTAATTCACCGGTAGTAGAAACAACAGAAACTTGTGGACGAGCAGACATCTTTAACAATATATCTTGAATGATGAAGAAGGAAAAGGAGTAAATCGTTAGTAAGTACTGTCAAGTAAAGTGAAAAATTTTTTCTATACTGAATGGGAACAGGTCGTGTGCTGAGGGCTGAAAAAAATTTCGAAGAGACAGACAGGAATGGCAAGTTACCCGGAAAGAACAAACCCTGCACATAAGGAGGGGTACAGATAGAGGGCAGCTGTATCTATGCTTATAGAGATAGAGATGGATATAGAGATAGAGCTACAGTAACATATGGTGATAGATAGGCGCTTCATTAACAGAACACTTCTATAGAAATACACAAACAAATAAACAAACCGGAAAACCGAACATGATAGAGAAATGTAACTTAAGTAAGTATGAAATTTAGCATATGATAGCTACTTTATTTGAAGTACTCCGACTTCAAACTATTATATTATGTTATATAGATGACCTGATTGACCCGAAAACCCCTAACAACAGCTGCTATTGGCTGCCGCAGCTTGTTGTCTCCTAGCTCTAGCCAAATCAATTCCTCCTTGTTGTCTAGCTCCTCCAGCGGATCTACCTCTAGAGCTTGCATTTATAACTTCTTCAACTGGTAAGGCTCTTCCAATGCTATTGAATATCTCTAACACCCCTTCACCACTTTTGGCTGAACATTCAGAAGTGATTATGCGACTATTACCATCCTCCTCGGATGTTTGCTGTTGAATATATTCTTCAACTTCATCAGCCTCAACTTGTCTGTCTTCAGCTAAATCAGATTTATTTCCTACTAATGCGATAACGATCCCCTCAGGTGCTTGTCTCTTTAATTCTTTTATCCAATCTTGTGCTTTATTAAATGATGAACGACTAGTTATATCATATACGCAAAGAGCAGCATTAGCATTTCGATAATACATAGGTGCTAATGATTTATAACGTTCTTGACCAGCAGTATCCCAAATTTCAAATTTGATAGTAGTATTAGTTTCAGGAAATGTAATAGTTTGAGTTAAAAAAGCGGCTCCAATAGTTGATTCTCTTAAATCATCAAAGGTATTCTTAACAAATCTATGAACAATGGATGACTTCCCAACGGCACTTTCTCCGAGAAGGACCAATTTGAATTGGGCAAATCGGTTAGTGGTGGGTGATACTTCGGCCATTATGACTGTTATTATATGCTAGAGATTTTGATTATGATATCGTCTTGTGATGATGTCGTATTTATGGACTGCCTACTTCGTCTCTCTCCCCTTTAGATTAAAGCCGAGGGTTGTTATGTGCAGGAACGGACGGAGTAGGTACCCTATATATAGAAATAGATCTAGGTGTATTAGTATACAAAGATAGGTTTACGCATAGATATTGATATATAATATAGATATTGATATAGATGTAGATATAAATAGAGGTACTTGAATAGACTCGTGTTTCAGTAGAAGTATAATATTTATGTACTGGTTGTTGAGTCATTCGTGGGAGGTACTACAAGTTCATATGTTCAGTAGTAGTATCATGTATTATATTCACTGACTATCATTAAGAATTATTTACAAGGGTTATTGAAAAGTGTCAAAGAATTCACTTAATTGTCTTCAATCTTAGCTAAGATTTCCTTGTCAGTATATAAAAGATATTCTTCTTCACCAACCTTGACTGGACTACCACCATAGTTTGGTAATAAGACTCTATCACCAGCCTTTACAGCAGTTGGAATGAGTTCACCAGTACTGGAATTGGCAACACCTGGACCAGCAGCAACAACAGTACCTTGGTTTAATTTTTCTTGATTCTTTTCTGGAATATAGATACCAGAGGCAGTTTTAGTAGCTGGCTTTAATCTTTGCACTAAAACTCTGTCGAATAATGGCTTTAAGGATTGGGCACTCTTTAAGAAAGACTAGAAATTATTTAGTTAGTACTCAGTCATAACACATATCATTTGAAATTGCTAGGCCAATGTTTACTTACCATATTTATTATGGTGGTTATACTTAAGATGATTACTGGGGTTGTACTAAGTAAGTGATTTTGGTGAAATTTTTCGGTAGAAGTCGTTAGAAATTTCTGATGTAAATTGGACATGAATACACGACCTCGACCATCATGCTGTCGTGCGCAAACCACAAATAATTTTGCAACTAAACTTTTTAAGATGTCTCTATATATTCCATAATTAACTATCCTAAATATCTATCTAATGGTTCTCCAAGCACATTTTCAATGACTCGGACAAGCCCGTTTCTGACTTCTAATTCAACAGCTTCATCATCATCTTCCAATAATTCGGCAATGTAAGGAATTAATGTAGGTAAGTATGTTAACCATTGATCACCCATCTTTTGGAAGATAGATTTTAAGGCTCTAATAGTCCAGATCTTAGTAGAAGAAGTATTTTGACCAGTTTCATTGGATATATATTTGATTAATCCATGAACCAAAGTCTCATTATACTCATCTGAAGCAACATTAGATACAAATGAAGTGATTGTCTTAATAAGATACTTACCAATTGAATCTTCAATATTACTCAATTGACTTAATAATGGAAGACATACACTTTCAAATCTACCCTGTTGAGACCAGTAATCATCTTGATCAAATTTAAATGATAAGTTCAAAGAAACCAATAAGATCCTTCTTAAGTTAATATCTTGAATCTTACTATTTGAGAAATCTTCAAGTAAACTTGAAGTAATATCAGTCAAGTAAGAATAATAAGTAGTAACAATTCCCTTTAATTGATCTTGTAATTTATTAAAGAACTTAAAGAACGCAACTAATCTGGTAAGTTTATTAGAATCATTACTAGCACCTTCACCGTCTACAGCCCATCTAACCAAATTAGCAAATAATGGCCTGAAACTTTTATCATTCAACTTCATAACAAAGGCAATAGCACAAGAATGGAATGAGGCTTCTAAACGATAAATTGTATTATTATCAAATTTATTATCGTGTGTTTCAACATAATGTCTGAATTCTAATGCTTGAATAAACCATTTCATAAATACTGTGGATTGAGCAATGGCAGATTTCTTTTCAATCTTAGCAATGGTTAATTCTAATGCTTTCAAGAATAATCCAAGATTACCGGCATTATCATTAGTATAGAATTCTTTATTAGTCCAAACATTACTTAATGATTTTAATAAAAGGGCTAAATCAACATGTCCAACGATTAATTCCAAAACAGTAGATCTTAAACCATCATCAACATAAACACTGGTTAAAATAGCAATCAACATTGATTCTAAATTACCGGAAATAAATGCTGGTAACTTTCTAACCAAACATGAAATTAATACAAGAATTGATGTTTGAAGTAATTTAGCACTTTCTTCATCATCAGAACTAACAGTAGATTCCCAAATCTTTAATGCTGGTGGTAAAATCTTTGGATACATAGCAATAGCTTTTACGCCAAGAATGTTTATAATGTTACCAATTACACCAATAGAAGAAATAATGACTTCAACTTCAGAAGATAATAAACAATTTTCTGAAGTGGCAGCTTTTAAAGCATCGACCAAAACACTCGAATCCTTTGAAGTAGCCAATTGTGGACCGAATTTATCAACAATGATTGCAAAAGTATTCAAGAATGATTGTTGTAATTCTACATCGACATTGGCTTTAATTCCCTTAACTAAAACAGGTAATAACTTATCCACAACACTTGAATAAATGATTTCATCATCATTAGAACCACCCAATTCATTTTCAAATTTAGAACCAGCCAAGATAACATAATTTCTGGCCACTTTGATAGAAACAGAATCAGTAAGATTTTCAACATCGAGTAATTCAATAATAGAATCAATAAAGTAATTCAAAGGAAGTAAATCCATAAATGTAGAAAGTAATTTATATAATTTGGATAATATCACTGCCGAATTATTGAAAGTATCTAAGTTCATAATGATAAATGAAGTGACTTTACCGAATTCAGACAATAATTGATTGACTTCTGAATCTTGAACTTGAGAATCTAACAATACTAAACCAATCTTAGTTCTTAAACTGGCGGTGGTATAGCCAGTGACTTCATCCTTTAATATGGATTCAATAAAGTTTAATAAGCCAGCAGATAAGTTAGTTAAACCTTCTTCATTCAAAGCTAAAATAGAAGCTCCATAGATAGATCTTATACTTAATTGCTTATACTCATCAGATCTTGGATCTAAAGGAGTTGTAGGAATTAATTTCCAAAGGTCTGTGAATTGATTTAAAGCCTTTAATTGTTCAATGGCTGAGAATCCCTTAAGGAATGATACTGTGAATTCTACACATTCAGTACTTCTTATCTTATTCGAAGTATTGGCATATTGTTGACCAATCAAGAATAAAAGGATATACAAAGATTTATCAACTTGTAAAGTTTTAGATAAGGCCGTAAATAATTTGACTCTACGATGTCTTGGAATATGATGGAAAGCAGTAACAAAACTAGTTAATAAGAATTCAATTTCATTAGTTATAGATGATGTACCATTAGTAGCCAATGCAGGTATAACTTTTGCAATAGTTTGTTGTAAAGCTGAACTAGAAAATTCATCATCTTGTCTAACAGTATGAGCACCCATAAATGTAAAGATTGGCATAACTGAATGTAAAATAATTTCTGGAGCTAAAGATGCTAATTCGGCAATGACTAATAATAATCTATTTTGAACTTGAGGAGATTGGGATGATCTAATAGAGTTTACAATTAAATCTGCTCTAATAGAATTAGAATCAAATTTGAATTCTTCTTCACTGGCTTTCATAGTCAGAATAACTAATGACATACAATTAGCTAAAGTTTCTTGAGCATACAACACTGGTAAGTTCCCATCATTACCTAAGTAATCTAAATCAGTTAAGATCTTAAACAAAGCCTTTAATAAATCAGGATGTCCTAATCCATTAGTTCTTGTATGTCTTCTTAAACTATTTTCTAAGATATCTAATACAATAGTTAATTTTCTTAAATGAACTCCTGCTATATTACTAATATCATCTTTAACCATGGCTTGTCTAGTACTATTGGAAGATCTTCTTCTTCTCTTAGCCAATCCTTGTTCAGGAATTTGAGTTCCTATTTGTACAAGTCCTAAACCAGCTAAGAAAAGATCATGATCGATATCTAAATGTTGTAAAGTTTCTAATGGATCTACTTCAATACTGGAGTTATTAACAAGTAATTCAAGTAATTTACTAAAGATCTTAAGCTTCACATCAACCGATTTGAAATCTTTGAATATCTTAAGAACTCGATCATTGACAACTATTTGTAAGTTGGCAATATCACTTTCCAAACATTGATTAATCCAATCAGCTTCCTTAGCAGAATTCTTATCAGAAGAACTAATCCCTCCCACTAATCCTACAATGGACTTTTCAACTGAAAAGAAATCAATCTTAGCTTCTCTACATTGAGTAATAATCATTGATCTCTTAGAAATATAGTTGGATAAATCAGTATCAAGAAAGAAGAATCTATCATCAGTTCCATATTCATTCTCTTGAGAAACAATACTCCAAATATGGGCTTTAAAGGAAACAGATAAGAATTCTAATGACCATTGATTCAAGATGAATGTCTTAACTATCAATTGACCAAATTTCTTCAGATTATTCTTAGTACTCTTAAAAAGATGATGAAAGAGTAATGAATTAATTGCAGTTGGAGTGAGGATAGTATCTTCGACATTTTCAAAAATTAAATCCACTAAGATTACTGCATCTGAAGGGGGGATAATGGCTCTTTTACTTGGTTCAATATTATCATAGATTTGACTCTCTAAGAATAATGTACTCTTGACTTTCTTCTTACCTTGATGATTAGTTTTAGTGACATCTCTTACTATGGATAATAATGCAATAAAGGCTTGTCTAATTGGAGTACGAGAATCATTCAATCCAAGTAATAAGATAGGAATCAATAAGTATAAATCCAATGGACTTGATGATGATTGGGTTACTACTTCCTTTAACTTTATCTTTAAGAATCTTATAGCAGAAATAGCCACTGATACAGGGATAGAAGGTGTAAGGGCAATTCTTACTAAGAAAGTTACAGCAGAATCTGGTGATGAAAAGATTCTTTTAGTGAATGAACCAATGATGGACTTTTGAGCCTTAGTAGAAGCTGAACGAAGATGTTTCAATAAAACTCCAACAAGCTTAAAGAATTGTTCATCATTTTGAGAAAGAATGAATGAAACAGATGTTGGTTCAATACTGTCGAGGTTTTCAAGGACATCTGACTCGTCGGTTTCACTTTCAACATCGGCATTATCTTCTTCACTGCCTTCAACATCCAATTCCATATCAACTATACTTCCAAAAGTAGTCATTAATTTCATTTCCAATTGACTTAATTGATCTGGAGAATAGAGATCTGTCAAGGCATTACCAGCGACTTCGATAATGCTAATAATGATTCTTCTATTATCTTCATTGTCTATATTGGAATTAATAAGCTTAGCAACTGTAGCGTAATCAACTTGAGCTACTGGGATCAACTTAAATAATCTGAACGATTCAGGGTTGGCGAAAGTATTGGCAAAGTAGAAGAAAAGAAACTTGGCTAATTTGTAATCATCAGCAATCAATTCAACAATCAAACTTTCATGAGTAAGTAAAGTGGTAGGAGCTAATTTACTAAAAGTAGTATTGGAAATAGTATAGCCATCTTGTTGGTTGAAATTCCATAATTGTCCTAACACAATCAAAGTCTGTCTTGAAGTATTGACACTCCAAGCATGAGCAATATCCTGTAAGATCAGTTCAGTAAGTGACTGAATTAAAGTTAATGATAATGGCATTATGGAACTTAAGATTGAAATCAATGAATAAGCTGATAATCTTGTATCATCTCTAATTGAGGCAGAATACTTGGAATCTTTGGCTAATAACAAGTTACCAATAACTTGTAAGATTAATGGTAAATAAGTTTCATTTAATACATCTATCTTTTTTGATAAGGATGCCAATAACTGAACAGTAATTGATAAATAGAATACTAACTGTTCTTTGAAGATGGTTCCATTGCTTAATTGTTCCAATATATACTCTGAATAAAGAGTGAAGAGTGGTGCATCATTATAGAATGCCTTCATAATAGAACTAGAAGGAGGAGTTTTAAGTAAATCCTTATAACCCAGTAACCACGAGAAGATATTGGGGATCTGATTCTTTGGAATAACATTCAATACTTTAACAAACACGGCATCACCATAGAAGGGTAATGCAGTCAAAATAAACCGTTCAGTATTATGAATGTTGATATGGAATCTTCTAACCAACCATTCTAATGCTTTGAGGGATGGGTTTAATACATAATATGGAGCCACTAAATTCAAGAATGCATCGATATTCTTATTGATCTGATTCAACATATCTTTGGTTTGAACATTTCTATCGAAATTCACAGAAGTATCTGAGAACAATGAGCCTCTAAATCTAGAAAATCTGCTATCTATATCCGATAATTCATCTAAACCTTCTAATCCAAGCTGGAGAAGGAAGTCAAAGTCCTGAGTTCCTGCTACTTTAGAGTCAAAAATAAGTGATCTGGAATGGATTTGAGAACGGGATTTCCGGTCAAGTGCCACCGACGCCGTTTTGTCGTTGATAGCCTTCAACTGGTCACTCAAACTCGACATGGTTGGGGAGATCTCTGTTGGTATTGGGGTTATAGTTGAATTGAAAAATTATGCTATACAATATTTTTTTTTTGTCTGAAAATTTTGAGATGCCGCGACATCGCCAGACTTAAAGCAGAACTCGCAGATTTAAAGAGCACTTATGATATTCTTATATATATAGATGTATGTGTGTGTGTAATAGAACACAGAATATATAATTAATGTATATATCGTATGGGTTGACAGGGTCCTTGTGATAGTTCTATGATTTGTGTTTCAAGAATCTGTTATGTTTCCATGTATAGTCATCTATATAGTAAACAATCCATCTAGTAGAAAATCTATATATAAGCTAATTAGCATCAAAACTGAAGATATATAGTGTATTCAACAGACATTCTTTGATAGAAAAGGAAAGCATATATTAGTAATTACTTACAAGAATATAGTCTCGATTCTTTTTATAGTAATTAGTAGTCATTGGCCCCGTCATTCAAGTCCGGTCACAAATATCCTAATGGCTAAGAAAAAATAAGAATATGCTTAATTGGCTGCGAAAAATATACAGAATAACCAAATGTTAAGACATACTAATAGTTGTTTATAAGTTGGAGCTAGTGTAAACTTGAGTCATAAGAGGATAATTTGTAGTTATATCAGGGCAATTAAAATTTGACTAATTATTAACTAAATTATTAACTAAAAAATTAACTAAATAGGGAATATAAAAGTGCAAAACAGTTAAGCAAACAGCAAATAATTCAACCATGCAATTGTTTTTTTTTGCTTAAGAAGTATGTGACTACTAGTCAAATAACACAATTTGCAATACTCATAGTAGTTGCCAAATCCATTACTTTGTATCTATTCTTATGTATTGATTACATTATGATGGGGATCTTTTGATCGCGTGACTTTGAGCACGCACTCGCAGAACACTTTAGAAGCTTCGAAGGTCGTGTGGCGTTGCCAGACAAAATTTTGTCAACCTGAATTTTCAAGTATGAATCATCAGTCATAGATCCAGATAAACTGTATAGAATTATCTATAGACTTTAAACCTATACTCTTTTGTTATTTAATCAGAACATAAATACTCGAAATGTCAAACTCAGATTGGGACTCAGTTACTATTATTGGATCTAAAGCCAGAATTGGTGGAGGTGGTCCAAGAGAAACAGTGGCTAAGACTTCTTCACAATTAAATGCTGCTAGAAGAGCTGGAGCTGTTGTTGGTACAGAAAAGAAATATGGTAGTGCCAACACCAGATCCAATCCAGAAGGTCAAAGATTAACTAAGTTAGATGATATTGATGATGTTGTTAGTGTTAAAAAGGTTGATGTAAGTGTTGGTAAAGCAATTCAACAGGCTAGACAAGAAAAGAAATTTACTCAAAAGGATTTAGCCACTAAGGTAAATGAAAAACCAAATGTTATTAATGATTATGAAGCTGGTAGGGCAGTACCAAATCAACAATTATTAGGTAAATTGGAAAGAGCCTTAGGAGTAAAATTAAGAGGAAAGAATATCGGAGAACCTTTATTTGCTAAAAAGAAGTAAATATAGCATGTAATGATGTCACTTTCTTTTTTTATGATTAATGGGTTTTAATTGTAGTGAATATAACAAGTCACGACTGTTCTTATAGGGTTACGAGTACATTCACATCAGTATTCTTTTGCATTACTTTTTTTGTTTTTTTTTTACTTCTTTTAGTCATTTTTATTAGTTATGAAATAGTCCTCTAACAAATAAGATTATGATCATGATTAAGTTGTTATGCATGAGTAGAAAAAGTTGCGGAGTAAAACAGAAGCATAGAAATACAATTAGAAAATAAAAATTCGTAAATGATCGAGTAAAATGAACGCCGTGTATCGCTTAGATCATACCTCAAAGAGAAGAGATTTGCACATAGGTGGGGTTCAAATCTAGTGATGAGGATGGTTTAGGTGGGGCTGCTACAAATAAGAATGCACAGTATAACGAGATTTGCCAAAAAGAGAGTTCAGGGGGCTGTTTCACGTAGGGATTGCAATTAAACCAATTTTCGTGTCGCCATTGTGTTATATATTACTGTAATAATTAACCTTCAGATAATATTGACTCGAGTCACTTCCGACTAAAGCTGAGAGTCAACAACTGTAAACTCGTATCTATCATGATCTACTCATATCTATTATGATCTACATTTTACTATTGAGACAATACCTTATGTTGTGATGCGTATCTTATCTTGGTTCTATTGCAGATACTAATTAGGTTACTGTATGCGCCAACTATAAGAACAATTTCTCTGATCCACAGCAGGTGTCGCTGAGGTTTACCGTGTTTAAAAACTAATAAGTCACATACACTACTTTGAAAAAATGCCTCGCTAAATCTATACAAAAGTTCTGGGCAAGTAGCGCAGCGCATTTTTACTCAGTTTCTTTTTAATGCTCGGCGTTTTTATATCGAAAGGAATGTCGCAAAATATGTTTGACGGTTTAGTGGCTTACACTGTCTCCGGTCTAGCACTGCTGTATCTCCTGAACAGGGTCTTCCAGATTATTTATTATGGTGATCTATTCTTTTCATATACATAATAGGTTTATTATTCTACTAATACTATAGCCAAACATGCTCTGAAAGTTCATATATTTCGTCATTTAAACGATACCTTGTCGTTAGCTTGGATTTATAATTAAACCAATAAACCTAATTTTTAAAGTTATAGTATTATCATAACCTATGCCTGAAGAGTGACATTAATACAAAGCGACATTTGATATTATAAAGTGATTTTTTAATTTTTCTTACTACATCCGACATATAAGCCCCAGTTCACGGCGTTATTTTAATTTTTTAATTTTTTTTTGTTTTATTAGCATTTTGGCAACAAGACAATTTATGAGCTAATTACAAATCATAGTGCATTTACAAATGGGATCCTAATGTATGGTTATCTTGTGCTACTTTCATGTACGCTGACTAGATACACAGTGCTGATTATATCAGAGACCGTAATCTTAGATACCCCACTAAATTTAAACGTTTGTCCCTATCAGGTAATATATTGATTAATTGTTTCTTTTTTTTTTTTTTTTTTATTATTTAATTTTTTTTATTCTTACGGAGTAAATGATAAGACATCGACTATTGCAAAAGTAAACAGGCTTCATATTACTTTACTCTATTTGTATGCTTAAACTAATAATTGCATTATGTTTCAAATATTGGAAACAGAACCGACGTAATCTTTGACCCCAATTTTTCTCCAATAATAATTAGTCTTCTTATTTTCTCTGCAACCTACCACTTACTCTCTATTTGTACTATTTTATTGTTTAAGCTAAATTTTCAAATTTTATATAAATGAATTGTATATAAAGCCTTATATACCCTCCGCATTTGCTCTTATTGAATTATGATGCTTATTTAATTACATTTAGTTATTTATATTTGTTTTTGTTTTTGCTTTTGCTTATTGAATAGCAAATCAAAATGAAAGATCTTACGACAGTAAAGTCTCAAGGCTCGAGGCATAGTATCTATAGACCTGACTCAGCTTATCCAGATCTTAGTATATCACATTCAAGAATTGTCAGCGTCGATGAAAAGACTGGAAAACTACTTTCACCAAAGACCTCCCAATCAGATTCTTTTGAAACTTTTCAAGAATATGAGTTAGAAAGAGGTTTAAAATCTAGACAAGCCCAATTGTTAGCTCTTGGTGGTGCTATTGGTACTGGTCTTTTTGTTGGATCAGGTGGAGCTTTAAGTACTTGTGGACCAGCTTCGCTTGTCCTTAGTTATACGTTTATGTCTTCTATTGTCTATTTTGTCATGAATATGTTAGGGGAAATGACTACATTTTTGCCGTTACCTGGTAATGGGGCCCAATCATACGTTAACGATTATCTTTCGTCTTCTTTTGGGTTCGCTATCGGATACAATTATTGGTATGCATTTTCTATTTTAATTGCAGCTGAGGTTACGGCTGCAGCTATTGTCGTTCAATATTGGACTACTAGTGTTAACGTTGCTGTATGGATCACAATTTTCCTCGCTATTCTTATTGCTTTGAACATGAGCTCTGTCAAATATTTTGGAGAAGCTGAATTTTGGTTTGCTTCTATCAAGTTAATCACTCTTAGTGGTTTAATTATTTTGGGTATTGTACTCTTCTTTGGTGGTGGTCCAAATCATGACAGATTAGGTTTCAGATATTGGAAGCAAGATGCATTTATTGAACATTTGGCTAAAGGTGGTACAGGTAGATTTCTTGGTTTATGGACAGCTATTGTCAAATCTGGGTTTGCATTCATTTGTTCTCCAGAATTAATTGCTACTACTGGTGGGGAATGTAAAAAGCCAAGAAGAAATATTCCAAAGGCTGCTAATCGTTTTATTTACAGATTAGCATTTTTTTATATTCTTGGTACATTAGTTATCAGTGTCATTGTTAGTTCTAAAGATCCCAGTTTATTAAATGCTAAATCATCTGATGCTGCAGCTTCTCCATTTGTCATTGGTATTCAAAATGCAGGTATCCCCGTGTTGAACCACATCATTAATGCTACTATTTTAACTTCTGCTGCATCTGCAGGTAACTCATTCTTATATTCAGCTTCGCGTGCTTTATATTCCATTGCTCTTCGTGGATTAGCTCCAAAAATCTTTACCAAAGTTAACCGTTTTGGTGTTCCATACTTCTGTGTTGCCATATCAGCTGCTATTGGTTGTTTAGCATACCTTAATGTTTCTTCTGGTGCTGAGAATGTCTTCAACTGGTTCATGAATATTACAACTATCTCAGGTTTCCTTTCTTGGGTACTTGTTGCGTTTGCTTACTTGAGATGGAGAAAAGCCATTAAATTTTATGAATTAGAAGATAGAGTCACATTCAAGACATTTGCCCAACCATTTGGTGCTTACTATGTCATCATTTTTATTTCCCTCATCACAATCACCAATGGTTATGGTGTATTCTTTGCCTTTAACGCTGCTGATTTCATCGCTGCTTATATTACATTACCTATCATCGCAGCTCTTTATTTTGGACATAGAGCTTATGATTATTATGTCAATGGTGTGACATATTGGTTAAGACCAATGGATAAAGTTGATGTCATTGATGGCTTGGACTTGATTGAAGAAGAGGATGCTAATGAACCAGATCCAATTCCAAAGAACTTTATTGAAAGAGTCTGGTACTGGATTGCTTAGTACTAAAAACTATTCTTTATACCTTATACTTCTCTTAATATTATTATTATTATTATTATTTTATTGCTTTTGCTAGTTCTTCCTTCTTTGTATCTTATTTCCATTTATTCTTATAATAGAGCTAGTCTCCAATATACAATTTTCCGAATATGCTTAAGTTTTACAAATATATCACTCTATTGTAATTCCTTACTATCATTATAATAATATCAACAATTTTCATGTCCTTTTTCAAAAGTGTCTTATGGCCAAGAATACGAATGATTTCAACATTATTAAAACTATAGTTTGTTAAGAGAGGTGTAACAATAACAGAAATATATCCGTACAAATTCTAAATCAAGTTGCAAAAAAATTGTTAGTCCGGGTAACGAGAATACCTTCTTAGTCTACCCTGGACATTTCTCTACACTATGATCACGGTACAGATTCCTAGATGTGCCTGATATACTAGTATCAACAAAAATATGGCAATAGTACAATTCTGAACACATCCTATGGATATTTCTAGGAATGATGTATCAAAATATTAAAAGCAACCATTTAAGCCAGTCATTTTGGTTGCTGTTGGGTAAGGCTGCATGGATGTAAAAAAAAAGCATATGCCTAAGTATAAATAGTTAAATTGTAAATGAATCCTTCTTGTAGTTCAACATTACTGTAGTTAAAATGGTATCAATTAATGTAAAATCTCGCTCCAAGAGCTTAAAGAGTCTCTCTACTGACGAATTGACTATCGACTCCAAAGTAAGTGAATTAATTGCTTTAATCAAAGAATCCAACAATATCGACCCTCACAGAATTAGACTTACTCATTATGATACAACTACTCAAAAGAATAAGCCATTGGATGTATCTAAGACATTTGCTCAAAATGGTATTGCTTCTGAATTGAAAACTCTTGAATTATCAATTAAAGATTTGGGTCCTCAATTATCATGGAGAACTGTCTTTAAACTCGAATATTTGGGTCCATTATTGATTCATCCTTTAATCTATTGGTATTATAATGATGGTACTTATACTGAGACTCAAACTTTTGCTTTCTATTTTGTTATTGGACATTTCCTCAAACGTGAATATGAATCATTCTTTGTTCATAAATTCTCCAATGATACTATGCCACTTTTCAACTTATTTAAGAATTCTTCTCATTATTGGTTATTATCAGGTTTCAATATTTCCTACTTTATTTATGGTGCTACTGCACTTACTTCTGAATCGACATGGGGTAAATACATTTTTTATGTTAATGATTTGCCATCGTCATTAATATACTTGATTACTGCTGTGTTTGTATTTGCTGAAGCCTCTAACTTCAAAACTCATTCTATCTTAGCAAACTTGAGAAATGAAGATAGTAAAAGATATGTCATTCCTTATGGATACGGTTTTGATCTTATTTCTTGTCCTAACTATACTTTTGAGTCATTATCTTGGTTAGCTTATGCCATTTTAGTTGGTAATTGGAGTGCTTGGTTATTCTTAGCTATCTCTTCCGGTCAAATGTTCTTATGGGCAGTTAAGAAGCATAAGAGATATTTAAAGACTTTTGGTGATGAATATAAGAAATTGAAAAGAGCAATTTATATTCCTTATGTTATTTAAATATGTCTCTATATAGTTTCCATCAAACGCCCATTCTCCCTCTCTCTAACAAATTCAAATATTATGCCTTATCTTCAGAATTAAACTTAAGACATATACTGTTCACACAATGTCTTGCATCTGTAGGAGTTTTGTATCCTTCACCTCTGAATATATGACCCAAATGTCCTCCGCAATTGGAACATCTCATCTCTTCTCTTACCATTCCATGAGTTATATCCTTATGGGTAGTGATAGCTCCAGGCAATGCTTCATAGAATGCTGGCCATCCACAATGAGCTTTAAATTTCGTATCTGCCTTATATAATGGTTGTTGACATCCTACACATTCGTAGAATCCTATTGAACTTGCTGGGGTATCAGTATATTCTCCAGTATATGGAGCTTCAGTGCCTTGCTCTCTCAAAACTCTAAATTGTTGAGGGGATAATACAGCTCTCCATTCTTCTTCGGTTTTAGACATGGTTCGTAGTATACGTGTAGTAGATAAGTTACGAGCCAATGATCTGAACATATGGTTATATTGCTGCTTACAATTGGCCTGGTTTTGATTGCCTTCAAAAAAAAAAGATATATATATCGCATAGAATTCATAAAACAATAGTAGTACTTAATATTAATACAAGAATAGAAGAGGACTGTATATGCAATAGATGCTAAATGCTAAGTAGTTAAAAATATATGTACACTAATATACACTAACGCATGAAATAGTTATATTTACCAGTTTTATCTCTTGATTTATCCTTACTGGTAGTTTCTAAATTCCATTCGATTTCAATATCTAATTCTCTTGGATTATGAGAATTAGGTCTTGAAGCAATGCTACCTTGGATTTTATCACCCTTTTTAAGATCTAATACATGATCCATATAGAATACAGTTTGTTTCCAATGAGTATAATTATTCATTGGACCAGTAGGTAAAGTAACAGTTTCCTTCCCAGGGAAAATAGCATCCCAATAAACAATATAGGCATGACATAAATCATTATCAATGGCTTCTAATTCGAATTTGGAATGGAAAGCTAATTGTTCCTTAGTAACTGTATTAATATCAAATTCAAAGAATTTATATGGAGTAGTAATTAAAGAATTATTTTCAACAGTATCAACTAATGGTTCAGCCATAGCAACATCAATAAATGGAGAATAATCAAATCCATAAACATCTTCCCAAAAATGAATTTTTTCACCTTTATATTGACCATCTTCAATACCAGCAATATACATATTACATTTATCTGGAAGAATAAGACCACCTTCAACTAAATATTTATCTCTAGCATATAATACAGTATCTAACATAGATTCATATAAAAGGAAGTATCCCATCCATTCAGAAACAATAATATCAACTGTATCAACTGGTAATGTAATATCTTCTAATTTTCCTTGAATAAGAGTTATCTTATCTTCAAATCCATTTAATGATACAATTTCTTTAGCCTTTTCAATAATATTAGACATATCTACTGAATAAACATGTTTGGCACCTGCTTTAGCAGCAAACATAGAAAGAATACCAGTACCACATCCAACATCCAATACAATTTTATCTTTAAATAAATCTTTATTCTTATACATGGCTGATCTATAACTTAAAGTACGAGTAGTATCTTTTAACATTTCTTCATGAATACCAAAATGGTCATATGATGAAAAGTAGTGTTGTTCGGTAAATGGCAATGTAGCCTTATCAGTTGCTGAATCAGAAGCCATGATAATGAACTGTGCAATTGAATAAGATCTGATTGTTATCTATACTAACTTTTCTATATAGTGAAAAATTCAATGAGGCAGAGATTTTCTTTTGAGATGTCGAGTCGTGCGCAGGTGCCTAATATCGAAGTTAGTATATAGTGAATCCGTAATAGTACTGATAGTCACTTCTGAACTAATATGGTCATATGAGATATCAGTTTATATCAGAGAGTTATGGTTGTTAGTTGAGAGTCCTATAGGAAAGGAGTACAACTTGCTGTATTTACTAGATATTCAAATAATATAATATATTGTACTATAATAATAAAACAGTAGTAGTACTACTACCAGTACTAAACGAAGGGCTAAATATGCAAGTAAAGAAATAAAGGATGGATCGTTGGAGGTGTTTTGATAGTCACCGAATCAATGAGATATCTATGTTGTATATAGTGTATTGTGTGTTGTGATATGATGGATTGTATTGTATTGACAATATAATGTAATACATTACCTTTTTATGCAATCAAGTCTGTGCATTCATTTTCAGAATACAGTCTAGAATAAATAGAATAGAGTAAGCTTACTTGGTTCTAATGTGCTTCAATGGACCAGAAGAATGGTAGAAATTGGCAGAGTAATCCTTTTTTCTAAAATGTCTCTTTTTTGGCTCTTGAATGTAATGATCCCAACCTTGATTTTGAGCAAATTTAATGGCAGCTTCTTTAGTATCAAATTGCATGATAGTTCCTTGCATATAATCAGAAGAACCTTGGAATCCAATTAAATCATTTTCCCAACGATTACCTTTACCCAATACATCCCAATCTAACTTCCAACGAGTTCCATTATGATGACCAGATTGGGTGGCAGCTTTAGCCTCTTGGTAAATTCTAACAACACGACTTGTAACTAAATCTTTTGGAGCTCCTGATACAATTTCTTTACCACCTGGAGCACTAACTTCTGATACTGTATTAGAATTTAAGGCGATTCTACTAGTTGAAAGTAAACGAACTCCACTTATAGTAGGTACGCTTCTGAATGATACTCTAGACAACATCATAAATTCTTTATGTATATGAGCAGGTAAATAATAACAGTAACAACTTATCTTGCTGCCTTTACTGTGATGTCGCTAAGCACCAATTGTACCGTTTTGGTTGGTTCAAATATTCAGTGAGAAAAAAAGGAAATTGTTACCCGCACGTATCACCTGATCCAAGGCGTGCGCGCAGGTTTGCGTAACATAAATTCAATTCCGCTTATATTTTTCGCAGCAATGACTTGTAGCTTTCCTAAATTTAAAATATCTTTAAGTTCTTGAGAATCTTCAAGAAAATCATTATCTAAGATGACCCTTGATCAAATCATCAACTTTGATGCAGCAATTCTGGCTCTTTCCGAGGTGGACGATTTTGTCCAGCCTTTCGAAATCAGCGATAATGGTGTTAGACATTACAGATTATTAAAACAACAGCTTGAAATGTATTTGTTAAAAGCTAACGATGATGAAATGGGCTGCTTTTTAAACAATTTTGAGTTTACAAAAGAGTTCTGCTGGTTAAATGACAAGAAAGTATTGTTAAGAATCCTTCTTAGATTGCATAATTTCCATTTGTTTACTGTACTTGAATTTGAAACTACAGAAGGTCTACGCAATTTTGTATCTCAATTTATCGTATGGTTTGAAAGATACTTAAATGATATAAATCATATTTATGATGATAAGTTTCTAGTTGCATATATCAAATTTTCACTTCATTTAAGCTTACAATCTCCAAGAATCAAAGAACTTGAAGCTAATGATCTAAGTGATTCTAGCAAAGCTAGATTATCTATTCACCATTATCTTAAGATCCCATCACTATCAGCTTATCCTTCAGGGTTATTTTATCCTTTTTCAAAGCCCCGTATGCTTGGGGTTTCCAATATTAGGATACTGAAACAACAAATATTAAAAGTGTTTTCTTTAGTTCATTCATCCTTTCTTAATTTGACTGGCGGGGGACAAAGAGATATTCAGACAATTGTTGACAATGATTTATTACAACTTCCCCTTCTTATTTGCCATTTGATGTTTTACGCTCTTGGTGAGGAAAGAAGTATATTCCGAAATACTCATCTTGACTTTTTCTATTTCAGATCATATGCCATTGGCCTGCTGAAAAATACAGAGCTACTTAAGCCATTGAACTTCAAGGATCTTGTCTATAACTATTATACTTTCGGACTAACCGATGATTTAGCAAAACATTTTGTTGTATCATTTTCGTATATATTAAAGAGATTACTAAAGGCACCCAAAAGCTGTGCTGTTATCAGTGACTACCTTTCAACTTTCATCATTGACTTCAGCAATTTCGAACTTGGTCCTTGTAAGGGGCTTGATTCTTACAAATCTATAAGGAAAGCCAATTGCAACATTTATCAATTGGATTGGAATAGCCCATACTCTTTGAGTACTCAGTTGTTCTGTTTCTTTTATGAAGTCAGAAGCAATTACATTCAAAGGGAACACCCTATTAGAACCCATCAAGATAACTTTGTAGAAAAATCTTATTCAGGAATAAATAAAGTTCATGATCAGATAATTCAAGGCCAGTTATAATTGCATACAAGTTCTTGCAGATTTGCCATAAAATGGTCGAATATTACAATACACAGTTCCACTAAACTTATTTAGATTGCAATTGGCGGTCATGTGCTAGGATCTCTTTACTACATCTGCACTACAATACCCTACACAGGTTATAGGGGATTATTTACCTCTTGTAATACCTCATCATTATTCTGATCATCTTGTTTCTATATGTATCAGGTAATTTCCCTCCTTTATTATTATTAGCTATTTTAAAATACACAAGTAATTTTTGGAGTACTGCAGTACCTATAAATTAGCCAAGTACAACAGTAACATACAGAGTAAGAAACAGACTTAACGAAAAGACAAGTAAAGATACCTGGCTAGAGTGACCCAGAGGATTCATTCAGGTATTGGACCAAATTTGACCTTTACTAAGCCAATTGGTTTAGGCACTAAGGTTGAGCTAAATTAACTATCATCCATACTACACAGAAATAGGTTATCACACGACACGATCCTTTTTCCTGTACATAACCTAACCCAACTGTCTAATATAAGAGACGTGTTTTTCAATAGTGAAAACTCCATAGTAACTAACCCTAACTAACCCCATGAGTTCGCAACTTAAACAGTCTCTTCAGGATATCATTCCTGCATTTCATGGACAATTGCCAGCAAAACTAGTTTCGTATGTGGACTCGTTGTACCGAACTAGTCTTCATAAGAAACCGGTATTACCAAATAATGCCGCCGTAGCTAGATATCATCTATGTGCATATTTGGCAGCTGAAGAGTTACAGGATAAATATAATTTGCCTGAACCAGATGCAAAAAAGATCCCATTACAACCCAAATTGGCATCGAAATTATTGGACGATTTCCGTGAATGTTTAATAAGATCTGCTAATTCAACTCCGAATTCAAGTCCCCAACGGAAATCATCTACTCCCAAAGCAACTCCTACAAGATCACCTACAAAGGGAGTACCGAGTGCTTCCAAACAGACAGGATCACCTTTAAAAAGATTAAGGCAATTGAACGATGAAGAAGAAATTGATGATAGTTTAAATGGAAAGAACACTAAGACTAATATTAATGATTCCGAGTCTATCTTCAATCCCAAGAAATCAAAGCCTTCACCTTCCAAATCTTCACCTTTCAAATCTTCACCTTCTAAAGCATCACCTTCCAAGTCATCACCCAAACCTTCATCTAATTATCGATATGATAAGAAACATGTATCTATTGTTGATTTTATAACATTCTGTAATAATTTCTATATTCCAGCCGATGTATCACCCAAAATGATCGAAACATTCTTAGTTCATAAACATAAGTTTGCAAAGAAAAGTGAATGGCTTTTAGCCTGTGGAATAGTACATGCTGCTTATATTCGTATAAATCATACATTAATAACTTCTAAAATAGGTACACATCTGGAATTTATAAATCATTTATTTCAATATCAAAAGGGTGGACTACTAAAATGGAATTTACAATTATGGTGTAATATAGTTGGTTCATGGATTAAAGAAGAATCTTGGATAAAGGATTTAGAGCTTAAATACTTATTTGGTAAAGAATCTATTGAAGAATTACAATCATTTACAGAAGAAAAGGCTCGAATCGGTACGGGATGGAACCTTCTTGAATCCTTCGGACTTATGATCCATGGCGATGTACTTTATGAGTCTGATTCTCAAGTATCTTACTATAATACTTGGTCAAATAAGGCATTAAGTGATTGAAGAGGTCCACTTACCCGGACGTTCGGAATCGATCACAATACCAAAATGGATTTTTATTTTTTATTTTTTATTCTTTATTCTTTATTTTTTTTTTTTTTTTCACATCTTAGACAGTTCATAGACGTAATACTAACACAAGATAGTACACACCAGCTTGGGTATAGTTGGAGGTTTGCAGTAGGAAGTGTGTTGTAACCGTAGTGTGAGACTCGAGTTACCCTGTACAGTTTGTAGCATCAATTTTCCATCAGTATAGCCCATTCTAGAGCCATATTCATACTATTACATATTATTATTTTCCATAGTTAACCATTACGGTAGATGTCCGGTATTGGTAATAAAAGAAGACTCTCGGATGTGTCGTTAAATGGGTACTCCAAGAGGAGTTACCAGACCCATAGTGATAGTGAAGAAGAAGAAGAGTATTCCGATTCTTCTCAGGCTATCTTTGATATTTCACCGTCTACCAATAGCAATAATAATAAATGGCAAGATACTATTACAAAAGTTGTTAATGCGGTAGTATCAATTCAATTTACTCATGTACGTAATTTTGATACTGAAACTTCATTAGTTAGTGAAGCTACAGGGTTTGTTGTAGATTCAATTAAAGGATTAATTTTAACTAATAGACATGTGGTTGGTCCAGGACCATTTACCGGTTATGCAGTATTTGATAATCATGAAGAAGTTACAGTTACTCCCATCTATAGAGATCCTGTACATGATTTTGGATTTTTACAATTTGATCCAACTAAAGTTAAATATCTTCAACTTAGTCATTTAGATTTAAAGCCTGATCTTGCTAAAGTTGGAACAGAAATCAGAGTTGTTGGTAATGATGCTGGAGAAAAATTATCTATTTTATCAGGATTTATATCTCGATTAGATAGAAATGCTCCTGCTTATGGTAGTTTAACTTATAATGATTTTAATACTGAATATATTCAAGCAGCAGCCTCAGCATCTGGAGGTTCTTCTGGTTCACCAGTCGTTAATGAAGATGGTGAGGTAGTAGCATTACAAGCCGGTGGATCCACTGAAGCATCAACTGATTTCTTTTTACCAGTAGATAGACCATTACGAGCCTTGAAGTGTATTCAAGAATCTGAACCTATAACAAGAGGTGATATTCAAGTTGAATGGCAATTAAAACCGTTTGATGAATGTAGACGTTTAGGTTTAACCCCTGAAGCCGAGGCTAGAGCAAGACAATTATTTCCTAGTAAAATAGGATTATTAGTAGCAGAATTAGTATTACCGGAAGGACCAGCCGATGGATTAATTAAAGAAGGTGATACATTAATTTCTATTGATGGTCAAGACATTTCAACATTTATTAAAGTCGATGAGATTCTTGATCAAAGTGTTGGTAAATCATTAACTTTTATACTTCAAAGAGGGGGAGAAGTTATAAGTAGAAGTATAACTATTGGTGATTTACATGCTATAACTCCAGATAGATATGTTGATATTGCTGGAGCTTCATTTAATAATCTCTCTTATCAAATAGCCAGATGTTATTGTATTCCTGTCAAGGGAGTATTCATTAATGATGCGTCTGGTTCATTTGAATTTGCATCGTATGAAAGATCTGGTTGGTTATTGGAGACAGTCGATGATAAACCAACTCCTGATTTGGATGCTTTCATTGAAGTAATGAAACAAATCCCTGATCGTCTGAGAGTCCCAATAACTTATCGTCATGTATCAGATCTTCATACTGAAAATGTACAAACTATTTATATTGAAAGACATTGGGATTCAACTTTTAGATTGGCTATAAGAAATGATACTACTGGTATATGGGACTTTACTAATCTTCAAGATAAACCACTTGATCCTCCTAAAGTTGAACCTAAATATGCCAAATATGTTGATGTACCGTTTGGGAAAGAAGGATGTTCTTCATTAGTAAGATCATTTGTTCAAGTTCGTACGGTGGCCCCAGTTCCACTTGATTCATATCCATATCGTAAAGAGATTTGTTATGGAGTAATAGTAGATGCTACTAATGGATATGTATTAGTATCTAGACGGTTTGTTCCTCATGATATGTGTGATATCTTTGTTATCTTTGCTGAATCTATTGATGTACCTGGTAAGGTTGTATTTCTTCATCCTAATCAAAATTATGCTATAGTTAAATATGATCCTTCATTAGTATTAGCTGAAGTTCAATCTCCTAAATTCAGTGATGTACCATTAAAGAGAGGTGATAGATCTTTCTTTATTGGTTATAATTATAATTTACGATTAGTTACTGATGATGTTAGAATCAGTGCTGTATCTTCATTAAATGTACCTGCTGCTTCATTATCTCCAAGATATCGTGGTACTAATCTTGAATGTATCTTATTAGATAGTAAGATTACTCTTGAATGTGATACCGGGATTTTAACTGATGATGATGGGACAGTTCGAGCATTCTGGTTAACCTATTTAGGGGAAACCAATTGTGAACAAACCAATGATAGAATGTATAGAATGGGACTTGATGTGACAGATGTACAACAAGTTATAGAATCACTCAAGTCCAATACTATTCCACAACATTTAAGAATCTTAGAGGCAGAATTCAATTCCTTAACCATTTATCAAGCCAGAACGAGAGGAGTTCCTGATCTGTGGATTAAGAAATTGGAAGATGCATGTCTGGAAGAGATTAAACTCTTATCGGTAGAAAGAGTTGCAGCTCCTCGTTTAAATCAAGACAGGAGTCCATTGAAAACTGGTGATATCATCTTAACAGTTGATGATCATATTGTTACCAATATGAGAGATTTCAAGCCAATGTATACGGAAGAGAAGACCAATTTCCGAATCATTAGACAGAAGAAAGAATTAGAAATCGCTGTCCAAACCATTGAAACTTCTAGTTTAAATACTTCTCGGGTAGTGTATTGGAGTGGAGCTTTACTTCAATCTCCCCATTTTGCTGTACGTCAATTAATGGTTGATCTTCCATCGGAAGTATATGTGACTCGAAAGAGTGCTGGAGGTCCTGCTCATCAGTATGGGATCCCCACCAATAGTTTTATTACTCATGTCAATGATCATGAAACAAAGGATCTTGAATCATTCACACAAGTAGTCAAACAGATCCCTGATGGCAACTATGTCAAATTAAGATTAATGTCATTTGATAAAGTTCCATTGGCCATTTCACTTAAAACAAACTACCATTACTTCCCCACTTCGGAATTGAAGAAAGTGGATCATGAATGGAAGGAGTTTGAATTGACTAAGTAGATATATATAGAGTAGAGTAAAATACATGTATATACTTATAGATGCACGCTTATAGTCATTCTACACTGAATAATACATAAGACATAATACATAACTAAGTCTATTATTTATGCTCTATTTACATGTAAACATAATACAACTATATACCTAAAAGCTTAATGACACCTTCTTAAGCTGTTTATCCTTATTGGTCACCGACACAAACTTATCCAAGTGTTGTAAGGAACGGGTACTGAATCCTCCATTCCCATGGTTTCTACCGGCTTGTTTCCTCTTAATCCCAGTGCCTGTCTTAATGAAACGTTTGGCTATGGAATGGTTGGTTTTGGACTTGAATCGTGTTTGGAGTAATACGGTCACGGGGTTCTTGAGCACAGCTCGGTTGGTAAAGAACGCTCTGAGCATCGGGTGGGGATGTGTTATGTGATATAAAGCAGCGGTGATGTCGTATGTCGTGAGTCGGCTATCGTTCGGCTTGAACTACTTCTTCCACTCGTACGTACCAAAATCAAAGTTTTCATGATATTTTTTTCCCTTCTCATTTGCAGTTTGGCAAAAAGCGCAAATTGGTCCAATATGGCATATAGCAGTCTGTCATAATAGGACATCCCACTACTCAATTCACTATTTTAATGTCCCAACTTAATGTAAGAGTCGTAGTATGTGGAGATGACTCTGTTGGTAAGTCATCTCTCATAGCTACTCTCATAAATGAAACGTTTGTCCCATCGATCCAGGACGTATTACCGCCAATAACCATATCTGGAGATGATTATGATAATAGTTTCCAAGAGCATCCTATAGATAATGGTAAGATTCGTACCATAAAGAAGTCTCGAAGAAATTCGTCCAGAAAGGACAGGTATGCTGTCCTGAAGTATATTCCTAATAAGACAGTGATTATAGATACTGTATCCAGTGATATGACTCTACTACAAAAGGAATTAAAACGTGCTGATGTTATATGGCTTGTATATTCCGATCATTATACTTATGAAAGAATATCCTTACATTGGATGCCCATGTTTCGGTCTATGGGAGTTAATTTACCCATAGTTCTTTGTGCCAATAAGTCCGATCTAATTGGCAAATCCACCTTAAAGACTCAGAATTCTGATGAGTTTGTACCGTTAATTAAGGAATTTAAAGAGATTGAAGCTTGTATTCGTTGTAGTGCTAAGACCAATTCTAATGTGGTGGAGGCATTTTATTTATGTCAACGAGCTGTAACTCATCCTATTTCTCCTATATTTGATTCAAAGGAAGGTAACTTAAAGCCAGCCGCAATTTCTGCTTTGAAACGAGTCTTCTTCCTATGTGATACGGATCAAGATGGATATTTGAATTTCAATGAATTGTCTGATTTACATAAAAAGTGCTTCGGAATCGAGGCTACTGAAGATGAATATACTAGTATAAAAGTTGCTATAGCTCAAAAGTTATATGATAATGAAGATTCAGGTATATCAGAAGATGGATTCATATTACTTAATAAAATATATGCTGAAACCGGTCGTCATGAAACTACTTGGGGTATACTACGAGCTTTTCATTATACAAATTCCTTATCATTAAGTGATAAGTTCTTATTCCCCAAATTGGATGTTAATCCGAATTCCAGTGTAGAATTAAGTCCTAGTGGTTATCGATTCTTTGTTGATTTATTCATTAAATTTGATAAAGATAATGATGGAGGTTTAAACGAACAAGAGTTGAGTACTTTATTTCGTCCAACTCCTGGAATTCCTAAGTTATGGCAAGAATCTCATTTCCCATCTTCAATTGTATGTAATGAAGAAGGTTATGTATCCTTACAAGGATGGTTGGCTCAATGGAATTTAACTACTTTCTTGGATTATAAATCCACCTTGGTTTATTTGGCATATTTGGGATTTAATGAAGATACTTCAATAAAGGCTCTAAAGATAACAAAACCTCGTAAGAGACGACAAAGACAAGGTAAGTTCTATAGACAGAATGTTACGGATCGAAATGTATTCAATTGCTTTGTTCTAGGAGCTCCCAAATCAGGAAAGAGTTCATTATTAGAACTGTTCCTCCGAGGCTCCTATAGTGAATTATATTCTCCTACTATTCAGCCTCGACTCTGTATAAAAGATATTGAATTGAGAGGAGGGAAGCAATGTTATTTGATATTAGAAGAGTTAGGAGAACTCGAACCGGCGATCCTTGAAAATAAACAGAGATTGGATCAATGTGATGTTGTGTGTTACTGTTACGACTCGTCTGATCCGGAATCGTTCCAGTACTTAATTGATTTAAGAGAGAAATACGCTGGATCTCTTGATGAGATTCCCTGTGTGTTCGTAGCGCTTAAGGCTGACTCTGATAAACAGCAGCAGAGGGCAGATGTCCAACCGGAGAATTATACGAGAGATCTTTACTTAGGGTCACCCGTTCACATCTCATCGGCCTGGTCATCATCGGTTCATGAACTATTCATTCAATTAGTAGATGCCGCCAAAGTGCCTAGTTCGGCTACCCCCGGATTAGAGAAGGAGCCAGAGACACCCGACTATGAAAATTTGAAGCATGTGGTTATGGCCGGTGGTGCTATTACGGTAATGACGTTAGCCTGTGTTTGGATATGGCGGAGTTCTATACAGAGCTCCCATAGTTAAGGATGTCGCACACGACAGACAGAAGCTGGAAAAGAAAAAAAAGTGTCACGACATTTTTGCCAAGCTGCTCTATTTTTTTTTTTCACCTCATCACTAAATTATTTACCATACTTAACACAGGTAGTCGTATACAACCCCACTAATAAAGACAAATGTCAGAAGAAAAAGAGTATAAATCCGTCACGGTGGACAAGCCAATACCCACCACGTTTGATTTGGGAAATTTAGCAACTTTTGATCCTAATCCGTTAGACAATAGTAAGTTAAAGAATGAAAATGAAAGAGAAGCATACTTGACAGCCACCACAAGAGATAATGTACAATTATTAATTAATCAGATTTTATCATTACCAGTCAAGACCACTACCGACAGTCAAGTATCATCTACTGGACAAAATGCTACTATGACATTAATACAGTTACCTGAACCAATTACACAATTACCAAGAGAAAAACCTATTCCAAAGGCTAAACCTCCTACTAAATGGGAACAATTTGCTGCTAGAAAGGGTATTAAGGCCAAGACTAAAGATGGTAAGATGGTATATGATGAAGCTACTGGACAATGGGTTCCTAAATGGGGTTATAAAGGTAAGAATAAAGAACTCGATAATCAATGGTTAGTTGAAGTTGAAGATAAAGTAAAGAATACAGAAGATGAGTTGATTGATCCTAGATCTTTATCTCGTGCTGATAGAAAGAAGTTGATTAAGAAGAATGAGTTACAACATAAGAGAAATGTAAAGAATGCCTCCAGTTAGAGACACACACATTTACACTTATGTTACAAAAATAGTATGGTAATTCCACTCCGCATCCCACATGTATAGTATAGATCGGCAACTGTCTGTTGCTAGTTAATAAACGGCCAATAGGAAGTGATTAATAATAAAGTAGAGTACACCGGTCAAAAACACTCACGTGATTGAATGATTTCCGACTTATCTACCTCCCTACCTCTATAACTGCCTCTTAAATTTCCTAAGCAATATCCTGATCTCACAAGTACTGAATGCTCTATTAGGTAATACAACCAACTAAGTGACCATTACAACTTTTACGGTAATTACTTTACTTTACTTTACTTTACTGCTGTAGATACTTTTCTGTAATTTCCTGCATACAGTTCTCGGTCGGCCCTCCTTCCAAACCTGCAGTAAAGGGACAAGCCCCCAAAGTTTTTGTATGAGAGGGTTTCGCCGTACAACAACCACCGAAACCACCACAACAATCATCACAGGACATGTCGGACCCCTTCAATGCGGATCGGTATCTCCCTACAATAGACGTAAGTAACCAACTCATATATTATCAAATGAGTCAAATACTAACATACTGTAAATTAGGCCATATTGAGTGTAGCGGACTTGGAACAGATCACAGTGAAACGGATCCGAAATGCTTTACAGGAACTCTTCGGAGTTAATCTCCTACCACATAAGGTATGTATTAGAGAATCTGATATACTGATTAGTAATTTAGTATATTGGCATTTTAGTTGTGCGGAATGAGTGCTAACAATTTTAATGTAGAAGGAAATCAACGAGGTGATCCTCACTCAGTACTACGATCTCATCAGTAAACGTGAGGAACTGGAGAAGTCAGAAAAGGAGAGACGAGACGAGATCGAACGACAGGATGCGATAATGGCCGCGCGACTTCTGCGGTCAGAGATCAGTGGACCCATTGTTAGATCTCGTAAGACGAGAGACCGGCCTGTCAAGGAAGTTAAGAAACGGAAAGTATCCAGTGATCGAGAGAATGTATTCATGAGAGAAATGATTCTATCCCCAGATCTTGAGGCCATAGTGGGAGCTCCCAAGTTACCACGGCCCCATGTCGTTAAACAATTATGGGCTTACATCAAGAGCCACGACATGCAAGATCCTAAGGATAAGCGATTCATTATCTGCGACGACAAGTTCCAGAAACTATTCAAGAAAAGTACGTATCCTCCTATTCCTATCGCTGTGTCTGAATTTGTATGGCACCACCACCACCATTTACTAACTAACTCTCTCACCTTCTAGAATCTGTCGGAGCCTTTGAAATGAACAAACTCCTTTCGAAACATTTAATAAAACCCGATGAGGTTGATGGCGTGGCGTGGACTATGACGCCTGCGCCCGTTAAATCTGAGCCCGGCTCAGTAGATCTGGTCATCCACAGTGATCCAAGTGAGTCATCTGAGGAATAGGCTATAACTTTCATAAATTGTGTATATCTGTAAATGTATTATATGTCTTATTTATAATGTGTATGGTAGCGCGCTCCTGCACACAGACCCCACGCCAATAATTTTGGCGTTCTTTTTTGTTTACCCATTACATCACTAAAAGGGCCTTAATCCGATAAACAGTTCCCCCCACTGGACGATCAACTACAGCGTGTCACGAGACATTGAACCGGCAACAACATAGTGCAGAGGCCCACTATTCAAACAGTGAAACAACCAAGAAATTTGGCCTTCTGTACAATGAGTGACGGTACCAATCAGTCCATACTATCAGGAAGATCAAGTGATGAGATTGAAACGGATAGACTCTATGAAGCGGTAGTGAAAGTGGTATTACTTGAATATTCCAATGAGGCACGCTTCAGAGTACCTGTTTCAGCCGCAGTTCCACCCACAGACGATGTCCTGTTACCCATTACTTTAATGAAGAACTTACGAGCCAAATTGAAATCCATAGCATTGAATCAACCAAAAGATCATTATGATACTTTAACAAGAAACTCACTCTTACGGTTTTATACCGATCTGATGCAACCCTCATTTCCAATAGATTTGAAACCTCTGGCACTTGTGGCGAGATTTGCTCAAGCATCAACTAAGATCATTACAAGTAGTAATTATACTGATAGTAAAGAGATTAATAAATTAGTATCTAATCATACTATTACATTTGTTAAGATCGTAATAGAAACACTTAAGAATGATAAGAATAGAGAACCTTTGGTAGCCAAATTTGAAGAAAGTATACGAATGTTAAATCCAAGATCTTCACGATATATAGACTTATCACATGCTCAGTTCCTCGACCCATCGTATCAGGTAAATGATATAGACCTGGTAGTGGTGCTGGTAGTGGAACGAGTATTTGGTAAGTCACGAGCTTCACTTCAGAATGATGTGAATAGACTCAAACCTTATGCACAGTCAAAGGCATATCATCGAGATATTCAAACTCTCAATGATGAATATGTTAGTGCTGGAACTTTCAGTACTAACGAAGGATATGAGCGATGGAAGGATCACCAGACGAGTGAAACACTCCGATTACTGGAGAAATATCGAGTACCAGATAAGCATAAACTAATATCACTTCCTTCCCTAGCAGGAGATAAGTACTATATACTTCCACCATATTCACAACGGTATGCTTATTTGATAAAGTTCATTCGATTATCATTACAGACTCAGAGTCAAACCTCAGACTTTCTCCTATCCAATGATTGTCTAAGTTTATTACGACTCTTATACACCACTTGGTTTGTAGATCATCCTACTCGAGCAGTAGCCATCTATACAGCCATTAATGTTGATGATGATATAACCCTCAATGAAGATTATATCTTTGATATCCCCCTCGCCATAAAGGCTCTTGATATGTGTAAGAAGGTGCTTCAAGAGGGGAATTTGGCATGGAATGATAAGCATAAATGGTCCATTAAGGATCAAAATCAATGGACTCAGAATCTTACTTTGACATATAATAAAGTGGCTCTAACCATTAAGAATTGTGTACCAGATATCTATGGCTCTAAACCATCTCGATGTTTAGTATTTTCAGCATTTCTTCATGATAATATCGTATCAGATATCTTATTCCCCCGAGTTGAAGCTACAGGATTAATAACCAAATGGGAGCATCGATTAAAGAGTTCATTATTAAACTTGACTATCGCTCGGTATAAGCATTTGTATAAGCGAATTCCTCGGAATCGGAAGCTAGAAATCACCGATGTAGCACAATTACTTACGAAATTAGAGAATGATTTCGATGGTCTAGGCACTAAATTCAAACTACCATTACTTGGAAATGTTCGAGTGGATCATCTATCGCTTGTGATTAGTGCCATGTTCTTCTCGCGAGATTCCGTCCAGCTATTGAAGCATATCAGTCACTACGATGATGATACCTTGTACGAACTCTTGTTCAGTTCCAAGTCCATCTACAAGTCTCTCAAACATATCTTTAGTGTATTTCAGCAATTGGTTGATAGTCGAACCGTTGATGTGGAGTTTCTTACCACCTTTATCAAGCTCCAGATAGCTAGAAGCACCAATACCAAGTACTTTGAAGAATTAGGCCGAGTCCTTGAACATCCTCATGGTGTTATAGATAACATTGAACAGATCCTCTTCCCCGTGGCGTATGAGTATGCTGAACATATCCCCCAAAGAATTCGAGACATTGTGGCCAGTTCCATCCAAATGGATACATTTCTACCTCTACAGGAAGATCAAAAGTTCAGTACTTCACCAAAGGATATGTTTAAGTTTGTCAATGATATCCGAAGTACTATAGATGAACTTGAATGGACCAATGCGGATCAACTGGCTCGGATCTATGCCAAGTTCTTACGAGGAGTGTCTAATGGAGCCATTGACTTTAGTGAAACCATCAGTAGTCGAGTGGCAGCTGAGCTCATAGATAAGGAACATAATCCCAACTTTAAGTTCAGGAGAGAGACCTGTGTGGCCCTCAATGATCTCAGTAAAGTCATAGAGTATTTGACGACTTTGGATACCATCAAGTCAGGAGATGTGTCGTCCATCGCCTCCTCCACCACCAGTACCAGTCATGTGTATACCATTCGAGTTGTTCGAGCAGATAACTTGATGTGTTTGGATGCCTCAGGCAACTCGGCCAAAGTGGGACATCCCTACATCCAACTCATCGACATAGCGTCGGAACGAGTCATTGGTAAAACCAGAACCTTAACCAGTTCTACCAGTTTGGAATGGGATGAAGAGTTTGAAATCACCGTACCCAACTCCAACGTGCTAAAGTTATCGCTAGGCGTATGGGATGAAGGCCATAAGGAATCACTCCTCTGTGGCCGATCGTCTAAGGAGTTTGATTTCCGAAAGTTCTCCAGTGATGGAACACCACAAGAGTTTGAACTTCAAGTTGGAGTTCAAGGCACTTTGGTAGTAGAAGTATCTGTAGAGAAAGAGAGTGGAGATGCGATGTTTCTTATGGGTAAGGCATTCCGATCGCTTCAACGAAGTCAAGATCGGTCCATTAAGTGTATAGTCGAGAAGTTTGATAGTTCGATCGCCAGCTACTTGTCGGTGACTACGTTATCGACCATCTGTAGTGGGAAGAGAGAACCCACCGAGGATGAAGTGGAGCATGTGTTGGATCCTCTCAAACACTACTTGAACACTAACTTACAAGTGTTAGCGCAGTCTCTAACGAGAGAACTACTTCAACAGGTCATTGAAGCTACATGGAACTTGGTGGTATCTCATATAGATGATATGATATTACCGAGATTAACTTCAGCATCTTCACTCCAATTGCTCATTAGAGGTTCAGTAAATCTCAGTCTCCACAGTACATTCAGTTCGGCCATGGCCACTCTTCATAGATCTACGTCCATCAACCGTACGGAATTCAATGCTCTCTTCTACTGGCTCGACAGTATGAAGGGATTCTTTGATAGTGACGTAGTGGATGTACTGCTGAACCCAAAGTACCAATCACTACTCCTCCTCCCCGACTTATACTACAAGGACACTGCCTGGCTAATTCAACAAGTGGATCAACTCAGTGAATCCTCTTCTACCACTACTACTCCGTACAGTGGCCATGGCCTCACACGACTCTTTACTCGATCCAGAACCAGAACCATTAGAGCTCATGCGACTATCCGGACTCGACGAGAAGCTGCAGCTCTTGATCAACAGTCTCGGCAAGATCCGACAGTCGTCAATAAGGCACGTGAGGATATGCTCTTACGACTCCTTATAGCTCGCAATGAAAAGAGGTATGTAGTCAAACAACTCAAACTGCGAGAAAGACACGCTCATGATATGGCCATTAGTAATTTGGCCATGAAGATTACTCAGACAAACTTCAGATAGTTGTACATAAACAATAATAAACAATACAAATAATAACACTACTACTTTAACTAACTCTCGACCGAGTGCGCCGTGTCGTCGGCCGTGGTGTCGTTGGCGTCCTGGATGGTGGTATCGTCTGTGGCTCCTGTGGTCGTGGCTGTAGTGGCTGGAGCAGTTTCTACTGCTGCTTCTTTGGCTTCTACTGCCTTGGCCTCTACTGCCTTAGCCTCTACAGCTTCTGCTTCGGCTACTGCTTCGGCTTCAGCTTCAGCTTCAGCTACTGCCTCGGCTGCCTCAGTGGCTTCCGCAGCTTCAACAGCCTCTCTGTATGCCTTGACTCCCTTAGCAAACAACACCCTCACTCTCTCCTCATCTCCATCTCCTCCATTCTTCTTCCACCCCACTTCTTCATCATCCACCAACTTACGTAACATCTCTACCTTATCCTTACGAGAAGGTTCTTCGGGCTTTCTCGTATATACAGAGTCAGCAATAAACTCATCATGACTATTGGCTTCAAAGAAGAGTCGATAAGAATTCTCACAAATCGATACTTTTAATCCGGAATAAGCTCGGCCTACACATTGATCTTCATCCACAGCATCAATAAATGATCGAGCAAATGGCATATTAAGTTTAGATGCAGCTACACCTTCTGTAGGATGCAGCATAATATAACTGGTAACATAATAATTATACTTTTCTTCAGCATTCTCATGATCATTAATGGTTAAATCATCCAATCCAACAAATTGAATATTAACACTCGTAGTCAGAGGTTGATAAGTGATTTTAAACATATGTTCATCACTGGCCATAAGCAGTCTTACATGCATTCTATTAAGTATTTGATCCTTAGCTGTAGATGTTGGATTAGTACGATCACTTTCAAATAATACCATCATTTCTGAAGTTCGAGAATCACTAATCATACTATGCATATGTTTAACTAACGCTTGAACTACTTTATCAACCGTATATAACTTATAGGCTCTGTTTCTATAACCTTGACGTAAGGTTTCTTCATACCATTGATGATCAATATCTCCTTCAATTAATCGTTCCAGTAATTCCAATACTTGTTTATAACAATTCTTAGTGCCGACAATTTCTATCCCCATATCTTCAAGTTGATGAGGTAATAAATTCAAATCCTTAGCGAATTGAGGATGTTTACGATTACGTATCTCTTTACTAACCACTTCATTCATACTCTTAACTTCCAATAATCGATCGTAAAGTGTTCGTAAATGACGGAAGAATACGTAGATGGTGGTATTACAGAATAAGATATACTTATCTCTAGCTGTTTCTTGGATTCCATCATACTTAAGCGAGAATTTGGTGTTGGCAGTCTTAATCCATACTTCACTCGACTTCTCAAGTTCATCAAGAACTTCATTATCTTCTTCCACAGCAGCTTGAGGTGTAGGAGAATCACCACGATCTTCTTTCTTGGATTTAGTCGATTGTTTCTTAAGCACATTCCGTAACAAGTCTGATTCTCTACCTCTCTTTTTGGAATTGACTGTACTATCTGAAGATTCCAGAATATCATCAGTCTCTGAATCTCTTTCTCGTTCTCTTTCAACAGCTTTCTCCTTTTCCTTCTCAACTTTGCCTCTAGAAGCTACTCCACTCTCAACAACTTCAGGTGGAATACCAAAGAAGAGAGATACAAAGAATTGAAAGAATTGACTAAGCTTTTCTCGATCATTCGAACTATAATTGGATGTTCTATTGATGAACACATCAGCCAATTTCAAGATATCAAAGAGCACTTGTTCATCACCAAACGTATACTGTAATTGTTCTTGAGGTTTAGGAGTTAATGGATGTAATCTCTTATTCTGTTGTTCGACTTTAACGGTACTTATTTCACTAACCAATTGTTTAACCGTCAAGAGTTTCTTATCAGCCTGTTTAAATGATAATCCCAAATGATCAAGAGATTTGAAAAATACCTTCTGTTCCATTTCTCGCCATACTTTATTCCATTCTCGTTGAGCTCTCTTCCATTCTTCATCCTTTTGTTTAAGTCTTTTAAGTACTATAGGAACAGCTATAGCAGGATTCTCATGAAGAGCATCAATCACTTCAAATCCTCGATCTTTATCATAAACTTTCCGAATAACTTTCTTATAGATAGTTGTGGAATTATGTCCTAAACCAGGAGGTAATTTAAAATTAGCCTTTTGTTCAGGACTCATATTAGCTATCCGATTAGCAATAGTTTCTAAAGTTTGAATGGTTCTTAAATTAGATTCCATATAATAATCAAATTCTAATCGTTCTTCTTCAATCTTAAAGAGAATCTCTTCATATTGATTCTTACGATGAGCTATAAATCCTGAATCTTCTGAAGCCCAAGTAGGATGTCCAACCCATTCATCATTAAGAACTTCCCAACACATTTCATCTCGACCTGAACATGGCATATAAGTTTCTGCTTTAGGTAATTGACGATATGAGGGTCCATAAGCTTTACATAAAGATAATTCTAATTGATGTTTCTTAAAGGTGATATTCTCGATATGAAGGGGTTTCTCTTCATAACCAACAAAGATTTTAAACCAATTAAGTAAATCGGGATGTGTATCTCCAATAAATCCTTCAACTCGTTCAATTAATGTATGTTTATCAATGATATCCTGAGAGAAAAGGTTTAAGACTTTAAGGAAATCATTATAAGTTTGTTTATTGCCAATGGCTTTCTTGACTTTATCAAAAAATGAGATTTCTTCCAGAAGTGATGATACATTAACTGTACCTGAAGCAGGTACTGGTTCTGGAATTCCAGGTACTAAAGTTGGAGCAGCTGTATTAGCTACTGTAGTGGTAGAGGTAGTACCAATAGTACTAGTAGTACTGGTAGTGGTAGTGGAGGTATTGGTACCAGTAATACCAGGTCCATTTTTAGCTCCAGGAGATTTAGAACTAATCTTACCAACTGGTTGAATACCGGACCTTACGCCAGACACTTGAGCTTCTTGATTATAATTAGTATCATAGGCATAACCTTCAGATACAGACTTCTTTTTCCTCATATCTTCATGAGGTTCAGGACTACCTGTAGTTGGAGGATAAGTCATTTGTCCATAAGGACCTTGAGGTCCATTATAACCTGCTGAAGGTGGTTGTTGGAAATTACCTACAGGAGGTAATTGAGATGGACCAGATCCAGTTGCAGTTCCAGCTCCAGCTCCAGTACCATTATAATAACCATCAGATGGTGCAGCCACTTGTGCAGGATATGCTTGATTAGAAGTATCCGGTAAGAATTGTTTAAAGTCATCAAGAAGATCAGGGGAGTTGGCAAATAATACTGTCACTTGTTCATATACTTCACTAATGGGTTTCTGTTCACGTTGGTAGGTTTGAAGAATCTCCAAGAATTGTTTATAGATATCCGGTTGATTAGCAAATCTTGTTTTGATCTTGTTGACATATGAAATGGCATGGTTGAACTCAATCTGGCCACCGGGCTGGTTGACATCGTCTTGCGATGGTTGTTGTTGTTGCTGTTGTTGAGTTGGTGGTAGTGGTGCTTGTGCTTGTGCCTGTTGTTGTACTGGTTCACCATTCCATCTCTGAGTCATATCAAGATTAGGTCTCGTAGTGGTCCCCGTAGGAGTTGTGACTCTAATAGGATTAGGATCAGAAGGATCTAAAGAACATTCGATTCTATACCCAGGAGGTAAGAAAGTATTAAAGCCCTGAATCAAATTAGGATGACCACGAAAGAGACTGGAGACTCGATCAATAACTCCAGGAGTATCAATACTTTGAGATTTAAAATCTTTCATAATATCTAAAAAGTTATTGTATACATCCGCCTGATTATAGAATTGAATCTTAACTTGATCTAAATATGATAAGGCATCTTTAACATTTAATGGACGATATACACTGGTAGTAGTTGATCTATTAGGAATTCCAGCAATTGGTTGTTGAGGTGGAGGTGGTGGACCTTGAGATTGAGGTGGAGGTGGAGGTACTTGAGATTGAGGATCAGGAGCAATTGATGCTGGGGGAGGTAATTGAGTGGCTGAACCAGAAGTTCTTCTTATATCTTGAGGTCTATTGGGATCAGAGTCATTGGAGTTAATTGATGGAATACTAAAGCTGTGACCCTGAGGGTTACCCAAGCTGGCTAAGCTGGGGAGAGGGTAGAATTGGCCGCCTAAACGTGTTAGTAGTGGACTGATGGAATGTCTAGTACATTGTAGACTGGTGCAGTACATTATAGACTAGTACAGTATACTATATACTGGTTCAGTACATTGTATACTACTCTATAGACTACTCTCTGTATACCATGTACACTGTACACTGTACACTGTAAAGATACATACCTGTTTCTAAGGAGGCCGGTGGGGGTAACACCGGAGGATGTTGACGACTAAAAATGTTAGTAAAGGCTATGACAACATGACTAGACCATTTATACATACTTAAACTGTTGACCCAAAGGCCGTTGTGAGTTCCACGGATCCTGTTGACTGGCCATAGTTAATGGTAGTGGGAAAGGCTATATTAGCTTGTACAAGGGTGTAGAACTAGCGGAAAACACGTATAAAATCAGACAAACTAGTAGAATTCGGTCGTGGGGTGTACACACGCTGATTGGCAACAGATTTGAAGCTATTTCAGTGAGTTGTAATTAGTGTTAGTAGGATGATGGACTATTGGTGGGAGGGTAAAGATTCTGAAAATCCCCAGCTGGCCGAGGCATGTCGTGCGCCGGGTAATGAAAAGTGTGGGCCGTGTCGCGCGACATCGGTGCACGTGATTTAGCATGTGATGTATCATGTGACTCTTTTTAGCCTTTAGTTTTCTTTTTTGCTAGTAGTGTATTTTTCACTAATTGTTCAACAACTAAAGTATTACCATTACACTATTAACTAACTAATCAACAATATGAACGCTCCCGACAGATTCGAATTGTTCATCTTACCCGATGGAGTGGAGAAGTAAGTATAGGCACCCCCACCCTGTGATTAAAATATTGTTTACTAACTTTTATAGAATCAAAATCATCCCCGACACTAAAGTACCCAATGCGGCCATCGTCAAGATAGAAAGAGAAGATCATACACTTGCTAATTTATTAAGAGCTCAGTTACTTAAAGATCCTAAAGTTATCTTTGCTGCTTATAAAGTCGAGCATCCATTATTTGCTAATTTCTTATTAAGAATTCAAACTGAAGAAGATTATAGTCCTCGTAAAGCACTTGTTAAAGCATGTTCATCAATTATTGAAGAATTAGCTCGTATAAAGACTAAATTTGAAAAGGAATGGCAAATTCAAAGTTTGGCTGTAGATGATGATTATTAGGTAATTTTGAATTTATGGTTTATAAGCATATTTACCCTGTATACTAGTTTCTATAAGTAATATTTAAGTAATATTAATGTATTAATAATGAGTAAAGTTAGTAGTGAGTAAGTGAGTAGTGAGTAAATAAAGTGTAACGAAATGTGCTGTGAGAGTGTGTGTGATGGAAGTGGTACAGTATGAATGCGAATGATAACAGTATTAAAGTAGTGTAGTGTAGTGTAATAGAGTTGCTATAACAGAGGAATAGAGATGATATAACAATGAAGATAACTGTGTTATACATTATACTATACTGTGTAGATAACTGTACTACACAGTGTAGATACCTGTACTACACAGTGTAGATAACTGTACTACACAGTGTCCATAGTATACTACAGTACATAGTATACTACTTCTACAACTAACATTCTTTATGCAATGTATATAACAATTAATTATCTAATAGTACAGTATTCTAAGAGAACTTTTATGAAATGAAATAACGGTATACGAATGGTCTAACTTATGTATGCTTTCTTTATTTGTTTGTTTGTTTATTTATTTGTTTATTTGTTTATCTGTTTATGCATCCTTAAATGCCTTCTTCTTAATAGCTTCCTTAATTACAGAAATCTTATCTAAACATTCTGGAACTTCATTAGATGGGAAATTACCTTCTTTTAAAATTAAAATTAATGGATGAGTTTGAATAGTTCTATTAGGTGAAATATGAGTAATTGCTAAACCTGATTTAGATACACATATCTTATGATGATCTTTAAAATTAAATTGGAAATTTCCATTAGTCATTTCAAACATAATATATTCGGATGTACGAGTATACCTTCTTAAAAATACAGTTTCCTTTCTTTCTTCATTCTCACTAACTTTTGAAAGATTACTGTTCATATATTTGGCAAAGAAATCTACAATTTCTAATTGTCTTTTAGCTTGTGATGGAGGTTGACTACTGGAATTTTCAATACATGTCCAACCTTCATTTTCATGATAAATTAATTCTAAAAATCTATCAGAATTATGAAGTTTTAAAAATGTATTATCATCATTAAATAATACTCCAATATCATCATTATTTAATTGATAAGAAAATCCATATTTATTTGAATAATCAACCCATTTACTAATTAATGTAGGATTTTCACATCTAGGTAATTCTAATGTATCAATAGATTCATGAACAGAATATTCTAATCTTCTCATATTTTGATAAGTTTCAAAACAAATTTGATTAAGATGTTTAATTGAAGTAGAATAAAGACTATTAAAATTAAATTTTCTTGGTTTACCTAAAGAATTTGGATCAACTTCTTGATATTTTTGTCTTGTATCATTTGGTGATAATGATTGAGGTAATAATGCCTTTGGTTGTTCTGATTGTAAATCTGATCTTAAAATTTCTACTGGATTCTTATTTCTTGGGGTATAAATTCCTGCATTAGCCTTTGTATTAGTAAAATTAATGGCTGATTCATGTTTTGGAATATTTTGAAGTCCAATTGGTGTTGTATGTAAACTTAATTCATGAGTCTTATCGGGGAATGGACCTTTAAACCATTCATAATTTAAAATATCATCAATTGTTGGTCTATTAAGAGGATTTAAACTTAATAAATCTTTAATTAAATCCTTAGCTGAATCAGATATTACTTTATCTTCAGGGAAATAATATTCAGTCTTTTTAATTCTTTCATAAATAACTTGAACATCTTTAGCTTGAAATGGAGGTTTACCAATTAATAAAGCATACATCATAATTCCAATAGCCCAAATATCAACTTCAAAACTATGACCAGTATTTTTACCACCTAAAACTTCAGGAGCAATATAATTTGGTGTACCACAAATTGTATATTTTCTTGAATCAGTTGATGGTAATACTGATGCTAAACCAAAATCTCCAATTTTAAGATTCATTTCTGGATCGAAAAAGATATTACCTAATTTTAAATCTCTATGAATAACTCTTCTTGAATGTAAATATTTAATTGCTCCAACAATTTGGACCATAAAATAACGTACTTCAGGTTCAGATATTCTCTTTCTTGTTTTTAATAATTCCATTAATGATTGATTTGGACATATTTCTAATAAGATATAGACATTAATATCATCTTCAAAACAATCAATAAAATTAACAATATTAGCATGTTTTAGTGATTTATGAATCTTAATTTCTGATAATAATTTGGTTTTAGTCTTTTCATTCTTAATAGATGCTTTAGCTACCGTCTTAGCAGCATAGATTTGACCGGAATCATCTTTCATTTGGAAACATCTAGCAAATCCTCCTTCTCCTAAGAAAGTTCCACGACGATAATCTCTTCCGGTTCTGGTTCTAACTATAGAAGGAGGAGTTTTACATAACGCAGATAACTTTTCCTTCTTTTTCTTAGGCTTAACTGCATCAGCACCGGCTCCAGCTCCAGCTCCAGTAGCTCCAACAGCTCCAGCAGCTCCTATTCCAACTCCAACATTTTCTGGTTGTTGTACATCCTTCGTCCGTCTGGTGGACTTGATGGGAGTTATGTTATTGGCTCTAGTATTGAGTTGGCCACTATTTAAAGGCTGCAAGGGTTGAGCACGAACACTGGACATGACTTTTCTTTCTCTTTCTTTCTTTCTTTTTGGTTGTAGTTGTAGCTGTTAAGTTCCGTCGGCTAATTCTATATAAGTCGGGTCGGTTATTTTAGTACACTTTTAGTAAATGATTCCTCACTTACTCACTATACAACTTCCCAATTCAGGTCCTGCTGGTATAGTTAATAGAAAAGAATTCCAATAGATGGTTTGTGACGATATTAAAAAGAATATATAAAGGACTTGGTAGTGGAAATTATTCATTAGTATGGTGTTTCCTGTTTAGGACGAATAGCTGCTACAAACAGTGGGAGAAAAAGTTTAGGATGTTTATGATTTTCCGCATTAGGTCAATTACAAAACAATTTTATTGTATCGTTATTAAATTTCCCTTTGCAGAACCGAGTCACGTGAATTTCTTTAAAACCTTTTGGTCTTATTTATATATTCTCCCAATGCGGAATAATTACTCTATGATATCCCATCTTGAAACGGCTCTTGTAAACATCTCATCTATTTATGTATATTTAGACCCAAATGGGACATCTGCTACACTAATACACATACTGTTACATACTGTAGTACTACTCCTACTACTAGTAGTATTACATACTATTAGTAAGGAGTACTGTTACTACTACTACTACTACTACTACTGGTAGTACTACTACTATACACTAGTTCAAGTAGCCCTTACAGCCAGGAGCACCACAAAGACATCTGATTCTTTCTTCATCATTAGTCTCTCTTTCAAACTTATAATCGTAAGTTAATTCTTCATTAGCATCGATATCTCTTAATGCATAGATAACAATTCTCTTTTTACCTTCAACTTTAATGATCTTAGCTGTACAACTAGGACTACAACAATGATTAATGAATCGGGCTATGCCTCCTTTCTTGGTAGCATCAATGACCGTATTCTCATCGATTCTAAAAAGATATGATGATCCAATCCCCGTTTTCAAGTAACTCTTTTCTCGATGTTCTGCCACTTGTTGTCTAATACTTTCTCCTACATATTCAATAATCATTTCTTTAGCTGCAATAGGTTCAAGCGCATAAAGTCCCCAATTATGAATAGCAGATCGAGCAAATGATACAGGTTTCTTTCTTTTGGTTAATGCATTCAAACTTAATACTTCAGTCTCATTACCTAATTGAGCCGTAATATCAGCAGCAAATCTTCTATTGTTAGCCCGATTAACTCGAGAACTTTGTATAGCATTATTGGTAGTATTAGAATTAGTATTTTCTGTTCCCCGACCAGTATTATCATCCATCTCATCTTCATGTTGAATGGTTTTAAGTGGTTTATCCAATTTCCGACGATGAGGTAAATATTCAGCTTTATCTATATCAGAAATCTTCTTAAATCCATCACTTCTAGAACTTCCAGTCTCCGAATCTAATCTTGGATCTAATTTCTCAATTAAATCAATATCTTCAACAATCTCGTGGGATGCTTGTTTCATATTACGTTGTTTCCATGCCCAATAATCGACATTTTCTACTTCCAACTTATCACCCACTACTTCGGTAATTACATCTTTGGCATACTTCATATCTTCATCATCTTTAATAAATTGTTGTAAGACTTCCAAATCAAATGCTTCTTTGAAATCATAAGGATACTCTTCATATACGGGTATAGGTCCAATCTCGGAAGGTTGGAATTTGAGCTCAACGTTGGAGTAATCTTCTTCATCTTTGACTTCAGCCTTAACTTCTTCTTCCTCCATTTCTTCATCTTGAACTTCTTCTAGTTTATGTTCTTCTTCTTGTTGTTCTTCTACTGCCACCTCTTCCTCTTCTTCTTCTTCTTCTTCTTCTTCTTCTTCTTCCTCTTCTTCTTCTTCAGAGGAAGATTCATAGAATGGTAATGTAGCAGTCTTGGCTTTCTTCTTTGCTTCCTCTTCAATGATATCAGTCTTACCAATATCTCGTTTCAATGGCCTGGAGACAGGAGTTAATGGTCTACTTGAATCATCTTCATCTTCTTCTGAATCATGATCAAAGTTAAGAGCATGTTGCATAGGGATTAAGTTAAGTTTCTTATGAGGCTTTATATGTTTTAATGATGGTTTATCATTGTTCTTCCTCTTGAAAGACGGTAACATTTGTTGTTCTATTTTCTTCTTAGATAAGATATTAAGGGCATCCTGTTTAAGTTGAGTATTCAAATTCACTGGCTCTTGAATTGGTTTAGCTTGAGATTCTTTAGATTTTAATTCTTCAACTAATTTAGGATATTTATCATGACTAAGTAAATCTAAAATAGCAGGAGCAATAATTCTTTCTCGAATATCTTTTGATAAAAATGTTTGAAATTCTCTTACTAACATATTAGTAGCTTCTTCAATTACATCATTCTTCTTAGTTACTGAATTTTCAAAGAAATCTTCATCATCTGATTCTCCATTTTTAATTCCATCATATCCTTCCGGTACGGCAAGTTCCATATATAAATTATATTCAAAATATTTTCTTGCATCTTCATTAATAAAACATCTTTCACATTCTTTAATGGTATTAAATACAATATAAAATCCAGTTCTATCGGAAAGAACTCTTGTCCAATCATATTTCCTTAAGGCTCGTTTAATATCCAGTGACGACACTTTCTTAGTAGGAACATACTTATCATGAATAATTATATATGGTCTATCTTTAACATATTTCTTAAGTTCCTTTGGAAGAAAGATTCCGTCTATGACTTTACTATGATGACGAACTGAGAGAGTAGTCGAGTTTGGTCTATACTTTGAATGCGCTTTTGGTGTTGAATCGTGTACTGAACCAGTAGAAGTAGAAGCAGCAATGGCTGCTGCTGAAGAAGATGATGAGGATGTCGTAGATGCTGTTGCTCCTGCTGCTCCTGCTGCTGCTCCTGTTACTACAGCTGCTGCTGCGGCGGCGGCTGCTTTGCTTTCCTGCTCTTTTCTTCTCATCTCCTGTTTCTTGAGTAACTCCTGTTGTTCAGCTTGACGTTTCAATCGTTCCTTTTCTTCTCGATCTCTCTTAATCTTTAGTGTCTTTAGCTTAGCACTAGCCAGATCAATTCGTCTTTTAAGAAGCACATCATCATGATCATTCAATCCGACTCTCAAGTTCTCTCCATCGATCTTAATATGATCAGTTTGAACTAATTTAATTAATCTTTTAGCTAATTTCATGGATTTTTCAGGATTACCCTGAAATTTAAAAGTAGCAACTCCTAATGGTACAGCAAAATCAGGATCATTAATGAATTTAACTTCTTTAATAGGGTCTCCAAAACTCTTTATAAAGTTGGAAAAGTAAATTTCACTAATAGACGATGGAAGATCCCATACCACCACTTCAGTTTGAGGGGCTGGACCTAAAGAATCTCCATCAAATAGAAATTTAGGTTGAGGTAATTGTTTGAAAGGGAATTTCTTGGATTTCTTATTGGGTTTCTGGAAATATTGAGCGACATTTGATAATCGAGGATCCACTAATTCACTTGAACTAAGTGATTCTCCATTAAATCTGGTCCTTTTAGTTCGAGATTTTCGTTCTTCTTTAGTTAATGATTTATCAAACTCTGGATCATACACAACTTTATAATTCCGTTTGGAATCTATTCCACTATAAAACTTGATGGTACTGGTAAATTCACGATGATGTTTGAGTTTAGTGAATTCCGAGTCCTTAGGGTTCTTCCCCGTAGTTGGGTCAGAACCCTTACGCGTCGATCCTGATGATGGTCCATTCCCATAGGGACTGGCTGTCATACTAGAACTGGAAGTAGGTCTTGGAGTATTGATACCAGAACTCAGACCTCTAGTTGATGTGGTGGTGGTGGTGGTGGTAGTAGAGGAAGTGGATGATGATTCATTAACATTCGACGGTACATACCGATTATCTGATGACTGGTAATGAACACCTCGACTGCCGGAATAATAATATGATGAACCACTGTGTCCATAATCAGAACCTGATCCAGATCCAGATCCATTCCCCAGTGATGGTCCTTGTCGATTATATCCACTCCCACTACCACTACCACTACCACTACCACTACCATTACTACCTCCACGTTTGTAACTATCTCTGTATCCATTGCTATAGCCTCTATAGCCATAGTTCCTATTGTATGACATAATCAACAAAAGGGGCCCTTCTAAAGTACTACAAACCTGTGGCGTCCTTCTGTCACGTTACTGCGATCACTCACACCTCCTGTCTATTCCAATAACACCTCTGTAAACTGAATAGTGCTGGAGATGGTGGATTAGTTTATGCTTGTGGGATTTGATTAAGGATAAATTTTAAGTCTCACACGCACAAAATGTGTGAGGTTTTTCAGAGAGAGAGAGAGAGACTGTGTGCGCTACCGTATGAATATAATTAAGCATAATTAAGCACAAGTTAAATAGTATAACTATTGCAATTACTACAACTACTGAATTACTACAACTACTGAATTACTACAACTACTAAAATGAAAACTCATTCATCGTTATTAAATTATTTACTTGAGAATTAAATTTTACACAGACTAACTCAGACAAAGATAGTCCAGTATCAATGTGAAGAACTATATATTAAGAACAAAAGGCTATGATTCCCCAGGATACCATCTCAAACATCATTCTTATCTTCGACGTTTTGAACAAAAGTCTTAATGTTATCTTCACCAAACTTTTCCATTAACTTACCAGCATCGAAAACATCAACTTCAGTCGATACAAACTTTCTTGCGGCAACACGATCTTCGAATAATAAGTCCAATTCGGCAAATGTTCTATCTTTGGTTTCAGGTAATTCAAACCAACACCAAATAGCAGCTGTAATGGAGAATCCGGCCCAGAAAAATCCTGTTTTGGCTCTCCAGTTCCATTCAGTTGGGTTTAACATATATGGAGTAATGATACCGACAACAATGTTGGAAATATTATACAAGTTTCTTGAAAGCATGACAGTTTTGGTTCTTAATTTTGCTGATGGAATTTCGGCAACAATAGCATAACAAATTGGTCCTACAGTTAAATCATAAATAAATGTATAAATCAATAATAATGATCCAATACCCCATTTAGCACTCTTAGATGATGAAATACCTAAACCACCAACAATAAGTAAGATAATACTTTGGAAAACTAATCCAGTGAAATACATTTGGAATCTACCAACTCTTCTAGAAAGGAACCAAGATCCAACAGTTCCAACAATACCAAAAATATATTGAATAATTGAGAAAGTAAAAGCCATAGAAGTAGCTAAACCAGCTTGTTCATAGAAATAAGTTGAGTATCCCATTAATGTAGAACCAGTACAAGATTGGAACATCCAAGTTAAGGCAGCAATTCTAGTTCTTCTAAAGTTAATCCCTCTAAAACAATCAGTGAAAGTAGCACCAGTATTTACTGCTTCTTCTTCCTTAACAGTCATTTGAATCTTTCTTAACATAGCAGTTGCTAAAACTTCCTTATCTGGTAAATGCTTATTTTCAGTTAATAATCTCTTTAAAGAATGCTTAGCTTCAGCATCTCTACCCTTTTTAACTAAATACCAAGGAGATTCTGGGGCAAGGAAAACACCAGTCATAATAGGAATTGGCCAAATCCATTGAATGGCAAATGGAATTCTATAAGAACTTGGACTATTCAGAGTACTGATAACAGCTTTAAGAACACCAGAAGATAATAATTGACCAAACACCCAACAAATATTAACATAACTTGTAAGATAAACACGTAAAGTCGTAGGTGCAACTTCAGAAGCATAAGTAACAGTAATAGTTTGAACAGAACCCCACATGATACCAATAAGAATATAAGCAGTTAATAAGACTTCCTTATTTGGCGCAAAGAATTGAATGAAGATAAAGGCAATAGAAGAACCCAAAGAACACATCATGGTTTTTCTATAACCAATAATATCAGTAACATAACCAGCAATAGCAAGACCAATAACACATCCAGAACTATAACCCATATTAAGTCCAGTTTGCCATCTAGCAGGAACTTGATATTCTCCAAGTTCTGGGTAATAATTACCAAACTTTCTATTGAAAGCTGGGAAAGCAAAGAAAGAGTTTAATAAATTCATATCGTAACCTTCCATAATCAAAGCAGTAGAAAGAATGACCGACCACATAACAGCTTTTGGAAAGGTTCTGAACCCTTCTCTAAGACTCATATTCTTTTCCTTATGATCATTAGATTTAGCTTCATTAGAAATATCTAAGAATTTAGATACATAATCTTCAACAGCAAGCGAATTAATCAGCGAAGAATCTGAACCTTTTTCATGTAAAGGTTCTTCAATAACCTGTTCAGGATTCTTAATATCCTCAACAAAGAGTGAAGGCATTTTCGATTTCAAATAACAATTAGATCTTAAATAAGATTAACAAAAGATAGATAAGTACAAAACAAAAGGTATAGTATTTATTGTCCTTAGATAAATAAATAAATATATTAACAAGATTAGATATACAGGTGTAAACAAAGAGGGAAATCAACCAGATTTATATATTTAGATACACCACTTTAAACAACCAAAGGAATTATCAACAAAGGTTACTAGCCCTACTATGATATCCGCATACAGTAAATGAGGAGGTAATCAAGAATGAATAAGATTAAAACAAATAAAAATCAAAAATTAAAATAATTAATTAAATAATTTAAAAAATATTAAAAAAACAAAAAAGAAACTTTATCATTTCATCTTGATAGTTTATTTAACTCGGTAGTCATAATTCTGTCAATTATCATATATCCAGAAAGCATACCAGGGCATATTTTTATCAAGTCCAATGGCTATAAGTGTTGAAAAATTTTTGAATTTCTTTTACGCATTGACCCCGCGTTTTTCGTAAAAAAATATAGACAAGATCCAACAATCTCCAACAAAGGAACACTAACTAAATGATCGCCAAGTAGAGCATTCTCCACTATTCAATGTGGGACATGCATACACATGTATGAAAGTTATTAGCTGGACAAAATTGTAAAATGGAGGTGGTTCGGAGAGTAAGGGAAATCGCAAAGATAAACTAACCAACTGGAGCATGAAGGTTTGTGTCCGACTCCCCTCCGTTAGAGTTAAGCCGCAAAAATATATTAACAATAACAGGCAGGAAAAAAGAAATCATGCAAATTGAGAATTATTGCGAGTTTGCGCCGTATCCAGGTACTTGTTACATGAAGGAAACTAGGGCAAAACCGAAATAAGGTTAAATTAAGCTGTGGGTGGTCAGTTCGGGAAATTATATCCTCACTTCAGGAAATTAAGCTGTAATACTTGAAAAGAAAATACACAATCCAGGTGAATGTTTGAGTTCGGTGAATCAGTAAGGCAATTTTCCTATTTTGCGCGCTAAGAGCAGCCTCGTTTGCAAGCCTTGCTAGCTGTAGTCAAGTGAAACTAGCATATCTAATTCTTGACAGTGTTGGTGGTTAGACATTTCGAAATTCCATACATGTTTTCAAGAATACGTACGAGCTTTACAAATGGATGAGTGGAGACATTCCGCATATCATTTAATGAGGTTAATATTGACAGCATTAGATGAGAAGAAAGCCATATTTCCTTACGGTAAATAGAGTTTGAATTATTATTTTTATGACCTGGTGAGTGGGGTAAGTCAAAAATCAAGTTCGAGAATTTTTTTGGGCCCACTAGTTAGGTAACAGAGATGCGTCCCATTTGGTTTGAGATATTGACCACGATTTACATCAACTATCTTTTCTCAGATGAGATCATGCAACCAACTTCAAAAGGGCTTTTCCTGCTACTTACTCCTCTTTTAATCTTTCACCACTAACTGTAATAAATCTAAGCAATAAAGCAACCCCCCAGTCCAATCAGCTTGTTGACGACGCAAGTTTATTTTTTAAAGGCAGATTTTCCATGGTTAAGTGGATGTCCCCCTTTTAAGCTTCTAAAAAATTATATTTTGTTAGTATGTGGGTTCTTCGACATGACCCAGAAATGTTTTTGAGTTCAGTTTTCTTGAATTTTTCCGAGTCTTAACGCAAAATTTTTAATAATTGAATTATTGCGAAATTCCGAAGTATGGAGAAAACCTTATTGCGAAAAAATTTACGTTGCGAGGGTAAATCTTTGCGAGCGACTGAATTATTGCGAGTGGCACTTTTTACCTATGGGCTTATCCCCAGACTTCAAATCCAATGTACTCCACAAATTCTATTATTGAACTTATTTCGATGTGTTATTACGTAGACTATTATTATTAGTTCTATTGTCTTTCGTGCATCGAATTAGCCTTAGCTTAGTGGGGTCGAGCTATCGCTTCGGACATGACCTCCACTAAAAATAAATATCTTGGAAATTGGAATATCCAAATATCAAACTTTCCATTCACTTACAAACCGATGCACCGATATATTATGTCGGATGTTCCCCCAACTTGGAGGATTCGGAACTACCTTAACTTCGTTGGTTAGTGAAAAATTGGTCTCTGTTCATATCATATTTTATTCATTACTATCCGAAATATTTCCCGATATAAATTAACTTCAAGATCCTTAGTTTGCCTAATTTCTGATTTTTTTTTCCTATTCTTCAACAAACAAACAGTATTTAGTCTTATTAAATATGACGATCGCTTACACTTGGTGGAAAGATGCCACTATTTATCAAATTTGGCCTGCTTCTTATAAAGATTCCAATGGTGATGGTATTGGGGATATTAAAGGTATTATCTCAACCTTAGATTATCTTAAAGATTTAGGTGTAGATATTATCTGGTTAAGTCCTATGTATGACTCTCCACAAGATGATATGGGATACGATATTAGTGATTATGAATCCGTTTATCCAAAATATGGTACTTTAGATGATATGCAAACATTAATTGATGGTTTACATTCTAGAGGTATGAGACTTGTTTTAGATTTGGTCATTAACCACACTTCCAGTGAACATAAATGGTTTAAAGAATCAAGATCATCAAAGACAAATCCAAAGAGAGATTGGTACATTTGGAAAGCTCCAAAATATGATGCTGATGGAAAGAGACAACCACCAAATAATTGGGGTTCACATTTCTCTGGTTCCGCCTGGGAGTATGATGAAACTACTGACGAATATTACCTTAGACTTTTTGCACCAACTCAACCAGACTTGAATTGGGAAAATCCAAAAGTTAGAGATGCTCTTTATGATTCAGCATTAAAATTCTGGTTCGAAAGAGGTGTTGATGGTTTTAGAATTGATACTGCCGGTTTGTATTCAAAAGACCAAAAATTCCAAGATGTTCCAATTATCTTTCCTGATAAGACTTATCAACCATCTGATTTATATACTCAAAATGGTCCAAGAATCCATGAGTTCCATAAAGAAATGTATTCTAAAGTCACTTCTAATTATGATGTTATGACCGTTGGTGAAGTTGGACATTGTAGTAGAGAAGCTGCTTTAAAATATGTTAGCGCCAAAGAAGGTGAAATGAATATGATCTTCTTATTTAATGTTGTTGAAGTCGGTTCAGTCAGAGGTGATAGATTTAAATACAATGGTTATAACTTAATTGATTTTAAGAAAGCGGTTGAAGATCAAGGAGCTTTTATTGAAGGAACAGATGCTTGGTCTACTGTCTTCATTGAAAATCATGATCAACCAAGATCAGTCACCAGATTCGGTAATGGAAAACATCATAATACTTCCGCAAAATTATTATCATTATTGCAAACCACTCTTACTGGTACTTTATTCATATATCAAGGTCAAGAAATTGCCATGACTAACCTTCCAAGATCTTGGTCTATTGATGAATATAAGGATATCAATACTGTTAATTATTACAAGTATTTCAAAGAAGCTTATGGTAAAGACAAAGACTTTGCTGAAAAGGAAAAGGCTCTCATGGATGTCATTGATCTTGTTGCTAGAGATCATGCAAGATCTCCAGTTCAATGGGATAGTTCTGCTTATGGTGGATTCTCTACTGCTGAACCATGGACTAGAGTTAATGACAACTATAAAGAAATCAATGTTGCTTCCCAAATCGATGATCCAAATTCAGTCTTAAACTTCTGGAGAAAATCCTTGAAAGTCAGAAAGCAATTCAAAGATTTATTAATATACGGATCATTTAAAGTATTGGATTATGAAAATGAAAAAGTATTCACTTACTTAAAATACCAATCTGATCCAGAATCTTCATCTCCAAAGGCTTATGTTGTATTGAACTTCTCTACTGATTCGGTTAAATTTGACAAATTGGTCGATGGTAAGTTTGAATTAGTTCATTCTAACGTCTCAGACGTTGTTGAAGATACCTTGACTCCTTATGAAGGTCGTGTTTACATAGTTTCTTAAATAATCTGTATAGACTTAGAATTATAATAAATGAGTGTTTTGAAAAATATAAATTTTATATCGCGAGTATTAATTTTGTATATGTCTTACTTTTCTTCAAAAGTATCATGAACTGAAAGTTAATCAGATGTCAGATTCTCACAATGGTACCAGTGCGAGTGACGCAGCCAGCGATGGTGAGCCCGAAAGAAAGACTCTCCAACAGCAGTTGAAAGAAAATAGAGGTATGTAATAAACGATGAGCGCACTACTGATGTCACCGAATACTAACTTAATAACCTATAGAAAGAAAGCATAGGGAATACAAGCAAGTTATGGAACTGCAAAACTCGTCTTACAAGTTAGACGAACGTTCGGCGAGATTCTATGAAACATTGCGAGAAAAGGAGCTAAGGGAAGAATTAGACCAAAAAATCGAGGAGACTAACGAACTCGATAAATTCCGTAGATTGAAAAGAGCTGTAAATACGTCCAGTGCCAAAGTGGAGAAACCAGTTCTGTCAAAAGTTTCCATTTCTATTTCAAGAGGAGTTGTAAATACGAAGATTGGGAAATTACCAAAATCTAAGCCCTTTAGTACAAGTACAAGTACAAGTACAAGCACGAATTCAAATTCTCAAAATAATTCAAGTAATAATTCTCCAGGTAACAGTTCGCCCGAGAATAAGCCTCAAGGTTCGCTTCTGGAATTGAGACTGAAACGGCAAGATACCCCACTAGATCTCGTTAGTGGGTATTCTTCCGATGACGGGGAAGAGGGGGGATAGATGAACCAAGGCTGATGCTACACATTAACTATGAGAATGTCATAAAATATCATACAATCTAATCTAAACACTATGTAACAGAGCAAATTAATCTAAATCTTCATAGAGGCAGCAATATCCTTTAAATCACTTACATATCTATCTTCAATGGTATCACCTTTGCCACCAGCCACTTTAAGAACAAGTTCATTTAATTCAGCACTACCAAGAATATCAACATGATCAGCTGTTTTAGCTCCACCTCTAATATCAAATCTATCGGGTTCATGTTTAATTTCAACAATAGTAACTGGTGAACCAGCAGGATTAAATCTTGAAGCTGAACCTTTCTTCCATTCATGACACATAGTGTGAGTAAGTAAACTGACAGTACCATCTCCATCACCTAAGAAAACTGGCATTTCCAGTTCTGAATCTATAGTCATTTGTAAACGAGTAGAATTTTCAGCTTGTACATAATTGTAGGCTCTTTCTGTAGGTTTCCCTACTCCATAGAAACAATATATTTTCATATCAGGAGCAAAAGGAAGTGGTGCTTCCAAAGGATTGGACCATTTCAGATGATGTTTTTTATTCTCTTGTAATTCTTCTTGAGTATAAGCAATTCCATATGAATATTGTTCTTTTACTCTATTGGAATACCAAGCAGGAGACTGTTCTAATAAATTATCAATACTTTGTTGGATGGTGAAATTTCTTCTGGATGAATTATCAAGAGATTTATATCTTATAAATGCTCCAAAACTATCTTTCTTGGTACCTTCTATTTCAAATGATGGATCTTTTTCATGTAAAGAATTCGTTGGATCGTCTGGAGCATGAGTTAAATTCCCCCAAATTATATCTCCACCCTTAGGTAACATACTTGCGACTCCACCAAATGTTCTTAACATATCGACTCTTTCACGTCTACTGAAAAATTGCTCTAGTCCATAAACAGCCAAAGCATTCAATTGAACTGTATCTTTCATTTCTCCAGATATTAAAGCTGGTATAGTTTTAGGAGTCCCCAATGATGATCCACTAATATCCACAAATGCTTCAATATGATCATTAACCCATGTGGGACCACCATTTCCATAATTTTCACCTTCAGCTTCAACCCACTGCATAAAGTAATAAATAACTTGAGTACCCATGGAATGACCCACTAAGATGGACTTTTGACCATTTAATGCTTCAGCAATTTCAATTTGAGATTTCAATTTCGAGAAATATCCATCCCGTTTTTCTAAATCCAAATAGGCTAATCTCCAATCATAAGATGCACTTATCATATTATTGGGACCATATCCAATAACAGCCAAATTTTGTAAGATTTTATTCCAAATCCAATATCCAGCTAAGAAGAAATCGGCTGCTTCAAATCCTTGGGCTGCTCTTAGCTTTATATTGGGAGGATCTAATCCAGTATCTGGATCTAGCATAATATGTCTTAGCCAACAAGTTTTATCAAGTATCATAGTTCTTAACATATAAAAGGAACCCCAGAGTCTTTTCCGGAAATGATTTACAGAGGGACAATCACCATCTGATGATACGCCCCATGATTCTATACCGGTTGAAATGACACCCGGAACAAGTACAACATTATGTTTATTAGATAAATTCTCAGTTGCTGCCAATCTCTTCCCCACTGAGAAAGATTCGGCAGATCCATGTAAATGTTCATCATTTTGTTGCAATTGTGCTTGACTCAACATGGATTGGAAACTCACAGGTAATATATCTTTCCAATCTTTCCAATCTTCAAATATGGCAGGATAATCCATATTTACCAATTTGTCCAACTCACCAATGAGATGAGGATTCCTCCATGTAGAAAAGATAATGGTTAACAATAATCCAAGTACGATACCTAATACAAAGAATACTCTTCTTGTTTCAAGTAATTTCCGTTTCAATCTTTTGGATTCTCCAGTAATACTAATACTACCAACACTAGAATCACCAGCTCCAGAACTTCGTGAAGTTATAGGAGTTAAACCTTTACCATCCGAATATAAAATATGATGTGAATGAATATGATGACCTTCTCGAATATCTCTTACTTCATCATCTCTATCGTCTTCTGTATCATCTTCAACTAATCCACGATGAACTCCCGTAGCCATTGAGTCAGAAGACGGTTCCTCATCACCGTCTTTTCTTCTCTTCAATGTACTCATGTGACTTGTAAGCTATGACGATTTCCTTGTGGTTGATTCCTAAACTTTTCAAAACAAATAAAGTTGCTTGATCGGATGAAACGAAAATATCAAGTTGCGCATATGAAAATAAATGCGCGCGCAAGTCGGAGTTTCGGCTTTTACATATAAAATATAATTAACACTCTAATCTATAAAGGCTATGTAATAAATAAGACTAAGACTAATAATAATAAGGATATAGTAACTTAGGAGAACTAAATAAGAAGTAAATAGAGGATGAGGTATAGAAAGGTTTGAATTGGTTGACTCTTCTTTAGTAAGCTGGACTGTCTAGCAGTTTAACCGCTTTGATGCTTGTATTGAATCTTATCTATAATGCATCACCTGTAAAGTCGTATTCAATACCAGGAATGACACTGGACATGAACTTTAAGAATGTAATCAAATATTGATCTACTCGAATACCTGTTTCTTCCTCATCCGTATTACTAGAAGGATCGGAATCGAGATCTAATTGTTTTAACTTATCGGCCAACTCGGCTTCCTTCTTTTCCTTGTTGGATTTTGAATGCTTCATGAATACTTTCATAACAGATGCATGACGACATGGATGAATCATGACAGATGTTGTATTATAAGCTACTGGCAAATTCTCAATAGTGGCTGTTTTATCCTTATAATCACCACTTATATCTTCCATCATTTGTTTGGGAGTAAGGGGGATCCCATTTGAGTTATACCCTACTAAGTATAATTTAGGAACACGATAAGATGTTGAATAAGTAATGTAGATATCATATCTTCTTAAGGTTTGCTTAGAGTCTGAGATATATTCAAGGTCATCAAAGTCATCATCCTCGATATTATCAAAATCTGCATTGTCTTCATCATCATTCTCTAAGAAATCATCTATATCATCAATAGAATTAGATTTGGTTAATGGTCCAGTGGCAGAATTAGCAACATCTTCTTCTTTGGTATCATTTGTCTTCTTCTTAATAACACTTCTGGTCTTGGTCCAGCCATCATTACTATCATCGTCTTCATCATTTATCTCTTCTTCCTCTTCAAAGTCTAAATTAATATCTTCCAGTCCATTACTTAAATATTCATTGGCTCTAACATGGCTCGGTACATGTTTAGTCATCAAAAATTGCTTATCTGATGGCAAAAATCCTTTCTTTAAATTCTCTGGACATGGCCCCCAATACCAAGTTGGGAATCTAGAGATTAGGTAATCACACGCTAGTACGAATTCAGAGGGGCTAATTTCTCCAGTACTAGAGAAATTAGAAGTATTATTAATGGGAGTGATGTAGTCTCTTAAGCTTGACAATCTTGATCTTAACAGCAGCATTTTGGTATGAATTACTAAGGATTTATATCATGTTCTAAGGTGGAATTATAGGGATTTTAAACTTGCTTTAGACCGAGTGGTCGTGCGCTGGCCTAAGTCTGGGCTACCAAATGGTAGTTAGTTAATTAATTAACTTGTTACATACAACGTGCTAGTTACTGGTTATTTGTTACTGGTTATCCTATTGTTGTGGTTAGTAAAGACTTGTGTAATGCTTGAGTAGGTTATGACATTGTGTGTTTCAATTTTTATATTTGATGGGTTTTAATTATAGAGTTTCTTTGTTATTTCGACAATATTTTACATAATTCTTCTAAACATTTTTGAAACATTTGTAAATCATAAAGGAGAATCAAAGCCCCATATTGTAGATAACGTAAAACGCTTAAAGATATGTTTACAGAGAGTCTATTTAGTTTTACAAGATACTCAAACTCATGGTGTAACAGTCTAAGTGATGTGCTAGGTTAATAAGCTTAAGGATAAGGAGCTAAAGACAATTGCTTGTAGGACCAGAATATGAAAGGCTTTGGTATTTAAGAAAGGAGTGTCTTACTGCAGAGAATGTACCTAGATTAAGTTAACTGACGTAACCGATTAGATTAGATCACCGATTCTGTTTCTGATATTATGAGTAAACACGTAAAGTAAGAATGTATCAAAATTTAGTTAGTGCGTAAGGCTATATGACAGACACCTCGTATAAAACTGCTTAACTAAAAGTCAAAGCGCGTATCGTGGGGATTGAGACTTAGTTGATGAACTCTCAGCTCAGTAACTTCCCAAAACAAATTGGGAAGTTTGCAGCATGCCAATATTAAAGGAAAACATAAACAAAGGTACAAAACAATGTCGTGAGCGTAGGCGAACTTTTTATAGTTTAGTAAAGTCGGACACGCTCGGTTAAGAATGAACTAATTTGGTAATACCAAAATATCTTCTATTTTATTAAAGTATAAATTCCAGTGTCTAAGATTGGCCCAGCCCAGTGACTATCAATTTGGCCGAGTACCTATTAATTTGGCCAGGATTTGGTGTTGGGTTGTTTATTTACATTTGTGAATATTTTGAATGTTTTGTTTACGTCCCCGACTGTGCTCAAAATTGAGAGTATTTTGTGTTCATGACTCGCTATTTTTAGAGGAGGGAACAAGTCTTGACCTTAGTGGTGCCTTAGGATCGAACCCTGTTACTGAATAAAAAATACAATACTTTACGTGGCACTAGCTGATTCTTTAATGACTATCCCCACTATGCTGTAAGAGTAGAGAACTTACCATTAGACCCCTTTCACTGGTAATTGAACATTGTAGCAACATATAGTGAATTATCTATATGATTAAATTTATTGGAATGTATTTACTTTTACTCTTATTAACCAATCTAACTCATCAGTAAGTTATCTAAATATACAATCTACTTTATATGTCTAATGTTTACTCCACTATCTATACCACTCAGTCTACTATATGTCAATTCGGCGCTCGCTAACACCTCTTTTCTTTACTGCCGCTACGCTTTTTACTCACTCGACTGTTTTTATTTTATCGCACGCTAAATTTATTTTCTTATTTTGCGTTCCTCTTTTGTTATTGTTTTGATTACTGCTTTGGGACATGGCCATAAGTATATTATATGTAAATATTCACATTTATATAGATGTGATTTTTCATACTGTTTCTGTTTATATCACTTCCACCATCCAATCCAATCCCAAACTAACCACAACCCACCATCATCCCATCCTTTACCAAGTGGTGTGTCTGTTTACCCGGTGTGATCATCAACTGAATCAATCCATTCCTTTCATTAAGTAGTTCTAACTGTTAGTCATTCATTTAAATAATTTACAACAGTATCAATATTCCAGACGCGACTCGATCCAATAATCAATTATGTCTATAACTTCAAATCGGTTGGCTCTAGAACCAATTAAGGGTTCTATCTTAAATTCCAACTCTAATTCATCAACCCCTCTTAAGAAGAAGAAGGTATCTCCTAAATCAAGAATTAGATTGGTAACTGTATCTCCTTCATTAGCTTTAACTCCGTTGGCTAATAAGAGAAGTCATACAACTTTAGAATCACCTTCAATTGCATCTAAATCATTTTCATTCTCATCTAACAATGCTAATTTTAACTCAAGACGGTTCGCTACTAAAATGGCAAGCTTTTCAGATTTTAGATCAACATCTTTATCTTTAAAATCTCCCACCTCTTTAGATTCAAATTTATCTGATCCAATTACTTCAAGTTCATCCGTATCTGTATCAACTTTTAAAAATGATACTGCTGGATTAGCTGCTACTAAATTAAAATTAAAATTACAACTAGCATTATACAGACTTCAACAACGTGACGATATAGCTTATCTTCAACCCAAGAAGAAACAAAATACCAGAAAACACGTCTCAACCAATTCATCAAGTTCATCTAAATCATCAATTTCGGAATTCTCAACCAATTCATCAACATCAACAAAGCCTTTATCTCTGCTGTTTGTTAAAATGGAGTCTTTTAATAGTCCTTCTCCAACTCCTGTATCAAGACAATCAAGCTATTTACCAACTCCCCCTGATACATATAGCAATATCAACCATCCTCATGCATCTATTAATGTCAACTTAAACAAAATCGCATCATCTTTTTCTTCATCCGCTGTTTCACTTTCAAAAATTGCATCTGATTCTTCTTCTTCTTCATCTAGTATTACATCAACAACTGAATTTTCTTCTTCAACTTCCAAAAGTAAAAATTTGTCGTTATCAAATATTGCTTATAAAAAACAGTTTAATTCACATAATAAAAAGATTCAAAAGTTGAAGTTATTTCAAATTAAAAAGAATTCAATCTTTTATACCGAGAATGTCGATAACAATAAGAATAACTCAAGTACTTCTAATATCATCTTGAATAAGAACGTAACCAAATCCAACTTTCCAAAATTAACACGTTCTGATGATGTACCACATCCGACTCGTCAACCATCAATTGATCCGGCTGCTTCATTTCTTACTTCGTTTAATCAAAATTCTTTTATTCTCCCATTAGCAGCAGCTGCTGCCGCTGCTGCTTCAGCTAATTCATCGACATCCACAACTTCGGCATCTGAAACAAAATCATCTTCATCACTTTCCTCCACAACTAATAAAATCACAGTACCTTCAATTCAGATCACTAACTTTGATGCTTCTTCGCATACTACCAATATTAATGGTGGAACAACGTTACCTTCAATTTCAAAAATCTTGAAGACTCCATTAAGAAGAGCTTCTGCACGTTATCCATATCCACCAATCAATTCAAGCTCCAACAATTCCAATTCCAATTCCAATTCCAACTCAAATTCTAATTTCCATAATGATGATACGACAATAGATGAAGATAACGAAACAATACTCAATATTACAAGTAACAATACGACTCTCATGGCTAATCAATCCACAATTAACTCGAATTCGAAACAACTTGATGAGAATTCAACTTCAAACACAACATCTACATTGTTACCAAATGATGACAAAGCAGATTCTAACTCATCCTCAAACAACAAAATACTCACGTCATCTCCAATTCACAATAATTTCGCAACTCCAAATAGTTTCTCAGTAGCTAAATCTTTGTTACAATTAGGAGGTTATGTCTGAACTATTTTTTTCCCTCACCCCTTGCATTATTATCTTTGTTTAATTTAATTTATTTTAATTTAATTTGATCTAATCTGATTTCTTTCCTAATATCTCCCTCCCTTTTGTTTGCTTATAAAATTTCCGTCTCCATATATAAAAATCACACCAAATTCAAACGCAACATTAAAATTATTTTTACGTTAGTTTGTCTTTTAATTAATTAGAACTTGTACTAATATATACACAAATAAATAAATAAATAAATTATATATTATGTATTATATCTTATGTATTATATAAGCGTTCTTGTTGTATTTTCTAAAATTACTATGGTCTATATATATGTATGGTGAAAGTAAAAGTAATTAAATTTTACCATTAAGTAAATTCTTAATCATATCCTTTCCAGTAAAATAAACAGTTCTACCAAAAGTTTGGAAATCTAAGGTAGAAGTTAAAGTATCTAAGAATCCAAATGGTAACATAGCAGGGATCCAACCTTGAGCTAATTCTAATGCAAATGATCCTGATGGCATAGCATATTGTTTATAATTTCCTTTTGGTAAATGATGAATATCTCCAGGTAAGTAAACTTCTGGTTCAAGAGCTCCAGCATAAGCAGCAGTTTGTTGACCAGCTAAAATAGTAAAATAATCATCAGCAAAATGAACTCCAGTGTGTCCTTCAGTTCCAACAGCAGTTCCAAAGAAAATGAGGTATTCAGAAATTGAAGCATGAAGGATAAACATTGTACCCATAGCACCTCCAGCATTATTATATACCCAATCTTCAAAATTAAGTTCATTAACAAATGGATATACTTGTTTGATCTTTGGAGCAAGTTCAATCAAAATGGCAGTTGAATTTCCATCTGGATGATTGGCAATGACTTCACGAGAAAGTTCTGCAAGTACATCCTTGTCAAAGATATAGTTAGTAGGTAACCAATGATAGAATAAGAAGTCAAACACAACGAAAATGGCTACTGGGATGATAGCTAAGCTCAAAAGTCTCATGGTGAATAAATATAGTTAAACGAATGTATGACTTCAGTGCGTCTGGTGAGATCTAACGAAGGGGAAGGGGAAGGGGAAGGGGAAGGAGAAGCGCAAGAGTCGAACCAAAGATGATTTTTCACTATTTATGTTTTGCATTTTTTGATTGAGTTGGTTATACGATCGTTCCTAAAGGGTAGCGCGCTCAGATCAGTGCGAAAATTTTTTGTTTGCAACTAACTTTTTATTGCTATATTAATTACTAATTACTATACAGTATACAGATACTAACAGTTGATAATTAAGTGCATATTGTCACATTAATAGGCTATTTCGGTACCATCATAATTAAGAAACTTTCCGTTAACTTCACCATTTATACTATCAATAAGTTTTGCCACTTGTGAACCACTTTGTTCAGGAGTTAAGCTAATACTATCAAGACTCTCTGCTAATTGCGGAGATTGTTTCAAGATATTTTCACGACCATAAGCACCCATATCAGTTGAAACAACACCTGGAGAGATAGCAACAACATTGAAACCTTCTGGTTTTAATTCGTGACTTAATTCAATTACAGAGAAGTTGAGTGCTGCTTTAGATTGACCATATGCACTGATTGGAGTAGGAATGTATTGTGTAAGCGAACCAATACCAGAAGAAATGAAAGCAATTTTTCTGGTTTGTTTCTTCAATAAGTACTTGTGTAACTTTTGCAATACTAAAATAGGAGCTAAGGAGTTAACAGTGTAGTGATTTAACCAAACATCCTTTGGACAGTCAAGAACCGTGTAGTACGAATCAGAAATAGCTGCGTTAGCAACATAAATATCAATACCATCTACTCCAATTTTAGTTAACTCCGAGTCAATAGCAGCAACAGACTCATCATTATCAATTGCAAGAGGAATAATTTCAATATTACCATTCTTAGCAGCCAATTCTTTTAATTCAGCAGCTTTGGAGGGATCACGAGCGGTTGCAACAATCTTGTTATCTTTACTAAGATTACTATAGTATTTCGTGATTTCGAAACCGATACCTCTATTGGCACCGGTAATAAAATATGTTTCTCCAGCCATTTTAAATTACTTGTGATTATTTTGGTTTATTAAAAGGCTATTACAGACAGAATAGAAAGAGAATATTACATTTATATACAATTCCATTAATCTGGAATTTTGACATTGAGTTGAGATATATTAATAATGTTCGCAACCAACTAATGTAATATTTGTGAATCACCAAAATTTGGACAATCGTAAGGGGAAAGGAGATAAAAAATTTGGTGAATCACCAAGTGGCGGGCAAATTTCCCTGAATTGCCCAGAAAAAAATCTTTACTCAATACACACGCAAAATCAAATATGCCCTGTAACAATTGATGAAAGTTTTTTAAGACATATTATTCTAAATAGAATAGTAGAACTTAGACTATATCTTTCAATTGCTCTTTTAGATTTAGAGAGCAAGGTTTCTTTTTAAGCTTTGTGTTTCAACTTTCATATATATTTACTACTATAAAGCATTCAGTATATATCGAAGTAGACGAAAGAGCGTAATAAGTTGCAAAAAGTCTCAAGCAGACAAATAATTTTAGTAGGGATATTCAGTACCATCATAACTAAAGAACTTACCATTATCTTCTGATTTCAAATTATCAATCAATTTTGCAACATTTGTACCACTTTGTTCGGGTGTTATAGTAATGCTATCAATAATATCTGCTATTTCTGGAGAAGCCTTCAATATCTTTTCACGACCATAAGTTCCCATACCAGTGGCAACCACACCAGGAGTGATAGCAACAACATTGAATCCTTCTGGTTTCAACTCATGGCTTAATTCAATTACGGAAAAATTAAGTGCTGCCTTAGATTGACCATATGCACTGATTGGAGTAGGAAGGAACCGTGTAAGCGAACCAATACCAGAAGAAATGAAAGCAATTTTTCTGGTTTGTTTCTTCAATAAGTACTTGTGTAACTTTTGCAATACTAAAATAGGAGCTAAGGAGTTAACAGTGTAGTGATTTAACCAAACATCCTTTGGACAGTCAAGAACCGTGTAGTACGAATCAGAAATAGCTGCGTTAGCAACATAAATATCAATACCATCTACTCCAATTTTAGTTAACTCCGAGTCAATAGCAGCAACAGACTCATCATTATCAATTGCAAGAGGAATAATTTCAATATTACCATTCTTAGCAGCCAATTCTTTTAATTCAGCGGCTTTGGAGGGATCACGAGCGGTTGCAACAATCTTGTTATCTTTACTAAGATTACTATAGTATTTCGTGATTTCGAAACCGATACCTCTATTGGCACCAGTAATAAAGTAAGTGTGCCCAGACATTTTTCCTGTTTTGATCGTTAAGCAGCATAATAATAATAGTCACTATGAAATTTAAGAGCGATTCTAATGCTTTTATATCTCAGCATAAGATGATAAATAAGGATTTAAGTTGTCGGAATTCGGTTACTTGATGGCTTTAAAGCTCGGCGATTACCCAATGAGGCATATCCGATTTACCGTATTCAAGTAACTTCGGTTTTAGATTATAAATAACTATTCCAATTCTAATACTCGGGAATAACTTATTATTATTCCATACTACTTAAACAAATTGCAAAACAGTATATACTTATCGTTTGTGGCGATTATTCGCAGATTTAATATTATACATTCAATTGACAAATTTCTCACGAAAAGGTTCTTGAAAAAAGTATAATACCGATGTTAAGAATATCGCATAAAATTCTAGCTAGAGGGCTTGCCATTAATTGACCAAAGGTGACAATTCTTGAACCACTGTAGTCAATTGCAGTTAAATAGAAGTACGATTTGAAGTTAACGTTCAATCATAAAAGGACAAGATTTTCTTGTAAACGTGTTCAGTCATACAAAAGTTCTCATGACGGCAAAGACTCTATTAGTTACAACAGGTGCTACTGTTACGTTTAAGGCTTTAGTAATCAACGTACTTAAGCAAGAATTTTTATCTGGAGCAGTTAAATTAGGATTTAAAACCGTCATAATACAATACGGTAATGAAATTAAAGATAATGTTCATGTAAGTGAAAAGTTTGTTGAGGAAACATTAACGAATCTGGACCTTTTTAATAGGTTGAACCTCAAGCCAATATCATCAAATTCAGACACGTTTCCAAAAGAGAAGCAATTGAAGATTTATTCCAATTCAGACTTTGAATTATTATTATTGCCCTTCTCTAATAATATTAACTATTACGTCAACAAGGCTGATCTTGTTATATCTCATGCAGGGACGGGTTCTATAATAGATGCATTACGATCAAGTAAGAAGTTACTTGTTGTTATTAATGATACGTTGATGGATAATCATCAAACGGAAGTTGCTGCCGAATTCTGCAGGCAGAATTATTGTGGCAGCTTAGGTTCCAAGGATATTACTGATTCTAGAATATTCTTAGACGCAATTCAACGTCAATTAGTCAATTCCAATACAGAGTTCGTCACTGATACTTCCAATATCATCCAATCGATAATATATGAAGAGTTGGTGTCGTTGTAAATAATTATATAGAATTAGTTATTTGCAATATATTAAATTATTGTGGTGCGCATAAAAGGGAAATTCTAAAGCCTTTAAGTGCCTAAATTCTTTACTAGTCTAGCGTAATCATTTAACAGCCAAATGACATCCGTTAGCCAAATATTATCATTAGACATTGGTCATGAAGATAAGATTCTCCAATTAGGAGAGTTGGATTTGACCAATATTGAAGAACATTTATCCGGTGCAGATGATTTATACAAAATCATATTATTACTCCTTAAGCTTGAATCAATTATACTGACCACACTTGATATTCCCCAAATTGAAAAGATATTAGGAACAATCCAATCCAATCCAACATTGAAGAGAATAACAAATACAGGATATTCTACTACGGATACAATTGCTTTATTTATCAGGATCAAATACAATGATCTATTGACTGACTATCAGTACCTTATAGATGATCCCAAATATCTGAAATTTATCGAATTAGTTAACAAAAAAGTACTAATAATAAATAATATACCCACAGCTAAAAGTACTGAATCAAAGTTATTTCCAAAATTAATTGAACTTATCCAATTAAAGATACTTCAGTTGTATCATATTTCAAGCTATGATTTAAAGAAACCATCTGTTTTAAAATATTTGACAGAAGATTTACAAGGAAAGTTGGACGGTCAATTAAGTCAAGTGGTGGAATTATATAAATTGGGAAAGATAATACCTCCATCTATATTCCATGAGATATTGACGCTCAATTATGGAAATAATTATAATAGAATTGTAACTACACACCTTGATCATCAAAAGCTATTAAAGAATCTGATTGAAAATAATATTGTTCTGTTAACCAAATACTATCAATCGATAAGGATAGAGAAAATGTATGAGATATTGAAGATACCTCGAGAAATTGATGTTGAAGAAATTATATTCAATATGATTATACATAATACTTTCCCCTCAGCAGTAAAGATTGATCAAATAGAGGGATTGGTTAGATTTCATGATCAGACAGATGAAAGTCAGATTGTCAATAATCATATTCAAGAGGTTTCTAAGATTATTAATGATATTTCTGTTCAATTACCTGTATAGATATAGGATATATAAAGCCAATAAAAACATAGCTATTTGAGAAAAATCACCTAATCATAAATTGAGTAGTTGGAGAAGAATTGTCTGTAAGTTTTAGTACTTCCAACCTCGGAGATTTGTTTAACTTCATCAGATGTTAATTCAAAGTTGAGGATATCTAAGTAGGATTTGATTCTTTCCTCCTTACTTGAAGTAGTAACTGGTAATACACCAGTTTCCAAAACCCATCTCAATAAAATTTGTGAATCAGTTTTGTTGTACTTTTTAGCTAAACTTTCCAATACTGAATCTAATGGACCACCTTTAGCCTTAGTAAGTGGACCCAATGGACCGTAAGCTTCAATTAAAATACCATTTTCCTTAGCAAACTTGACAATGTTTGGAGTTTGATTTTGTAAGTAGGCTGAGTACTCAATTTGATTGACAACTGGTTTGTGCTTTGGGTTAGATTTCAAAATAGTTTCAATGTTTTCGACAGTAAAGTTAGAGACACCAGCGCTCTTAACTAAACCTTCGTCAACTAATTTTTCAATTGAATTCCAAGCTTCAACCAAATCAAATCCATTCTTTTCTTTAGTGATAAAAGGAGTATGAATCAAATACAAATCAACATATTCCAATTTTAATTTGGATAAAGATGCCTTTAATGAATCATAAGGAGTTTGCTTATTTGGTTCATCAACACCTGGCCAGTATTTGGAAGTAACAAAGATATTATCTCTTTTAACTTTTGATTTTATAATGGCTTCACCAATTTCTTCATTGGTATTATAAACTTCAGCACCATCAATATGAGTGAAACCTAAGTCAATTGCTTTAACTAAAGTATTAACTAAATTAGTGTCAAGTTCATTGACACCGGCTTTATACCATTTAGTTCCGGTACCATATCCGACAGCTGGAATGGTATGCTCATTGGCTAATTTAAAAACTTTACCATGTAAAGACATTGTTAATGTCTGTCGTTTCTTTATATATAATTTATAGATTCCCAATCAATTGAGCTCAAAGATAAAGAACAATTATGAAAATTAATTAGCTTATTAATCGTGATCCTTATATAGTTCTGAAAAATAAAACTGTGGTACATCCGGAGAATTAAAACCGAGCGTGGGGGAGCGAGCCGCAAAAATATGTGGAGTGAAAAGTTATCTCCACATCAAACAATTTATGATCAATTGAAGATATATATGATTTGATGTGTAAAAGTAGATGTTTAAAACAGATCACAGTGGCGGTGGCATGTGCAAGTTTTATCAATATGCAGTTATGGCTTGGTGTAGAATCCACATTAACCAGGGTCTAGTAGTTAAGAAGTAGGCCCTTTAATATAGATGAAAAGATAAATACAGAGAAAGCCCAAATATTTAAGTCAAAGCTCTGGTACTCACGCGAACTCTTACTATACGGAGAAGTTGGGTGTCTTAAATAAGAATAATCTTCCCACAAAAACGCCAGGTCTATAATGCACCACTCTGATATGTACTGACTCCAACCATTACCACTAAGTCCTATGTAATTCGGTATTTTTTTAGAGTTGCCTAAAATTAGACTTTCAACTGACATCTCAAATCGTAAGTGAAAACACTTGCGAACAGTGAACATATGTCAACAATATAATTTTCCGTAATTATACGGCAGTGATTTGATTTAAGGTACAGAAACGGAAAATTTTATATTTTTTTTTTTATCTGTGCTTATCGGTAATTTTTTCTACATTCGGGTCCTCGAAGCCTTATCGAACAAATACTATTCCTTGGTTTAATCAACGTATGCAACTCTATTTTACTTGAATTGTTGGAAAATTTTCATTTGTCAGAGTTCTATAAGTAATATTTGATAGCTAATTGCCTGAATTTTTTGAATCGAACTTTTAAGTTCTACAAACGTTATTTGTCCCACGTTCTGATTCTTGTGAGATCATTCATCAGCATCAGCATCTAAATACGATGTCTCGTCTGGAAACAACACCACTTTTAAGTCCTAAGACAACCACATCATCTGTGGCTAGTAGCATTGATGATAGTGAAATAATTAATTATGTCCAACAACGAAGAGTATCAATTGCTTCGGCAGGTAACAATAGAATCCCTGCCAATTTCTCATTAAGAAATGTAACTTCCAATGATCGTCTAACAACAAGTACATCGCATAATTCATTTTTACATAGAAGCAGTGTAAGTGAATTGCTTCATTCAAGTCAGCATTTGGAAGCCGAACCAGAAACAAATCTTCAAACTGAAGTTCAAGTTTTATTGTACTATTCTGTGCCTTTAATTATAACTTTCCTATTACAATACTCATTAACAGTTGCATCAGTTTTCTCAGTTGGCCGTTTAGGATCTAGTGAGCTTGCCGCAGTGAGTTTAAGCTCTATGACGGCTAACATCTCAGGTTATGCTATTATTCAAGGGGTATCGACATGTCTTGATACTCTTTGTGCTCAGGCTTATGGTAGAAAAGATTTTAATACTGTAGGTTTACATTTCATTAGATGTAACTATTTATTACTTTTGTTGTTCATTCCTATGTTTCTCTTGTGGATGTTTGGAGCCGAACCAATATTAATTGCTATCATTGGCGAGGATGAAATTGAATTATGTAAATTAGCTGCAAACTATCTTCGTATTTTAAGCCTTGGTTTACCAGGATTTATTTTATTTGAAAATGCTAAGCATTTCCTTCAAAGTCAAGGTATTTTCCATGCTTCAACTTATGTGCTTTGTGTATGTGCCCCTATGAATGCTCTACTTAACTATATTTTAGTTTGGAATAAGAATATAGGTTTAGGTTTCATTGGTGCACCATTATCAGTTGTTATTACAAATTGGGTAATGTGCATATCCTTATACTGTTACATCTTCTTTGTAAAAGGCTACCAATGTTGGCCAAAGCAACCATTATTTGATGGGGTTTATTTCCGTAATTGGAACAGAATGATAAATTTATCTGTTCCTGGTGTATTAATGGTAGAAGCCGAATGGCTCGCATTTGAAATAATTACTTTCAGTGCATCGAAGTTTGGAACTGAAGTTTTGGCAGCTCAATCAATTGTTAGTACGACGTGTGTTTTAATGTATCAGATACCCTTTGCAATTTCAATAGCTGCTTCTACAAGAATAGCTTGGTATATTGGAGCAGCCTCTATTAAGTCTGCTAAAATTGCAACAAATGCTGTAATTTCAACCTCCTTATCATTGGGAATTTTCAATGCCTCCGTGTTATTTGTGTTTAGAAAATGGTTAGCTGCTCTCTACACCAACGACGAAATAGTTATTCAATTAGCAGCCAAAGTGTTGATTATTGGTGCAATATATCAAATTAATGACTTCTTGTCATGCGCTACTGGTGGAGTATTAAGGGGTCAGGGGCGACAAAAGATCGGAGGTTACTTGAATTTAATTAGCTATTACTTGATAGCCTTACCAAGCGCATTTTTATTTGCATTTTATTTTAAATTGGAATTAGTTGGTCTATGGCTAGGAATGATCATTGCCTTGTTCTTCATCTCAACGTCCCAATACTATTTTGTTTCGATAAGTAATTGGGATAAGATTGTTGACGATAGCATCAATGAAGGTATCTTAGAAGAGGGTCATCTTAACCTTGATGCTCACTCTTTAGTCCCTAGCATGAGTAGTGGAGCATATGTATAATCAAATATTGCAAAGTGGCAAGAGTAAACATTTTGTTACACGTGTGACATGTAACGGTTAAGAGAGCCATTTATTGGAGCCACTTAACACACTCTTATATAAGTACAATAATAGCCAAAATGGACAATAAGTAAATACATGAATAAAACTAAAACACTGTATATAGACACTACCATTTACACATGGTAATTATATTATTTGGTTCACTTTCCGCTTTTATTAAATTCTTTCCTAATTAGTTACAACGGTTCGAAAACTAAGGGGCTTCAAGGCTGGTGTTTTTCTAAGAAACAAAGGAATATATATGGACCACATTTTAGCTAGACCTACAAGTTATATACCACATTCCTATTGACGATTTTTGTAAACCTTATTTAAGTCACTTATTGCTATGTTACATTACTACGGTAAAACAAGTAGAACTGTGGTAAAAGTTTAGCTGTAAGGCTAATTTTTTTCACAACTTCTATCACAGATGAGGCAAAACCCAAATGCGCAAAAAGATAAGATAAAGGGCAGGGAAATAATTCTACGGCTCAATTTGGATGCATCACTTCCCAATTAGGAATACGTCAGATCTTTTTGAACCACACAAATTATTTTCTCAGTCAAATATTTCTATCCTAAAATTGCAATGAAATTACACACATATTTCTTATTCCTGGCTTTTGCTAGTAAAAGCCTACATCGGAATATTCTTGCTACTACATGAATAATGCTATCTAATTGAGATCCTATATACTATTTACGGACTGTAAAATTTTTTTAAAATTTCTTTTTATTTATTGTTTGCATAATGTAGCGAAATATTTTAAATAGGGGGCTAAATACATAGGTTTTACCTACATTTAATCTTGACTTGACTCACCTCATTTCATTTCATCTCTTCTCTTCTGTGTTCCCCCTGCCTTTAAGAATTTATCACCCTTCTTTATCTTATAAATACCACCTTTCCCCTGCAATATTGGGAAACCCTCTCTTTAAAACTTATTCTTTTTTTGAATTAATACTAATTATTTCAGTTTAAAATTCTACTTTACAACTTGACTTTGGTTTATAACAAGAGTTAAGTTCATTTTATCAGACTTTTAATATTCGTTCGCTTTATATCCGTCACAAGACTTAATCAAACTTCAAAACTTCTTTGACTACAATGTTATCTCAATTATTAGCTGTTGGATTATTAGCCGCTCAAGGTTTAGCTGCCAATGTTACTAATGAAACCAACGTCACTGTTACTACTTACGTCGGCGAAGGTGTTTCTTTACAAAGCACTGGTGTTGTTTTAGGTGCCATTGCTGCTGCCATTGCTGCTTTCGGTATTTAAATTATTTAAACTTGAACCACACAAAACCCCCCTTTTTAACTTATTTATAAATTTTGTATTTTTATTCTACGTTACTCACTATTTGAAACTGCAACAATTGATATGTTGCATAGCTACGCAATCATGTTGTCAAGTTTACTTCGTTCTATTTAATTTTCCATACTTCATTCCTTTTAATACATGCTTTTGTTATCTATTATTGCGCCGAAAAATTTCGTAAACTAAAACTGGTTACACAGACGTAATTACACTTTTGTTTTCAGAGATGATAATATTAAAAAATATAATCGGTAGTAATTAGCAACTACCTTCAGCATCAAGCTACCCTTCTTAAATAAATATATTTACCATGTGAACTCTATAATACAATCTAAGATACAACTGAAGTCGCTACAAGCAACGACGTTCTATACATAATTTTAAGAGGTAAGCCTAAACCCAAGTACAAATGTCCCAAGACTATAACATATGCTAGATAATACGAGATGAACTGAAAAAATTTCGTGATTCCATAATAAATTTTATGAGATGAGATGCGAGTGTCCATAATATACAATAAGCAAATCGTCCTTAATCTGATTTACTGTGAAATAATACAATATAATAAATGACCAGTTTTTTCACCTCTATTGTTCTTAGGAATCGAGTTTCGAAGAATATTGCTTATTTGTTTTCTCAAGAGTCTGGATCTTCAAATTGGCATCATCTAATTTCTTTCTCAACTCATCGATTGTTTTATCCTTATCTTCCAATTTATCCAATTCGTTCAAAATGTTTGAACATGTAATTTTAATTGAGCTTTGATTGGATAAAGATCTGATCAATTTAACTTTTTCTTTAAGTGAAAGAACTGATTTTGATTTTGAAGTTGAAGTTAGAATAGTGGTTGCAGACGACGCACCTTCTTTACGTAATTGTCTGTATTTTGTTAATAACTTAGAATACACTTGATAGAAGATTTGACTATTTTTCAATTCTTTTATGTAATCAGCTTTTAAGTTATTATACTTGTTCAATAAATTTTCCGGAAGTTCATCGTCCAAATCAATAATATCATTTAATTGATGCAAAAACTTGTTCTGATTCTTGATTTTCACAATTATGGAACTTAGTTGAACATCTTGTATTTCTTGAGGCGAAGAATTTTTATTCTTTAACTCTTTCTTGACTCCTTCTTTCAATTGGGCAATTTCCTTGTCAATGTTTACTTGAGTATCACTTTTCACGTAATCAGTATTTATATTAATATACTCACCAGAAAAGTTTGGTAATACAGAACGTCGGTAATCTAGATTTTCTTCCTTCCTTGGCTTGTTATGATACTCTTCATGTTCATTCGAAACATATTTACCTGGATAATTGGTTGGTAAGGAGAAATTTGAAGATTCCTGGTAATTATAATTTTGATTCAATTGATTACTAGTCCTTGTGAAATTATCTCTCACTATTTTGAAATCTCTTCTTATATCATCGTCTGATTCTAATTCATCATCGGAATAATCAATAATATTGGGTATGACCAGAGGCGCCCAGGAAGACTTGCGATAATCATTTGGTATATCATAATTTGTTGCGTTGTTGGGTGTATTAAAAGAATATATCGTATTGTTGTAATCTACAGTTGGCTCATTTTGCAATGAAACATTATCTGAATCTTGAGTGCCAAAGATATATTTTAACATTTTTGAAATAATTAATCTCAATTATCACGAATAACCATTTACCCCAGAAATTAAAAAATTTTAGGACCTGAAAATTATGAAAAAATATAGGAAAGTAAGCCAATGAATAACCTGAAATCGTCCGTTCCGACAAAACTTACCAATCTTGATATGAAAAAAAGGGATTTGAAAATAGCACTAGCCAGTTTAGTAAAATAGACCGTCAAAGTATTTAAAAATGGTTTAGTTTATTTTGTTTTGGCTGTATATAAACTTGTGTCCCTGATTGTGATCCCTTTTAAATCGTCTTATCACACGTTTTTATTTGTATTTTAATTCTTTCAAAAGAATCTAGTCCTTACGTCAGGGGATAACGAGACTTAAAATAAATTAAATCGTTAAAGAACTGTACTATTTGTAACATAAGCTTTTTGTTTGTTTATGTTTTGGACCATACTCGGTGTTTGTTCAGAAAATTTATTTTGCGAGCATAGTAAATTTGCGTCTTTTCGGCTTAAGAAGAGCAATACCAATTGATTGATAAACGATAATTGAAAAGCTACAGGCCCATATTTTGCCAATAAAGAGCCCGTAGACTGATTAATACGAACCTAACCAAAGAACAATGAAATTTGGCAATAAAATGCCGTATATTTAGAGAATTTGTCAGGTAATTTGATCACCAACATGACCATTAGCGAATACTCCACAAGCAATTGTAGTATATACTGTAATTCTAGTAGTTTAAATTGCGTATGAACTTTCCTAAATGAAATAAAATCAAAACACATATATGTTAAACAACAATGATAATGTTGAAGTTTAATTGTGTTTGTATCGAGATATTTTCTTTCTTAGAACGCTGGCTAATAAGTAATGCCAGTTAATAGAACAATGGGTCAATTATACCAACAGTACGCACAAGTTACAAGAATACCGAATTACATTAGCTAGAGCATGTGTGAGATCGACCATCCACGCAATTGTCGTAGTCTTCCCCATATAAACATAAACGCTACATCTTGCCATGAGCTGATGCGGCCAACCGTTCAAGAAACAATAGAAAATTTAGGATAATACACAAACAATGGGTGAAGAAAGAGAAGAAACAAACTTATTGATTTTCTGAATACCGTTATGCTGTAGTTATTAGACGAAACCCCGACATCTTTTGAAGTGTTTACAATTATCTCAATTGGTCATTTATAATTATTTTCTTTTAATCTAATGTAGTCCTATTTTCAATTGATCTTTAAAGTTTCTCTTGTCCCTTCATCTAATTTTTTTGACGCTTCTGTAATTAATTACTTTGTCTTGTTTTTCCAGTTCAGTATTCTGTAAATCATAGTAAAGGACAAGATTTTCTACATATTTGCAATTACCGAAAAACTGCTCATAGTATGTTGAATTCAACAAAAACGAGCAGTTTGATTGGTGGAAATGAATCTCAATGTTCCTGGAATATAAACTATCTGCACTTACAAACTCTTTTTTTTTGTCGGTAAGGAGGCCAGATCCGCAAATTAGATTATTTTTTTAGCTTTTTTATTTTATTAGAGTATATTCTATTAGTGGCTCCCTGTTGTGCTTTCGGCTGTACTTCAACTGCGCGCTAAATGAATTGTTTTTGTTTGACGGTTAATATTCCGTATGTACCTTGTTTATTTTTATTCACATTGTTATTTGTTATTGTTAAAATTCATCTATATATTGTCTTTTAAAAAAAGTCGCCTAAAATAGTAGAGTAATTGCTTTTTTAATGAGCTTTGTAGCATTATATATGAAAAGTTCTATTGTTCTTATAAGCTAGCCGTTACATCAAATTGCCAGCATTAGCTAAAGAAAGAGGAAAAACAGTTGCAAATTTTGAATGTCACAAGATTAATGTTGAAAAATCCAACCCATAATCCCAGTTCACCACAAGAGATCAATGGGTACGACATCAGGTCTCATCATATCAAATTTAATCGTCTAAACTCTATATTATGTTTGGATTAACCAAATGAGACAATAAAGTAAATTTTTATTTTTTTTATTTACCTAGACTTGCAATAAGAGACGGTTGATACTGGAGTTAATAACAGATTATGTTATCTTGATTTTGATAATCGTGATTTTAAGAACATGAAGTATAATCTCAAGTAGTTTAAGTGCATCAAGCCACTGTTCAAATTTTTGTCCCTTGGCCTCTAATTTGATCATTTCTTTTTTTCTTTTTAGTTATTTTACATTCTTCGAGAAGAAATCTATAAGTAAAAAGTTTAAATGGAAACATTTATTCTGTGATTTTCGTATATGTTTCCGCGGCTAAAAGCCTATATGTTAATTCCAAGCATGACCGGCAAATAAACTTCAAAAACATAAATATCAATAACAAAGAATTTTCTGACAGTTTAGATAAATTTTAGACATGGTTGGAGTTTCTGATTTGATGAAGAATGCAACGTATATCCTTTTTTTTTGTATAGTTAACTCCCCCTTGCAAATAAAATCACATCAAATTGATGTAAGTATTAACACGAGTAATATTTTATTAACCACGTATGTAGAAAATAAGAACACTTAGCCACTTACGTAGCATTTTGCATTGCATTACCAACGTCTTTCTCTCTTTGATTCTCTGTTTCTTACCTCTTTTATTATTTTAGATGGTCCCCTATAATACCCCATTGTAGTGCGCAAGAATACCCGTAAAAAAATAAATGTTGTCCTTTTTTTTTTCAGCAGTCAGGGGAATATGGATTAGACGAAAAAACTGTTGCCCTTTCCGCACAAGCGACGCCTCATTTCTTTTTTTTCCAGTCAAAGGGTTTGCTCATTCAGGATCAAACAAAAACCCTTCGCTCACGATTCGATTTTACCTTTCTTAGAATTTACTAGGCATGACTCAAGTGTAAATCAATAGCTTATATGCTATGTACGTAAGAAAACATAGTACATGAAAGGTGATAGGACAATGATTCTCCGAAGAATTTGCCTTATGTTTCGTCTCATTTCCAAATGGTCTGAATGTTACACAGTAATGCAGAATTTGCCTGATTTATTTCAATTGTAAGATGGAAATAATAACATTAATAATAATAATAATAATAATAATAATAATAATAATAATAATAATACTAATACTAATACTAATACTAATACTAATACTAATACTAATACTAATACTAATACTAATACTAATAATAAAATAAAATAAAATATTAGTCCTTATACTCTATATTATTATTTGAACAATTAATATATACCGGTGTTGTTATATGACTTGCTTAATCTTACCCTATTAAAAGAAATTTCTTCTGAATAATAAATCAAAGTATTGGATAAACATTCGATGCTAAGTTTATCAGAATAGTGGCACAATGCTTCGATTATAATTCTACAAACATTCAGTGCCATGTAGTGAAAGTGAATGTGCCTACAAATTTGCATGAGAATGAAAATTGAAGGCGGTGTCAAAAGCCCGCCGTCGTATTTACTTCTTATCGATACATAGTTTCCCTAAATATATACCAGATGGTGCAACGACTATGACCGAACCGAAATTACTAGACTATAAGATTCAACTAAATCAAATTTCTTTTCTTAATCCAATGAGAATCAATTACACGTATTGTTTGCAAAAGTGAAAATTAACTTAGAAACTAGCACCATTTTTTTTGCTGCGATTTTGCGTTTGCATTTTGTGAAATAAATATTTTTTATCACTTTTTTTAATTTATTAATTTTTTTTATTTTTATTTTTATTTTGTTGAGAGATACACCTACTCCAAGGCCATTTTCAACTAATGTTTTGTTTGATGTTTTTAATAATTATTTTTATTCAATATAGAGTTTTTTTCAAGTTAATTCAATACTCAATTGATACATATAAATACATGGAGAGATAATTTTTTTTGACTTCAATTTTTGTGATTATATGTTTTTCTGAAGTTTTCAATCTACAACCAAGTGCATTCTTTTTCCTTCGAAGCAGAGTATATAGGTTGTTTTTTTACCTCGTCCCTCCTTTATTTCTGTGTTGTTAAGTTCTTGCCCAAGTTCGGATTGGCAACCAAAACCTTTACCAACTGTCACTCCATTCTTTCATTTCATTCATTTCTTACTAGTTTCTGGTATTCTGGCATCATTGAATTTGGCTTTTTACCTTCTCCTTCATATCCTTAAAGAGCTTATTTTTTGTTTTAATTTCAATTCATTGAGTTACAGAGTTAATTCTTAACTACTTAAATCTTCATTCAATTCCTTTTTGCATTTCAGAATATTTATTCATTAACATTATACTTCATAATACTTAGTCCCAATAATGACAATAGATATGTTTACAACAAGTTATGGAAATCCCTTAACCCCAAGTACACCACCACATATAAAAGCAAATCCATACGTTAAACTGGAAAATGAACAATTCAAGACCTTTATTCAGCTTGATTATCCACTTGAATTGTATGCTAAAGAAATATCAATCCAAACACAGACTTTGGAAGAGTATGGTAAAGAAGTCTCAGAATTCATGATTCGCTTATGTGAGAATTCAAAACCGAATATGGAGTTATATAGACAACAGCCATACCTTACATTTTCAATAAGATTAAAGTTGATTGACTTCTTATTGAAAATGACAATAAGATTGAAGATTTTACCATTTGTGTTTTTCAGAGCAGTCAAACTTTTTGATAGATATTGTTCAAAAAGGATAGTATTGCTAGATCAATCCCAGTTGATAGTGGTTACATGTCTTTGGATAGCTTCAAAGATTCAAGGAGGAAATAATCATTTTGTTAATTTAAACAATAATACTACTAAGATTAAGACCATTAATGATATTGGTTATGGATGCGGTGGGAAATATTTAGGACCAACAGAAAGATTCAGATTACCTAAATTACACGAATTGGTTAAATTATGTGGCGCTAAGTGTAAATATGATGCCAGCATGTTTAAGCAAATGGAATTGCATGTCTTAAATACATTAGAATGGTCGTTGAATGAACCTTATGTTGAAGAATTTATAGTTCAAAGTTTTGAATTTAATAACTTCAATAGCATTGACAATGAGTTTTTTAAAGTCAAGGAATTTTTAAGTTACTTGTCATTATACTCGTATGAATTAATTGACGTGGAGGCACTTGAATTAAGTCAAGTCATGGTAGATATAATCAATGAAACTTTCAAACTTACTGTAAACAGTAAAGATTATCAAGTCATCAACGATGAACACGATTTACCTAGCATTGACCCTACTAAATACAGATTCATCAAGAAAAATTTGATTAAATCAGTTTTAAGTGCTTCTGAATATATTGTCAAATTATTCAATTCAAAGGGTCCCCAATACTTTTATCATCAAATTCATGCTTTATATAAAATACCCACTAATCTACAACCTCCACATTCCGTTCCCAATACCCATCAACAATTTATAACGGCTACCACTTGTTCACCTCCTGATTCCATTCCGTTTAAGAGAAATAGAACAGATTCGAATAACAGTACAGAGTCACCTCCCATTAAGGTAAATAACTGTTCATCTCCTATAAAAATCTACACTCCTAATAGTTCTACAGCAAACGTTTCTTCACCATATACGAAGATTCAACAACATATTCAGTTCCCATCATATTCATTTAATTCTCCTGTATCCCAACCTCCGTCTGCACCTGTACCTATAATTGCCGCTAAAGTGAAAAGTAGTAACTCCAATAATAAATTCTACAGATTACCTTCTATAAACACTAATCAAAATCATCACCACAACAATTCTCAAGCCAGTATTAATTCTTGTGCTAGTTGTTCGACTAGAGAAGATATCAGTATGCTTGATGTATTTGAAATAGATTATCACCGAAAATATAATGGTACTCCTGCTAGTGACAATGATTCTCCATTGTTCCCAATAATGAAGCCTACATCAATTTCCGACTAACCTCACTTTTCATTTTTTTTGTACACTATTGTCTTTTGCGACGTATGGTTTGGCTACTATTTAATTTAAACATATTTTTATAATTCTTATGCATTCTCCCATAAATATTCGATTCCTTTGGTTAGCATGGAAACTCGAATTAAATTACATATATATATAGGTAACTGTGTGTATCATAATTTTTCTACTTCAACATAGTTCAACATTTAATTTTAATAAAAGTCCGTGAATTTAAAACCCATAATTAGTACTAAATTCTTTGTGCACTTTTCACCTGAGACATTTGACAATAGCCGTTGTATCGTCATATTACTTCCTCGTCTAGACAATTGACCATAGTAAGTAAAAGAGTAAAAGCAGATCATGTGATCAACGCGAAGATTTTTTTTTTCCTGTTTGTTTCTTTTTCTTTTTCTATTTTTATTTTGGACCATCTTAACAGGGGGATAACACAAAGGGCAGTGCAAACACATTGGAAAGCAAAGCATTCATAGACACTTGAAGTGAACAATCTCTTACTAGTTCCCATACACTTAGGCCTACTATATAGACACAGGATTATAAGAGGTACGATAACTACTTCATTTAGTCTGTTTTAGTCACTAGTTCTTACCACATATATCGATTGCTTCAACACATTCGTTTAACGATCTTTTCAATATGGTATATTCCAGAATAAACTCATTACTTATAACGGGAGTATTGTTCCTTTTATCTCTAATTGTGGCCGACCCTAATATGGCTGAATTAGAAGGTACATGGACTTCCAAATCAAATACAGTATTCACTGGTCCTGGATTTTACGATCCAGTTGATGAATTATTAATAGAGCCTGATTTACCAGGTATATCATATTCTTTCACTGCTGATGGTCACTATGAAGAAGCTTTGTATAGAGTTGTACCAAATCCTCAAAATCATAGTTGTCCTGTCGCATCTGTAACATATCAACATGGTACTTACAAATTATTAAGTAATGGTTCATTAGTGTTAACTCCAATAGCTGTTGATGGAAGACAACTATTGAGTGAACCTTGTGGTCAATACCCAGACAAGTCAACTTATACTAGATACGTTCAGGCTACTTGGTTTAAAACATATCAAGTTTATATTGATTCCTATAATGGTAGATATGCTTTACAAATCTATCAATTTGATGGTTCAATGATGCAGCCATTATATTTAGCTTATAAACCACCTTTAATGTTACCCACTTATGCTTTGAATCCTACTGATAAAGCCTCTGAATCATCATCTTCATTAAGAAGAAGAGTTAAGAGATCTCTTGAAAACCAATACAGAACAAATGCCATAAGAGACAGTTCTAATGAAAAGTTCGATTTCTATTGGTATATCTCTGTAGCTTGTTTGGCTTCAGCTTCAGCTTTTATGTTTTTAAAGTAAATATCATCAATGTAAATTATCTATTGGAGAATATATTAGTAGATACGACTATGGATATTATAGTGTAGACACTGTAGAAGGCGATACTGAGCATATTACATACACAATGCTCATCAGAGTACAGCATGCGTTGCGATGACTCTTGAATCTAGCAAGAAAAGCGGTTCTGGAGACATTACAACTACTCGTTGGTCATACTTACAATGGAGATCGCTCACCCTAGTGTACATAAAGCATAAAATTTTTTTTTATAAACGGTTCGACCCTTACTGTTATATATCGCAATAAATCTACATAAGCATACATAGCAATGACTGACAGGAGTAACTCAAATAGAATTATATTATATTTAACGGCTCAAGGATCTCGAAGCCCAATAGAGTGGTAGAGAATTTAGATTACAAAGATCCGGACTCAGATTCCCAATTAGGCAATGCGCCTAACTTATCGATAACTGATATTAATGAATTAATTTACGAATAATTTTTATATTACCATGGGGAAAGTCCTTTAATTAACAGTAATAGATACTCATAGAAAGGATCGACTAAGGTAGATATGTATATTCCAAAACACTACTTAGAAGAAGATTGGGAACAGGCGCAATATCTTATTGAACACTATCCCTTGGCAACGGTAGTCACTTCATTTGGAGAAGAAGGTATTATTGCCAATCATTTCCCATTATTGTATAAGGAAGATAAAGAGACAGGAAAGAAATACCTCATTGCCCATATAGCTAAAAAGAATCATCAGATACCTTCATTGCAACAAAATGATGATATTCTTGTGATATTTCAATCTCATAACTCCTACATATCGCCCAGTTACTATCCAACTAAAGCAGAAACCCATAAGTTTGTACCTACGTGGGATTTTGCTAGTGTTCATATTAAAGGTAAATCTAGATTGATTGACGATTTCGATTTTGTCAGAGATCAATTAAATGCTTTGACTACTCAACAAGAAAAAGGTAGAGCAGAACCTTGGAAGGTTAGTGAAGCCCCTGAACCATATTTGAAAGCCATGCAAAAGGCTATTATTGGGTTAGAGATTGAAATAGATAGCTTCCTGTGTAAATACAAATTTGAACAAGCTATGCCTAGAAAAGAAATAGACGGAGTAATTAAAGGTCTTGCTGAAGATAAGTTACCAGAAGTATCGGAATTAACCAAGACTGCCAATGAAAGAGCTGAACTTAAAAAGTCTAAAGCAACAAATTGATATTAGTTATATTTAAATTGATTCTAGAAATACATAAACTTTTGTTATAATACACATTACCGTTAACTTGAACCGAGTACTCTAGTAAGGGGTGAATCTATTTCCACCCCTAAATCCACCTCTACCTCTTCCTCTTCCTCTGGCACCTCTACCACCTCTACCACCTCTACCACCTCTCGAAGATCCTCCTCTATTAGTGGTACTTATACCTGGTATATTTGTTCTTTTAGCAGTAACTTTTAATTCTCTTTCTCTGAATGTACTACCATCCAATGTAGCAACGGCTTTATTAACAGCATCATAATCAGCAAATTCAAGATATGCAAAACCCTTTGGTTGACCTGTAAATCTATTCATTAATATTGTTACTCTTTGAACATTACCCACGGTACCAAAATGTTCTCTTAATTCATAAGGAGTAGCACCATAATCAACATTTCCAATATAAACAGATCTAGCATCAATATCTCTTTTTTCTTCATCAGTTTGTGGTGCTGGATGTCCTGATTCACTGTTTAATTCGGCTCGCAATCTTTGAGCTTGCTTATCCAATTCTTCCAATCTTTGACTATCTTCATCATTAGATACAGCATGAACTGGCTCAGATACTGGAACCTCAGATTCAGTTACAATTCCTTGACTATCAACTGGTATATCGTCCGACATGTCTTGGATATATATTATATGATGATTAAGTATAGCTCTAAAGCAAAGACTGTTTTTCAGCAGTGTTTTTCTTTTTTCTTTTGTTATAGATCGGTCTGCTGCTCTGGCTTATATACAGAACAGCTTAAAAAGTTTCATAACTGTTTTAATTAATAAATAAATATTTTGCATTAAATTACTGATACGAAATTTCTAAATACTAAAACGGATCACCAGGGATATTCCGTTCTCTATTTAATGTTTTGGATATACCGTTGATTTTAATACTACGAGTAGCTGTCCCATTTGTTGAAGAAGGTATATTGGTAGGTCCAATAACCCCATTTGCAGTCGATCCATAATCTCTCTTACGACCTTTTCTCTTTCTCTTTCCATGTAAGGGTAATAACATATCTGATTCAGTTCGGAGCATATCTAAATCAGTCTCATATCCTACATCATATGCTCTATCATAATCCTCACTATCGTCATCAGTCAATACTCTCATAAAGCTAGATTCAGCTCGAGGAAAGGTAGAATCATTATCAAACAGATACGGTTTGTCAAGACTGTTTCGACTACGTCCCAAACAGAAAATAGCTCCTAGCAATACAAGACCAAAAATGGCTAAACCTAAGATTACACCAACACCAATACTTATAAATCCAAGATGAATATCTAGGAAATTGTCTTTCTTTTTCTCGAGCCATTTTAAGTTCAAAGGCTTTTCAATTAAGAAAACACAAGAACCTTCAAGATAATTGGGGGCAGTACAACCATAATTGATTAATCTAACTTCATGATCTTTGTTATATGATAAAGCACCAATTTCAGAACTATTAAAATTGTGTTCTTTCAATTTTAAATATAATTTATCATTCTTGTGATCTCTATAACATGCTAAGGATGTATTAGTTAAGTTGGTACTTATAATAAATTCAGTGGAATTACTATGATATGATTTATCGCCGACACAATCCATTAAAGTTCCCATTTGATCATTAGGAATTAAATGAAACTCAAGAAATTCTAATAGTCTTGTAAATTCAGTAGTAATATTGAAATCTCTTAATGATTCAGGACTAGGAACCAATAGAGAATAATGATTTGTATGGTTTCCTTTCAATCCTAAAGCTTTACTGACTTTGGGAAACAATTCAATAAGATCAAGTATTGAATATCCTGGGTAGTTCTCATTAATTGTAGTTTTGATTAGATCAACAAATGGAATGGAAAAGTCTTGTGGCAAAATTACTTTATTAATAATATGAATCACTCCTTCATTGAAAAGTATATCTGAATTCAATGGTAATGAAACTTGAGAGTTATTCAAGCTTATAACGTGATCATACCCACCTTTAAAGGAATAATTCTCTACAGTCACTGGACTTCCATTAAGATTGGTGACAGTAACCAGTTTATTTTCGCCATCAAGTTCATCAAGTCCAAAATCAGAATATATAGTATCTTCAATGAACATACCTTGTAATACATTCCGGAATAAAGCAGGATTCGATTCCAAATAGTTCAAAACTAAGCCTAAATCTTTCCATGATCCATGTGAATGATAATTACTGCCACATGGTAAAAATACCGAATAACCTTTATTATTCTCATCAAGTGAGAACAAATTAAAATCACTAAGATATTGCATTGTAGTAAGACAAGTTTCTTGATCGATTCTTATATGTTCTAAATGTCTATGAATTGAACCATCTGACATTAAAGCCCCTACTGAATGTTTAAAAGAATCAGGAGTACTTATTTCAGAATCTGCTATGTAAACCATAGTATTGTTTCCTAAATCGATTGGTATATCTGATATATCAATATCATCATTTAATGTGGTACGATATTCACCATCGTATTTTGAGGATGATAATTTAAGTTTAAAACAACCCCCTATTCTTTTCTTGGAACATAATTTCGAATCAAGTAATTTATGATATTCTTTTGATTCTACTGTTATATTGGACAAATCTACAGGTTCCTCAGCAAACTGATAAAGTAAATTTTGCTTAGAACTGAACGAATAAGTCATGAAATCTCCTTCATCATCATCATCCATTATATCATCTTTTTGATCTCTTTCTATGAATAAAGTTTGATTGCTCGTTGATCCGTCTATGAGATACTCAAGTGATCTGAAAGTCAATTCTTTCACAAAATTAGAGAAATGTAAAGCAAATAGACCCTTTCTGGGTATCATAGATACTGTAGGGATATTCAAACTTTGAAAGAATTTATGATGTTTCGGTAAGGAGTCAATACCGAATATATGTACAGCTGCATCAGAAGCAAGATATGAAGCTATGCTTTTTATTTTATCATTAACAATTATAGATGTTTGATTTAATTTAATCAAATATGATGAACTTTTATCTATGCTGGCATGCAGCTTTTTAGTAGTAGTACCATTTGCACCAAATATTAAGTCTTTCAATATGTGATGCTTAAGCAACGAAAATATATCGTTTTCCACCTCTACAAAGGCTTCATCAGTAGTAGCAAACTTAGTACTGTTTAGTGAATGAAATGATGATAAATAGTATCGTTCTTGAAGGGGTGATAAAGATTTCTTAATCACTTCGTCGTTAGGTATAAATATGGTTTGGGCACCTCTAAAGAATTCTTCACAAGTATCTGGGAAAACATTTGAAGGAGGCTCTTGATCAGAATTCTTCTTCTTTTTCTTCTTTTTCGTTTTCTTATTCTTTTTACCAGATTCTTCATACTCTTCAGAGAAGACCAGTTGAAATAATTGTTTTACAAATGATATTTTTTGACCATTTAATTCATAGGATGAGTCGTCTAACAATATATCACATATGCTGGATTTGGAAGGTAGTAAATGTTCTATGCCTTGAATGAAAGAATATTGATGTTTGGCATAAATGTCGGGATCTACAATTGCTGAGACATTATCCACCACATATTCATATGTTTGTAAATCAGGTACAATACTTAAAGTATAATTTCTTTTATCCAGTAGTCTGTATAATGTATTGAGGACCATTTCTCTTTCATCTGAGTACCCTACTCTGAACTTTTGGTTGACGATATATCGTAGAAGTTCATTGTTATCAAAATCGTCTATTTGAGATTCGATAAAGGCCAGATTTATTGGAGCAAATAAAGTTATATTATTTAAGCTATTTATTATAGGTACTAATCCCTTTCGTTGTATATACCTTAAGAAATATGAATATTGAGCTTGTGATGAAAGTATATCTATTATAGTAGATGGTGTTTCTGTGGGGTCTAATGATGTTGTGGATGGTTCTTGAATTATAGTGGGAGTCTCAGAAGCTAAAACTCCTAGTAGAAATATCACTAATGTAACTAGTGTACTAGAGTACATATTTGTAGTCTGAAAACCTCCTAACAACTATTTACTATCCTATGGTTGCAATTTCAAAATTAAACATTGTAACTAGTATACACTCGGGTAATGATGTTTGGAACCTTTGGTGATAGCACGACTCGGCTACAACCCGAGCCAGCGCTATTCTTTCTCGGAGTGTAATGACTCAAAAATAGCCGGCTTACGTCAAAAACTCTTTCTTGCCGATTATATGTATACAGCATATATAACATCCGATGAATGAAGTGTAACGAGCGAAGATGATTCCAGAAGATACAACAGACATCGAACAATCCAATGAGGATATGTCTAATGATAGCAGTATGTCTAATAGAAGACGTAATGTTGAAGATGAGCTTCATGAGCTCGAAGCCGCATCACTTCAAGAATCTCTTCCTGAGGGTTTTAATGTTGATGAGACTGAAAAGGGATTTAAACGTCCTAAATATCATAAGATAATATTAGACAAGAGTCATAAATATTTTCCTGTACTTTTAAATATTGTTAATGGTGCTATTTGGGGAGTATTGGCAAGAAAAGGATTAATGGTATTAACTTCTTATCCAGGTTCTTATCTTCCCGGAGTTCTTTGGGCAAATTTTGGTGCTTGTATAGTTATGGGTATCGCTGTCAATAGTTCAAAAATATGGGATATCTTATTAGAAAATCATCCCAATGATTACCCAAATAAAGCATCAATTCCCTTATATACTGGGATTACTACTGGATTTTGCGGAACCTTTTCATCTTTTTCTACGGTTATTGTAGAAGCATTCAATAAAGCTGCAAATACTGAAATTGGTGTTTATTATGATTATCCTAATGCTGGTTATGGTGTAATGGAATTTCTTGCTGTTATTTGCATCCAATTTGGGTTATCAGGTGCAGGGTTTCATATTGGTAGACATCTAACTGAGGTATTAGATGAATTCCTGCCGGTCATGACCAAGAGAAACTACAAAATTATTGAAAGATTATCAATTATTATTGGAGCAGCTACTTTTATAGTCAATTGTGTTTTGATAGGTGTTTTGGATTCGTGGAGGTCATGGACATTCGCAATCTTTTTTGCACCTTTCGGAGCATTATTGAGATTCTATCTTTCGAAATATTTGAATTCCAAGGTGAAAAATTTCCCATTGGGAACATTTACTGCCAATTTTGTTGGTACTTTATTGTTAGGGATTTTTAATTTGTTAGCAAGAGCGAGAGGTATTAATATGAGTCTTATTTCATGCCATGTTTTAATGGGTTTGGATGATGGATTTTGCGGTGCCTTAACTACTGTGAGTACATTCATAGTAGAATTATTTGGATTGAGAACTTTACATTCCTATAGATATGGTATTTTCTCAGTCATGGGAAGTTTTATTGCCATTGTTTTGATCTTAGGATCATACAATTGGTCCGTTGGTTTAACTTCACCTATCTGTTCTTAGATGAATTAGTTGGAATATCATTATAAAACATTCCAACGTCTTAACCGGTTTAGCGATCGTACATTACAACTGCAAACCAAATTATATTAGATGATTTGTAAAACATTAGATTTACATTTGACGAGTATATTTTCATAATATTCTCTTTTCTTTTTATTTTTTAGATTGGTTTTATTGATTTTTAATAAATAATCAAAGGGTCAAATCATGAACAGTCAAGCTTAGTATGTAATTCTTATCTCTTACAATTCTCATCTCTTTTACATTCATAACCTGTCACATGAGACTATTAGCTTATGAGCTTATGAGCATTGAGCATTTAACTCCTATAATTAGCTCCTATAATTAACTCGTCTAGGTTACCCAGTCGTAATTAGCTCAAATAGTTTCCCTTTTGAATTGGCTAATAGCTCATTTAGGCTATTCTGGTAATTGAGCAAATTGTTGCAATTATTTTTTTGCACATCTTTAAATGATGAGCAAATTGCCTGTACAAATTAGGAAGTTGAAAAACGCTCTTAGTAAAAAATATATGCCAAATTTTTATCAGATCTCCGAATCGTGGATTATATAAAAGTAATGTAGAATATCAGGCAGAGCCAAGCCAGATCTGAAAAGGTAAGTAGCTTAATTATTGTAGGAAATTGTTATTACCAAAATGGGAGTACAATTCGATGGCATGGACTGCCTTGCAGATATGAATCTGGCTCAATACGCAGCTGCTCATGAACTACTGCAAAAAGAAGTTGCATGGATGGACCAAGGGAAATATGGGAAATTTACTATATATTTTGGAGTTGCAATTATAGGATGTGCTTTCCTTAAACATATATGGTATTTGTATCGAGATTATAGTTATAAAAAGTCAAAATCTAATAATAATGTTATAAGTCCATTTATTGATGTATTTATATCATATTCAAGATATTTAGGTTATAAACAAATTCCGGCTCGTATAAGTTATTTCACTTCTTTACCTCCTTCTTTGGGATCGACTTTATTTACAATGTTTACATCACTTTATCTCTTCTGTTATTCATTGGTACCTCATTTTTGGTATAGAGGATGTTTTGGCTTCGGATCTCCTCCATTAGCTGTAAGATCTGGAATTATGGCAGCAGCTTTAACTCCATTCATTTATATTTTATCCGGAAAAGCTAACATGATAACTTTTTTAACAGGTATAAGTTATGAGAAATTAAATCAATATCATCAATATGTTGGTTTATCTGCTTTTGTATTAGCATTAATTCATACAATACCATTCATTTATCAACCATTGGCTGAAGGTGGAGCCAAGAATCTTTCATATGAATTCAGAACTGACTTTGCATTTTACAGTGGAATTCCTCCATTGATTATATTAGGATGGCTATGCATTGCATCTAAGGCATATTTTAGAAAGATCTGCTACGAGTTCTTCGTTCACATGCATTGGATGTGCGGTGTTGCTTATGTGGGTACTTTTATTTGGCATATTAATAAAACCTTAAATTATGATAATTATGTTTGGAGTGCTATAGCATTTTGGGCTACACAAGTTATTTACCGTATCCTTGTTAAGACAGCATTTAAACCAAACTCTTTATTTTTAAGATCAAGACTGGCCAAATTAATGAAACTAGGTGAAAATTCTTACCAAATAACCATTGCAAATACCAAAGGTTACAAATGGAAACCCGGTCAACATTGTTACTTAAGATTTGCTGGAGCAAGAATACTTGATAATCATCCTTTTTCGATTGCATCTGCTATTGATGATGAAGAAAAAGAAATGAAATTTATCATTGTTCCAAAGAAAGGTTTAACCAAAAAGATTTATTTGGAATTAGATGACTTTGTTGCTAAAGAAAAGAATGTCTATATTGACGGTCCATATGGGGGAACCACAAGAGATCCTACATCGTTCGATAGAATCGTCTTATTATCTACTGGAAGTGGTGTTACTGCCACATTACCCTTTCTATTACACATGGCCAATGAAATGAAACTAGCCAAATCTGATAAATCAAAGAGGGTTGTAACTCAAAAAATTGATTTTATTTGGATTATTAGATCCCACGAAGACATTAAATGGATTAGGCTGGAATTGATTAAATGTAAGAGTATTGGAGGTGATCAGATTAATATTTCCATCTATACAGCAAGAAATAATAATACAGTGGGGGATGTAAAAGAAGGAATTGAAATGTCAAATATGGACGACTATGAACAATATATTGAAAGCAGAGATGTAGATTTGAAATCAGAAGATAATGGAATAACAGTTCATAATTACAAACCTTCAGTTACTCGTGTGGTTAATGATCTTAGAGGTAGTCTTTTAAGAAGAAATTTCATTGTTTGTTCTGGAAGTGATTCGATGAAATCTCAAGTTAGTGGAGCTGTTTCAAACTTACAAGCCTTAATTTTCAATAATGATTTTAATCATTCGTACATAGAAGAAATATACTTACATTCCGAATCCTTCGGATGGTAAGTTGTGTAGCATATAGACAATAAATATTCTTAAAACTTTAAGTTTTTAATAATGTGATCGATATCATCATCAATTGAATCCAAAAATTCTTGCTTTGATGTATACTTTGGCTTCCAGCCAATCAATTTTCCATTATCACCTCTACTTCTCGAATTTGTGCCCCAATATGCTGGAGCGAAGTCATCACCAGTGAGTTCAATAATAGCTTGGGGTTGTAATTCAACTATCTCAGCTGAGTTGACTAATTTCCTCTCATATAATTTCTTACCGATGGTTTGAGAAATCTCTTTCCAAGTATGTTCAATCTCTGTTGGAGCAGCTGAATTTGGAGCATCTTGTATCGTCAAGGATCCAAAGTAATAACCTTCTCGATTAACTGGAAGTGATTCTTTCTTGATTAACTTATGTAAAACCAAGTAGTATAAATCACCCAAATCCTTAATATGGACTCTACTCCAAATATAGTTTCCATCATATACAGTGAAAGCCTGCTTATTTTTTAAAGAAGCCAGAATTAAAAATGGAATTTGAATCGAATAAAGATTATCATATCCATTCGAAATACCATAAATAGTAGAAGGTGCAATCACTATAGTTTCAATTTTTGGATTTTTGTCATGAATATCAAGAACAATTGCATCAACAGGCCTGTGGGGTTGAGCCAAAGGAAGCGAATTAAGTTCTCCAATGTTGTTACTATCCGAATAAATTTTGGTGGCAGGAGGCTTTTTAGCTTTAATTCCATCTCCAAGCACAGAAGTCCCTGATGTATGAATTAAAATCTTTGGCTTGAGGGAAGCAACCAATACTTCTGAAAGTGCTTCCGCACTTGGAACATGATCAACATTAGCAGTATTGATAATTATATCACTCGCCTCAGTATATTTTTTAATCAATTCGGTGTCGTCTAAGTCTCCGAGTACTGCTTTTACTCTACTTCCTGTTTTGGCAATCAAGTTGGCTGCCTTGCTTTCGGTACGAACTAAAGCGGTAACTTCAAAATTTAAACCATCAGCATTGTTAAGCAATTGGTACAAGACTTCACCTCCAATATAGCCAGTAGCTCCAGTAATAAAAACAGTATATGTCATTTCAAATTCTGATAAGTCCTATGGAGGAAAACAAGAAGTGATAAATTGAAAGATGATATTGAAGATATTTATATTAATAATATGGAGAGATTTAAGTTGGGGGTCAGTGTGGCTCGAAGCAAAAAAAAACTTGGGGGTAGGTTTGCTGCGAAATTACAATGATTTGCTAAATCATATTGTCGTATTAATAATCAAAACTATCTAATATTAGGACATTACAAGGAAGCTTCTTCAATAGCGGCTTTTTTTTCGTCATCAGAACTTGATTCCAAAGTTTGTCTAAATGCATGCTCAGTTGGAATGAATGATCCCGACTTCCAAGCATATGGTACCTTCTCATACATTTCGTCAACTTGTTCTAAAGTCAATCCCTTAGTTTCATAGACCATACAATAAGCAAATAAGAAACCTAAGACATTGCAACCACCCCAGATAAAGAAAACATTACTTCCAAGATTAGCATTACCTGGTCCAGAGTCAACCATATAAGGAGTGATATATGCAATGACAAAGTTAAATAACCAATTTGAAGCAGTAGAAATAGAAATACTCTTTTGTCTGACATTTAATGGATAAGTTTCAGCTATAATTGCCCAAGCCAATGGACCCCAAGTAGCAGCAAAACCTGCAATGAATGTGCAGGTGAACGCAATTAAACATTTATTTGCCGAATCAGAGTTTTGGCCGGCTGCCACTCCAACAATGGACACAATGAGTTGAGATACAGCCATAACAACCGATCCACTTAATAAAAGTTTTCTTCTTCCAACTACTTCAACCAAGAGAATACCAGGGATAGTAGAACCAAAATTAACAATGTTAGTTGCCATTTGAATGACGAAACTATTCTCGATTCCAGCTCTTTGGAAGAAATTTGTACCATAGTAGAAAATAAAGTTAATACCTGTCAACTGTTGTAAACCTTGAAGACCAACTCCAAGAAGTAATCTTTTAACTTGATGATTCTTATTTGAAAATACATCTCTCCAAGAAGAATTAGAATTAGCTCTTTCATATTCAAAATTTGCTTTAATATCTTCGTATTCATCAACTAAGTCAGGATGATCAACGCTCAATTTCCTTAATCTGGAGAGTGATTTCTTCGCACGTTCTTCGTCACTTCTAGAAACATAGAATCTTGGAGTTTCAGGAAGGATTAGCATACCCCCACCTAAGATCAAGGCCCACAAAAATTGGACTGCAATGGGAATCCTATAAGAACCAGAGTCTTTTCTTGCGTGAGAAGCTTGGTTCACAATTGCAGCTAATAACAACCCTAAGGTGATTGCCCATTGATAACATGAAATGATAGCTCCTCTAATCCATTTAGGAACAGTCTCTGCTTGATATAATGGAATCACAGCTGAAATAATACCAACTCCAAAACCCGCAATAACTCTACCTACACACAATAATGGTATAGCTGTGGCTGCAGTTTGTAGTATAATACCCAAATTAAAGATGATTAATGTCGAAATTATTAGAGTCCATCTTCTACCGATCCAGTCAGAAAGAATAGGAGCACTAAGAGAACCGAAGAAGGTACCCGCAGAAAGAATTGAAACAATTAAGGAGCTTTCTGAAGAGGTGAATTCCAACTTATTGCTAGGAAATCTTTCTTTGACATAACTCATAGCCATTATACCAGAGATTGTACCAGTATCATAACCGAAAAGAATACCAGCAAATGCAGCAAATAAACCAACAAAGATCCCCATAGAGGTCGACCCAGCCTTCTTCTCACCGACGTTAACAAATCTTCTGACAAGCGAATTATCTTCTAATCCCATTATTATTACTTTTTTTTAAGTGAATAATCTATTTATTATTACTTTTATTTAAGTAAATAATCTATTTGGGAAGGTTTAAACAAAAATTCAAGATATCTACAGATATTTATAGTTTGAAAATCATAAAATTATTCTCTAAATTCCAGACTATAACAAAGACATTAATAGAAATTGAATCACGTCATGATACGAGAAAATGGAGAAAATGGAGAAAATGGAGAAAATGGAGAAAAGTAATTCCAGTGCTAAAGTAAATCGAGAATAATAATAGATATTCATGCGATTAAACAATAATACAAATTTTCTTGTCTTATGATTTATCCAGAAAAGTTATTTTGAATACGTCTCGTGTAAGTCATTCCAAATTAAAAAGGGCCTTTCATTCACGCCAGTACTTGAACTTTATGATTATAATTAAATTGCAGCTATTTTAAGATGTGCGGCATGAACATAAATAAAAAATGTGCACAAAAAGAGTGCCCTTTCTTTCTTGGGCTGGGCATGTTTTGCGCCGTGGGGTACGTATTTTTTATAATTTTATCTTCAATTACGATTGTCATTATTAAGGTCTATATTTTCGAAAAACCTAGTGACATATCTTCCAGAGAAAAGAACTTGAAAATCACCGAATAAACGAACGAGCTTAATTCAAATTGGCTACACGATGACCGCTATTCCAGGAGTGGCTCCACTAAGTGTTTGAGACAAGACTTTTCTTGGAATTACCATTACTTAATATCTTAACCCTAAGAAAAAATGTAATTAAAAATAATTCAGGAAAAACATAAGTGTTAGAATTCCAATAATAGTTTGTCCGATTAAAAGTTTCTTGGCTGAAAATGCCACACGCCTAGATAATACACTATAACAATATCATAACGACGGTAAAAATTTCGTATGCAATGAAATACGTAGCATATACTTTGTCACTCTTAACTAAGTAAATAACAAATTTAAATTTTGCCTCTTTATGCAAGTCTCCTAAAATAAAATTAGGCTATTGTTTAACCTGTTCACAAGGGACCAAGCAACAACAGGGGAAATCTAGTTTGGGAACTGTGTGATATTATAAAAAGTTAATTATGTACAAAACACAAAACCTTACCCCACATCATATTGGAAAAATTTAAATTTTCCTTTTTCTTGGAGACTTGATTCAATATTAATCCGAAAATTTCAAAGCCTTGATCATCGAGTGTACTTAATTTTTCCAATAACAACCAGTTGCGGATAAGCTAGAGTCCTAGAATGGGAAAGTTCTTCTTTTATACATGAATCTTTTTATTCTGTAATGAAAAGAGCGGGATTTTTTGATTCCGGTATTGTGATGAAACGATTGTCGTTAGTTTTTTTTGATTCAATACAGAAATCTTTAGGATTTATTGTTTTCCCGGAAATGTTAAAGGTTGTATTGGCCTGCCAAGTATTCATCCCCACATTTTTAACAGAGAAATAGAAAATAGTTTATGTGAGAAAAGTATTTGAACAGGCAAACTGCAACACTATCTTTTGCAAAGACGTCATGGTGATACAATAGTTTGAAATACAAATTGAGTTTATGTTATTCGTTAAACTTGGATTTTCATCTATGAATTCAATTCTTAAGTAAAAGCCTGTGTCCAATTTGCGGTTTTAGAAGATATGATGAAAATAAAGCGTGTCATCTTTTTATAGCTCAATATAATTATTCTTAGAATAACCATGACCTTCAGGTAGAAATGAATATTAAGTTCAGTCAATATAGTTGATGTTGCAGTATTATTTTTATATATTTTATTATGATTGCTAGTTACTTAAACTGATTTATCATATGAATCGGTTGAGGTGTCTTGTATATATATAACCCTACCCGGAAATTTTTATATCCACACTGGATAGCTTGATTAACTTTCGTAATCAGTCCTCTCCACTCCTAAGTCAGAAGAATTCAAAATAGCAAGTACTTGCGTACCTTTTATGAAAAGAAATAATAGTCATATATTAGAGCTTATATAGTTATTCAGTTATATATCTTTTTTCAGCTTCATTCCAGTTGATTACATTCCAAATAGCTTTAAAATAATCAACTTTGACATTCTGATATTGTAAATAATAAGCATGTTCCCAAGCATCAATGGCCACTAAAGGTACCAATGGCTCAAGAATTGTATCTTGATTAGGACGGGTAACAACATCTAATTTATTCCCATTTTCTTTATTATAAACTATGAATGCCCAACCCGAACCCTGAATAGTTGCCAATTTTGCATTGGTAATTTCAACGAGTCTTTCAACACTACCATATTGTTCAATAATCTGTTTACCCAATGGAGAATCTTTAGCTGGAACTTTGCCTCCAAATTTCTGAACAGGTGATAAACTTTTCCAAAATAACACATGGTTAGTGTGTCCACCACCATGAAATTTGACGTTTTCTTGAAGTTGAATAGCACGCTTAACGTCTCCTACAGAGTTTGCTTTTGCGAGATCATCCACAGCAGCATTGAAAGAAGTGACATATGTTTGATGATGCTTCTTATAGTGAATCTCATTGATTTCCTTAGAAATATATGGTTCTAATTCATCAAATCCCCAGTCGAGCTTTGGTAATTCAATTTTAACAATGTTTGACATATTTATACCTTAGATAGAATAGCTTGCAGAGGAAGGTTTTATAAATAAAGATGGATACTATCGAGTACAAGTATTTATAGTTCAAATTTACACAGTCGAGGATCCTTAAATACCCCCTAGGATACAATTTTGGTCCTTAACTTGACCAATAAAAGCCATTGTTTTTTCATTACCTCAATAGTTATACTTTCCTAAGAAATCTATTTTGCTCAATATATTTGCTCACTGGCACATGGTAGCGAAATCCTACGCCACCACACTAGTTGAAAACAAAATACTTATCCACGATTGTGGATCAATTAAGCCAGTAAGCCTTCAATATAAAATATACTTCAATTGAGTTAGTAAAATAAAAAAAGGAAACAGAACAATATTTATGAGTACCATGATAAGCGTTATTTATTGAACGATGTACCATATTTTTCGAATACGAATTGTGCTACCGATAAAATTTGCTCGAGAATTTTGTGCTCGTTTATTTTTGATCAAATAGATAATTTTTCAGACATGAATATCCATATATTATCAGTTACTATGTTCGGAGAACTGCATCATTATATGGCAACACATGCATCATTGTAATTATCCAAGACTATGCTCGACTTGTGTTTTAATATTTCCAAGAAATAAAGATCGAAAATTAATTAGCGTTGAGTCCGACACGGAGTATAGCTAGAACGATATCTCCGCTGATATACGAAAAAATCCTTTTTAGCACGCATTAGGCAGCTGCAAAATATGAATTGCAACACAAAAATTCATATTAGAGGGTCCCATTATGATGAAACTTAGTAAATACAATAGGCGAAACTTAATTACGAAGTTACTGGTCAAAATGCAGTAAATTTAATTGTTTTGATTCTTGTTATAGAGAAAAAAAGAAGTAAATTAAAAATTAAACAATAAAAAATCTGAGCATCAAAAGTTCCAAGAAAAGTTTCAAACGTTTCTTACCAAATACATAAGATTAACCTTAACTTGAAAACCGATATGGATTCGTAGATTCAATTACATTGGTAGTTGATTGGTTATTTCTAATTGAGATTTTAAATTATTCATTAAAGGATTATATGTAAATCATATTGAAATAACCGATCTATATTATTAACTGAAAACTATGTATGCTTTCACTAATTTCTTAACTTATTGAACTATATTTATAAAGGTGCATTATCACCTTACTTCATTAAAGATGTATTTAATTGACCAAATAAAGGCGAAATATACGATGAAGCCAGTTTTATTTGTTTTACTTGCAGCATTGACATTAGCGTCAGCTGAGGATAGTTCGAGTATAACGAAAGCTCCAGCTAGTACTACCACTGCTGATAATCCATATGCAACTTATCCAACCGTGGCAAAGACCGCTTCTATCAACGGATTTGCTGACAAGATTTATGATGACTTACCAGAATGTGCTAAGCCATGTATGTTCCAAAACACTGGAGTCACACCATGTCCATACTGGGATACCGGATGTTTGTGTGTTATGCCTCAGTTCGGTGGTTTAATTGGTAGCTGTATTGCTGAAAATTGTAAGGGTAGCAATGTTGTTCTGGCCACCAGTTTAGCTACATCTATATGCTCTAGTGCAGGTGTCTGGGAACCATACTGGATGATACCAGCCTCGATTTCTAGTTCATTATCTGTTGCAGCTGCCGATACCGCAGTTGCTGAAACATCATCAGATCCAGAGCCAACTAGTGAATCCTCTAGCACAGCTTTGGAAGATGTGTCATCTACTTCATCTACTTCTATTCCAGAGAATACCTCGGAAACCTCCGATGAGGCTAATTCCGAAACTGCTAGCACCGAAAACCAAAGTACTTCTTTAGCTGCTGAAGCAAGCACTTCAAGTATTACAGATGACAAATCAAGTATAACTGAAGCTCCAAGTACCACTAGTACTGATAATCCATATGCAACTTATCCAACCGTGGCAAAGACTGCTTCTATCAACGGATTTGCTGACAAGATTTATGATGACTTACCAGAATGTGCTAAGCCATGTATGTTCCAAAACACTGGAGTCACACCATGTCCATACTGGGATACCGGATGTTTGTGTGTTATGCCTCAGTTCGGTGGTTTAATTGGTAGCTGTATTGCTGAAAATTGTAAGGGTAGCAATGTTGTTCTGGCCACCAGTTTAGCTACATCTATATGCTCTAGTGCAGGTGTCTGGGAACCATACTGGATGATACCAGCCTCGATTTCTAGTTCATTATCTGTTGCAGCTGCCGATACCGCAGTTGCTGAAACATCATCAGATCCAGAGCCAACTAGTGAATCCTCTAGCACAGCTTTGGAAGATGTGTCATCTACTTCATCTACTTCTATTCCAGAGAATACCTCGGAAACCTCCGATGAGGCTAATTCCGAAACTGCTAGCACCGAAAACCAAAGTACTTCTTTAGCTGCTGAAGCAAGCACTTCAAGTATTACAGATGACAAATCAAGTATAACTGAAGCTCCAAGTACCACTAGTACTGATAATCCATATGCAACTTATCCAACCGTGGCAAAGACTGCTTCTATCAACGGATTTGCTGACAAGATTTATGATGACTTACCAGAATGTGCTAAGCCATGTATGTTCCAAAACACTGGAGTCACACCATGTCCATACTGGGATACCGGATGTTTGTGTGTTATGCCTCAGTTCGGTGGTTTAATTGGTAGCTGTATTGCTGAAAATTGTAAGGGTAGCAATGTTGTTCTGGCCACCAGTTTAGCTACATCTATATGCTCTAGTGCAGGTGTCTGGGAACCATACTGGATGATACCAGCCTCGATTTCTAGTTCATTATCTGTTGCAGCTGCCGATACCGCAGTTGCTGAAACATCATCAGATCCAGAGCCAACTAGTGAAGCTTCCACCACTATATTGGAGGACGCTTCATCCGTTTCATCTACTTCAGTCCCAGAAAATACCTCTCCAGCTAATGAAGAAACTTCTGACCAAAGTGAACTGAGTACGACGATTGTTGATCCTACTTCTTCAAGTATTGAAGATGCAAACTCGAACATAACTGAGGCTCCAAGTGCTACTAGTACTGATAATCCATATGCAACTTATCCAACAGTAGAGAAGACTGCTTCTATCAACGGATTTGCTGACAAGATTTATGATGACTTACCAGAATGTGCTAAGCCATGTATGTTCCAAAACACTGGAGTCACACCATGTCCATACTGGGATACCGGATGTTTGTGTGTTATGCCTCAGTTCGGTGGTTTAATTGGTAGCTGTATTGCTGAAAATTGTAAGGGTAGCAATGTTGTTCTGGCCACCAGTTTAGCTACATCTATATGCTCTAGTGCAGGTGTCTGGGAACCATACTGGATGATACCAGCCTCGATTTCTAGTTCATTATCTGTTGCAGCTGCCGATACCGCAGTTGCTGAAACATCATCAGATCCAGAGCCAACAAGTGAGGCCTCTAGTACAACTTCGGAAGACATTTCCTCCAGTGAAGCAATTGTCACTTCCACTGCTGATCCTGAACCAACATCATCCTTAAGTGGGAGTTCCTCTGTCGAAGAAAATTCTTCTGATGATGTGACCTCTTTTATTACTTCATCTTCGGTCGAATCATCTGATGTTCATGAAGAATCTTCCATTGAAGTAAGTGAAACTGTTATTAGTTCGGAAATAGAAATTAATTCATCTCAATCAGATTCTAATACGGATCCAATAATTACCATAACCACCACCAAGTCTGCTGTTGTTACAGAAATCATTACTACTTGTGATGACAGCTCTAGTCCACTAACCCTCACTTCTACCAGATCTACTGTGATCACTGAAACTTACACTACATGCCCTGAAACTGATATTGAAAATGAAACCGAATCAAAGGGTGATAAGACTAATGATTACAGTACAAATACTGAAGCCATAACTAAGACAAATCACAATGAAGAAAAGGGAACATCTACAGTAACTGAGCACCATATTGTTACTGTTTCATTGGATTGTGAAAAGTGCAAAACTTTTGTTAAAACAGTAGATGGTGTAGTCACTAGCATTATTGAAAGTGATACAGTGACTACTCAAATAGGAGGAAAGGATAAAGCAAGTAGTACTAAAGTCGTTGTTGAAAACACTACAAAGACCGAAGGAATAGAAACTCATCCAATATCAATTGAATCTAAATCGGTTCAGCAAACCGTGGCTGCCAGTTCTAATGGTCCCGTACTAACAACCGTTAAAGTTTCTAATGTTGTTTCTCCAACAGATTCCATTATTTCTGGTACAACTCAAGTTCCAGAAATTTCAAGTACTGATCAATTCAATGCTGCTAACTCTTTTGTTCCTTCAATAATCAACTTACTCATTGCTGCCATTTCCATTATTTTTGCTATCTAATTTAGATAATATTTTGTTCAACCTATTCTACTCACATTTAATTTTCGGTTCCAAGTTAAACGCATTGGATATATTCTTATTTTAATACTGCTTCTTGAAGAGTCAAACCTTCATTCCTTTCTGTTATATTTGAGTTCACGCTCGCACGCTGCTATCGACATAAAAGATACTTTGATTAAATCCAAAATTTAAAAGATGAAATCTTTATTCGGGAATTTTAAAAGTTTTAATTCATATCTCTATAGAATATCTATATCATTAGAAGCTTGTAAATACATAATGTTAACTTCATATAATTAATAAACTACAAGTCAAGAAAGCTGCATAATTAAAAACTATTTCAGACATAATTTGACTGAATATTCATAAATATTCACGGTAATACAAGTGCCATGGTAAGTCGATTAATGATTTCACCTGATAATGGCAAATATTTGAAAAAAATGTGAAAATGAGACAAGACATGTCATTTTGTAACAGAAAATAGGACAAGACTCAGGTGTCTATTTTAAGAACGCGACAAAAAGATCTAGACCAAGAACTAAGTAAAACATCCAAACTTCAAAGTAGGGAGGGGAGCCCCTCTATGCAACTTCGATTTCCTAATTAGGATAAATTAGATGAAGAAGAATAGAAAGAAGCAACAGTTACTATTTTTAGGTGAAGTCAAGGGATTTACTGACAAGTTTCTAACAACTATTTGCCGCAAATAAAATAGACATGAAGCATAAGAAGACAAAACAATACCAGACAAGACTAGATGATCTAGAATATATCCTATAGAAGACAATGTAATACCTACTGAACATATTGAATGAATTAACTAATAGCCAAACAATACCTCTACGTAGAATTTTGATACTTAGTATCATCGCCATGTGTATAACAATGAGTGTTGAATATAGTTTGTTTTCATTTCATAATTATTATATAATCATTCTGATGAGATGATTTATCTTTAAGGATAGGGAGAATAGCTAGTTTAGACGTAGTTTTTTCTTAACTGGGCTGAATGTTAGTATAGATTGGAATGACCATGGCATCACAAAGATACAATGATCGATACCAAATACTTACCCCTGGATCTTTTTCTCAGCTTTTTTATTTCTTGCCGCAGCTCAATTAGTCTGCAAACAACCTGAAACAGAGGATGACAGAACGTAGAATGCACTTACGAATGAAGAAAGGCAAATATATTGGCACTAGAGCAGTTGAATATATGATAGATGAGGACAGCTCATTCTCTCTGTTCATCAGCAGCTAAGTAGCATGTCGGAGTTATATATGCTTGAGCAAATATACGAAATTGACAGCTAAAGTGGGAGATAAGCTGTCAGGATTAATAGTAGATTTTTGTTTATTGTTTAAAAATAGCAATTAAGGATATATGTATAACAAGTGTCACATCTAAATATAATCATATACTATTTTCAAGAAATATATTCAGTTTGGAGCACTTATACATCAGCGCCTCTCTACAAGACGTTAATTTTTTGCCTATATTGTAACTATATTTTCAAAACCCAATCATAAGGTAGGTATCTCTATCGTACCGTAATCTTAAACAGTTAACAAATACAAGCGAATAGATGAGCTTACATACAGGAAACTCACATACAAAATAAAAATAGTAAAAAGTTAAAATTATATACATATAAAAAAAAATTAAATAAAAATTAAATAAAATTTATTAGGTGACTGAGAAAAAAAAAGACGTGTTGACGATCACCAAATTCGATTTTGTAAAAATTTCAACGTACAAGCTGGAGTCCACTAATATATCCAATCAGGACCATTCGAACCCAGCCCAGCCAAGCCCAGTCTAGTGCATACATTACTGAGTAATACTGTGCCACTATATGAGTCAATATTAATTTGAATCCCAATATCTACTTTTGTTAATTTCCCATCCATTGCCTAATACGTGTAATAGGATATTTTTTCCTGTCTACCTTCCCCATTATTTATATTGTATTATATAACTACCTACCTTTGTACTTTATAGTTGTATCATAACTTATTATACCATTATATCATTATGAGCCATTCACTGTCTCCTACAAGATCAGGCTCAATACTAGGTTGGGTGAAAAATCTAAAGAAAGGTAATCTTACTTCCAGTGATAGCGTCGACGAAGTCACGAGTGATCCCGATCAGAAAGACAAAGATCATCATCATCTTAATTTACTGTCCCACCATCACCATCATCATCACCATCATGGCCAAAACCAACAACCGTTACAAGCTTCAACCAGTCTTGGTCACTCCGATTCTTCCACTAGATCACCTTCAAAATCCATATCTGCAAATCTATTAATTCCCCAACTATCTCAGCTGCAATCTTCTGTTCAATCACAATCACAATCACAATCACAACAACAAATACAACCGTCACCTCCAAGCCAAGACTTCTTACGTCCAATATTACATCACAAGTCAAGATCCACCAATAACGTTAATAGAGTAAGGTCGAATTCTTTGAATCAATCTGAAAAATCGTCCAGTTTAAGACAACATCGTGATTCTTTCTTACAGCAGAATCCTCTAGTTGATGAAAATAGTAAATATTTTGGTGTTCCATTAGAAGTGGCAAATAGTATTGCTTCTACAAGTGTATTAAATGATTCTGATTATGGTCAAATTCCTCGTGTCGTAGCTAAGTGTGGAGTGTTCTTAAAGAAAAATGGTTTAGGAGTTGAAGGGATTTTTAGAGTAGGTGGTTCATCAAAAAGAGTTAAAGAATTACAATTGATTTTTAATTGTCCACCTGATTTTGGGAAAAATTTAAATTGGGATGGTTATACTGTTCATGATGCAGCTTCAATTTTTAGAAGATATTTAAATGCCTTACCTGAACCAATTATACCTCTCGATATGTATGAATCATTCCGTGATCCATTAAGAAAACGTCAAAGAATAAGTAATTATTTTAAACATTTGGCTCAAAAGCCAAATAAATCATCAGCAATTTCTTCAGAACCATCAACAAATCAAAGTATCAATGAAATATCTGGATCTCATCCTCTAACAGAAGTCAATATTGGTAAATTAAATAATCACAATACCCAAGAAATAACACAACCACCTCAAATAAATCAACATGATAATAATTCATCATCAAATTCACCTTCAGGTATCTCCCAAGCAAAATTTGATAATGAAAAGAATATAGATTCCGACAATAATTTAGGAGCTGGTGGTGAAGTTCTTGAGAAAAAGACTAAACAAAGAAGAAAATATGAAAAAGTGAAAAATGATGTTCTTTTAGCTATTGAAGATTATAACCAACTTATTTCAGAATTACCTCCAGCTTCAAAACAATTGTTATTATATATCCTAGATTTATTATCCATGGTTCGTCTTGAAGTAGATGTGAATCTCATGTCGTCAAGGAATTTAGCTGCAATTTTTCAACCTTCAATACTATCTCATCCAGATCACGATATGGATCCCGATGAATATGCTTTATCCCAAACTGTAGTTGAATTTTTAATTCAATATTTCCATTATTTTTTACCAGATTCTTCATTTAGTTTGGATTCTGATGTTAATAAGTTAATATCTAATGGTAATTCAAAACCATCATCTGAACAAAATAATGAAACAACCTCCACTATAACTGCTACTTCAGGTGTTGAAGGTAGTAGTCAAGTAACAAATGTGGCAGTGAATTCTAAATCTGGAGATAAGCCGAAATCAAAGTTAAAGTCTCAGTCCAGTTTTAAAAGACAACATAGTAAATCCTTCTCATCGACTCCAGTGGATCTAGATATGGTAGGGTATGCTAATAAGCAAACCCCACAAATTGTTGTTTCTAAGAAGGATTTTGGTATTAGTGATGATGATAATGATAATGAAAATGAAAATGAAAATGAAATTGATACTACTACATGTGATGATAATGATAACTAGGATCCTATTTAATTATTTATTAGTATATAATCGTAAATAGCTATATTATATATATATATATATATATATTGGGTTCTCTAGTGGAGGGCATATTTAGCGGCGTGCGTGCCTCAATTTTTGATAGCATAATTTTTCAACGAAGTGTTATTAACAGAGCACACTAGAGACGGACAGTACACACCAGTAAGATATATATAAATATAGCATATCGTCAATGTCAGATAACGAATCGACAGACAGAGTTGTGGAGGAGCACGAGGAGGTAGAAGATGTTGAAGAAGAAGATTTATTTGGAGATGTCCAAGAGGAGGAGGAAGAAGAAGAAGATAATGATAATAGTGAAGCTCGCTCTAAACGAAGTTTAGTAGATGAAGATGATGAAGAAGAAGAAAATGATGAAGATGATGACGAGGAAGAAGTTGAAGAAGTAGAACATGACTTGAAGTACACAGAAATATCGTTACCGCGTCATGCTGAATCTGCTCCAACGGAAGATGAAGTGTACTCATTAAAGTTACCTGTTTTCTTAAATGTTGAAGCTCATCCATTTGATCCTACTGAATTTAAAGAAAAAGTAGAACAAAATGCTGCTGAAAGATCTAAAACATCTATGACAGATAAGCAAGTACAAAGTGAACTTGTTGCAGAGAAATTACTCAACGAAAATACTCTTAGATGGAGATATTCTAATAGTGGAAATGATGAAATTATAAAACAATCCAATGCTCATTTTGTTCAATGGGATGATGGATCATTGTCATTGAAGATTGGACAAGAATTATTTGATGTTCGCCATGTTCCAGCTGTCGATAGTTACTTAGTAAAGACTCATGATTCCCTTGAGATCTTACAGTTTGATTCATCTCTTGATAAAACAATAAATCTTTTACCAGCTTCAACTTTCACTGCTACTCATAGAAAATTAACAGCTGCTGTGAAAAATATACAAAGAAAGGAAAAGATTCTTAATACAATCACTGATGATGATCCAATGCGTAAACAAAGATTGGCTGATGAAAATGAAAGAAAGACCTTGAAATTAAGAAGGCAGCTTGAATTAAAGAGAAGGTTACAAGAGGAAAGACTTGGACGTGATAATAGTCCATCTCTTCGTGGTACGTCACGTGAAACTGCCTATGAAAGATTTGAGAATCAATACGCAGAAGATGAATATGACGAGGAAGACGATTTTATAGCCAGAGATGACGAAGAAGAGGAACAAGATGACGACGACGAAGAATTAGGTGATGAAGACGAAGAAGAAAGATTCGAAAAAGGAGCTGAAAGATTGCAAGCATTGAAACAAGATGGTGCTGCTAGATACAGAGAAGACAGCGAAGAAACTAGTGAAAGAAAGAGAAGGCGAATAGTCGAATCAGATGAAGAGGATTAGTATTGATATTTAATTCCATAGAGCTCGTGTATATTAATTTAAAGCATTAATTAACCTGTTTATTATTTCCGTAACTGTCCAGCCAAATTCACGAAACTTGGGTCTGTATTCCCTTAGAATGTCGGAATAATTTCAATCCAGTCCATGATATAATTGACCACCACCACACAATTATATATATACACCATAACTTTAATATATATCGATCTGTACATTCAAAAGTAACTTGTAATGACTTATATATCGGAATAGTTCTCTCTGAAACAGATAATGGATGAATAATAAATTTCCAAAGCTCGAATATAGAATTTATTGACATAACAAAAAGGACCCAACTGCAAAGTAGTATGAGATAACCATACCATAGAATGGAATCATAGTTTTCTTGATCAGATTCTTGGGGGTCTTCAATCGTATCTCGAATTCGTATTAGTGGTAAGGGCTCAGAAAACTCCATTTAAATTTGAATACTCCTTTATTTTGAAAATTACTGAACATTTTAAACCCATAATCTTTTTCTATAGAAGTAGTTAAATTCTTAATACTGGTGAGAAGTTAAGTTCAAAAGTCGTGTAATGTTCAGAAGTATAACCATCAATGAAAAATTAAATTATTGCAAGAACTTCTTCATGCAACATTTTCAAATCGCTTAGCAACAATGTCAACTATAGAACTCCCATATCAATTAACCTTAAGGATACCATTTGAAAGTAAGAGACAATCGTCAATTGCTAAGTCCACATTGTCTCCGGATCCTATTCTTAAACCAACAGAAATTTCTATAAACTATGAAATTGAAGATATACATTTAGTTTGCCAATTTAAAGCTGTTAGTGATAGAGTAATTAGAGTGGCTGTCAGCAATGTAATTGACAACATAAAGACAATTATAGAATGCATGGATGATTTTGATGGAAAAAATGATGTTCTCTTCGAAGAATCAAGTTGAAGATCTTGATGAGACTCTTCCTAGTGAAGTTTTACTAGCCTGACAACTCTTTGATATTGTAAGATAAATAAGAGTCGCCTTGTTTAAGAGCCACTTAGTGCGTACTGTTATTATCCAGGAAATTGCCTCAATCTTGAAAATTTACATTATGGATATGGACTCTTTCATTCAACAATTATTATCGATTTGTCCTCCTAAATCTATTGTTCACATACCGTAAAGATCACCCTACTTTAGTCTGAGCTCTCTAGGTTAGAAAGATTTATGGTCTATTTGTATAAGGGATGATGTTTCTTAATAAACAAAATCGTCCAATAATTGGGTTAATTGCTCAAGGTATTGTGCTTCAATATAAAGCCGCTTTGATTTACGTAGTGAATCTTAAAGTAAGACAAATGAATAATTGTTCAGAATGAATTCAAGGATCTGCATAAGACGTACTAGGCATTCAATAATAAGGTGAGAACATATCAATATTGACAGCTGTCAGGGCGTAAGTCCGACTTTTATTTTCTAATTGTCTACGGTATGGAAAAGTTTCTTTTCATAATTATTTGTAAGTAGATTAATTAAGCCACTTCTGTGGAATATTATTTTCTATCATAGCCATAAAGGACTATAAACTTACATATTTTCTATGACGTCTGGCGCAACAATTGTTCTATACAAGAGAAGTTCCAGACTTACCCCACCATATTCATTTTTGTGGACTCTTAATTATCATGAATAATAAACTTTAAGTGGATTGTTCTTTCTTTTATTTTCTTTTTATACCTTTTATATGTTCTGGTTAGTATAGATCCACTGATACCCACTGATTTACGTAGTTAATTCTCGTATAATACGCCATATTTAGAATAAATCAATTGTATATTGATGTACAAAGTACTGTACAGCGACATACATGCTTCTAACACTTTACCGACTGCAGAAGAATATTTAATTTCGAGTATCGCCAATTACTGAAAAATCATTATAGTAGTAGTATACCTGCTGCACCACAAATATTGCATATGTATGCGATGCGATGCGATGCGATGACTTAGAAAAATACTGACCGGCATAAAAATACAAATAAAATTAAGAATCAGAGAAGTAATTGTTTGAAAGTAAGTCAATTTTATCATCTTGGCATTGTATTGTTCAATACTTTTAATCTTTTTGTCAACTGTCATGCATGATATACAATGCAGGACTTTAAATATTTCCGCACCACTCTTCAATAGAAAATTAACAATGGATGCAAAACGAAATATAAGTAAAATTATTAACGAATAAAATTTTGACCAATAATAGTATTAATCTGTCACATACACACGATGATTAAATTTGCAAAGGACAAATTGGCCTCCACAATTATTATACTGATTACGAAATTCATTCGTAAATTCAAGCTGTTTATTTCCTCATTGATCATCAGCTCAAATTGTATCAGGTCACTCAATTTAATCCCCCTGATCGTACAACAAGACCCTTAATTCATGAAATTTTAATATATATATATACCGCAATTGAATTCATAATTGATGAATTGTTCACATCGTGTAAATAAACAAGAAAATTAATATTAGAGGAAACAAAATGCTTGTTGTGAAACATATAGCAACTTTAACTTTAATTCTATGGTCAGCCATATCATTAGCAGACCGAGCATATAACTACGAACAAACCAATAGCATACAAGGAATGTATGTTGATGATTTTGAAAAAGTGCATATGCAAGTATCAAGAGCTACATTTCAAGATCCAGTAGTAGTCAATAGAGGAGGGCTCTTGTATATGAAAAATGTAGCCAGTTGGCCCTGGTTTCAGGTACTCGTTAATTATTTTAGAGTCTCTCTTAGTGATATAATTGTATCCGAAAATGCAACTTTTGTTATCGATGATGATAATACATATGGGCAGTGGAGCTCAATTGCCCTCCAAGGGAAACTAAATAATGCAGGTGAAACATACATCTTAGGTACAAACTCGTCTCATTCTATTACCACTTCTATACAAAACAATGATTTTAATAATACTGGTAAGCTTTGTTTCTTGAACAACATTAAGAATCCTCTGGAGAGTCAAGTTGAAATAGAATGGTGGGGTGGAACAGCTACTAATGATGGAACCATCTTCTTTAAAAATATTGATAATATCATCATAAACAAAGACTTGAAAGGTAAGGGTTGTATTTGGTTAGAAGATTATACAAACTACGTCATTGAAGATCCATATTTCAATCTGAACAGCAACCAGGCTTATTACTTAGGCAGAGGATCTACAATAACTATTAATAATTATGATCCTAACAGGAATATACCAACTTTTGAAATATATGGACTTGGAAACCGAAATTTTATATATCTTTATTTAAGAGGGTATCCCTCTTATGATTATGATGGCGAATATTTAACAATCTCAATTTTGAACAATATTGATCAGGGTAAAGTAATAAGAATAAAAGTAGGTCAAATTGGTAACTTAGATAATAACTTTGCTATAATGGGTTACTGCTTACCGCAATCCAAGAGAGCCCAAGGTGATTGTAAAGCTGAAATATGGATTCCTTTTGGTACAGATGAACAACCACCCCCAGCCGTATGTCAAAGATGTGATAATCCACCAGTCTTTGATGTGGACTCATATGATGATTTGCAAAATGGCTCACAATCATCATCTTCCGAAATTGAAACATCTTCCGAAATTGAAACATCTTCTGATATTGAAACATCCTCAGAGATTGAAACATCCTCAGAGATTGAAACATCCTCAGAGATTGAATATTCTTCATCCACTTCAGACGTTGTGTCCTCCTCAGATATTGTGCCATCGTCATATGTTGAATCGTCATATGTTGAATCGTCATATGTTGAATCGTCATATTTTGAATCGTCATCTGAAGTCGTAGCCTCATCTGAAGTTACTTCATCATCGAGTTTAATATTGTCTTCAACTGTGGATTCTTCGTCGAGTGTGGAACCACTTTCAACCTACCCTTCGCTGTCAGACGCGATTTCATCTTCTTCTGTTGTTTCCTCGCCAGATACAATCATGCCTTCAGCCAGTTCCGACGTTCCTTTCTTTTCCCCTTCATTGGCATCTAGCTATACAGGATCTAGTTCAGCACAATCTGAGACAGATATAGTTACAGATTCAGACACTTTAGGAACTGAAATAACTGATGAAATTGTTAGTACAAGCTCACATGAACTCAGCTCAGGCACAGCTACAACTGTTATAGGAACACCATCTGATGAAGTCGTCACAACTGCTGACCCAACAGACTCTACTACTGAGATTAAAGAACCAGAGACTTCGGAAACACTCATGGATTCCGAAACAGAAAGCGAGGAAGAGGGATCAACCACTCTCAAAGTGCAACCAACTTTTGAAAGTACTGAAAGTACCGAAAGTATCGAACCTTCAACCACAGATACTCACTCGGACTGGTCTTACACCACCACCATCGTGATAACTGAACCTGATGGAAGTACAGAAACAAAGACAGCTATTGTTGTCGATCCTCAGAATTCCGAAGGTGATTGGTATACCTATACTTCGTTCTTAGATGATGAATCCACTACTCTCAAAGAAGAACCTACGCTTGGAACTTCTCAAAATACTCATAATTCTGAAACCACTGAAACCACCCAATCCACAAGTACAGATACTCACTCGGACTGGTCTTACACCACCACCATCGTGGTAACCGAGCCTGACGGAAGCACAGAAACAAAGACAGCTATTGTTGTCGATCCTCAGAATTCCGAAGGTGATTGGTACACATACACGTCGTTCTTGGACGATCCAAAGGAAACTGATGAAGTGAACAGTACACCAGCAAATGTAGATACAACGACCAGAGTGAGTGATCGCTCTACAACTACAACAACACAAGGTTGGACCGGGACTTATACGACTACGTTCACAGTGCCAGGAGATGATCTTGATACCGTTATCATTGCAACACCACCTGTGGATTATACTACCACTACACAACAATGGACTGGAAGTGATACAACAACTTACACCATATCCGGAGACACACTTCAGACTGTTGTAGTTCAAGTGCCAACCACCGCCACCACACCTCAACCTGCCACGGGTGGAGTTGTCACTGAATACGTAACAACATATACCACTGCTTTGCCAAATGGATCTCCTGCTACAGAAAGTGCACAAGTTGTTATTTCTCAAGATGACGATGGTACTTTGTTCACATCTTCAGCAGTATTGCCTACCATCTCAACATATACAAGGACCGCCACTGTGACGTTGGGCAATGGCCAACAGTCCACCGCCGTCTATGAGGTCATAGTTTCACCAGATGATTCAGGAAGTCTTGTTACTACAAGCAGTATTTTAGTTGTAGCTGATAGAACTGACGTACCTGAAGGTCCTGCTAATGGTTTAGATAATACTAGCACAAATACAGATGTTGGTGGTGAAGAGTCTACCAACGAAATTAGTGACGAAGTTGTAAATAACAATGCCATTAATGAAGATAGTGGGAGTGGTGCAGCTCCTAATGAGGCCAATACTGAACAAAACATGAACAATGAAGTTATAAACAATAATTATAATTCCGGCGACAATACTAATACTAATAATGCTAAGGATTATAGTACTGGTGAAAATAATGGCAACACTAATACCAACACTAATACCAACACTAATACCAACACTAATACCAACACTAATGCCAACACTAATGCCAACACTAATGCCAACACTAATGTCAATGATAATGTTACCGGTAATAATGCCAATGATAACGGTATTGCTAACAACGGTAGTGAAAACAATGGTAATGTTGCTAACGACAACGTTTATTATGACGGTACCGAATCAAATGGTGAACAAACCGTCCAACCGGCTGATTCTGAAAATGAAGACGTTCAAGAATTCGCCCCTACGTCTTATACTATTGCAGTCACTACCTCACTTCCTGATGGTCTGGTTCCTACAGAACTCGCGGTAGTAGCTGTTTCGATGGGTCCTGACGGCGTGGCTACCACACTAACCGCACCAATTACCGCACCTACTAATGCTGACTACTTCACTACTGTTGTGACTGGTGCACCGGTTGAAGACTACGATGCTGTAGGTAAGGAAGAAACTGATGCCCCGGCGGCACCTACTGCCGATGGTCCTGTTCCTCAGGTTCAACAACATCAACATGATGAGGATAAGGACACCACTGAAGAAAACGGATATTCACATGATGTGGAAGCATTTGATAGTGGGGCAGGATCTGTAAATTATCCGATTTACATGAATGCCGCACCCCTTTTGATTGCTCTCATTATGATTTAGAGTTTAGAGTTAAGTTTAGAGTTAAGTTTAGAGTTTTTCCGATATGCTTTTTTTAGTTCATGTCGCGTGCCTGATTTCTGAGTTTTTGTTAACAAAATAAAAGCGCATTAAATAATTTCTATGAGTAATAATATATGTACTAGTTCGATTGAAAGGCGAACAGAAAGTTCGTTTTAAACCGAAACCTCGACAGTGTTTTTGTCATTTTGCCGTAAATAAAGTGAGTTGCCAATTTTAACAGGGTAGTTCTGACTGAAACTGTTATTCTTCATTACATGCTAAGAAACTTAGAGGACTACATTATAATGTTGACTTTTTCAAAGAATGTTAAAACATTATGAGGGATATTTTTTCTAAATCGTTCGAGAATACGTAATAATCACCCAACTTTAAAATCTGGGCTCTATAGAGATAAAGAATTTAAAATTTATTGGTGCTGGAAAATACGCCACAATAGTCTTCAGGACCTCGGTATATTGCTCATAGATTCTTAATATAAACGAACTTTGATCTTATCATCGTAATATGCATAATAGATCCAATACAAAGATATACAACGAGCCGCGCAAGGTATTTGAGTACCAATATTATTGCACTCCAATTATTTAGCATAATGCAAGTATGGCTTCCGAATTTGTCTAAATTTCTTTTTATAATTATCAGTAAGTACGATAATTAAGCCACTTTAATTGGATGTTATTTTCCATCAATTTATGCCATAAAGAATTATAAACTCACATATTTTCTATGACATCTGGCGTAACATTTGTTCTATACGTGGAAAGGGGAAGTTCCAGGCTTACTCCGCTATATCTATATTAGTACATAGGCTCTTCATTGCCATATGTATAATACGACTTACCTCTTTCCTTTTGTTTTATTTTCTCTTTATACCTGTATAGGTTGTTGGTACGAGTAATAACTACGTTTGTCGACCTTCCCCCAGATTTACAATGATGTAATTATATTATCGACATATGGATTTACAAATTAACGTAATGTACATGCTTCAAATATTTTCCGACTGCAACAGAAGGATTAGCTTGGAGTATCGCTAATTATTGAAAAAAACATTAGCCTCACTACAACAGGGGTATGCTTGCTTCACCTCAAATATTGCATATATATGTGATGCGACGCGATGACGAAAAATTCTGACCTGCATAAAAATACAAATATACTAAGAATCAGACAAGTAATTGTTTTCCAAAATAGGTCAATTTTATCATCTTGGCATTATATTGATCTACTCATGTAAGCTTTCTGTCATGTCAAGTATGTCATGCGTAGCCGAACTTTAAAGGACCCAAAAAAGAAATTTGTGGCGCCTTTCACTTTTATATATCCCATCTACCGATATGCATCGAAAATTATACAATGGATGCAAAATGAAAGAGAAATGGAATTATTAATGAAAATAGTAATTTTGATTTAATAATGACGCTAATCTTGCATCTATACACAATGCTTCAATATGTGACAAATGTAGTGAGTCGAACATTTATTATTAACTTAAGGACTTTCATTTATCATTCAATCTGTTCATTTCATGGTTCAATCATTACCAACTTGTATTTGATCACTCTATTTAATTCAACTGATCGTGCCACATAGAAGTTTGACTTATAAATTCAATATATAAATAGTAATTAATGGCTTCCAGGTTTCTAAATTTTTCTAAAACGCAAATAAAGAAGACAATTAATAAAAATGTTCTTTGCAAAATACATAGCAACTGTAACGATAATTCTTTGGTCAGCCATATCATTGGCAGACCGAGCTTATACTTTCCAAGACACCTGGCTGATGGACACAATATCTGTTGATGATTCCGAAAAAGTCTACATGCAAGTGTCATATCTCCTGTTATATGATGTAGTAGTTAACTACGAAGGGCTTTTGTATATGAAAAATATAAATTCGTGGCCCTGGCATAGATGGATTGATGAAACATTTTCTGTCAATCTTTCGAACGATCTTACTGTTGCAGGATACGGGATGCTAATTATTGATGATGGCACTGCACAACAAGAGGAATCAGACCATAATTGGAATCTTCATACTTTGGATAATGCAGGTGAGATTTACTTCTTGGGTGCTCAAACGCATAATAATATGAATGTTAATATTCAAACCAATTGGGAATTATCCAATACAGGCAATATTTGTTTCATGAACTGGGCTGAAACTCCTAATGGTCATATAGTTTTAGGAGACTCATATAGTAACGCTATTAATAAAGGAACCATCTTCTTTAATCACATTGCTAATGTTGAAATAAACTATGACTTGGAAGCTAATGGATGTATTTGGCTAGAAAGTAATTCCCATTATCAATTTAATCCATCCCATAATCTGGGCCATCAAGTATACTTTATAGGCGCGGACTCATCCATAACCATCCAAAATGATAGATCCCAATCACCTTCATATGAAATATATGGACTAAGGCAAAACAATAAAATCCGTTTTAATGTAAATGGATATCCCACCATAAATTATAATGGAGAATATTTAGAAGTCCGAGTAGGGCAAACATTAGTAATAACCTTAAGAGTTGGCTTTGGTTATAAAAGTGAATCATTCTCCTTAACTGGATACTGTGCCTCAGTATCTAAGAGGGCCACAGCTGATTGTTTAGCTACGCTTACTTATACAGGCCCACTTGCTATAACACAACCAGATGTATGTCAATCGTGTTATAATCCAGCAACGTTGTTTGATGTAGACTATTATGAGGAGTTGTTAGATGACAAACAAACATCTTCCGAAATTGAAACATCCTCAGAGGTTCAAACATCTTCAGAGATTGAATCGTCTTCAGAATTTGAAACATCCTCAGAATTTGAAACATCTTCCGAAATTGAAACATCTTCCGAAATTGAATCATCATCAGAAATTGCAACGTCTTCCGAAATTGAAACATCTTCCGAAATTGAAACATCTTCCGAAATTGAATCGTATTCGGAAATTGAATCGTCTTCAGAAATTGAATCGTCTTCAGAAATTGAATCGTCCTCAGAGATTCAATCATCTTCCGAAATTGAAACATCCTCCGAAATTGAAACATCTTCCGAAATTGTAACATCCTCAGAGATTGAAACATCTGCACAAGTTTCACCAACTTCAGACGTGGTATCATTCACAGATGTTATGCCATCGTCATATGTTGAATCGTCATATGTTGAATCGTCATCTGAAGTCTTAGCCTCATCTGAAGTTACTTCATCATCGAGTTTAATATTGTCTTCAACTGTGGATTCTTCGTCGAGTGTGGAACCACTTTCAACCTACCCTTCGCTGTCAGACGCGATTTCATCTTCTTCTGTTGTTTCCTCGCCAGATACAATCATGCCTTCAGCCAGTTCCGACGTTCCTTTCTTTTCCCCTTCATTGGCATCTAGCTATACAGGATCTAGTTCAGCACAATCTGAGACAGATATAGTTACAGATTCAGACACTTTAGGAACTGAAATAACTGATGAAATTGTTAGTACAAGCTCACATGAACTCAGCTCAGGCACAGCTACAACTGTTATAGGAACACCATCTGATGAAGTCGTCACAACTGCTGACCCAACAGACTCTACTACTGAGATTAAAGAACCAGAGACTTCGGAAACACTCATGGATTCCGAAACAGAAAGCGAGGAAGAGGGATCAACCACTCTCAAAGTGCAACCAACTTTTGAAAGTACTGAAAGTACCGAAAGTATCGAACCTTCAACCACAGATACTCACTCGGACTGGTCTTACACCACCACCATCGTGATAACTGAACCTGATGGAAGTACAGAAACAAAGACAGCTATTGTTGTCGATCCTCAGAATTCTGAAGGTGATTGGTATACCTATACTTCGTTCTTAGATGATGAATCCACTACTCTCAAAGAAGAACCTACGCTTGGAACTTCTCAAAATACTCATAATTCTGAAACCACTGAAACCACCCAATCCACAAGTACAGATACTCACTCGGACTGGTCTTACACCACCACCATCGTGGTAACCGAGCCTGACGGAAGCACAGAAACAAAGACAGCTATTGTTGTCGATCCTCAGAATTCTGAAGGTGATTGGTATACCTATACTTCGTTCTTAGATGATGAATCCACTACTCTCAAAGAAGAACCTACGCTTGGAACTTCTCAAAATACTCATAATTCTGAAACCACTAAAACCACCCAATCCACAAGTACAGATACTCACTCGGACTGGTCTTACACCACCACCATCGTGGTAACCGAGCCTGACGGAAGCACAGAAACAAAGACAGCTATTGTTGTCGATCCTCAGAATTCCGAAGGTGATTGGTACACATACACGTCGTTCTTGGACGATCCAAAGGAAACTGATGAAGTGAACAGTACACCAGCAAATGTAGATACAACGACCAGAGTGAGTGATCGCTCTACAACTACAACAACACAAGGTTGGACCGGGACTTATACGACTACGTTCACAGTGCCAGGAGATGATCTTGATACCGTTATCATTGCAACACCACCTGTGGATTATACTACCACTACACAACAATGGACTGGAAGTGATACAACAACTTACACCATATCCGGAGACACACTTCAGACTGTTGTAGTTCAAGTGCCAACCACCGCCACCACACCTCAACCTTCCACGGGTGGAGTTGTCACTGAATACGTAACAACATATACCACTGCTTTGCCAAATGGATCTCCTGCTACAGAAAGTGCACAAGTTGTTATTTCTCAAGATGACGATGGTACTTTGTTCACATCTTCAGCAGTATTGCCTACCATCTCAACATATACAAGGACCGCCACTGTGACGTTGGGCAATGGCCAACAGTCCACCGCCGTCTATGAGGTCATAGTTTCACCAGATGATTCAGGAAGTCTTGTTACTACAAGCAGTATTTTAGTTGTAGCTGATAGAACTGACGTACCTGAAGGTCCTGCTAATGGTTTAGATAATACTAGCACAAATACAGATGTTGGTGGTGAAGAGTCTACCAACGAAATTAGTGACGAAGTTGTAAATAACAATGCCATTAATGAAGATAGTGGGAGTGGTGCAGCTCCTAATGAGGCCAATACTGAACAAAACATGAACAATGAAGTTATAAACAATAATTATAATTCCGGCGACAATACTAATACTAATAATGCTAAGGATTATAGTACTGGTGAAAATAATGGCAACACTAATACCAACACTAATACCAACACTAATACCAACACTAATACCAACACTAATGTCAATGATAATGTTACCGGTAATAATGCCAATGATAACGGTATTGCTAACAACGGTAGTGAAAACAATGGTAATGTTGCTAACGACAACGTTTATTATGACGGTACCGAATCAAATGGTGAACAAACCGTCCAACCGGCTGATTCTGAAAATGAAGACGCTCAACAATTCACTCCTACATCTTATACTATTGCAGTCACTACCTCACTTCCTGATGGTGTGGTTGCTACAGAACTCGCCGTAGTAGCTGTTTCGATGGGTCCTGACGGCGTGGCTACTACACTAACCGCACCAATTACCGCACCTACTAATGCTGATTACTTCACTACTGTTGTGACTGGTGCACCGGTTGAAGACTACGATGCTGAAGGTAAGGAAGAAACTGATGCCCCGGCGGCACCTACTGCCGATGGTGGTGTTCCTCAGGTTCAACAACATCAACATGATGAGGATAAGGACACCACTGAAGAAAACGGATATTCACATGATGTGGAAGCATTTGATAGTGGGGCAGGATCTGTAAATTATCCGATTTACATGAATGCCGCACCCCTTTTGATTGCTCTCATTATGATTTAGAGTTTATCCGATATGTTTGATTTGTATAATAATATTACATGCCTGATTTGCACTATGATCACAAAATCAAAATAAATAAGAAGTATGTAACTTCTCTAAATAATATATGTACTGGTATGATTGTATGAATAATTTAGGGAAAGTTTATGCTTTTCCCGAGAATGCGAAAAAATATTACATGAATCTAAATAAATTATCATCACATTCATATATATAAATAAACAGGGAGAATGTATTAAACAAAAATTATTTGTATAAGAACTAAAAAGATCATTTAAAAATAGATACATTAATCATTTTGGTTTTCGAAAGTCTTCAAATAAATTTTTTTACATATTGTTAAACTTGAAGCACCTGTTTCGAAGAGTTGTCACTATGTTCACTGTTACTTTCAACATGAGCAGTTGCAATCTTTTCATTTGAAGCTTGTTGGAAGGCTTGTAAAGCAGCAGTAGTATCATCACCAAAAACGGTGGCAACTTCTTCCAAGGTGTGACCAAAAGTTTCCACGTAGAAGAAGTATACTAAAACTAATTCAACAGCAAGAATACAACAGTAGACAATATAGTATTTCCATTCAATATTTTCCATAGCAACTGGGTTAACAAAACCGTTGTAAACAACGAAAGCTTGTTGACAGAATTGGAAAATATTAAGACCTTTTGCTCTGTGAGAGTATGGTAAAATCTCAGTAACATATAAGTATGGTAAACCATTAAGACCAAAATCGTAACAAAGATAGTAAAGGAAAATCATAGCAAGAACACCATTGGCCAATGACGTTTGTTCGAAGTTTCTCTTTTGATTAATTGCAGAAAGGACTGTCCAAATAATATATGTAACCAACATACCACTAATAGAAGTAAGGAACATAAATCTTCTCTTGAATCTATAACAAACACTAGCAGCAGCCCAAGAAATAACAATGTTATAAACATTCAAACAACCATTAATTTCTAATTGTCTCTTGGTTCCAGTGATTCCAATAGAATCTAAAACCTTATTCAAATAGTATGAGACTAATCCATTACCAGAAAGTTGCATAAGGAAAGCAGTGAAACTAGTTAAAAACAATCTCTTTCTGAAAGATGGAATTTTAAAAAAGTCAGCATATCTTGAACTAGAATAAAGCTTTTCCATTTCTAAAGCAGATTGAATTTGCTTAATTTCAAATTCAATAAGAATGTGAGCACGTTCATCTTCATCGGCCCCAGTGTGGAATTTGTGTAAGATCTTTCTGGCTCTATCAACCTTACCTTTAGAAAGTAAGTATCTTGGAGATTCTGGAACCAAGAAGAAAAGAAGAAGTTGAACAAGAGGTAAGAAACCTTGTAAATAAGAAGGAATCTTCCATGAATAACCATTAGAAATATTTCTGGTACCGTAAGTAATCCAAGCAGCCATAATAGCACCTAAGTAGTAGAATGAGTTATATATAGCAGTACAAGTATCTCTGTATCTTGGATAGGAGATTTCAGCAATCAAAGATGGTGCAGAAACAGTCGAAATACCGAAACCGAAACCTAAAATAATTCTTGAAATCAAAAAGAAAGCATAGTTATAAGACGCACCTTGTAAAACAGCACCAATAACGTTAAGAGAAGCACCAACCATAATAACTCTCTTTCTACCAAATCTATCAGAGACATAAGAAGCAAATGGGAAACATAAAAGAACACCAAAGGTGTTACCGTTAGAAAGAGCACCTAAGATGGAACCAGTTGGATAACCCATAGATTTATTCCAATCTTCTAAAGATTGTAAACCATTTAACATAGAACCATCATAACCAAGATTTGTAGACGTTAAAGTAATTAAGAAAACATAGAAATGCAACAACCAAAAAAAACTATATTTATACCATGGCTTCTCGAGATAAAGATAATTGTTAATATCTTCATCATTAAGAGCTTGTTGTTGTAATTGAACTTTTTCTGAGATTGACCCAGACTCGTCTTCTTGGGAAGTCAAACCTAATTCTTTTCCCGACATTATATTAGAAGTTTATTTTTATTTTTTGAGTGACTGTAGAATAATTAAATTATTAGATACATGAAGCTAACAGGAAATACTACTTGTATTTATAATAAAACCTAGATATTGACCTTACCACAACTTGGTACAAAAATTCTCAGAGTCAAGCAGCACGGAATATAATAATACCAATAAATTATTAATATTCTAAATTATTTTTTAGGGAGGAGGGGCTAAAAAGTTTTAATAGCCTGTCCACAAATATTGTTGCCTCTTATTCTGTTACTTACAGCTATAAAACAATACATTACATAACAAACAAGTAAATCTACGATAAAATTTGCTATGGACATGAGATTGAAAAATGGCCATGCATGCTAAATGTTACACATTACCTCGCAAAAAATCTCATGTCGGATCATTCAACGATCCACAAACCGATGCTTAAAAAATAATCAATTTAATTTGTATGAACAACAGTTAAAAATGCGGGCTTTTGTGTAATTTGAGTGGGGTAAATATGTTCCCCAATCTCGGGAGAATTGTTTTTGTGCCTTTTCTATATTCAACACCTATCGTGAATGTTGCACTTTTAAGTAACCAGGCCGGCAATATCGTCAGCCGTTTTGGTATTGACTTCCTTTTTAGGTACTGGTTCCTACTGAACCAGGAAAGCACGGATAATTTTTTTTGAATATTCGTTACAGTCAAATGAAGAGTAGCATTTTGGCTCTACCAAGGTTGTTTCAAACCACAAACAGCTAACTTCGGTCACATTCCGCACCTCAGTCTCTTACCGCGCTTCGTAAATAGAATATAATCATGCACTGTCTCTATTTGTAGAAAACATTGCAAGCTAAAAGCTTTTGGAGGACATAGAGCAAAATTGATTCATTTCGTCCGGAAGTTAATAATAGTTGTTCTAAAGTAATATAGAGATAGATATTAGGAAACAGTGACAAATTAGGAAATCAATCCTGTTCCTGGCTTAAAAGTTAAATCCATTCACCTTATTTCCATCATTCTTTGCCCCATGGGGTGCAGATAAAATTTCAGCGTAAAGGCAGCGCAATGTCAAAAACACATCATATATTATCGTGCTTGAAAAATTCTCTAATTATTATTTAGACCTTGTTTTATTTTTGTTTATCTTGTGTTCTTTAATATTTATAGAACGGACTTAGAAAAGTATATTGAAAGGTCCAATAACTATGTTCATCAGCTGTTTCTAGGGAAAATCTGTTCCACGGAAAACATTTCCTGTGCGCTACCTCTCATCCTATCCACAACAAATGTGTGAAACAGACGCTAATTGCTTTGCACCCAATAATATAGATATCTCCGAAAACTTTTTACATACTACTCCAATGTTATAAATTATCTTGCCGATTATTAAATAGATCAAACTGATTTGTAAGCTATGTATTTGGTCCCTCTTCTTCCTCCACTTCAACGGTTCAAGGGAAAGAGGGGAGCTGAATTATTCTTTCAAGGAAGAAGTGGAGGTAGAAGTGGGGGTGGGGTAGTCTTTCATTATTGCAACAGGTAAGTATATGGGAACTGTATCAGGTCTGTATCTGTCATTCTTCTTGACAATATGCTATCACAATATTTTCGTATATTTTCTAGTCGCGAAAATCGGATAAACTTGCATAATTCCCCACAAGGTGTACCCCACTCACCCCACTGCGCATAATGAATAAAGGGTACATTTCCTAAAGAAGCAGAATTCCCGCTAGACTAAAATTATTATCTTCACAAATTTGACAGGTTTCCCAATACGGCAACCATCCCTTTGAATCACCAGATTGAGATACACACTAGAAATTCGATAGCGCTTCAACAACTGCAAAAATCACCAAACCATTCGTTTTGCAGAATGATGATTGATTATTTTAGAAGTAGGCTTAATGCTTAACATGAGATATAATCTTAAAGTATATGACACAACACGTTATCTTGTTTGAGAGTTTTCATCTTATGAGCCGTTATATTTCTGATTTACCGTAGTCTAGTAACAGCATTGTTTAATTGAAAATAGTGTAGCGAATAGTCATTATTTAATCTTGTGACATCATATATCGGGCAACTCTCCATAACAGGTAACCTGCCCGCAGAACACAATAATAGTTCAATAGGTTGGCTCAAGCACATAACATAACATTATCATACATTATGGTTAGTTCACAGTAGGAAGCATTGTTCATTTTTTCCGAGAATTTTTGACTCCGTGTTTTGTCGGTATCTTTTTTCTGTACATCTTATAATTTAGCGGTAAATATATAAGTGGGAATTTTTCCGGATTTGATGTTTTCCAATTTTAAAAATGATATACGTATTCAATAAGCTTGAAGATTTCTTATATCTCTTCTAATACTCTAATTGTTCAAGAAAAGATGAGTCCAATTAAAACTTCAAGCAGTAAAGAGTTGGATATCGATTATTTAATCGAAAACTTAACTTTACCGGAGAAAATCTCTTTGTTAGCTGGTAAGGATTTCTGGCATACAGTCCCCATTCCAAGATTAAATATCCCTTCAATCAGAGTTTCTGATGGTCCAAATGGGATTAGAGGAACTAAATTTTTTAACAGTATTCCTTCGAATTGTTTCCCATGTGGTACCGGTTTAGCCGCTACTTTTAACAAAGATTTATTAGTGGAAGCTGGTGAATTAATGGGAAAAGAAGCTAAAATGAAAGGTGCTTCAGTTATATTAGGTCCAACTTGTAATATTGTTCGTTCCCCACTTGGTGGAAGATCATTTGAAAGCTATTCCGAAGATCCTTTATTATCTGGTCATGCTGCTGCTTGTATTGTTAAGGGTATTCAAAATGAAAATGTTGTTGCTTGTCTTAAACATTTTGTTTGTAATGATCAAGAAGATGATAGAAAGGCGGTTGATACTTTGTTAACTGATAGAGCCTTCAGAGAAATTTATTTGAAGCCTTTCCACATCGCCATTAGAGATGTTAACCCAAAAGCTTTAATGACTTCATACAATAAAGTTAATGGTGAACATGTTTCTCAAAGCAAAGAAATTATTCAAGATATTTTAAGAAAGGAATTCAATTATAATGGTGCTTTAATGTCTGATTGGTTTGGAACTTACTCCACCAAAGCGGCTTTAGATGCTGGTTTGAATTTGGAAATGCCAGGTCCAACTAGATTTAGACAAGCCATTCAAACCCTTCATGCTGTTCAAGCCAACCAAATTAGTCAAGAAGTTATCGATGATAATGTTCGTTATGTTTTGAGATTAGTTAATGAAGGTTTAAAAGCTGAAATTCCAGATGATGTCATTGAATCTGCTAATGAAGATCCAGCAGCTGGTGAATTATTAAGAAAAGTAGGTGATCAATCCATTGTCTTATTAAAGAATGAAAATAATATCTTACCATTATCTAAAATTGCGGTCAAGGGACAAGAGAAGGTTGCAATTATTGGTCCTAATGCCAAAGCTGCCCAAGACTCTGGTGGTGGTTCGGCTTCTTTAGCTGCTCGTTACAAAATTACTCCTTGGGAAGGTATCAAGAGTAAAATCGAAGAAGGTGGCAATACCGTTGCTTTAGAGTACGCCTTAGGTGCTTTCTTGGACAGAAACTTGCCAGATGTTGGTGATATTTTGATAAACGAAGAAGGTGAAAAGGGTATCGATGCTAGATTCTATAAACATGCTCCAGGCTATAAAGGTGATAGACTTTTACTTGAGACTTACAAATTGTCTACTTCTAAAGTTTTCCTTTCTGATTTCAAAAGTGATAGATTAGAACCAAATGATATCTTATTTTATGCCGATTTCACTGGTAATTTTATTCCAGATGAAACAGCAGAATACGAATTTGGTGCTTCGTGTTTAGGTACAGCTCAAGTTTTTGTTGATGACGTTTTAGTTGCTGATAACAAAACTAAACAACAAAAGGGTGATGCATTCTTTTTAGGAATGGGTACTAGAGAAGAAAGAGGTTCTATTTTCTTAGAAAAGGGTAAGTCATATAATGTCAGATGTGAATTTGGATCTGCTCCAACTTATACCTTGGAAGGTGGTCCAGTTGAAGCAGGTGGAGTTTACTTTGGTATCAGAATAAAATCAACTCCAGAAGTCGAAATTAAGAAAGCTGTAGAAATAGCTAAGACGGTAGATAAAGTTGTTATTGTTGCTGGTCTTTCAAAAGAATGGGAATCAGAAGGTTTTGATAGACCAGATATGGAAATCCCAGGTTACACCAATCAATTAATTGATGAAATCACTAAAGTTAACTCCAATGTTATTGTTGTCAATCAATCAGGTTCTCCTGTTAATTTCCCTTGGTTGGATAAGGTTCAAGCCTTAGTTCATGCTTGGTACGGAGGTAATGAATTAGGAAATACCATTGCTGATGTTTTATTTGGTGATTATAATCCATCTGGTAAGTTGTCAGTCACATTTCCAAAGAGATTGCAAGATAATCCATCATATATAAACTTTGGTTCCACTAATGGTCAAGTTTGGTACGGTGAAGATGTTTTCGTAGGCTACAGATATTATGAAAAGATTGATTTGGAACCATTATACCCATTCGGCTACGGTTTGTCTTACACTACCTTTGATTTTAAAGATTTAGTTGTCAAATCAATTCGTGATAATGTAAATATTAAAGTGCAAGTTACTAATACAGGTAAAGTTAAAGGTGCTGAAGTTGTTCAAGTATACATTCAACCAGAAACTCCATTGGTTAACAGACCAGTCAAGGAATTGAAGGATTTTGCCAAGGTTGAATTAGAAGCTGGTGAGTCTAAGATTGTTGAATTGAACATCAGTATTAAGGAAGCAACTTCTTACTGGAATTCTCAAAAGAAATCATGGCAATCAGACAAAGGTTCATACAAAATTTTAGTCGGTAACAGTTCAAGTAATATTAGCCTTGAAGGCAAATTCATTACATCCAAGACCTTGAATTGGTTAGGTCTTTAATTTTAGTTATTTAATGTCAATTGGAGTATTTAAGGCTTCTTTTTGTTAGTTATGCTTTTAATAGATTTACGAGTTATTTTAATATAGTAACATATCATATAGACTTTAGAGTTTTTTATTAAGGAATTTGCGTTAGAGTTAAGAAAAAGTGCGAAGCACAAACAAAATTGTAACGTAAATAGTTGTATTTGAATATTAGGATTAATCTTTGATCTATTAACAGAGAGATAGAAATTATATATTCTATTTAGTGTTATGCTTATTAGGTGTCATTTCTCATAAGGTATGTAATTTAATCAGTGCTTTATGTGAGGTTGAGGAGTAGTATTACCATCATTTCCATGTTCATCTAAATATTTCTTCCATTCAGGTTGTTCGACTGGAGCTTTACTCTTCTTTTTAACTTCAGCAGTATGCACACTCAATACAATAGTACCTAATAATAAAACGACAGTGAATGCTTGGGCGTATACTCTGGCTTGAACAAGCTTCTGAGCTCTAGTCATATATGGATCCCTATCAACTAATTTCCATGAACCATATAAGGAAGCAGCCCAGGCTGCTACGATTGTTTCGTATTTCTTTTCATTCAATTTTTCCAACATTCTTTCAGATGTACTTAAATTATTATATTTAGCCTCTTGTGCAGCTTCAATCTTTTTCAAATAAGCAGCTCTATAAGTATCAGTATCGAATTTAAGAGAACCTTCATCAGCAAAAAAGGCACCAATTGTTATAGTTGGCATGGCCCACATTGCAGCCTTGATAGAGGCATTCATTTGAGAAAATCTAACTGGATATCTATATTTAACAAATCTAGTAATACCATAAGCAACACCAACACCAATAACACACCCTTTAAGACCTTCAGTAAGGACGTATTGTCTATGAGCGGCCTTTTCTTCTTCAGAAATGATCTTCATTATAAATTATAGTATAGAATAGTATTAGTAGTTAATATGAAATGGTAACAATTCCTTTTCCTATTGTTTTAAACACCAATTAAAATAATAATTATATTTGCACCCGAATTGTCGAAATTTGGCATCTTTATATACTCCTTGAAAAATGCGGGTTTTGGGACAATGATTGTTGCAACGGGCTTTGAATAAAAAGAAATAAAGTTTATAAAGGGAAAAAAAAGAAAAGAAAAAAGCTCAGCTTGCGCGACATTATCCGTAGTCAGGCCCATCTCGGAATGACTCGAGCCTTTTCTTTTTGGGTGACGTACGCACTTTCTACACATTTTATGCACTTCTTACGCATTTTTCTGGAGACTACAATGAAATCAAAGCCCATCTTGTTTATAAATAAATTGTACCTGATTATACTTATACATAATTTTAATTTGTTGGATTTTTTGTGACCTGATTTTTTTTATTCAGGTAGTAGATTGCGATAATAAATGCTTATCTCTCATTTTCCTTCTCTTGTTAATAAATAATAACTCACTACTGTTGGCCGGTGGAGCATTAGCTGTAGGATTTGGACTCATTCTTCCTGTTCTAGACATATTTTGTTTAGCATCTTCTTCTAAAACTGATCCCATCGTAGCATTGGTACCCGAATAATAAATATCATCTTCAATTAACGTGTCATTTCCCAAATAAAAAATATCCGTAATTCTACCCACACTAAAAATAATTGATTTATATCCATATTTGGCAATTGAATTAATCTTTGACATCACTAATTCTGTGTCACGTAGAGAATTAGATAATGGAATTTGATAATTAATTAATTTTCCATCTATTAAAGTTATAATGAACCCTTCCCAAACGTCATCAACGGTAATGATCTTCTGGCTTAAAGGTGAATCATGTTTACGATAAACATTCTTTATCTTTGAACTTCTTGACCGTAAACTCATAAGGCCACTGTGTTCTATTAAACTTTCAATACTTTGCTTTTTAATATCTATCTTTGACACGACCTCTTCATCGGCCAGCGGAGTATCGTCATCAGTCTTATCTTTTTTCTTTAATCCTATAATCATATTAACATCGGTTAACTCCCATCCAACTACTCCATTAAACCAATATTGATGTTCAGTAACGGCATTAAATCCTAAACATCTAATTTCTCTTGGATCTCTTTCAACTCTTAAACATATATTATTCTTAGACCTTTTAAGTTCAATCTTATAAGTATGAACAATTAAAGTTGGAGTATCATAATCTTCATAAGCAATAGAAAATGATTGAATTGATGCACAACCACAAAATCTACAATGGGTAGGTTCCAGATGTGATACTCTAAAGGAATTTGGTTTAAATCTTCCAACATTAAAATCTTTAAGAACAATTCCACTTTGAACGTCTATTAATTCTGCAATTTGATCACGAACAACAACAATCATTCCTACAAAATCAACAGTTATTACTGTTGATTTGTTAATTGTAAATTGAGGAAAGTCCTTCTTCTGATCAACAGGTAAGGAAGTATCAGGAGTAACTCCTTCCGTAATCTTCTTTAAATTATAAATAGAACGGAAATCAGTTGAATGACTTGAAAATTTATTATTATTTGAAGCAGAAATTGGTTGAACTGGTTGAACAACACTTGGAGCTTGATTATAAAGTCCTTCAACCACCGATAATTTTCTTAATTTCCAATTATTATTAACAACAGTTGCAACAATAAAATTAGAATTATTCATTTGACAAACTATACGATCATTAATTCTTGGAGTTGTAACTTTTTTTGCTGATAACATAAAAATATTATCAGATTTATCTCCGTAGACCAAATTGATTAAATTAATTGTCTTCGAATTTCCATCATGACAAGTGAATGTCACAAGTTGACCTGATTCCAATACTAGTACGAATTCAACTTTAATTAATTCTCGTTCTAATTGTTCTAAAGATGGTTCAGCCCGATCCATTTCACGTTGTTGTTCACTAAATGATTTCATGGAGATTGGAGGGGGTGGGAAATTTCCATTAATTTGAGAATTAACTGACATTATTGAAGCATCACTATCTCTTCTATTTCTATTTGTAGAAATCGCCTTCTTTTGACCCTTCTTAAGAAGCATCTTTCTAGCTAAAACTCCCGGAACTGTCTTTTTTCTAAAGAAATGTTCTAAAATCTTAAATTTTTTATTTGCAATTAATTCAAGTAGTTCTGGTGATAAATAAGCTTCCCATTTAAAGTTTAATTCTTTTCTTTCATAACATTTAATCAATCCATACTTAAAGCATATTAAAATTATATAGCATCCATCATCACTTAATGAAACATGATTAATTGGCCAGAAATCTTTACCTTTATATTCGCCAGTTTCAACTCTAGATGCAATATTTATTGGTCGTATCGGTCCAGAAGATAAAGGTGACCATACCAATATCTTTTTATCAAGACCAACAGTTACAACAAATGAACTTTTTGAATTTGTTGCAATTTTTAATACATCTAAAGTGTGACCAGTCGGAATATCATCCTTTAATTCAATTGCATTAAAATATCTATTAACTTTTTCAAAATCAGATTTAGATAATTTAGATTGTTCATCTGAACCATTACCATTTGAATCAGTTGATGTAAGTTTGAAAGCAATTGAACTCAGAGCAACAATAAACAATAAGATTGATAATAATTCTAAGTAATAAATAAAATTATTATTATTACTTAAGATATCAGTTGCCCCTAATTTTATTAAATCTTTAGAATTATTTAATACACTATGCGGTATAATTAATACCCAATGCATAAAGATACCTAGTAATTGAATTAATCCAATTAATGTTAATGAAAATGTAGAAGTATAATCTTCAGAATAATTTAATCTTAAGAAAAACTGTCCAAATTTATATCTTAAAGTTCCTCTCTTTGGTCGAAGTGAAGCTTCTTCTTTTGATTTTAATAAAAATGATGAGATTATATTTCCTCCATCAAGTTGAGTAGACTTTTTATCCTTTTCTTCATCTGATTCTTCAAGTAAAAAATCATCATTACTACCATTATTATGCTTTTGTTGATGACGATTGATTATATCGGTAAAGTCTAATCTTTTTAAATCAATGATTACTATACCAGCCAAATAAGATAATTCTAAAAGAAATTCAAATATAAGACTTATAACTATAGCTTCAATTAAATATGTTAATCTATTAGCAATATATTCATAAAATGAACCCGTAATATAATTGTAAAGAATTGTAGATCCAATTATATATACCGCCAACAATCCCACAATATGAAGAATTAAATTTCTTAATATTAATGGAGCTCCTTGATCACCCGTATATAATTTGTATAATCTCTTGTGTTGTTCAGATTCTTCATCAGAATCCGAAAGAGTCTTTATAGTCGTAAATAAATTTTTAGTTGATAATACCAAAACGGCAAACACATATGAACCTTTAGTGAATGGTGTCAGAGGTTCAAATATCAACCTCCAAGATTTAAATCCATGTAAAGTAGATACTATATTGACGGAAGCCATACTGGAAATTAATACACTTGTTAACCAACCCAATAATAACCCAACAACGGATCTTATTTTATGATCATTAACTATAGCCAAATAAACAAATAATGCAAATAATACAAATGATATATAAATTATCCAATTGCTTGCCATGACAAACAATTTTGTCCAATAAACGGCATTATTTTGAATTAAAAAGTATTGAACAAATCCCTTTATAGTAGGTATATGAGTTATTGTTATTACTTGATCAAGTTTAATTAATTCATCAAGTTTAAGATAATTTTTAATATGATTTTCTATAGGTATATCAGACAGATGTAGTATAAATATTTTAATACTTTCAGCATATTTTATTAAATGATTTGATTTTCTTATATTATCCACGAATAAAAATGTTAATAAATTATTCATTTCATAATTTAAATATCGAATAATATAACTTTTAAAGTTTTTATTGATTAGAGAATCTGATTCAATTTGTTCTGAAAATTTAATTGGACAATTTGAAAGTGGAGATATTATAGTTATGTCATTCTTGAAAGAATTGGTTAAATTATTTTCAAGTTTTTCAAGATTATAGAAAAAGTTATAATCCAATACTGTACTTGAATCATAACTAGTTCCTTCATGATTTCTTGATAATAATAAATATGATAATGTTGAATTGTTTTGGTATTTGAAACTATTCAAATTATTTAATAAAGATTGAGTTTCAAGTTTAGATGCTTCCGGATTTAAATTAAGTAAATTGGACCCTCCAAAATGATTAGCCAATTGAGAATTGATTTGTTTTATGGTAAAATCATACACTACTCCATAAGCAATGATGAAAATTAACATTGATGGAATCAATATGGCATGACTAGGTCTTGATAATACAAATGATACAAAATTTATAACTCCGGAGAAGTATTGGGATTGTAATCTTCGTAGTATATTGTTCTTCTCTATGAATTTGAAAGTCATGATATTGTTGATGATGATATATGATAATTATGAATTTTGAAGATGATTCTACTAGTTGGGACCAATTTTAATATGAAATCACTATCGTTAATTAAATATAATATAATGAAAATGTACAATTATCTTGTCACTTGTTTGTGTCGATGAATTGGGTTTGAAGGTCCACAAATCCGATTCAATTTTTATACTTCAACAATGGTACAATAAATACACAGATAATATATATGCTTAAGTACATAAATATATGAATAGACAAATTAGTATCAAGTTATACCAACAAGATGTTTAAGTTAGTGAATGACTTGTGAATATTTATCACGCTACGGAGTCAGTAGCTTAGATAGAAGGGCTTTGACAATAGTCCCCCAGAATGGAGATTTTTTCGGGAGCAAATTTCTGACATACCCAAATAAGCGACAAACCGAGTGGAGTGGGCTGGGTACAGTCCAGCACGGAACGGTTGAGTTCGGTATTATTGAGCATGTAGGAAAGTTTCACCGATATTAATGATAGATGTGGTGATTTTTTAATAACGGTGACTTATAGTTAAATAATATCACTGTATAATTACAATTATGTGTCAAAAAATGGGTTCATAAATGTACATTAGAGAGAACAGAGATAGGGAAGTATACTTCCCAAGTTAGTTAACATTGGTAAAAAAAATAAATATATATATATAAAGAAATAAATTACTTAGCACCAAGACTACTTATGTTCAATGCATTCATTTGAGCAAGTAAATCATCTATTTTACCATCTAATAACCCATTAGCATATTCATCTCTAGAAGATTGATCTAAATATTGTTGTATTTGAGCTAATCTTGAATATCCTTCGGTACAAAATTTCAATTGAATCTTTACCAAACTTTCAAATGATGGATCATAGAATGGAACTCTTAAGGCAATCAATTGAGGTAATTCAGCCTTTAATTGTTCATTTAAATCATCATAAATTTCCTTAGCAACCGCCAATTCTTTCTCAGCTCTTGGTAATTTCCCAGCATCTTTAGCTGGTTTATCAATTAATCTTCTAACTTTAGATTTACATTGATCATAATCAATCTTTTTATGGGCTCTTTTCTTAATGGCTTCATCTATTTCAGTAAAATATCCTGCAAATTTAGTTATTGGATCTAAAATAGTTTCTCTAAATGGTCCATCCATTTGTTTAACAGTTTCTTCATCAAATTCTCTTACACATTGTAAATATAAGTTACCAACACTTGAATATACCGATCCTTGAGTATTATCTTCATATAAATTGGATACAATCTCTGCAATTGTTACTTGAGATGCAGTTACAGCACGTAATGAATCTAAATATCCTTTAGAAGCCTTTTGTAAGTTACCACCTGCTGTTTTTAAAGTATTATATCTTCTTTCTTCTACATCAAAATCTTTATCAATTGTTTTATCCACATCTTTCACAAGTACAGATCCTCCGGCACGGTTAATAGCTTTCTTAAATCCTTCCCAGGACATCTTCTTGATACCTATTGGTTAATTTTATTACTGTAGTAAGTATCACTCCTTACTATATATAGTACATGATGAGTTCCAAATTTGTAATCCGCAGTCAGCCGAGTTACCGAGTCGTGTGACTTGGCTAGAATCTACAAACTACCAAAATTATATAGGACAATGGTACTTAACTATCAGGACAATAGAAACAACAGAGTCAATTAGCTTGTCAATATAAGCAGTAAAGGTCAATTATCAGAGTTAATTTATAGTATTAGAAGGATAGAAAAAGTAGAACATGTCAGAAGCTGAAAATACAATTGCTACTGAGGAAAACAGTCATATCATCATTAGTAACTCCAAAAGTAATAATGAAGGTAACGATCATCAGCATAACCAAGAAATGATTGATGAAATATTAGAATTGAAAACTAAGATAGCCAGTATAGTAGGCAATATCAAAGACACTAAGAGTGTATGTAATAAGTATGAAAATGAGATTCAATATTTACAAGAATATATCAGCACTTTAATGAAGAGTGATGAGTTGAAACAGAGATCTTAATACTACACTTTCACATAGTAACATTTCATATCACATTTACTATGTCAGTACGACAGAGTGGTTGATGATGTTGAACTGTATACAAAAAAAAGCATATATTAGAAAAACTTAAGTATATGGCTGCGAATATAGAAATTTTAGCAATGTACTTCCTTTTAGTTGAATCAAGTAAGATGTCGGAACCAGCAAGTACCATAGCACGGGATATGATTGCTGAATATGGAATCCATAAAACTAACGATGAAAATGAGTTTATTGGGGATCACACTATCACTAGTCTTCCATCTCATCCAGCAGCGGCTAAATTACGTACCAATAATGGTATTGGAATTGGACTTTTGCAGCGGGTTAATGTTGGGTCATTTGATAATTTAGTACGAACACATGTACTGGATGCTGATAATCATTATGGTTTAATTCAAGAAACAAGTGTGATAGAATGTTCTCAATTACCTGTTGGTTTAAATAAAAGAGCTGATCGTAAAGCTTCTAACCAATCTTCTATGACTGAAGACTTATTCTATGAAGCTTCCCCTGTATTGGATGGCTCAACGCTGCCATTGGTTCCTACAAAGTCTGGTATCAAATTTTATCCAACTCTCATTGAAAGGTATCCTACTACGATTGAAATCAATCATGCCCCTCAAATGACAGAAGCATTACCTGAGTTTTGTAATTTATCATTGTCTTCATTAAAGAAAAGATATCCAAATAATCATATATATTATTGTTCTCCATTACGGGAAGAAAGGTATACAAGCGATGAATTGGATGAACTTAAACTAATTTCTATATTATCAGAAGAAATACGTCATTTAGATGAAGATAAATCTGGCAATAGATCTATGTTAACAAGACTATATAATTCTTTACATTCTTTGTTTTTTTATAAAACTATCGATGTAAATCTGGCATGGAATATACCTGATCATGACATTACCAGTAGTGATCTGTGTGATGATAATGAATCAACTTATGAACTTGAAGATACGCGACTTTTATTATATAGTTAGTTTATAATTTAATTTAATTTAATTTAATTTACTTTGGTTTGATAAATATTATTTATGATATCTGGAAATGCTGATAATTTTATATCAGAAGATGAACTCAATGTACTGATATGACTTTTAGTGATCTCATTTACATTATTCTCATCCTGTAGTTTGGTTGAAGAATATATACTACCCCCTGTCCATGAATCTAAACATGTTTTGGCAGTAAGATCATACTGAGGAAATAATTTTTTCAATTCTTGCAACAATCGTAATTTGAAACCGGGAATATTGCTTATACCTCCTGTTATTATTAGATTCTCAATAACTTCCTTTCTTATATGAATATCTAGTTTATCAATACTAGTTTTTATTTTATTTAAAATATCTTCATGGAAAAATAACTGTTCAACAACTTCATATCGTATAGAATTAGGAACCTGGATTCTATCTGCTATTTCAAATAAATCTCTAGAAACATTATATTCTAATGGTCTAACGAAGAAGTAATCAACTATTAACTTCTCTATGAAATCAATTTCATTTTTGTTCCGTAGTAACTCATCAACTTTTGGATTTTTTAATGAAATTAATAATTTGGCAGTATTTAAATATAAATTCTTCCCACTATACTCATAATATTCCAAACTATTATTATTAGAAACCTCTATCATCTCGTACATAGGATGGATTCTTAAAGCATCCCATCCGAAATCTAAAACCAATCCATGATTTTGTCCTGCAGCTATCATGGACATCGATGGTTCTGATATAAATCTAATAGATTGAAATTGGAAACATGTTAGTAGTAATTTGGAAATCTTGTATTTGTCCACAATAGATAAATCTGAATCTATTAGTAAAACCTTATATAATGCTGAATCAATTCTTAACTTATTAAGAAAGATATCTAGGAATAATTTGTGCAATGCATTATCTCTATATTCATTAATTCCCCCAATTTCTCCTTGTAACATTAAACATTTCAGCATCATATTTCTATATATATCGTACATTTTAGTACCATTGTATTCGTGTAGCTTGGCATTAGCTTTCAATTCTGACTTTTGTCCAGTAGTTAATGCATGACTATCACTAAATTCATAGGTTAAGTCTTCATGCATGGAATCTACTGGACTAAACGAATAAGGTACAACAATGGGCTTATCTTCACCGGCAATTCCTACTTTTGCAAGTCGACTACCTAATGATATGACCACTGTTGGTTTCTCTTTATTCCCTGTCCGTATCATACTTAGATATTTGACTATTTTAACGATTCCATATATTGATCCTATCCTATATAATTAATTATAGTGCGCGTTGTTTACAAATATACAGTCTGCAAAAAAAAAAGAGCTTCTAGAGAAGGTCAAGATCGTCATCGTCAATATCCATGAAATCATCTTGTACTTCTACCTTAGTTTCTTCCACATCAAATTGAGCAGTCTGTTGCTTTTGTTGATGTTGTTTTTGGAATGCCTCAAGTTGTTCAAGATTCCATACAGACACACCTTCCAGATCCTTAGGATTCGTGGGTTGTGCTAAACTCCGTAAGAACTTTTTGGCAGTAGCTAATGCCATATCCGTAGATAAGTTATCATCAGAATCATTTAAGGCTTGTGCAATCCATTTGGGAAGTTGCTTCTTTTTGTTGGAAAATCTTCTGTCAGCCAAAACCATAATTCCGTAATCATCTTTACCTCTCAAAACTCTACCTAAACATTGAGCTGCATGTCTCATAGCATCGAATGATAAGAAATCACTCTCTCGAATTTGAAAATGATCTCTCATAAATTCTAATCTTGCCTTTAAGATTCTAGATTCTGTATATTGGAATGGGATACCAATCATAAGTACGGTTCTTCCATAATGATGATCAAAATCAATTCCTTCTGATACTTTACCACGAGCAACCGATAATAGAACTGCTCCTCTACCATTAGAGCATGCTTTTCTATATGTTTCCAATGCCAACGAAGTCTCTTGAGCATCTGGAGTTTCAACTAAAATAAGTTTATACTTCCAAACTTCATCCAATACACCCATTGTTTGCCACATAGAAATGATAGATTCCATATATAAATAAGAAGGAAAGAAAACAACCATTCCATCAGGAGTAATTTTTGAAAATTCAACCAATAAAGATCCATAATTTCTAACCACAGAAGGATCGGTTCTAATTTCAAACTTTGATGATATAGCTACTTGATCTGACCCTTTTGTTACAATCATTGGAAGGAATGATCTTCTGGCTAAAGTCATTGAATACGATTCTGAAATAGTAGTTTCAAAATTAAGCATTTTCGGATACATCTCCAAAGGTGAGATAGTCCCGGATGTAATAATGACTGAGGAAAACCTTTCAAATACTGGTTTAATTGCAATTGAAGCATCTAAACATGCAAAATGTAATATGGGGTTAGGAACAGTAGAACCCTCTGATTCAAAGGGTTCTAAGATTAATTGAAATCCAGTTTCATAAGTAGATACCAAAGTAGCAAAAGTCGCTATATCCTTCAAAGCTGTGAAATCTTCGATTTCATTCAATTCTAATGTTCTGACTAATAAGGATAATCTTTCAGAACAAAATCTTAATGGTTTTCGATCTATATAAGTCAACTCTTTCAAATGTTGAAGAAAACTAACTGGAGTTTCACTAATAACATGTAAAACTTTCATTCTTGTTTTCAAATATTCTATAAATCGTTTTAAGAATGATATGAAATGTTCAGCTTTTCTAATATTACCGGGAATTGCTTCCTCCAATAAATCTTGAGGTAAAATTGGATTACTCATGAATAACTCTTCTTGTCTATCAATTTCGGCTTGTCGTAATCCTTCAACAAGTTTTTCATATTCATTTTGTAATTTTTCACTATCTTGCTCCTTCATATCATCCACGGCATCGGCTAATTTGTTTGCTCCTCTGGTCGCTCTTTTTAGTACATCATCGGTTAAATCCAATGATAAAGATTCTATACAAACATTATCAATATTGTGTGCTTCATCAAATATAATTATACTGTCCTTGGATAATTCTTTAGAAACACGGTCGGCAATCTTAGGATCTAATAAATAATGGTATGAATAAATAATAATATTACAAAATGGAATCATTCTTCTGACAGTGAAATATGGACAAGTACCCTGTTCTTTACAATATTTGACTAATGACTCAAATGAATAAGTTCCTGTCGGTATAAGATCATGTTGCTCTAATTCATTTAATTTTTCATGATAAGTACATAATGAGTTCATTTCTGAAGTAGGATCTTCAATAACTGTTCCCTTGGTTATCTTTTCTTTCAATTGACCATTTGTAATTCTTCTACATTTTTCATCAACCACTATACCTTTTCTCTCTTTAGATATCGTTGGATGTAAACATAAATTCTTTCTACTAGTTAAACCTAAACCTCTAAATTCTTCAACATAACCCAATTCTTTGGCTCTGAAGTCCATTAAATTTTCCAATTCTATCAATGCCTTTTCAATTTCAGACATGGTACGAGAGCAATATACGACTTTTCTATGTTCAGGATAATGCATTTGATATGCTATTGTTAATGAAAGCAATGATACAGTCTTACCCGTACCTGAAGGCATTTCTAATACACACTTACCTCCCACATCCAATGTTTTTTTAATATCACACATATAAGCATATTGCTCAGGATATATTTTTGGATAAGGAAAAAGAACAGGTAAATCATCAATATAGAACTTCATTATTGCGTCATAGACCTAACACTAATAAGTGCACTATAATTTAATTCATCTCCAATATTTCATAATGTTTTACGATCCGAAAATTTCGCACTCTAATAAACTAAAAATTTCCTGTATATACAATGGTCTAATTTATCTAAATCTAATTTATCTATATCTAATTATTTATATGGGAATAGTTATCAATTACCAATTGAGCTAATTGAGGATATACAATATCGGAAGTATTACCAGAGACAGTGTGTAATACGTTAAGCTCTTGGTAGAATTGTTTGAGAGGTTGTAACTCTTTATTATAAAGATCTAATCTTTTAGATACCACCTCAGCAGTATCGTCGTCTCTCTTAGTTAATGGTTCACCTGTAATATCATCTTTAAATGGAACTTTAGGTGGATTATAGTCAAGATTATAAACTCTTCCACTATTTACATGAACCCAACGAGCTTCAATTCTATCAATAATAACTTTCTGATCTACATCAAGTTCCACTACCATGTTAATACTAGCTTCATTAGGTTTAAGTACTTGATCTAAGGAGCGAGCTTGACCCACTGTTCTAGGAAAACCGTCCAATAACCATGTAGATTGTTTATTTAACCAATTTCTTTTATCAAGCTCACCTCCAATTAACCGAACCATGAGTTTATCAGGTAAAAGTTTACCTTCTTTTATATAACTTGAAATTTCATGACTTAATGTAGTTCCACTAGACAATTGTGATCTTAATATGTCCCCAGATGAAAGTGAAGAAATAGTAGGAAATTGCTTTAAGAGTCTTGAAGTTAATGTACCCTTACCTGAGCCTGGTGCTCCTAGGAGAAGTAATCGTAATGGACGAACAAGTGCCATAAGTTAGTAAAGAAACCGCTATTGTTCGCTGTCTCTCCACTTTTCCGACCGTTTTTATCTTTTTGACGATCGCTACCCATTTTAAGGCCGCGGCTTAAATTAATTTATTTTACTTGAATATAGGATAAAAGTGTAAATTTGATAGTATATTTGTTTATATGCTTAGGGCTGAATATCATAGAAAATTGACTACTTATTGTAATTGTAATTTTAATTGTAGTATTGGTGTTCATGGTACTTGGTTAACCCCGTTAATATTTTCATATTTGGTACAAATTCTGTGGAAAAATTTAAAGAAGTTGATTATTGCAAACGGATTGATGCACCCTTTTCAGGCGGCACATCACTTACAAGAATATGAGCAAGTCTACTTTTATCGTTATTAAGAGATAATACAGCAAGTCAATAATTTTTATTGGCATACAATAAATGGCAATTTTGAGACTAAAATATTTGTGTCGTTATCACATCAAACAATATCATAAATACAAGCTAGTGATATGAAGTATCAAACCATATATTAGTTCATATGAAAGTACGTCTATCATCTGTAGCAATTCTTTCACGTGAGTCAAAACTTCGTACTAAAAAAGTTTACTATATATAATACCATAATTTTGGTGCATGTATATTTTTATCTTTTGGGACTTATCTTTATAGTGATTTGAGTTTTGCAACTTCTTCATTGATTATCTGATTACAGTGTTGTCCTACAATAATCATTTATTCCGCAATATTCAGCTGTCTCTGTATCATCATATATTTCGTTATTCATCTCTGTAACAACACGGTTCAACCAATTATCGGCAACATCGACAGTATTGAATTCTTCCAGAGCAACTATTTCTTCGTTATGTTAATTATTTTAATCACAATAGCAAATGGGTTTGTTTTGCTAGCTGATAGATCTTCATAAGTATCTGGTCCGTTGTGGAAGTCAGACCACTGTTTATAACAAAAATTTCTCTAACACTCATTCCTCAAATGTTCACATTGTATATATGACTTTTTATTTCAACGGGATTCCAGTACTTGTATATAATAACGAGATATTATGATGCGCTATTTATAGAACCATCAAATTATTCAGTTTTAATTTTATATTTACAATGTATATAGAAACGGAAGGTTTAAGGTCGCTATTCAAAGAACTTGTTTAACCATAACCCCAGCAACTACATTGAAATGCTGTTAATAATAATCACAGAAAAACAATATAAAAGATAAGTTACGATATTTAACTGGATCAAGTAATAATTCAATACATATAAATGAGATAGAAAGTGGCAATTGGAATATCAATTTATGAAATCTTACGAAAAGCCTTTGTTTTTAGTTTCATCAATATATATATATAGGATGTATACAAGATTGATATTACTAAAACTTGATAAAAGAAGGTCTCCGTCGTAACGCCTGTGATTGATGTCATGTAGGACTAATTTCACCGAAGCAGCTGTGAATTAATGGACTTGCAAAATAATTGATAAATAATTATACATAATTAAAGTTATATAAGTTTATAATTTACCTTATCAGATCTATATTTAAATGATAGCTTAACAAGTGATGTACGGAGATATTGACATCGAGAATATTGTGTATGAATAAAAGCTGAATCAACTTCATGAGATCCAACATCCAACATTCAGAATATCATGTAACAAATAGTTTAACTGAAAGCGTGAGTGCTTAGCAGCATCTAAAAGTGGAATTCGTCTTGTTATTCAGTTTATCTAAAAGGAAATTACAGCTTGTAACTTGCAGCAAACTGAGCTCACTTAGATACGTGCTTAGAATATGTTTGAGCTCTATGATAAGAATACTTACAGCATCATGCAATTTTAATTAGAGGTACATATTATCCAAATATCTTGAGACTGAACTTATATTTTGTAGTCTTGTGCAGCTTGTAAAGACTCTGGTCATATACCATAAAAATTAATTATGAGGATATACGAAGCCAAGATTGTATATTCCAACCAAATGCAGAAAAATCCGAACTAGAAATCTCTTCTTAGTATCACATATTGCAAATTTGGAACGCGATATGTGATGTTGACAATTCATTCATAAACAGATTTGTAAACAATTGTTACTGTAGGCGAGTGCAATTAATCTTTAAGTTTTAAGAATGATGGCCCAGTAATGGCATTACGTGAAAATTAGAATAAAATATTAAAGTTTAATACGAAATGATTTTCCTTTTTCTATTCCTCTTCCTCATCCCTATTCCAAACAAGACCTACATTAGCCCAGTAGATGTATAAAATGATTCAAATCAAGTGGTCTTCTGAACTAACATTTGTGTAGCAGAATCAGAGAAAAGGTTTTATTAAGGGAATTCCAAGGAACTAGTGTTACTCCTATTTATATATATTAATATGATCGGCTATTTCCTTGTGCTCGAAGAAGTTTATTTTAAATTATGGAACAATCTATGCTCTTGTTGATGTTTACTTTAAGTAGGGACCAACAAAACTATATTTCCTGTAGTAAAAGTTGAAAGGAGTTTTCAAATTAGAATAATTATACACATTGTCATGAACTACAATGAAATCATTAAGTTAGAATCACTCAGGCAATGTACTAAATGAAATTTACTCCATTGCCTCACTTCTTAAAGGTTTTTTTACGCATAATATTCCTACTCAAAGCACAAGCATATCGTAAAGATTGGTCTGCTGAACATGAGATCAGGGGAAACATGGACATGCATATAGAACGCGGCATATTTCTTAGGCAAGCCAAAAAATATTTAGCCGACAGAACAATAAAGTTCGTATTTTTACCAAATTCAGAATAAGAAAAGCTTAGTTATTAAGTTCTTCATAGCTTAAGAAATATTGATAATAATTCAATTAGCTTGCTAAGAAGGTGAACACTAAAAAGAGCCAATACAAGTGATAAGAATGATTCTCAAGTAGAGTGCCTTTTTTTGACTCGAAGAAGAAGAAGAAGAAGAAGAAGAAGAAGAAGAAGAAGAAGAAGAAGAAGAAGAAGAAGAAGAGATATACAACAATCCAGGCCCAAATTAGAGATGAACTAATATTTAAGAAACTGTCTAATAACTGTCTAAACTATAACTGTCTTCAAAGGCAAAAGCTCGGATTTGCTTCCTCGCGTTTGAGTTCTCCAATTTTCAAGAATGTTCCAAATTAGATATTTAGCAGCCTTTTTTTTTGAAACCAAATGATCAGTATTTAGATACAAATATTTTTAGATAATTTCCTGCAAATTGTATATATAAAAAACTTTATCATCAGAATCAAAGAAAGGTTCTATAATGTTAGTCTTCATAGAGTCAAAGATCAGAAATGAAGTCTTCAATTTTACGAGCAGTATTTTTTGCTGTATTCCTATTACAGACAGTATTGTCAGAAAACCGTACTAACATTGATGTCCATGGCTATTATATGTTGAATATTACTTCTATGGGTCAAGCTTATGATTGTGATTTTTATGCTAATATGACAGTTCATGAACATTCAACGTTTATATTCAACAGTTATAATTTTCATCTGTATGGTGGCAGTACCTTTATAAATAAAGGTATTTTTTACTCTCAAAATTTAGGAGCTTATCCCTGGTATGATCCAACTCATAATTCCGGTCTGAGTTTTAAACTTAATGAAGGACAAACTACAGGGGGAATCCACAATACTGGCTTTTTTATGTATAATGATAATACTACTAACTGTGGTCCACCTACTTATACCATACATGGTAATTTCTTCATTAATGAAGGAACTTTTATTTTGGCAGGTTGTCAAGCCTGTGACGGTTCTACAAATATCATTAAACCATACGGAACTAATGCAATTTTTCACAATACAGGTATCCTTGCATATATGCAATATTTTATGACTGTCGGTGATGCACCAAGTACATATTGGGGTTCTGATTCAGCTTGTACTACTTCCGGGGTGGCTACTGTTATCAACAATGGATCTCTTTGTTTGTTTAATAACAACCCTGTATATCAAGGTTCCCAATATGCTGGAAATGGATGTATTGATATTGGTAATCAAAGTACATTTTTTATGAGGTGTGCTCAGTTGTTTGGCCTTGATGGTAATTTACAAACATTTTACCTTAGCACAAATACTTCAGTGTTGTATTTTGATAATATTGGAGTATCCAATGCCCCCGCCACTCCATACCTTGTAAGTGGTTGGGGGAATAATAATCAGATTACTATTCACATTTCAGATCCAGTTTGGAATTACGATGGTAAAACTTTAAGCATAACAGCTGCATCTGTTACATATCAGTTTATCATTGGTCCTGGATATGACTCGTCTTTGATAAGTTGGAGTCAAGGTCCATCCGGTAATAATTTAAGGGCAGGAGGCGCTCGTTTCGTATACAATGCCCCACCCCCAGATAGCTCAAGGCCAAGCGTGTGTTTACCATGTCCAACCGTCATACCTAAATTATATGATATATTACAAGACCAACCTGATTATACGACAACTTTCACAACTACAAAATCAGATGGTTCAGTAGAAACTGACTCTGGAGTAGTCCACGTAACAAATACCGACGGAACTATCACTACAACTACTTCCTTATTCCCAAATGAATATACTACTACATTCACCACCACTGAATCTGATGGGTTTGTTGCTACTGATTCCGGGATAGTATTTGCAACTACTGATAAAGACGGTAATCAAATCACCACAACATCATTATTTCCAACTTCAAGTGATCCATTCACCCGCTACACCACTACTTTCACGACCACCGATACTGACGGATTTGTGGCAACTGATTCTGGTATAGTTGTTGTTACTTACAATACCGATGGTAAAGTAACTACAAGTACTTCGTTATTCCCAACTAAAACTAATCCATTTACTTCTTATACGACTACATTCACCACTACCGAATCCAATGGATTTGTTGCAACTGATTCGGGAATCGTTGTTGTGACTTCCGCCAGTGATGGTTCATGGACTACAAAAACTTCCTTGTTCCCAACCCAAAATGATCTGTTGACTTCCCATTTTACATTTACTAGCACCGAATCTGAACGATCAGACAATACCAATTCTGGTACGGCCGACGGCAATGTATTGACTTGTACTACTACCGATCCTTACGTCCATACTTTATCGGGTGTTGTGGTTGTGACATATGATACTAATGGTATAATCGTAACCAGGACTTCATTATTCCCAGAACAAACTCAGTACGAATGCTACACCACTACATTCACCACTACTGAATCCGATGGCTTTGTTGCTACTGATTCCGGTATTGTCATAATAACATCCATCAGTGATGGTTCCTGGACCACTGAAACTTCCTTGTACCCAACTGAAAGCGATCCATTTACTTCTTATACGACTACATTCACCACCACTGAATCCGATGGATTTGTTGCAACTGATTCGGGAATCGTTGTTGTGACTTCCGCCAGTGATGGTTTATGGACTACAAAAACTTCCTTGTTCCCAACCCAAAATGATCTGTTGACTTCCCATTTTACATTTACTAGCACCGAATCTGAACGATCAGACAATACCAATTCTGGTACGGCCGACGGCAATGTATTGACTTGTACTACTACCGATCCTTACGTCCATACTTTATCGGGTGTTGTGGTTGTGACATATGATACTAATGGTATAATCGTAACCAGGACTTCATTATTCCCAGAACAAACTCAGTACGAATGCTACACTACTACATTCACCACTACTGAATCCGATGGCTTTGTTGCTACTGATTCCGGTATTGTCATAATAACATCCATCAGTGATGGTTCCTGGACCACTGAAACTTCCTTGTACCCAACTGAAAGCGATCCATTTACTTCTTATACGACTACATTCACCACCACTGAATCCGATGGATTTGTTGCTACTGATTCCGGTGTAGTTGTTGTGACCACTGACACAAACGGCTCATTGACTACATCAACTTCCTTATTCCCAACCGAGAGTGAACCAGTTACTACTGATAATACTAGCAGCTCATCCACTACATCTACTACATCTACTTCATCTGTCCCCAGCACTGGTGGTCCATTCAATGGTGTAACTTCTTATACAACTACATTTACCACCACGGAATCTGATGGATTTGTTGGTACTGATTCCGGTGTAGTTGTTGTGACCACTGACACTAATGGCTCATTGACTGCATCAACTTCCTTATTCCCAACCGAGAGTGAACCAGTTACTACTGATAATACTAGCAGCTCATCCACTACATCTACTACATCTACTTCATCTGTCCCCAGCACTGGTGGTCCATTCAATGGTGTAACTTCTTTCACGACCACCTTCACAACCACGGAATCTGATGGATTTGTTGCTACTGATTCTGGTGTAGTTGTTGTGACCACTGACACAAACGGCTCATTGACTACATCAACTTCCTTATTTCCAACGCAGAGCGATGTATTCACGTCCTACTCCACGACATTCACCACTACGGAATCTGATGGATTTGTTGGTACTGATTCCGGTGTAGTTGTTGTGACCACTGACACAAACGGCTCATTGACTACATCAACTTCGTTATTCCCAACCCAAGGTGAACATAGCAGCTACACTGCACCTGTTAGTGAAAGTGAATTACCAAGTCAATCTGTGGTAACTTTCCAAATTACTGCTGTCGCTAAACCACCTATAAATTTCAGAGAGTATATAGCATTGGATGAAGATGTTGTGAAGTTACAAGAATTGGATGGACCAACATTTGAGATGACAGGAGGTGATATCACTGTTAATGGCTTATACCTTGAAGCAGATAAAACCAATGGTATATATTTAGGTGATACACCTTTCGGAGGATGGCTGATAGTGGATGATCCAATTTTATCATTGAAAGGCTTTGGAACAGAATTCTATATCTGTCCAGAAGAGGAAGTTCCTTTACAGCTTATTCTGATTGACTGTAACTGCTTTGTTGGTGAGTTACATGTTCTGGAAGACGCACCTACCTCTATCACCAATGGAGCAACAGTGGCTTATGTGGCAAGTGAATGTAATGCTGAAACTATTTCTATTTCAATTGCGATTGGAACTTCTTCTGAACCTTCACCCACTGCTACATCTTCTACTGCCACTCCTACTGTAGCTACAATAACTACAACATATATCTCCAATGAAGTTATTACAATCACCGATTGTCCAGAAACTGTTACAGATTGTCCATTGAATTCAATCAGAACTACCACAATTATTCATACACTTACAACTACCTATTGCCCTGAATCTGGAGTTACTTCTGTAGAAACTGGTACAACTTCAGACACTTATACAACACCAATTGTTAATAGTAACAGCGTTGGTGAGGTTAGTACTGAATGTGATAGCAATACAAATAATGAATCTACTATCGTAAACAATTCTCAAACAAGCACCGATTCTACTGTTGCAAACAATGCTCCAACAAATACTGTCATCACTACACTGGAAGCTCATTCAAGTATTAATTCCGTTGCTTCTTCTTCTACTTTACCAAGTCCTACGCCTAGCGTTTCAGTTGACGAAAGTGGAGCGCTGAGAAAAAAATGGAAGATTATTTCTTCACTTCTTGCATCAGTTATACTCCTTGTTTTCGGTTAGATTATATCATGAAGTTTTTCGTGATTTAATCGTTATGATTTTTCCTTTTCTCACTTATCTTTTAAATTCAAACTTTGAATTATTCTGACGTATCTATTAAATTCAATTTCGAATTAGTTGGTTTTTCAAATTTCATTTATATCTTTATAATTTTCGTTTTATAGTATATACTTTTTTCTGTTCCAATATATTTTATCTTTTTTAAACACAATAGTTATAAGAAATTCTAAGACAGTTTTTTTGATCAGTTTTAAATTCTTATTATGATCTAGTCGTAGACAATGGAAACTAAAGGAAAGTATTATATGGTCACTTATGTTATATACTTTGAAGGCATAGCTCATTAAGATATATTCAAAAGTAGCGTTTGGAGAAGAAACTGACAATAAGTCTTTACTAGAGGAAAAGAATTTGGCTAACTTTCAGACAGTGTCAAAACCAGCACAATGGTGAAGGTCAGATATTGAAATTATCTTTAAATTGATGTTTCTTAACACCCTTAAAGTTAGCGTTATGATAGAAAAATGATCCATTGATCTCCATAATATGCAGAAGGACAATGATAATGATATAAGAAAAGTGAGCAAGAAGATAGGATGCTTTGACAACTCCAAAAATTATTGGACGAGTTCGAAATCACTTCCTTATATATGGTACCCGCTCACATACAAATGATCACTTTAGTCAATATTATACAATATCATGTTTATAAGAATGATATTCGATGCATGGGAATCTCTGCAGAGATATATTCTAGGTTTATTCTGATAAATAATAGATTATTTGCCAAGGTTTCAATAGGTCTTATCTATGAGGAGAGTATATTATGAGGGATCACTAGAATAACAAGTTTATACTGAACAGTGGGAATGATTTATATACAGCTTCAACTTAATTTTAACAAATCTATGATCATTAATACTTTGCAATATAATACATACAATATAATACAATTGTAGTATGATTTTCAAAGGATGAGCTTCGTCAACATATCCGATTAATGTTTATAATTTTAGTGTTTGAATCTTGATTTGTTATTTAAGGAAAAAGGGTAATTTCCAATTAAGTTGAACTTTTAAGGTGGTGATCCGGTAATCGAAAGAAGATATTATGTCCTATTACATCCTATCCATTCGAGGGAATTTTTCTTAGACATAATGTCAAAGTTAAAATCAACTTTTCTACTACATAATCTCATAGGTCTGTTTATTAGACCACTTTTTTTATTAAGTTATTCCGAGTAAATGCTCGAACTTTGCCATTTTTTCATAATGCAAAAGCCAAATAGGCCTTAGTGTGATTAGCTGGATCCTCATCCCTTACCACAAATCAAACTGTTGTTGATAATAATCCAATCTTAACTGTGCATACTTTATTTTACTTAGCAAAACAATTAATTGTGGTTAAAGTTCAATATACAAGTTAAAATGGAGTTTTGCAGTATTATTGACTTCCTTTCCAATTTCACATGCAACATTGATAATTTGTTAAATTCATGTATTAACAGTTTGTATCTATAGCAGTATATGACCATCTAACGGATTCATTGGTTAGGGCCTTTTGGTTAATGTTAAATGCTTCTTATATTACTTTAATTTCTATGAATAGGAGATGGGGAGATTTTAAAATCGCGCCCAAGCCACGGAAAGTAAGCTGCACTAAGCCACGGAAAGTAAGCGAGAAATATTAGCCGAGCGAAGATTAGTCTTTAATCTTTTTCTAAAACTCGAGTATAACGAATGTGTCCCACTTTTTGGTCTAAATAAACTTAAAAAATGTAGTAAGAACTGACCATTTGGTAAGCTATTAAAAAGTACCAATACAGTTAGGACAAGAATAAATCTGCATATAGAGAAATTTTATTGCTAAGGTCATGTAGAAAAATCGAACGAGTCCTATTAACTATAATCTTATTTAGGACTACATAATTTCCAAAACTTTAACTCTCTACTAGAAAACCCTCAATTGGAGCTAATTAAACAAACTTTCTAAGATCTCGAAAATAATTTTTAAGCATTGCTATGCAGTTCTCAACAAATTAAATGTTTAGCAACCTTTTTAAAAACTATTGCACCATCCTAGATTTCAAAGTAAAAACTTCGTGATAACTTCTAATGATTTAAATATATAAGTAAGTTTATCATCAAATTCCAATAAAGTTGTTTAAAATAGACTTCATTGAGTTAGAAATCAAAAATGAAGTCTTCAGTTGTAAGAGCAATTGTGTTTGCTTCATTTCTATTGCAGACTGTATTTTCTACATGGAAAACTAACTTAGATATCTATAATACTACTACAAAAAGTATTACTGACTTTGAAGGCAGTTACGGTATTGATTGGCAGGCTAATATAACTGTTCATAAACATGCAACTTTTATATTTAATTCTTACGACTTTCATCTGAATGCTGGTACTGTGTTTAAAAATGAGGGTGTATTTTATGCTCATAATATAGGAGCTTATCCCACGTACGCTAAAAATTATAATTCCGGTCTGAGTTTTAAACTTAATGAAGGAATTCAAAAAGGTGGTTTCCTTAATTATGGTTATTTTATGTATAATGATAACAATACTATCTGTAGTCCACCTACTTATACTATTCATGGTAATTTCTTTTATAATGAAGGAACTTATATTATGGCTGGTTGTCAAATGTGTGATGGATCTACAAATATAATTAAGCCATCAGGACCTAACTCATATTTCATCAATAAAGGTGTCCTTGCATATATGCAATATTTTATGACTACTGGTGATGCACCAAGTACATATTGGGGTTCTGATTCCTGTGTTACAGACGTTGCTACTGTTGTCAACAATGGTTCACTCTGTTTGTTCAACAATAACCCAGTATATCAAAATTCCCCATATGCCGGAAATGGTTGTATTGATATTGGTAATCAAAGTACATTTGCTATGAGATGTCCGCAATATTTCGGTATAGATGGAGTCTTACAAACATTTCTTCTTAGTACAAATACTTCTGTGTTGTATTTTGGAAATGCCGAGGACTCTGGTAAAAAACCCATAGTTCCATACATCGTAAGTGGTTGGGGAAATAACAATCAAATTACTATCAACACATGTTGTCCAACTTGGACTTACGATGGTAACACTTTAAGTATTACTACTAATGGGGGAACAAATACATTTAAGTTTATCATTGGCCCTGGGTACGACCCTTCTTTGATAAGTTGGAGTAATGGGAGATCTTGTAATAATCTAGGGTCATCTGGTGCTCGTTTTGTATACAATGCTCCTCCTCCAGATAGTTCAAGGCCAAGCGTGTGTTTACCATGTCCAACATTTATACCGGGATTATATGATATATTACAAGACCAACCTGATTATACGACAACTTTCACAACTACAAAATCAGATGGTTCAGTAGAAACTGACTCTGGAGTAGTCCACGTAACAAATACCGACGGAACTATCACTACAACTACTTCCTTATTCCCAAATGAATATACTACTACATTCACCACCACGGAATCTGATGGGTTTGTTGCTACTGATTCCGGGATAGTATTTGCAACTACTGATAAAGACGGTAATCAAATCACCACAACATCATTATTTCCAACTTCAAGTGATCCATTCACCCGCTACACCACTACTTTCACGACCACCGATACTGACGGATTTGTGGCAACTGATTCTGGTATAGTTGTTGTTACTTACAATACCGATGGTAAAGTAACTACAAGTACTTCGTTATTCCCAACTAAAACTAATCCATTTACTTCTTATACGACTACATTCACCACTACTGCAACTGATGGCTTTGTTGCTACTGATTCCGGTATAGTTGTTGTTACCTACAATCCCGATGGTGACGTGACTACAAAGACATCGCTATTCCCAACTCCAACTGATCCGTTCACGCACTACACCACTACTTTCACAACCACCGATACTGATGGTTTTGTTGCTACTGATTCTGGTATAGTTGTTGTTACTTACAATCCAGATGGCGAAGTAACGACAAGTACTTCGTTATTCCCAACTAAAACTAATCCATTTACTTCCTATACGACTACATTCACCACCACTGAAGCTGATGGTTTTGTTGCTACTGATTCCGGTATAGTTGTTGTTACTTACAATCCCGACGGCGAAATTACTACAAAGACATCGCTATTCCCAACTCCAACTGATCCATTCACTGTATATACTACCACATTTACTACCACTTTACCCGATGGGTTTAAAGCTACCGATTCAGCAAGAGTCGTTGTTACCTACGATAAGAGCGGTAAAGTAGTCACCTCGTCCTCATTGTTCCCAACAGTAAGTGACCCATTTACCGTATATACTATAACATATACTTCTACATATACCAGGTCGAAGTAGATTGAAAGTTGATAAGATGAGAACCAAATAAAGTATTAATGTAAAATTACTTGTAATTTAAGAAGTTTAGTATGATTAAGTTAAAAGGACAAAAGAAGAACTTCAAAAGAAAGTGCTAGTGAATTTTAGAGTTAGACTATAGCTAATTGAGAGTATATGAAAGTGGGATTAAAATTACACTATACTAAATCAAGTCTTATAGTCATATAGATATATGAATGATATTGTATTTTTCCATTAGTATACGTTCAAGTTAACGGAATATACATAAACATGAAAAGATGTAGTTATAAAGGTATGTCGTTCATAATGTTCTAGTAAATTTTGTGAGCATTTTATACCAATACTTCTCTAACTCTTTTACGGATTAGCTATTTAAATGATTATTACAACTGATGTAAACAACACTATTATTCATATGCCACCTTTATGATATGGCCACCTTTATGATATGGCAAAGTAGGCCAATTTAGATAGTGGGGATCATTTAATTTTTCAGCTAGTATAGATATTAGCCTGTGTGCAGGAGAGCAGATTTACTATGTAAAAAATCAATTTTCACCTCGCAGGACAGAACTTGGGTGCATTTTGATTTTCCCATAGTTAAGGGTGCAAGTTGAGTCGTTTATATGCCGTACTAAAAAAATAGTCTAGTATAATTTAGATTGACCAGAAATTTTTATGAAGTGAGCTATGTAAATGTTTATTAACAACATAAGTAAACTACACTATTATTGATATGCAACATTTTAATGGTTTTTAAAGTACATATGTTATTTTGGTTATAGTTTCACCACGATCCATTTGAGTATGACTTTCAATTGTTACGGATTCACTAATTAGACATCATTGTATTTCTCATTATGATTAATATATTAATTACTATAATGTTATACAGCCATTGCAATTCAATGACTTTTAAGCTGGTTTTGATAAGATTCGTTTAGTATGGACTTGGGTCACTAGGTACACTTGTTTCAGAAGGTGATTTATTACTATTTGTGGAGCAGTAGTTTAATGGTCAAGAGTTATAAAGTAATTAGTATAATATTATCCAGATAAGGCAATTCAATGACTTTTAAGCTGGTTTTGGTAAGGTTCGGTAGCTATTGCTTTTGGTCACTAGGTGCACTTGTTTAAGGTGATTTATTACTATTTGTGGATCAGTAATATAATAATCAAGAGTTTTAAAGTAATTACTATAATATTGTCCAGTCAAGGCAATTCAATGACTTTTAAGCTGGTTTTGGTAAGGTTAGGTAGCTATTGAGTTTGGTCACTCGGTGCACTTGTTTAGCACTCTAAGTTTTAATGGTATAGTTTGCTGGTGTTGATTGTTGGTAAATTTGGTATTTTTGTATATTAAGGGTTGTATTTAATATAGAAAGATCATCTTTTTCTTTGGAAGTTATTTCAAAAGATGTAGAATGTAATTAGATAAGTTATATATGTATAATTATTTTAATAAATGATTTGGTTCACATTTTATGCTTTTCTCTAGTTTGTAATAAATTTATGATTAATGTAGATTTGAATTTTTGGTCGTGCGTAGAAATTGTTAGCTGTAATTTTTTAGTGAGCAGAAAATTAAATTTATATTTTAAAGTATAGTAATTAGAGTTAGATAAGTGGCACTATGTACAATTGCTAAAGTAGTAACATTGGAACGTAATGTAGTTTAGATATTAGTTTGGAACATAATGTAATTTAGACATTAGTTTGGAACTTAATGCGCTTTAGAAGTAAGTTTGGAACATAATGTAGTTTAGATATTAGTTTGGAACATAATGTAATTTAGACATTAGTTTGGAACTTAATGCGCTTTAGAAGTTAGTTTGGAACATAATGTAGTTTAGATGTTAATTTGAAATTATTTAGATAGAACTAATACAATTTAGAATTAAGTAGTAGAATTTACTAGAAATTTAACAATAGCAAGTCAAGCTAAGTTAGCACTGAAGATAGAATTGGTTTAAATAGTAGTAATTAATGAGTGTTGTTAAATGTAGTAGTAACATAAGTAATCTTGTTCTAACTATCGGAAAGCTAATAGAATTTAATAAATATAGATATTGTTGTCACATAATAGTTGTATTTAAGGTGACTTTAATTAAAGTAAAGGAACTGTAGGATGGAAGGTAGAACAAATTAATTAGAAATATCATCATATGGAAATAGTAATTAAGTAATTAAAGAGTAATATAGAATGTCTATTAGATATTATAAGTATAGTTTTAGAGGTTATACTGAAGGTAACTTAATGATACTTTAAATATAAGTGTTATTCAAGGATATTGGAGGTACCCAATTGGAATTAGAAATAACTTCAATAGTATTAGCTGACGTATCAGTGGTATATGATATAGTTAAAAATGTAGAAGTAAGTAGCGCTTATTTTACAAGTCTAACTAAAAGTAGTGTTTATTAGTGATATGAATTAGAACAAGAGTCTAATGGATAGTAATCTTTAATTGGGAAAGTAATAAAATATACTATTGGAAGTAGCAGTAAGCTAGCAATAACTTTTATTGAGTATAGTAGAAAATATATTTAACTTGTATAAGTAATGATTAAGAGAAAGTAATGATTCTAAATGGAAGAAGTGAAGTCAAGTTAGTTAGAAATATATTGTAATGTTAAAATTTATACTAGAAAGAATTTTACATACATATATAACTATAATTTTATACTTACTTTAATACCATTTTAGTCTTCTTATCCAAATGGTAATGCATTATGCTGGTTTCCTCTTCTTTCACTTGTTGGATCATTATATATATGAAGTACATATACCCATATGTCCCTCGATATTCACTTAATATAACTTTAAGAAAATCATCGTAGCTGTGAAGTATCCATATTATTTCTTGATTCCTAAACATCTTAGATAAGGTAATAAAACACAAGTCTATATTGTAATAGCCAGTCAAAAGAATGAAACTTAGTAACTGTTCCATCATGCATTCACCTTGATGCATCAAGTGGCATCTTTTGCATGCTCCTTTAGTTTGTTTCTGTCTTAATCTATCTTCTAATTGTTTCATTTTTTCCTCTTTGACATTGTTGTCCATCAGCCATCCTACCTTACTACTTACTCCCCTCCAACCATTAATCACTTTAAGTGTTGTCAGGAAGTTTCTCCTTTTAGTTGTATCAGCCCCAAGCCTATTATTTGGCTTGGGGGTATACAATAGATTATACAAATCTTGACTTAATTCTTGAAAAGGGATATTATGATGAGTTAAGTTCAACTGTTTGTTGAATCTTAGTAATACACAGCTCTTCATTTTGGCTCTAAACAGCTCCTGATGTACATAATTAACTACTATATTTCTTAGTTCTATAGCCCTTTCTATATTATCCTGATTAATATAATTAAGTAACTTTTTGGAGGAACTCAAGACATATGGAATAAGGAGTCCCATAGTAAATCTGTAGTTGGGACATTCTATATTGTGGGTTTCGTGATTGAGTCCACATCCATAGCAGATCACCTGATTCCCAAGACCACGGTAATAGTAGTGTTGGAAATTATAAATTAAGGCATTATCAATTCTTAATTCATCCTCAAACTTAGCTTTTTTAAAACGTTGTGGATCCATCATTACATAGATATTATCATTATATTTCTGGAGTACTGAAATGACCGATTCATCTGTTTGAAGATATAATGATTCATCTGCTGATTGGTTATTTAATATCCGCTGTTGTTTGGAGGCAGATTGGTATGACTGTGTTTCTCCTCTTCTTTTCAATATTGGTCTTGTTGAATCAAAGGTTGACAAAGGTGACTGATATGTGTTGGTTGTATTGGACAGACTACCTGCAACTTCATTTATTGATGATTGAGCTAAAGGTATGTTAAATAAAATTCTATTGCTAGCTGGTTTATTTAGTGATCTATTAATCATACTAGGTGGAACTTGATTGACGACAGGCAAATTATCAAACCAGTCAGTAGTGTCTGTCTCATCCATTGTATTATCAGCTTGTGTTTCTACTTCAATTGGTCTATCTGTTTCTACTTCCATTGGTCTATCAACTTGTGTTTCTCCTTCAATTGGTCTATCTGTTTCTACTTCAATTGGTACTATCGGTTGTGTTGGACCATTGCTTCTGCAGACACTGCACAA